TTACTAAGTGCTTCATTTGCTTTACGGAGATTATGAATCTCAGCAGTTAAAAGCGTATTTGTATAAGCTAGGAGTTCTGTACCCTTAGCTAAAGCTGCAACTGTTTCAAATATTGGAGTAGGTGAGCTCCCTTGATGCTGAGCAATACGACTTTTCACTAAAGTAAATTGAGAGAGAGCTTCAGTTGGATTGTGAGGTGTTTGAGATTGTCATATATCAGGATCGGCTGATATTGATCTATTTGATGGAGTTCTTATTCGAATATCTAGCTTTGAAAGTACAATTTCCGGATTAAATGGGATTAGCCCAGCTCCGCGGAACCCAGCTTTACCATTTGATATAGATATTGCTTCGATATATACAGTTTTGAAGATTTGAAAGAATTTGGTTTTGGTAATATGAGTAATATACGCCTTGATAAAGTTCTCGATTTATCGACTATATGAACGCTTTAAAGGACCAAAACAACCGATATCAAGTAATTGAGTTAAATTCGAAGAATAAAATAGTAAACTAAGTAATATAATATTGTGTTCCTTGCAGTATTCCTGAAATACTGGCGATTTATGATTTTCATACCCATCAAGCACTAGCATTCGATATCTACTCACTTTCCTACTTTCAATATATTTGTTGAAGTGCTTAATTTATTCAAGACCTGTCTCATTATCTGTCCATCTATTGATAGTAGGTTTAATAAGCCAATTGTATAGTAAATCGCCTTCAGTATATCAATTTGAAAGGTGATTCGTCTTTTACTATCAAAAACAGAGGTATATTATAACCTTCTCTATCAACACAAATAATCGCTGTAGCCTATTCTCGATTGCCTGATTGTATAGCTTTGCTTTTTCCATATCGATCAGCTTTAGTAACTACTATATGTGGTGATATTTGTCCCATCATAAAGCCTGTCTCATCGAAGTTGTAGAAATCGCAGTCTAGAATATTATATTTGGCCCGCATATTCGATACTAACTGAAACCATCTTTCAATAAGCTTTGAATCTTCGCAAAGAGCTCTTTGAAAGTTATAAACACAATTAAAACATATCTTTAATTCTGTATATCGTTTCACAAAGCGATGAGCTTAGAGCTTTCCAATCTTCTTCGCACCCCGTATTTCGAGTATATAATTCGCTATATCTTCCATATCATTTATTCGAGGACTAAACCCTCTTTCATCCATATCAATTATATATTGAAAAAGCGATTTCTTCTTTAATTCCGTCATTTTATAATGTATTGATCGAGATCCAGCTTTCGGCGTTCGACCGGCTATTCTGTAGGTAAGGGTAGTATGCGGTATATTACAGATTTTAGCAGCTCTTCGCACACTTAGTTTTTTGGATGAAGCAATAGCTTGAATGGCTAGATTAATTTGCGACTCTTGCATATTGATTTGAAAGGTTGAATATGGATTTATCGCGTGTTAAAGTTGAGAGGTGGTAATTGAGGTAAAAGTGTTCCGGTTACTGATATATACCGGTTACTGATAAACCACGTTATTCTTACTTTTATCTTATTTTTATTATATTAATAGATATGTTAAAAGGAATGACCTTACACAGGGAATAGTGGGAAGCTGATAGGGCAGAACTGAGGCTATATTGGTCTTGTATATAAATCACTCATTATCTAAGTTCTACGGAAGTGCGAAGCTCTCCTACAGAGAGCTTCTCAATCTAGTCCTAATAGGACTAGTGCCCTGTGCACGTGCTACGCAGGAACCATTCACTTTAACAAGATGTTACGTGACGGTTGTTATCCCACTAGTGGCTCACGTGCACTAGCCCTGTATATAAAGACCTTCTTACTTAGAATCTTCTTAGTTCTTTAGTTTTAGATTCTAAGTAATTGAATTGACTCCGTTTACGACTTTTCCGTCACACAAGATATTCAATTCAAAGTATAATAAATATAAATAACTTAATGATTAATAATTAAAACATTTTCAAAACTCATTATAATTACTAATTAGGAGCTAATTCGTTATATCAGGATTGAATTTTGAAGTTGAATGGAAAGGTAAATATAAGAAGAACTTGCTTTGTTTAGTTTAGAAAGAGATTATCTTGAACATAATGTTACGACCAATCCTAACAGCTACTCAGGTGACTAAGCTTATGGTCACATGACCCAATATTGTCCCACCTAGAATCACTCAACTACAGGCAGTGGGACATGATGGGGGGCGATGGGATGTATAATACGAAGGTCTATATAATCAAGATGGATTTCCTTTGTATAGAGCTTCGTGCTCAAGATCAATCATTTAGTATACTCTACTATTAGTTACGAATAGCATACCATTATTGTCATTACTTAAGTCTGTTACGAGGTTTGCCGTCTAGATCACGTGGAAGTGCTCTAGGCTCTCGAGGTGGTTTATAACTAGGCGTCAAGCAGGGATTTAAAGTAATGACAATAATGCAATTCGTAACTAATAGTAGAGTATACTAAATGATTGATCTTGAGCACGAAGCTCTATACAAAGGAAATCCATCTTGGTTATATAGACCTTCATGCTAATCGTCCCCTTGGTCCCCTCGGTCCCTTCGATCAAGGAGACCGAGGGGATCGAAGGGACCATGTGATTACATAATTGGTCACATGATACGAGATCCGAAGCCGTCGTAACAAAGTCCCTGCTTGACGCCTAGTTATAAACCACCTCGAGAGCCTAGAGCACTTCCACGTGATCTAGACGGCAAACCTCGTAACAACTCTCTCTCTTTATACAAGAAACTAAAAAAGAAGAAAATAAATAAAAATGAAAATAAAAATAAAATAAATTATAATCTACTCTACTTTACTCTAATCTCCTCTCCTCTTTAAAAATCCTCTTTCTTTCTCCGAAAAAGCACCAATCCCAACCCAAAATCCCATCCCAATCCAATCCAAATCCGATTCCAGGGTATATATCCAAACCAACCAAACAACCAACGCTACACTACAACTCTGAGTCTCAAAACTCAAGTTTCCTATCCATAAGAAGAGAAAAGAATACTCTGCTCATTCACCCCCTACATATTAATATAATGTAATATAAATATAAAGTATATTAAGCCTCCTCTCCATCGAGGTTTTGGGCCTGGCTTAGCCTTATACGTTCCTTTCCTTCCATCTCCTTTAATCACCACGTAAGAAAAACAACTATTCTCTCATATCAGCCTCCCTAATACCAAAAACCACAGCATTAACAACCCCACTATTCCTTCTACAGCTCCACTTCTAATCACTGCACTTGTAGCTGCCCCCGTAACTACCGCCGCAGCAGGTAAACTCGCATTTACAAATCCCGGTCCACATTGTACATTAATCATACCAGCGGCTTGTTCATAAGTCCCCGCAATAGCACTCGATCTCACTGCACCGGCTTGTTCAAAAATCGCCATGGTATCTTTTAAACAGGAGTTACATGTTGGTTGGCTTCCGCCTGGTAGGGATACATTGACGGGTAGATAGTAGATGTAGGAATCGGTGGGAGATGAGGTATTGGTTACGGCTTGTGCGTAGCAGTATGCGCCGTTGGTGGGATCTTTGAGACAGGATGCTGTGTATAGGGTTGAGTAGGCGAGGAGACCAAGACGAGCTTGGGTTACGAGGGGATTGGCGGCAGTGAGATCTGTAGAGCAAGCGTTTGGGGAGGTGATGTTTGAGGCGATGGAGTTCATTAGGTTGGAGCATGATTGGGAGTTTGCGGAACATGAGGCATCGAGGGTTTGGGTTATACGGACGATGGATTTGGAGGCTTGGAAGAAGGAATTGGAGTTCTGCGATAGGTATTAGTTGTGGATTTATTAAGGAATTGATTTGAGGGGTGGATGAGATGAGAGGATGAATTGGACGGGAATGCGTTAATTGGCGCAATGAGTAACAATGTTTGAATGAGAAGAAACGGAATAACATTTAAAAACATAACCTTACCTGCAATAACAACGAAAAAGGTAGACAAGCTTTAAAGCTATCATCCGCCAAGAAGTTCATCATAAAACTCGAACATGTTGAAGTAACATTACTGGTAAACCCACTATCAAACGGAGTAGGTAAATTCGTAGTCGCAGTCGCAGCGGACAATTGTCCACTACTTGTATTTGAAGAAGCCAGTGTTGAAGAGGAAGAATCCGTAACTGTTGCTGTTGCTGTACCAGTAATTTGGGGTGGAGTGATGGTTGCTGTAGAGGTTATTGTTGCTACGTTTCTTTTTTCGATATTGAAATCCGAGTTGAATTCAGAGTCAAAGTCGGATTCTTCGGTACTTGATACTAGATCCCGAATTTGATCTGTGCCTTGATTTTCTAGAGGTCCTTGATTGTCTTGATCTTGAATTGAATTGTGATTCTCTCTTGCGGATTTTTCCTCCTCTTCGTCAATACCTAAACCCAAGCTATTACTTGTATGATGAGTAATTTCCCAGGTCTTAAAATCAGGTACCGAATCGCGTGGGAGTGATGGATCAGGTTGATGATCAACTAAAATAGTACCAGATCTAGCTAGTCGAGCGAGAGTCGATGCGAATAATTCGGGGATATCTTCTCTCACTTCAATCATTCGTTCTTCAATGTAAAACTCCGCCGAACATGTTTGAATGAGGAAGGAGAAGAATATGGTGAGAAATATTATTATATTATTTGGAGAAAAAAGTGTATATTTTGAAGTTGTGTATTTTTTGAAAGTAGATGTCGAACGTGTATATTTTTTGTAAGTAGATGATGAAGATGTCGAAGATGTATATTTTCTAGAAGAGAATGTCGATGATGATATGGTGGTAGGGATATGCATAAAGATAGGGATAGTCATAATTGATGCCGTTAGATCGTGCGACAAGAACCGTTGCGAAGAAATGAACAATTGCAAAGAAGATTCCCAATTCGACATGGAAACATCCTTCTCCTTCATCGTTCCCATAATTCCATCCATTTTGGTCCAAAATTAAAGATATATACGGTATATCTTTATAATCGTGGTTCCAGCATCACTTTTCCTATGTAAATCGACAACTGGTATAGTCGTCGGGCGGTGGAAAGATGTTCGATTGATGATCCAATTTGCTGATGAGGGTCGTGTTAATTGATTTGGAACCGGTGAAGAGGTGGACAATCAATTATGTTCCTGTACCTAATGTAATAAATCCTTTCCGTTCCGAATGATTCGTCCCGAGCCGGATAATGATTGTGAATGTTTGAAGGTTTAAAGGTCGAATAGATAGGTATATAGCTAAGTATTGTCTGATGTTTTCGTTTTGTTCCTTTTCCACACCTGATTCCCTTCTCGTCGATGTATAATCAAGTGAGTTATCTTATCCTCTCGTATCGTATCCGAAGTGTATGAAAAGGAATTATCGCGAAGACCTCAAAATAGAATGTAGATAAATCCTAAAAAATCAAAACAAATCCAAAACAAACCCAAAAAAAGAATGACAGTAGTTGGAAAGGAAGGAAGGAAGCCCCCAAAAATCCCTTGTATATAAATCGAAGCCGTTGATAAACTCTTTGAAGAAATTGCTCAGATCTTGTATTGATGTTGTGGGGGTGGGTGCTCGAATGATATATTTGATCTTCCTTGGGTTCTTTTACTTCCAGTTCTACATTATCCACTCTTGAAACTTTTCCTATTAAGATTATTTGCATTCAACCACACCAACCACAACCTCCTCTTTATCCGTCGATAGATAGATGTATGTATGTATCCAGGTAACCCATGTGGCATTGCACCCATTGCACCCAGTCAAAAAACCTAATTTTGGCATCTAGACTACATACATATCTCTTGATTCGACTAGAAGTTGGGATGAGATACTGCCGTAATACAAGGTAGAACAGCCATTGCAAGCCATTATGTGCCATTATGTGCCATTGTATGCGCCATCCTGGGACTTGAGTAACCAGATGAGCTAGACGAGTAAGGCTAATATTGAATTTTGGGCGTGAGGCATGGTTACGTGACGGATGTGCTCACCGATTAGTTTGTTGTGGAATAGATCCTGTGGGATTGTTGTGGTTTTGGTTTATTTGTATTTTTGTCAGATATATACTCGATTCTATCTTCTTGATAGATATAAATCCCCCAAATCCCCAAGATCTTCAAATAGAAAACATTCCAAAACGAAAACAAAAACAAAAGTAAAAATCCTCCTTCATCCAGATCCACATTTCCCGCATTCACAAGCCCAGACCCTCAGCCGACCAATTCTAGATCTCTCCCAAGAAATCCTTGTCTCAATGCAGCTCCCATCCCCCAAATAAGTAAAACACCCGGTCGCACGTTCATAAAAGTCTTTGGGGGGCCACGCCATCTGACGAATTTGCGCGATTCGTATGCGTGTTTTGAGTTGTTGACCGAAATGAGCGTTTTTGTGTTTATGGATGTGGAATCGTGGATTTGGATGATATTACGAAATGTTGGAGGTGGAGAGGTGGGAAGAAGATGGAAGCCTGGGAAGGGTAGAGACGGCAGGTAAGGGTGATACGGACGGTAGGTAAGTTAAGGTAGGGCGTTGTCTTCAATGCCATCATATGCACATGTTGGGGGCAAATCTCAAAATAGCTCATTCCTTTTCACATGACACTTTACATCCATTGTGCGAAGATGCAGAGCAGGATGCAAAGCAGATGCAGATGCAGATGGTGAGATGCAGATGAATTGGAAATGCTCGCAGAATAGGCTAATAGTAAAGCAATATTCATTAAAGTAAAAGATAGTAAAGATCAACAAAATCTAGACTTCCACCTACTTCCCGAATCAAAAATATTTAAAACAACGGTTCGGTTCCTTAACTCAAATTTCATTTCATCCATCTCTTTCGGTAATCGGAAATCAATCAAGTCAGCTAGTACTCCATGCACTCGCGGATCCAGATACTGCCCTGATCAGCATTTAGTATTTAGCATTGACTAAACCCAAAAATCCAAAAGGTGCTCTCGAGGAGGAAGAGGCGTATAAGCCGTAAAATGATTTGTGTAACCATAAGCACGGAATCAATCGTACAACCATACTGGCTGCCGGCTATGTACAGAAGTACATGGATTTTCCCCTTTTATTTACAGCACCAAGAAGGTACTGGACGCCTCTTTGCTGTACAGGATTGGTTATTGTGTAAGCAAGCAAGCTAGCAAGCAAGCTGATAGTATGTAGGCAGTAGATAAGGAGGTAAGGAGGCGATACCGTACATGGATTTTTCATTTCGATTATAGAGATAATCACCTGGCGATTAGCGAATTAGATATCAATATCAATATCAGTCAATATCAGATAGACATAATAATAAACACACCTCCTCATTCATCTTCCATCCAACCCAATCGCCAACAAGAACTTCAAGATCAACCAACATAACTCACTAAGTATGCATTCGATAATCAGCCTTATCACATATATCAATCAATCACAATCCTGTACTTTTAGATTTCTAGATTTCCAAATCTGTGAACCATAACAACCGTTTCGCTTCCAACGCAATCTAATGCAGACAGATATCCGGGAGTTTTCATAAGTATTGGATCCGAGATGTTGTGAGGTTGAGACTTACGAGTTGGATCCCCTACTAACCTATAAGGCGCCACCAATATATATTTTTATATTTTCCGTAGGTTAATTAGGTACATGAATGGGATTTTATACGGTTTCAGTATTAGTATCGATATCAAGAAGTAAAGGAAGAGAGTGGTAATGTGAGTAAGAGGCGAGTATCTAGGTTAAGAAGAAGGATTAAACGAACTCATATCAATGAATGGATTTAGATCCTATTATTAGGTAGATGATCGCATTTTGCAGCTCAGCTCAGGCTCCGAACTGGGGATTTAAATCCTTATGATGAAAGATATCAAAACCCTTTATCAATCAATCACTTTATATTAGGTAAGGTCTTACTTGTAAAACATAGTACGATCCGTAGATAGGAAAATAATAGTATAATTTTATAGGAGGTATGGCATCTATGGTTATGGTGTATACTTCTAGAATACTGTATTGCCGTACTGTGTACTATGTAATATACAGAGTAGAATACAGTATTGTCGTACTGATGTACTGTGCACTATATAGTATATAGAGTAAAATACTGAATGACTTACCTACATTCCTTAAGCTTTTCCTCCCTCATAGATCCGAATGATGAACCAACTGATGAATAGGGTTAGGGTTAGGGATAACTCCTTGAATACTGACTGTACAGAGTCCTGATCACAGTTAGGGTTAGGAGATGTGCAACAAAAGATCTCAGGAGCACACTAAACCCCTCTAGTTCTGATTACGTTCATGTTCACGTGAAAAATGGAGCTAAATTTGGCCAATGAGGTGTGTTGGATGGGCAGGGGTTGGATGGGATAGGATATCTACTGCTGGAGAATTGTATCTTCATTTTGTAAGATATGATCAATCATCAGGTTGGTATGTATTATTTTATTTTTTATTTATCTTTTCATGATTCGTATATTTCTCTATATAGAGTTCCCAAGGCGATTTATGGTAATGGATTAAGCATATCTCTGGCCATGGATCGAGACATTGGCCTTATTAACCCAGTAGCCCAATATAAAACAAGTCGCCCGGTTGTCACGATTCATTAATTCACGTGACCTCGAGGACCTTTTGGACCTTAGGGTCCCAGAGGTCCTCAAAAGATGATATAGGGTATATAAACATTCATTTAGTCTCGTAGTTAAGGAGCTTCGTGCTCAACTTAGTTATCAATTAGTTTACCCACATTCTACTTGATCTAGTAACGACTTCACTTCCAAGTGAATACCAGTGATAAAGCCTTAACCCACAACTACCAACCAGACGAAACCTTAGGCAGCCGCTGCCTTTAGTACAGTATCGTTACACCGGTCCACTAAGCCCAATCCTTGGAGCACGATACAACCATAGAATTGGCGACATGTAAGAATAAACAGACATTTGAGCTGCTGCCACAAACTCAATGATATCTCCATTTCCACTGGAGAGTACTTGATTTTAGTACCGTTATAATGCTCTTGCGATATTGAACAAAGTCTTAGGTCAATCCCGGCTAATACAGGTAGGTGGTAAAGGTCAAGTTTGACCACAAAACCAGACACGAGCCTTAACGGATCAGGCATGGCTTTTCGAATTCGACTGCCATCGAATCTAGAAATCTCACTTTTTTTTTTCTCTATGTTTAACCACTTTACTTCTCTTTACGCGTTGGGAATAGGGATAGGCATAGGGAGAAATGGTAATTAAGTCTAGTACCCTACTTTTAGGTCACCTCTAATATAGGCCACCCTTTTATACCAAAAATAACGATTTTGATTTATTAATTATTTGTGACGGAAACCCCTGCTTTCCTCCCACCCTTATTATATAAGAAACCTCAGGTACATTAACCATGTCCACACATGATACGATTACTCGAGATTAGTATGCGATTTAGGTGACCTGAGGATCAGATCCGGACAAGTACTAGGTATCAATGGTTATCGGTAAAGTAAGATCATTGGAGGAATAAATATGACTTCTTTTTGCCTAGCCATTGCGGCTAGGCCATTCATTTGTGTATATATAGAGTAGCTATCCCCATCTACAGGTGCTCTTCACCTGTAGATTCTAAGTTAAATACAATTGCTGGTCTATAAACACCCTTTTGGTCACAAAATCCTATACAAATTGAAAATCATAATTTCAACTTTCAATTTCTCAATCAAAAAAATTACGAAAAATCTGAAATTTTCAGAAGTTATTATTATATAAATTAAAAATTTGTATTCCAAATTTCATTGAATTATATTCATAGATAAGAAAGTTATAAAGCTTAATTTTTGTTATTTTTGGTGAGGAAAGTGGCCCATATTAGGGGGTGGCCCAAAAGTAGGGTACTAGACTTAAACCTAATCCGCCGTCGGAAAACAAAGGCGATGAAAATTCTTGCTGATTTCACGCAGGCTTTACGACGGATAGGAAGATTCCAGCTGTTGAGTAATAGTATAATGCCAAACTGGAGAGGTTTTGGCTATTAGGAGACCAACCAATCTTACGGAATGAGTTGACTGTCAGCTTGAAAATCCTTGCTTCTCGCAAAGGACTACCTTTATTATCATGACGCTTAAATCTGTGGAAGACTCTTCCTCTTCAGTGTATGATGACCGGCCATTATGCAAGTACGTATATTGCTCAGTTATATTCTTCTCATCCAACACAGCAGAACTACAGGTAATATGAGCAGCGGTGGTGGCTCATCGAAAATGATGCAGGTTAATGTATAGAGCTAGGAAGACTTGACACCTGGACACTTCCGTTACGGCAAAAGTGTTCTATGATGATTGATGATTCATATCTACTTTATCGGTGGTGACGCCGCAAATTAGATGGATATGATAATTATGAAATATCCCACAAAAACACTGTCTCTTGAGTTTACAATTGGAGAGTTATAAGGAAAGCGGCTGACATCAATGAAGAAGCGTAACATACATATGTTGCGGGCATATGTTTCGGGAAAATGTTCACCAGTTCCATCGAGATAATAGCCTTCAGGTTTCTAAGATGAATAAGTGTTTCATTTTCAGGTCGTCGGAGGCAGGGTCGTCGCACGTGAGGGCTAGTTGCTCATTATGAAGTCTTCAATAACTTCTCCTTTTCAGTTTGTGGCTGTGTGACCAAGCAGTACGCATACCTTGGCGACCTGCTGGATGCGGAGAATCAATTGTCAATTCCTGCTTTGGCTTTTCCAATTTTCTTCCTTCCACTACGGAATTGGTAATGCTAAAAAAAAAAAAAAAAAGTTGACATTAACTCAATTAATGTTTTCTGCGCATTACATCTTTTCTCGAAATCCTCCATCTCCCGAGATCCGTTGCCTCGCATTACACGAGAGATTGAGCCAATTAACAATGCCAGCACAAATGAAGTCACTTAGTCGAATCACGATATAATCGAGCCTCCTTGTATCCTCTTCACCTCTTCACTGGGATGACCTCTTCTTTGTCTTTGATTCGCTGGTTCATTGCACCAAGAAGCAATCAGCATATTCTACTCTGGCAACTAGACAAACCCGAGCATAGTGCGTTTAAAGAGGTGAAACTGGAGCTGGGTTTCGAAGATATTGACGACATCAGAGATGGACCAATAGGTTGTTCGAGCTAATGGAGTTTTTGGGGGAATTATCATGGGGATAGGCAAGATCATTTAGGAATAGTACCTTGAGCTAAAGCCTGTGATTCCTTCCATGTGCTTAGCACTCACGGAGACAGGCATGCATATGGTAGACAAAGCCTCCAACGAAACTACTGCGGTTATCATTATCTATTTAAATGCTACTTTTTCTATTTAGAGATCAGTACGTTGTTTATTAAGCACCGCCTGCATTTCTCTGAGCTTTGGCTCCTTCCACTCGAAGTTTTGAAGGTTGAAAGTAGAACCTCGGTGTGCACTTCCTGTAACTCAAGTTTCACGAAAGGGAATGTTTTGTACGCCTGGGGGCAGCTACAATATGGTAAATCAACCTAAGGCTACTAGCACTATGCTACTGCTACAACACTTCATTGTGGGCATCCTTCCATGACACCTGCTCTGGATTTTGAGTTGGTAATTTTGCTGAAAAGTACACCAATGGCTGGCTTACCAAAAAAATACCATCATTAATGTCCTTAGTGGTCATCTCAAAGTGTAAATACCTGTTGAATTCGGAGATCTTTTGTTCAATGCGAGATACCTCATGATCCATTCTAACTTTATTTTTGTGAATTCTTATCACTCGCATCTCTGGTTCTGTCGCGGAACCAGAGCACTTTCGGTATAATTAAGCATTAAAAGTTTCAATTATCAATTGTTGTAGCTAAGCAGTTAAGCTGCAAATATATCTTCAATAAAGGAATGTACTAGAAATTGGGCCTTTAGAATTCATGATGCTTTGAAAGTGAAATATTGAAAGTAAATAAAGGAAAGAGCCTAGACTCGAGGGATTTTGCTCTCCGCATACATTATATTATCCAAACATATGCATGCATTACCAGAATCATAGGATTTCAATGCTGAATTTGCAACAGCCACTGTGTTTGCATGTCCTCCGTCCTTGAATGAAAGCAAACCAAAGAAAAGTTCTTCAACTACATATAGCCAAGTTCCAACTTCCATTTCTGTCTCCTTGTGATACCACTATATCTTTCTACATATTTTTTTACTTATTCTTTGTGAGCATGTCGGCTATTAACATAGCTCAGCTCAGGTTCTCGCTTGGAGTTCTGGATAGCGATTAGTGGATAAAATGAAGACTGAGATTTGCTCAACATACAACGTAGCTCAATTCAGGCTCACGCTTAGAGTTAACGTAGCTGAGTTCAGGCTCCGCTTCACGCTTGGAGTTGACATAACTCAACTCGGGTTCACGTTTGGAGTTGACATAGCTCAGCTCAGGTTCTCGCTTGGAGTTCTGGATAGCGATTAGTGGATAAAATGAAGACTGAGATTTGCTCAACATACAACGTAGCTCAATTCAGGCTGACGCTTAGAGTTAACGTAGCTGAGTTCAGGCTCCGCTTCACGCTTGGAGTTGACATAACTCAACTCGGGTTCACGTTTGGAGTTGACATAGCTCAGCTCAGGTTCTCGCTTAGAGTTCTGAAAACTTGTCAATAGACATACACTGTAGAATAGGACTTCCTAAACACACCACATAACTCAACTCTGGCTCCCGCTTGGAATTGACGTAGCTAAGCTCTGGTTCACGCTTAGAATTGACATAGCTCAATTCAGGCTCCCGCTTCGAATTCTATACTTTTGTAAGCTAAATGCTAGGCCATACCTGTATGAAACCTACCACGTAGCTCAATTCCGGTGCGCGGCTGTTCACATAAGACAGCTCTGGGTCACGTTTAGCCATAAACCAATCGAGCTGAGCATACTCGGCATCTAACAAACCTCGAGCTTTAACTTCTCCTTCTTAAAGTCAGTGATGATATTTTTGTTCTCAGAGAGAATGCAGACCTTGGACGGGGCTCATAGGAGCAGCATAAGCGAGACTGATGATGGCTGTAGCCAAAATTGCGGTCATTCGTGCCATTTTGAGGGAGGATTCTTTGGGAATATTGGGATCTTGTGGTTATTTGTTGTAGCTTGGCTTTATATGTTGAATTGAATGCTTAGTGAAAGGTGATGCCGGCTCTGTAGCTACGACCAGTTTATATAGATTATTCTTGACGTTCAAAGGAAATGAAAAAAGCATAGACTTGTTTGGTCTACCTGCAAAGCTGATGGGAAGATCCGAAGATAGTGCACAAGACCATTGTATAGAGTTACATGCCTCGAATAATTGTAACTTCCCGTTATCTTGTCGCCGACCTATTCTCTTCGTTCATACGAGATAAGATAATCCTGGCAAAGAAGGGTGTTGTAATACCTTTTTAGACATACATTTGTGTGCATGACTGACGTGATCTGTGACAGCGATTCGGTGAGTCTATAAGGTTATGAATTCGGCAACCGAATTCATACCCGAGATAGATTCGAGGGATCTGAAAGGCGTGAGAAATCGTTAATTAGACCCTAGTATCTTTGTAGAATAAATCGGCGAGTCAGATTGCGTCGAAAAAGACACATTCCAAATTAGAAAATTATGACACTACAGAAATCCCCGCTGCAAAGAAAACCTAATCGAAGTAAACATTCAAAAAAATGCCTCAGTGTACTTTTGATTTGCCACCAGTCAATGGTTTATGTTTGCTGATGACGGTCGGTGTAGATAATAGTATTATAAGTCACTTTAGACAACTGCATCTGCACATGTATGGGTCAATTGCGTTACATACCGAAAAGTAAGAACAGAGGGATGGGAAGATGTTGTGGAATCAAAGTGTGCGTGCGCAAACGAGAATTATGTGGGGAGCAAGCGGGGTAGTGATAGAATAGATCGGTAGATCGAAAAAAGGACGGAGTAAAGGGCTCTTCTTCATCACAATAGCAGGGCAAAGCTACAATGATCTAAGGTTCTAGTGTATTCATTAGGAAAAGTAATTTTGGCAGAAGTAATTTCTCATATGCATAGCTCTTACCGACTAAAATTACCTTACCGCAAGAGCCTTTACTAAAGCGTTTCAGGTATGTCCCGGAGAGGAGACAGGTTTTGCATGGTCCTCGTACCATTAGCTAGGTGTAGATCACAATGACTATGAGTTTACTCATACTACTACTGTAGAGTATCTTAACATACGTTTAGTTTATCTCCAATCCAATTCCGTGCGTACAACACGATACTCACAAACAATGATGCCACTTTTAGATGTCTATATGAGGTATGACTGACGTGAATTTTATACCTATCAAAGAGCTAATGGGGATAAAGATGCAAAAGTGTCTTAATTTACCCTTCTTTGCTGCTAACCTATCTACCAGTGCTAATTCCATATTCAAATCTGAGCCTGAAAAAGGTAAAGCCGTCCAAAACCCGCTTAAATTTGGACTCGGAACCCTGACCCACACTATACTAGATAACTTTTCCAAGCAATGATGTTACAATATACTATTAGATATCTGTGTAGTATCTTCTCCTCAAATCAAGGTCGGATTATTATGTGTACGACCGGACGAAAAAAATAAAGTTTGCCACGGAAACGGGAGAGTAACCCGAAACTACGATGCCGAGAATAAATTGTCGTCTTGCATGCATTCGTATGTTACTGCATGAGTTGACTTGCATATTCCTGCATAAACTGGTTCTAGATAATGGTACATTAGCAAGCTCATCTTGTCCTGGCTGAAAGAGAGTACAGCAGCATACTATTCCCATACCTAAACAATAGGTTACGGTTTGACTGCCGGGAAGTTATTGCAAGTTCGCGCAACAGACCGAACATTTTAAGTAACAACCCTAATTTAGCTAAAAAAGAGTAAATTAAAATCAACTAGCTATACATACTAGCGCCTAAAATATCAAAATATAATAATAATAATAATAATGATAATAATAATAATAATAACAATAATAATAATATTGAAAATATTATAATCATTTTCTAAAATAATTTAAAATATCTGATTTATTTTTCACAATATCCACTTAAAGGAGTATTGGTGTACTAATTTAAATGGAGTAAATATAGAGGTGATACAAGAATTTCCCATTTTATTAACTTCATCAGTTCAACGCTGTCCTAAGTACGGACAACCCGAGTACTGGTATCTGATTTATCTCATACCCTTAGCTGCACGACCTAGAAAAGACCTCATCTTCTGAAATTCGTCTGTAAAACAGCTACTCTGTCATTGCCCTTCTGTATCCGCATTTTTCTTCTCACTCCTTCCATCGTCAACATTTTCCACTACCAAAAATGGGGTTCAATCAAAGGATACTACAGATGTTCAACCACAATAAATCATTTACGTATGCAGAATTGAGCCCCTCACTTAATAATTCGGATGGTGAATATAAGGACGAGGATCGATTTCTCAACCGCTTCTCTGCTGGCGCCGACTCATTCGAACACAATGAAAAGGAACAGCCTAGCAGCTGCCACAAGAATCATTCATTTTTGAGGTGTTTGGGATGGCTGAATGGACTTTTCTTCTGTCTGTCACTTTACTTGTTCACAGCAGCTATGGTCAATTGGAAGCAAGCTCCAGGTGGAGGGGAGCGAAACTGGGCCCTGAAGCAAGTCTCGGAAAAATGTAAGTGCCAAATTATCCCCTCTACTGAAGATATATCTCACTGAGGATAATACAGCTCCTGTTCTGGATGCGATTGACATTCCACTTTCTACCTGGCGACTGAATGGCACCTTTTTGGAAAGGGAGGGCGAATCAATCTATCGTCAGCCTCCTTCTCCTGAAGTTGACGCAGCCTGGGCTCGTATTGAGACTCAAAATCCAATTCCTCTGTCAAGACAGGATCTCGTGAATCAAGGCAAAGATCCAGAAATGTACGCCAAGTTTCCAAAGTCATTCGGCTTCGGCCCAGACGCCTACATCGGAAGAATCGATGTCTTTCACCAAATTCATTGTCTCAACCGGCTGCGGATGCATCTGTGGTGGAATGTGGATTATTATTATCCAGATGAAGAGATGGGTAAATATCACCAGCTTCATGCTTCTCATTGCGTGTACGCCTTGCTTCAGAATCTTATGTGTCAGGGTAACGTCGATACCTACGGACACTATTGGGTTGATATGCAGGAGAATGCTGTTCCGGATTTCAATATCAATCACAAGTGCCGGGACTTTGAAGCCATACTTCAATATCATGATGAGATTGCAATACCGCTGGAGAAGTTTGGTGCTTTGAGGCGACCTGAAGGAGAACCGGTCAGGCATATGACGCATGAAGCGAAGGAGATCTTTCGCTGGTTTGATAATCACCCAGATAATGGACAAGATGGGACAGAGATTTTGTGATTGATTAAGCTTAACTAGCAGCCTAAAGATCAGAAGAATATATGAATTTTCTTTTAGTTGAATATCTGTAGATAGCATCAGCATATTTGAGTACTCAAGCTTTAATCACCGAATCTTAAAGTCATAAACTTGAATTGGTACATTCAAAATTTGGCTTTTCTTTCAAAATGACCTACTAAAGACTGTAATTTTATGGGTGATAAGAAGAGCAAAATTAATCTGCCTAGAAGTTTAAGATCACTTCGTTTGACGATACGAAGGTCATCAAAGGTATCTGTGAACAATATCAGGATTCTTCCCTCACCACTTGCAGCCTATGCAAGTGCAATATTACTGCTATTTTTTAAGCAAAAGATATGTGTTGATCACGATTAGCAAATTTGGCAGCATTTTAAAACCTATTAGTTATTCCAAAATGTAGTTGAATCTAAAAACCGTTCAAAGAGGGAATATCTGAGAACCGTAACAGGGATGGACAAAATGTTACTGAATTATCTGCTGGTAGTACGCCGACGGAGTGGAGATTATCATTAACTCAGTAAATGCTGAATTTCTTGCAACGTAAATAAGTCATATTTGGGCTGAACAGAACAAAGTGCTTCTCAGATTCATTGTTATCTAGCATACTATATCTTTCAATCTGCGTATTTCTAACATCCGCTAAAACTCGTTCTTACTTCCTCCTAATATAAATCCAGTAGTTGGTTCCTTTGTTTTCTTGTTCTCGAAACTCAGGTTACTGGAATAGCGCGATGACTGAACACACTAGTCCGACCAAGAGCTGCTCTCCAGACTGGTTTACTTTCACTAAGAAGCACTTTTTCCCGAAGAGCACTTGCGTTACGGCATTGATGCTCATGGCCCATCCCATCTATTCCATCCACCACTTTACCCATGGCGTTGGTCGTTGGTTTGGGAACCTCAAGAGTATCGTCGGCCGTACAAATGATTCCCTAATAAATAGTACAATTTCAGCATCATAATACTTTTGTCAACTAATTTGAGATCTAGACCACTTACCTGAGCGATATAATCCAGACAGTGGAGGAAATGAAGTGGATTTTTCGACCATTCGGCCCCTTGGACTTCATGATCATGATTCATATCTCCACCAAACAACATTGTCCTAATCATTCCCAGACAATGCAGCTGATGAAACATAGTCACGCCGTATCCTTTTACAACTCCATCTCCTTCGTCGACCATAATGAAGCCGCCATTTGGGGTAAGAAGATATTCATCCCAGTTCACATCCTCAGCATCGCCAATTGCAGCTTCAAGCGCTGGAATTGGTTGAAAAACCTTGGGATAAAGATCACTTGCTGGTAGGTTCTGGATTGTGGCTCCAGCAGTGTTGCCTTGAGCTTCGGGACAGATCTGATACACAACGAGCTTTTGTACTGGGGCGATGAATGGAAGTAATTCTTTGTGTGCTAGTAAAACAAAAGTCGATATAATTGCTGTGGATAGAAAGATCGTGTATAAAACGAAGCGAAGAGGATGTGAACCTGTGTCGGGTTTATATTTGTTTTCCATAGTGGCGGTGGTATGGCTGCGAACGTGTAAGATATGGTCAGAAAGCAAAAGATATAAGGTGGGAAGCGGTGGGAGCTATATTTCCCTAAGTACAAAAGGTGAGGAACGGGGCTTACATGTGATAGCCTTATACTATATTGGCCGATGGGAAACTATTTTTATGCTCAGATGAACATGTAGTGGTAAGCAAGTATCTAGGGCATAATGAAAGATACAGAATTCTTATAACTGGAGGAACCCAAGAGGCAGATTTATCGGCCTTGCCTTTGAATTCAATGATGAGGGTATAGGTCTTACGTTAGTCATTCGGAGCAGATATCTGAGACGGATCCTGATATCAAAGAATTTCCAGTGTGACATAAATAGCATGAGTATGCATCGGCTTTTGAGCGAAATTTTAGTATAATTTTCAGTCTATGATATTTTAGTATACTTATTAGTATTATTCTTCAAAAATAATTATAGTATTAAAACCAATTATTAGTTAATAAAGTTTATAAATAATTCTTATAACTTTGTTAGTGATTTAAGTCATGGTAAAAAAATCTTGACTTATTAAAATGAATATAAATCCAAGTAAATATACTAGAATTATAATAATATTTCTAATAGTTAATTATTAATCCCAATAATTTAATCTCTAGATCTCTACAATAAAGAATAAGAAATAAACTATGAAAAGCCTTATTTTCTAAATATAAATTAATCACTAAATCAACCTATGATTATATACTAACTACCCAAGGCTACTATATGACTAGAGAATCGACTACAATCTCGCAAATGTTATAATCAAATGATAAGAGAATTAAACACAAATTCGGAATCTACATCAATCGTTACTTTGCCGAAAAAACTCCTTCCGAAGTCTATCATTCTAAAAATTTAGCTACAGATGAAGTATAACCCAACGATAATTACATATCCTTGTTTCAGCTTATATCTAATCTCTAGCGTATGTCACGTCTGTACAATAAACGAGGCAACTACCGAGCCGAGCCCGGTGGCCCTTACTATTTTATTGGTAAATAAACTTCCCGTAACCTTAAAAAATCGGATCAGATAGTCGGGTTATGCATCGAGGACTCGAGACCAATAGTTTGGATCTGACGATAATATTAGCATTCCCGTCTTCGAATTCATAGTCTAACCTTTTATTTACACGTCATATAATTACTTCTGTATTATGTTCGACAACGTGAATGCTACAAGTGGGCATATAGATGGTGGGGGTTGCAGAAATATTAAGATACTCCGCACGACGATGAAGCTGAAGTTATGTCTGGTTCTCCGCAGGTGCGGTTATACTGATCATCAAGAATATGCAATATGATATTATTTCTGGGAGTCAAGTAATCTTGGGGATAAATCATATTTTCTGCAAGTGCTGTGGTACTAGAATTGATTCGAGCCGATAAGCTCTCCCTCTTGTATATTGTCAGGGTTAATTCAATCGCCAACATCCTTTGATATATCCAGGAATTTGAAGTCTTACCTCGTTATATTGCAATATTCCAAAGACATATACTTCTTATTCTTGGTATATTTGATAATCTTGAATCTTCAACCCCCAATTTTCAACATCCAACGTCCAACATCCAACCTTCAACATCCAATCTTCAAATCTTTCTCCTTTCTTTATCCGCACACGACCTACAAATAATGTCAGCTCCATACACCCCCAAAGCAATCCACTACGAAGAAGGTCTCGAGGACCAAGAATTCCAATCAGAGAAAGACGACAACGATGATAACTCCAAAACAGACGAAGAAGAATTATTTCTCCAGCGGCCAAATTTTCCCTCCCACCAAAAACAACACAGCAACAAGCAAAAAGTCTACTTGATAACTGCATTCGCTATCCTCATTTGCATTGTATCCATTACATTCGGAACATACTCCACCGTGCGTTTTCAAGCCTTGAAACATAAATGCCACGGCGCGGATTCCCAGCACAAATCACTGTCAGGTATAGAACAGCACTCTCATTCAAACCATGGAAACCACGAGCACGAACACAAGCACGAACATGAGCACGAGCATCAAGACTCCCCCACCCTATCTACCCACCCAAGCACCCCCAACCCCACAAACCCCTCCATCGACTGCGGCACCACCGAAAGCACCGCCAAAGCCGCAAACTGCACTTTCAACCTAATGTCCTTCTCCTACGTTCCCCCCTTCTGCACAGACACCACACTCCTCCCTCAATTCACCAATTCCCACGCTACGCTCCCCCCGGACTCAGCCGGTACATTCCCCTGGTACCGATGGTCCAACCGCACCGATCCCATACCGCAAGATGCCAACGAACTTAGTAAATACCCATTTATCTGGACGACGCACGAGTGGCACATCGCGCACTGTTTGTATAATTGGGCGTTGACTAGTGAGGCGGTGGGGAGGGTTCTGGCGGGTGAAAAGAATGTGTGGGTTTTGGGGGATGCGGTCGAGGGGGCGCATATTGCGCATTGTAATGGGTTGGTTTCTGATAGGGTTACTAGTGGGTTGACGCCGTTGAGGGCGTTTAGGGCGATTGGGAGGTGTGTTAGGTTAGATGTTGAGGGGGGTGAGGGTGTTGCTTTGGAGGGGGATTCTTTTGCGAGTTCTCGGGGCCATGTCCATGGGGATTGATGAGTTTGTGCTTGTAGTTTTTTGTTTGGTGTGGAAAGTCCGGGTATCAATGCATTGTGCATGTTAAGGTGTAGGGATATCTAATCTTGTTATTCAAATTGTTGGTATATTATATTATATAATTATAGGTCTGAATCCAAAACTACGTAATAGTCTCTAAGCAGATATTGAGCATATATAACGTTTACCCAATATTAGAGCCAAGTATTTGCACGGTATGTGTATCCCAGCTTAATTACTATTTTCTAAATGTGACATAAGCTCAAGACCCAACTGTGGGGTTCAAAATGAAAAGAGAACTCGCGATCTTGAAGAGATAGAAATTATACTTTCCCACTATTTCTTTTTCGCAGTAGAACTAACGGGTAAGAAATTCGATAGTTTGCAACCATGATTGAAAAGCTTAAATTTCACGCAAATGAGTTGAGAACTTGCCTTGAGTTAGCTAATATTCATATGTCTAAACTCTCCCAGCCCTTTACTTCTTGGCCTAGGCCGTAAACTTCGACATACAAGCTACATATATTCTTTCCGACAAGTCGAAGGAAATCTTAAATCACAAATCCATCCACCTAAACAGTGAAAGTGAAAAAACTATAGAATAGTACCGAGCCGATATAAAAGCAACTGATTTAGAAAATTTCACCCCAAAAAATACCATTCGAAAAACCAACAACACCAAATCACTCTCCATCACCAAACACCACACACATTTCAACCTCCTTCCACGCATCCCTCAAAAGACTATACGAAAACTCCGCCACAACACCACGCCCCAAAATCTCAATAACCTTCTCCTCCTCCCTAAACCCCAAACTCCTCAACGTAAAGCGCATCGGCGCATTCCCCCCCATCGTACCCGCCACAACGTCCAACCCAAAATCCAACGTCAACTGCGTCAAAACACTCACCGTTAATTTTCCCAATCCCTTCCCTCTCGCCTCCTTATTCAAAACCACCCCAATATTCGCAACTCCCTGCTCCACGACAAAAATATCCCCAAATCCGCTAACCTGTCCATTAACCTCTACTAGAACCTTGAGACAGTGAAAATCGCTATTGGATTTGATGTATTGATTGTACATATCGATTTTTAATTTGGAGATGGCGACGTCGTCCCAGATTTGGTCTTTGTTGTCTTGTAATTTGTTGTTGTTGGTGTTTGTGGCGATGGGGAGCCAGATGTCAAAGTGCGATGGGGTTGCGCGGAAGAATTTCACAGTAGGGTTGGAGGGAATGCTGATTGTCCATTCTTTGGAGAAGAATTGGGAGCGGTATTCTGAAGGTGTGAGGGATGCCATTGGAGTTGAATTGGTTGCTATAAATTGACTTAATGACTCAACTTTTACTATCTACCATCAAATGATGGCGTAATTCTGGACAAGTTATGTTATAGACTCACCTGGTGTATATATATATATCTGATGGATTTCTGAGATGTAGATAACTACTGTCCTCAAATAAAGTAAATCGACTGATTATTGGAACCGCAATAAATTAGATTGTTAAGAAGGAGGAATGAAACTTCAATTACTGTAAAAAGCTTGATGGTAACACAAAGTTGGTGTTTTCATTCTTGTAATCTTACCATGTGACTTCTTACCGTCCTTCCAAATTAAGCAGGAAAAGATATTTGGGATCAATGGTGAACATTCTGATTTGATATGCGATAGAGCTCTAAATCCAGCCGTCTTTTTCAATATCTTGGTCGATCTCTCCAAAATATATCAATAAAATAGACACGAAATAGCTAGACAATACTGTGTATTTTTGAATTTCTATGAATAGGTATAATACTTAAAAACACCATTTCTCTCTATTTATATGCTCTAGGTATATATTTCTTCACTCGTCTCACTACTCATCTCAACCATCTATCTCGTCGTTCATCCCAACCATCCATTCCATCCATCTTCTCCCTCCTCTACACACCCATTACTTTCCACCCGAAAAACTAACCACAGCCCATTTCCCACTCCATGCCCACCTCCTCTCCCCACTATCCCCGCCACCTCCCTCCATTCCCCTCAACTTCTCATCTATTCCCTCCTCCAATCCAACCACCACATCCGCCTTACAAGTTCTCAACGCCAATACATTAACACCAGACTCTGGTCCTAATGGTCCAATGGCTTTCGTAAATGGTGTTGAAGGATCCCATATAGCATCAGCCGTTAATTTTCGATAATTCAAATCCCCCTTGAAAATAACCAATTCGCTTTCCTTAAGATCTTCATATAATCTAGGTGCCGTACCAGGCAATCTCCAATAACTACCTCCTTCAGTCCAAAATCTATTAGCTCTTAATGTTAATTGACCTTCTGAATGAAATTCGCTCCAAGTGTTAAACAAGAAATCTAATTCTTCTTCTTCCTTTTTGGAAAGTGGTTCTGGTGTTTTTCCATCTCTCTGTTCATCTTCAGATGGTGTAGAATAAAAGGATTGAGCATTATTTAATGCATTTAATAAATCCGAAAAGTCTTTTGGTACAACGTCGGACACAAACCATGGAATGGCTTTAGCATGTAAGACGACATTTGTGGCAAGACCTGCGCTGAGTAAAAATCCGGCCAAGATTAAATCCACATAGAGTTCGAATCCAGCATTGTCAAGTACGATATCGACTTGACGATTTCTTCCTTCATTCTTAGCCGCCTTAAGAACATCATAAACTTTACCCAAATCATTGATGAGGATATTCTTTTCCGAATTCTTTCGTGCTTCAGAACCTTGTAATTTTTGAATATCTTCATAGGTAAGGGATGTTAAAAGTGAGAGATCGGTTGCATTTCCCCATAAGCAAATTTCGCACATTTCCATGAAGAGTATCTTTTCCGCCTCCTCATCTTGACTCTTGTCATTTGACATTTGGGTTATAAGTTCGTGATAGCGATTTGCGAGTTCGAGAACAGCGGGACGGGAGGAACGAAATGTTGACATCTTTTGACGAGCAAATACATCATGGGATTTCCATTCTTTGGATAAGGAAAAGGAGGTTGCTATGCGTCTGTAATATAACTGTTAGTTAAATCCGGAATAAGGATAATGTATCAAAGATGTACCTATAGAGATAACATTCTGCAAATAACCATGGAACATTAAACCATGATGGATAACCCAGTTGTTCCAATTCCTTATTATAACCCTCAATATCTGGTTGACCATCATCAAGAAGAGGACTAGAATCCAGGTCAGCGCAGGAACTCCCAAAAAAGTAGAATTCCATACGTTAACTTCCTATCATGTTGAAGCTCGTATTTTAGCTTCGCAAGAGTTTCGACTATACGTTTCCCTTCCTCATGTTTGCTACCTGTCGATTCAGATACTGCTCTGTGTACATCATCGATTGCACCAGTCTGTGAAATTATTAGCAAAAATTTAGGAATAATAATAATCAATCGATTGAAAAGACGCTCCGCTGGCCCTCCGGGGGCCACTGCCGTGGAGGCAGACTATGTGGATAGGAAAAGTTTCTAGCACAACCACCAAGGTGTGTCTTCCGATATAACCTTCTCCATTTTCCTCCACCGGTCCATTTGATGTTTGTCCGCATATCCCCATCCCCATCAACGCCCCCCCCTCCATCCTCCCATCCTCCCTCTCTCCACAAACAATCCCCGCCCTCCCCCTTCTTTCCCTCCCCATTCTTTCCCTCTCCAAAAACCCAAAAACCCAAAAAATAAAACCAACATACCAAAATAACAGGCCACCTATCCCTCGCAGAAACATACGCAAAAGACGACTTATCACTCGTAGAATAGAGAGCTATTTTCACCCACGAAAACAATTAGTCTTTCCATAGGTATCTAGGTATTTCTCTCTGGGTATATTACATCTCTTCTTCTCTTCTCTTGCCTCAACCTCGAGAGATGGGAAAGGAGAGATGAGAGATGATATGGTATGGTATGAGGGGGAGGGAGCTTGCAAATATGCATGAGAAGAGAAGAGAAGAGAAGAGTAAACTTACGAGTCTTGGTGTCGAATTCCATATTGTATTGTCTTGCTTATCTTAACGTAAATATAACGAATAACTTGTAAAATTAGGAATTAATCCGATCCTAATTCTCCAACAAAATTTGAGATGTGAGTGTTTATATGGGGGGCCGAGTGTGGGTAGTTTGCATTTATTTTGTTTTGTTTTGGTAAGAGCTTAGTAGGTTCAGGAGAGCTTGATGCATGGCGGGGTTGGTTCAATAGTGGTGGCTGGTGGTGGGGTATGAATGGACTTGGCGCACGTGATGTATTCATTGGATGGGGTTTGAGATGATAATTGCAAGGTTAGAAGATATTTCAACAAAAATAAATAAGCAAATAATAATTAAAGAATCCTTGATATAATCTCCTTATTTCATTTGATTTGATTTTATCTCTTATCTCATCTCTCGCTGAGGTGTGTATGTATGATATTCTCCTTCGTACAAAATGAAAAGATATTATGTAACTCGATCATTACACCTCCAATCCCATCTCATGGGCCATGAAACCCCATCCCATCGCATCCCATCCAATCCCTTCCATCCAGTTCCATTTGTCCTCCAAATAGGTATATCAAACACACAAATCATCATCCAATTCCCATCCATCCCATCCTATTCTCACCTCCTACACCATCCTGGACGCCCTAAACACCCCTCTAAACACCCACTTACAACGCCGCATTCCCATACAACCTATCCGCCTTCTCACAACTCAATCTCTTCAACAACTCCCCCACCTTCGGTAACTTAACCGGTTTCGTCAAAAAATCATCAAACCCACTCCTATCCGCCTCATCTCTCGCTTTCTGACTTCCCAAACCCGTCATTGCAACCACATACGCTCTATCCCTTTGTTTCACCTCATAAACCTTCCTCTCGCTTCCATCTTCTCTCCATTCACCCCAAGCCGCCAAATCATTTAACCCTACACAGATTTCCCTTTCCGCTTCCAAATCTCTAATCAATCTTGTGGCTTCGAATCCATCCATGTTAGGCATTGAGATATCCATAAATATAACATCAAAACCATGTTCCGATGCCTTGACAGCCGCCACTGCTTCTAAACCATCCCTCGCGTTGACTATGGTGTCTATTTTGCGTTTTTGGAGGTAACGGTGTATTAATTGAAGATTGAGTGCATTGTCGTCGACAGCCAGGATACGAAGCGGCGTGTTTTCTGGGGCGACTTTAGGGGCTTTAGGCGGCGGAGGTGAAATTGGAGGTCCTTGTTTCGAGGATATACGCTGAGGGATTGGGGGTCCAGGTACCGGCTCAGGTGGAGCAGTAGGAGGTGCTTGTAGTTGAAGTTGCTCGAGCCTTTTCAAGGACTCAGCAAATTCATCACGAATTTTTTGATTTGCTGAGCTGAGGGTTACTTCATGTGTTGCATTTGGTTCTGGCTCTTGTAGTGGCAAGAAACTGTATTCTCCCATTTCATTATCAAAACGCTCTCCTGGTGATCCAAGGGGTGTTTGTGTAGTGGCATCCCTGTGGCGTGGTTCGCTATTCGTCTGTTCAAGTAAAGCAAGAATTGATCGAGCGAGTCTGTAAGGTCCTATTGGTTGTGAAATATGGGCAATAAAATGCTGATTATCTTGCCTATTGATAATCGGATAACTCATTGCGGCATGAATCACTAATATTCTTTGACAAGGGGAGCATTCTGGAAATTTAGATGTCTCATTAATAAGAAGTAAATCTTCAGTCTGTGGACTTCCAGCAGATTTTCTTATATCGAACCCATACCACTCGGAGCAGTATTTTTGGATACAGTCCCAAGCATGATTCTGTGGGGATGTAAGCTGGCCACGATCGAAAGAGATTACTTTTCCAGCTGCTCTATCGCGAAGTGATCTCATGGCTTTTTCGGCGGCGATCCTGACATCGGTAGTATCAACAGTATCTCCACTCATTACATCGTCATACGAAGGAGGCTCTGCTTTTTCCACGGGTATGAGAACCTCGACATCAGTTCCTATGCCTAACTCACTATGTACTACAATAGTACCACCCAATTGTTTTACGATGCTCCAGCTGTACCGTTCCTTAGCTAAGTCGTGCAGAGTAGATGGAGAAACTTACACAATAGAAAGTCCCAAACCAACACCAGGAGTAAAACTATTCTCTTGAGCAAATGGATGGTAAAGTTTACGTTCCATGTATTCGGTCGACATTCCTCTGCCAGAATCTTTAATACGCAAGCACATGAAGTCTCCCGTATGGTGTGATGTTGAAGCCGGAATATCTGTAACAGTTGTCCGCTGCTGTAATTGTAATTGTACTTGAACATAACCCTTGTCTGTGTATTTTTGCGAATTACCAAAGACGTTCATTAAAATACGTTGTATCGCACCTTGAATTTATTAGTGGGATAAGACATGCATAAGTGTACCAAAACATACCAGCATGAACTTTGTAAGTCCAATCCCGCATTTCAAAATCTAAAATAATTTGCAATGGTGCTGCGCTTTCATTTGGCGAAATATTGTTTTTGTCGTTTGTTGAACCATTTGAAAGTGCCAAATTATACATTGGAGCAACACTTCTAAAGTGATTAGCAGCAATCATTCCATTAATTGTATCCTCGCATAACAAAGCTACATTAGTTACTTGATGAAGCTCGCTCGAGAAGGATCCTATGACAGTTAGAATTAAATAAAGGCCCAACCAGGTGACATGTGAGGCTGACCTTGCAAAGAACCTTCTTTCTTCTCGAAGGAATTGATTTTGCTGTAGTCTAGAACGTGATTGATTGTGTCCTATGACGTCAGCATATGACTTATGTAAAGGGACAATAAGATGGAGGACTGCGAGGGTAGTTATGGAATCATTGACATACCAAAAGAGTTCCACTGCAATTTTGAATTGTTGAGACGAATTCCATCTGTGAATTATCAAGATTAGATTCTCGTAGAAAGTCTGCAGACGCAAGTATTCCATGAAGTGGAGAACGGAATTCATCTAAGGACATGTCAGCAAACTCATGGAACAAAAGATAGGGTACTCACGAGAAATGCTGCTAATAAAGTCGGACTTCATCTTGTTGGAAATCAATGCATCCAATCGACTAATTTCCACCATGACCGAGCTTGTGAATGCAGACAGGTAAGATATCTCGTTATTTACTGTAAAAACAGGAACTGCCGATTGACTCCAAACAAATGTGGCTGAATACCATCTCTCTGTAGTAAATCAGTTAACCGAGAACAGAAGGGTTTTATGATAATGCAGGATGTGACCTACCTCCAGCAGAATCCCAAAGAGGAAGGAATATTATTTGTCTTGCTTTGTGGAATACCTTGGCAAGCATAATTGCTTCAGCTTCCTGCTTAGTAGCATCGAAATTATTAGATGTTCGAGGTTTTTCGGTTGGGCAATTACTGTTGGAAGGCACGTGTTTTCGGTCGTTAATTTGCTCTAAACTTGAGAAATAGCCATTATCGTCAATATACCTATGATAGGGATTAGCTAGATGAGCTTTAATTGTTGTGAATCTTGCCACTCTCCAAATTCTAACATACCAAACATTTCCTTTTGGGTAGGAATTAATCAATGATTGAATGGTTTTTCCATCCAAGACATGGGCTTCCGAGTCCCAAGTTGCAACTTTCGCTGCTGACATGGAAAGAATCTTTGCCGGTTTATGCTTATCTGTCGAAGTCCGTATTGTACCTTGAGATAACCTTCTTCGGTAATCTTCATAGTTTGGCCGTTCTCCATTAGGGACGGATGATTTCCTCGATTCAGCCTGCTTCACTTCCATACCTAAATCAGTGCTTGTATCCAAGTAAGCATCCATATTTCCCGCTGTACTATGACCAGTGGTCGTGTCTAAAAATACAACACCCCCGACGCTAAGTTCAAGAGATTCTCGAAGAATCTCAGCAGCGTGGTCTAAAGTTATCCGTATCTGATCGAGTACAGATTCCGAAGACTGGTGTGGTTGATTTGACATGTTAGAATGTCCACTTTGCCAATCATCTCGTCGGGTATCAGTCTCGTCGGGGATGAATTTGTTAGTCACATCGTCAACTACTTCCTTTGAGCTGTATGGATCATCAAAACCACTGCTGGTATAACGAGAAGTTCTTTCTAGAAAGGTAGCAATTCCTTTTGACATGAGCGCAACTCGGTGTCTTTCGATAGCCTCACGTTGCGTTTCCATGTATTTCATGATATTGTTTGCTTGATGATATAGGACTAATAGTTAGATTAGCATTGGTGACGGATTGTGTTCCAAGTAGCCGGAACGTACATTTTCTCCTCTCCAAATTCAACCCGGTGATGGGACGATCGCCGAAGACACATAAAACACCAATGTTTATACCATTTTTGGTAGTAATTGGAGCTCCAGCATACCACACATATGAAGCTAAAGATCCATCTACTATTGATAGATTGGCAAACCTTGGATCCTTGGTCAGATCATCGATAATGAAACAAGGATAGGGATCCTCTTCAGCATTACTAATGGCCAAGGTGTTCTAAAATACAAGTCAACATCGATCTAGGGGTCGCGGTGAATCGTGGTGAGTTTTCCTAACCTCACAAAGCCCACCTGGCGTTGGCACTTGAAAACAACCGAACCATGCATCATTAACAATATCATCATCAGGTGAGGATTTATCGCGTCGTGCTCCTGCAATAAAGTATTGGGTAGAGCCATCGATGATACTACTGAATGTTAGATTCATGGAAATCCATCTCACCAGTTGGAGTCCTCACATACCTGATCATAGAATGAACACCCCCTAACCGCCATATAGCAACCTCGGCATAAGAATCGAGTGCTCCATCAGAGTTGAGGCGACCATTTAACGTGTCCTCAGAAGAGTGTGGATTTATATCTGCTTGATAAGGGTCATAGAATCTAAGGAAGAGGAGTAAATTTATCAGTAAGGTCACGAGTGTTTGCTTTCATGCTGCACGTGAAAGATGGCCGAACAAGGAGATATCAGATAAGGGAAAAGAATGATGTGAAACTTTTAGACTTACTTTCTTAGTTCAAGAGCACGCTGCGAAGCATACATATCTTTTTCCTTCTGTGTTAATGGGAATTTCTGGACTTTCCCATCAGGTCCAACAAATGCACTATTAACGTTATTGGGACAAACATTCATGGGTTCCATGATGATAACCGGATAAGTATTAGTGTGAAAGGATAAGGTTCTATCAGACTTTTCATTCCTGAGCAAACACCCTACTTCCAACGTTCACCAGCCCAGTATAATGAAAGTCTAACAACGGAATCACAGGAGCCAAAGGGGTATCTGGAGAAGCAGCTGAAATAACAAATATATTAATAATAGTTGTATAGAGTAAAATTAAGGAAAAAAAAAAAATTAAGGTTTTAGTAAACAACCCTTGGAAACCTTAAGAAATCGCGGTTACGATGTTAAGGCGATTCAGTCGATTTCAGTCGATTTCAGTCGATTCAGTTCATTTTGTGGCTGCTGCTTTGCTCTTTCCCTGAAGTTTGAACACATAAATAGCCCAAGACTACCTAGGTACAACAGAACACTTAAATTAAAATTTCAGCTTTTGTTCAACGGCTCAGGCCGACGTCATTAGCGTGCTGGGCTGGCTATATTAGCGAGCGGAAATTTCTTATTCTTGTAGAGATCTTACGAAATAGTGTATAACGTTCTAGGTAGTCTTACCAGGTAATATAAGCTCTCCTTATATACTCCGGTAAATTGACGAGGGTCTGATAAGGTCACTCTATGAATTTATCTACGATTCTCGAATCACCTACACGTTGAATTGGTGAAAACATTTCGATTTCAGATGTATTCTAATTGACTCTAATTCATTCTCCGGAACAGGGGCGGCTAATCAAAGGCCTCTCTAGCTTCGGCCAATAGTTAGCACTAAATGCGGAGCGGTCCATGAGAATGGCTAGACTTCGGCATCTATGATAAAGCTGTATTACTGATCGTAAAGAGCACACGGCCTACGAGGTACCTAGATAGCAGTCAACAATTTGGTATCAAGAATCTAGTTGAACAATATAACATATTTTCACTATATCACCGGTAAAGCAATTAAGAGTATCCTTCACGCCAAAGTGCCAGAATATTAAAAGGGTCATGCATCAGTCATCTATTTCGGTTCAGTTCCCTATATCTCAGTATGTCACTGCATTATACCAACTCGACTTGATTTCATCTCTCACTTCTCACATCGTGCGTGTCCTTGTCATTCAAAGCCGCAATCAACCATCACATCTAATGCTATCAACCATATATAATGCATTCCGTCGTCCTTTCTAGAAGATTCCCCAGTCCTTCCCCATTCATGATTCAAAGCAAGATTCCATACATCATTTCTCCAAAACTCCAATGATCTAGCGCCAAATTTGGTGTTGGTGAGACGACATAGCATACTGACAATAAGTTAACCATAGAACACTTGCCCCATAAACTTTGGAAATGTAGGACGCTTGTCCTTGTAGCAAATCACCCATATAGTACCCACTGCATGGCAATTGTGTCACGAACGATTTGCCTTTGCCCATAGAAATGGAGAAGTTATAGCCATGCATGAAGTGTGCGCATTTCCCGTTGGAAATGGGGTGATCAGCCCCAAGGATAAAATTTAACCCATATGTACATCGACCCTCCAACCATCCATTCTTCAATGATGTCCCGCGCCATGAGCTCCCTCTGAATGATGATCGTCTGGAATGAAGAAGTATTCGTATCCGCAGTATACTGTAAATGCTACCGTCGCAATGCCCAATCCGGGGAAGGAGTTTGAAAATCGATTCCGTCTCGAGTACTGTCCTTGATATCTCCAAGCCTCACTAATCGGACAAATCAGTACGGTGCATCTACATGTTCCATCTGTGCGGTTCTGATCTCACCGTCTCGCCCATGGGTCTCCTGCATTTTTGCCAGATGCGGCGGCTAATGCCTTTGGGTCGAAACCAGTGAGGTTTGCACGTTGTGCAGCTCTGAGTATTCTATTTGAAAAGGTCAGTCATTGATAATCAAGCCATCCGTATCCTGTATCGGTTTATTTACATACCTTGTGCACTGCATGGTGAGAAATTAATCCTTCACTTGTGCTTTATGTGGAGGTATCCCCAATTACTGAGGTCGAGCTTCATCAATGGCGGGTACTGCCGAAGCGGCTAAATTAAGCGCCGGCCGCAGCAAATGTTCATGCTCATTCAAAGCTGCCAGCTTGAAGTAAAGAAACACAAGGCTTGGAGTTGAGACATTTTGCATCTGAAAACAAATAACAATTTAAAAACTGATAATTATCTGGTTTCCTTGTTCAAGACTGTATTTGCCTTCGACTACGAATAGAAAGACCTCTCCCTTGCGCAATTTGCGTCCATGAAAACCATCAATCCACCTTCAATATCCTACATACATACTCGACGGAAACAAAATGCCTCCACGAATGCAAGGCTATGGGGGTGCCCCGAATAGCATGGCATCTCATTATCAACAATATCCACCACATACACAACCACATACTGCAGGACTTCCTCCGCCAGGCTCGATCGGAAATCAATTTATGAGTGCCAACTCCATGAGCAATGCTTTTGCGAATGGAGCTAATATGGGTATACCGGGAGGATTTTCTGCACCTGGTCTCCCTCTGCAAGGTGGTGGGTTAGCAAGTCAAGCTGCACAAATGAGTTTTGCTGCGGCACCTTTACAACAACAAGGGCACAACGGAATGGCAGATTCAGGGACGCGGGGTATGCGTGACAAGGGTAGAATACGAGATGTATGGAAGGGGAACCTACACGAGGAGATGGCGATTCTGCGGCAGTTGGTGGATAAATACCCTTATATTTCTATGGTGAGCTATCTTGTTGGCGATGGTTGAGGCCAGAGTTAACATTGCTAGGACGCGAAATTTCCTGGGATCGTTGCTCGACCTATGGGATCTTTTAACGGCAGGGGAGATTATCACTATCAATGCTTACGATGCAACGTAGATCTATTGAAACTTATACAGCTGGGCATAACGTTATTTTCGGAAGATGGAGAATCATTACCTGCGACGCCTCACTCCGACTCAGGCTTAGATCGAAACTCAGCAGGACGAAGAATTGGCAACGGCGTAGTACAGGTGCCTTGTACATGGCAGTTCAACTTTAAGTTTTCTCTTTCGGACGATATGTACGCAGAAAAGGGTATCGACGAAAGGAAGGCTGCCGGTACGGATTTCAGCAGATTAAAGGAAGAAGGCATCGATCCATTTGAGTTTGGCGCGGTGCTCATTAGTTCTGGGCTTGTATGTGATGAGGAGAAACGTTGGATCTCAGGGCACGCCGGCTACGATTTTGGATATCTTACAAAAATCATGCTTCAAAGGGCATTACCGGATGACGAACGGGAGTTCGATATGCTTATGAAAAAGTTCTTTCCAAGTGTATATGATATCAAGTATCTCATGCAACAAGGAACCATTATGAGCAAATTAGGCCAACTTTCGCACGTCGATGCCGTCACCGCAGAACTTCTCCAACGTAACGAGCGACACCCTAACCTCGAAGCCATGATCGACGTCCTCAAAGTAAAACGCTTAGGTGCAATTCACCAGGCTGGCTCCGACTCCCTCGTCAACGGTCGGGTCTTCTTCAAACTCCGCGAACGTCTTTTTGACGGTGAAATCGGAGACGAGCACCTTGGTCGTGTCTTTGGTATCAACCTACAAGAAGCAAACACGGCGGCTACCACGCAACAAACTACACCGCAACATTATAATCAATACCAAGAAAATACAACCCCGAATCAAAATGGTTCAGGCTCATCTTTTGCCAATGGTGCACCCAGTACCCCAAATAACGGAAACGCTAATTTAGCAACCACGCCTGCGCATAATAATAATGGAGGAAATGGTCTAGGTCCACTAACACCGAGTAATGGCGGTGGTTCCTTTGGCCATTTCCAATATGCAAATAAACAGTAAATAGGATTTTGCCATCAGTCAGAACAGCACTCGGTATTGTTTAGCTACGCTATAGGCTGGGAGGAAGAATTTTTAAAAATAAATTACCATTCCTTGGTTTTTTCGTCGGTCATTGGCATCTGGAGGGTCTGAATGGAGTTTCAAGGGAGGGGCGCTTTGGCTGAATTGAATCGCGAATCGAATTGAATTGAATTGTGCGTGTAATTTACTTGACGCAGTTGCAAGGGATCCTGATCGTTACCTCTGAGTCTTGACTCTTGACTCTTGCCATGGAAATAAATTATTTGTACACTGGTGAACTGGTCTTGGTCTTGGTGAATCATGATTCAGGAGGGTGAATGAACCGGATGTTTGGTTGTTTGATGATGATGGGGATGGGAGATTTGTACATTATGAATTCTGAGGGTGTTTTTTGCCTGATGCGTTATTGATTGTTGGGTCTGATCTGATGTGATATGATGTGTATGCTTGATGTGGTTTGCTTGGGTATTAATTCTTTTGTGCTTGGGGTTTTTTGTACAACAATGTAGTGTACGTTCGTACAACATGCATTTCCTAACCACATCCAGAGCAACTTTCAACTTCTCAAGAGCCTACATCCTATTCCCTCTTCCCCTCCCCCTGCCGCCTCTCTTTCCATTCCTACCCATCCTCCCTCCACCCCGCTTACTACCCTCAATCCCCACCACATCACTCTTACTCAAACTCAACGTCGCACCTCTCATTCTTCCCACCCCTGGTCCCCCATCAAAAGTCCCTCCAACACCACTCCTCTCCTTTCTTCTTTCCCTCCCACCACTCCCCCCTCCCCTCCCACCTTTCGTCTCAAGCACGACTCCATTCTCCTTCGCCTCTCTCCTCCTCCTCTCCTCTTTCTCCTCCGCCTTCTTCACTATCCCCTTCCGCATCGCCATCGGCATACTTTCCTGTTTATGTATACTAGTCTTCCCACCTAACGCTTGCACACGTAAATCCAACGCTTTTAAACGATTTTTCCCCTGTAACGTATGGCTTAAATGGGAATTAGCAGATGAGGAAGAGGAGGAGGAAGTTAGGAGGTGCGATTCATCGAGGAGTCGTTGGAGCGCTAGATCATTTTTCAGATTCAGCGCTTCGGTTGCGCCGGGATCGTCTGCGGAGCCCGGAATTGGTTCTTGGAGTTTGGAGAGGGAGGGTGTGGGGAGCGATTTGGGGATTTTAGAAGACTGTGTGGAGGAGAAGTTAGTTCTTGGAGATGTTTGGTAGATACTAGAGGGTAAGTTGGATGTATATACATACCATGAATGCCCTTAATTCCGCTTTACTCATCCCTGCGATCCGTGAATCGACTTTCTTTACGTGTTCAACTATTTGCACCCCATTTTCCTCTTCTTCGTCGTCCTCTGAGGAATTCCCCGATAAGCCTTCCCAATCGTCTACCTCCTCATTTTCTGCATCATCGATTGTTTTACTAGCTTTAGATTTTTGGATTGTAGGAGAAAGTGGTTTAAACTGTGCTTCGAAGTGACGACGGAATATTTCTTGGGGTTCGAGGGGTTCTGTATCGTCTTCATCATCATCGTCATCTGGAGAGCTATCGGAAGCTTCTTCTTCTGATAGAGGTTCAGGTATAGGTTCTGGTATTATGGGCGTAGTTTTAGATACTTTTAAAAGTTTCGAGCTGATTAGAGTAGTAGCCGATGTGCGCTTTCGTTTTCCGAGGGAGGCCGGCATATTGAAGGTTGTTTGTATGTGATTTGGTGGTTTTCGCAAAGTAGAGAGTTGAAGTTTCCACAGAATATAAATGTTCTGGATGGGAAAAAATTAAGGTGGAATGCCGAGGTTCTGCCGGGTGGTGGATAGGAAATCCCTCTTTTGGGTGAAGAAGGAAAGACGATTTTAGTTACACGGCAGAAGGTCAACAACGCATTTCGCCCCATTATTTTGATTCTTTCTTCTCTTTCCTTTGAAGTTACTTGACATAGAGTTTTGTTCGTGGACATCTTCCCAGCACAAACTTTGGTGTCGAGAAATTCCTCATAATGACGAAATTCCGACCCTGTATAGACCTGCATTCCGGTCAGGTGAAGCAGATTGTAGGTGGTACATTGACAACTGCTTCCTCTGATTTGAAAACCAACTATGTCTCGAAATTACCAGCTGGTCATTTCGCAAAACTCTACAAGGAGAATGGTCTTACCGGTGCTCATGTCATTATGCTTGGACCTGGAAATGAAGAGGCAGCTAAAGAAGCCGTAGGAGAGTGGAAAAATGGTCTTCAGGTCGGAGGTGGTATTACGAATGAAAATGCTAAGCAATGGATTGATTGGGGTGCTGAGAGGGTATGTTTCTTTCGTGTTACTGGTGGGTAAAGGATCGATGTTGATTGGAATAGTAGGTCATTATTACTTCTTTTCTATTTCCCAATGGGAAGTTCTCCCAAGAACGATTGGATTCCGTATTGGAAGCTCTTGGTGGTGATAAAGAAAAACTTGTCATTGATCTGAGTTGTCGAAGGAGAGATGATACTTGGTTTGTGGCTATGAACAAATGGCAGACCATCACAGATATGGAGGTAAATGCGGGTAAGCATTTCATATTTTCCTCTAATCTACCAATGAAAACTTATACATGTTCCAGCATCTATCAAATCCTTAGAGCCATATTGCTCTGAATTCTTAATTCATGCAGCGGATAACGAAGGCTTGCAAAAGGGTATCGATGAACAACTTGTCGAGAAATTGGCACAATGGTGTAGTATTCCAGTCACTTATGCTGGTGGCGGGAGAAACCTTCAAGATCTTGATTATGTCAAGAAACTGAGTGGTGGAAAAGTTGACCTTACGATTGGAAGTGCTCTAGATGTTTTCGGAGGTTCTGGAGTCACATTTGATGAATGTGTACAATGGAACCAGAGGCAAGTTGCTTCTTCATAAAATGCATAAATGCAAAATGGGGCGTCCCAGTATCTCGTTACCACTGTACCCCGAGTGCAACCTGGATACCGGTACCATGTATCAATCATCTTTCTTGTTGTGTCGTCTTTGGCTCATCACTCCCAGGAGCTTTGTGATCTATCAAGCTTTCGTGATCATTACCTCTTCTGACCCTGTGCATTGCATTCATTATCTTTCTCTTGATTTATCTGCATAAACGAGGAAAAATTGTTTCGCCTATCCGATTTAATCTATTCAAATGCATTTCTTGCGTTGGGTCCATAGGTTCATTCGTAAAACTTTCCTGCTGCATGAGGTTGTGGGGAATCATGATACAATTCTCAAATATCATTTGATGGCCTTAAGAATGAGCATCGGACAAATTGGTGTTTAGCCGACCATTAGCATTCCCGCCTTATCAGGTTCTTCCGTAGGATACCTGGCTCTCCCACCTTTTATCTCCCAACCCTCTTCCTCCAACTTCCCGGCTTCGTCTTTCGTCGAATCGCCAGTCGAATGAATAGCCAAGTTCTAAAATTCACAAATTTAGATGTGAAAAAATGAGGCTCGACGAGTCTATGGCCAGCCCGATTCAGGTCGAGGCTAGGGAAGAATGCATTGGCACCTTTGCTACCTTCTGATATGCATCATTGGCGTATGCCCCAAGATCTGTTGGCCCTATGGTTGCGAAGGAATCTGGTCGATCATATCCACCGCCTCATTTTTAACTAAGAATGGGCTGAAACACGTGGCATCAGCACATTAGGTAGATGAACATTTGAAACTTTACCTAGAGGAGTGAAGTGTTTTTTTATCGCCCAATACTCCCCCGGATTGTTTGTTGCTTCGCTGTCGGGACGCTTGGTAACCAAGTTTCCCTGTTATGACTGTATGACTGTATGACTGTACCTTTTCGTACCTGCATTATTTTTTATACATCTACTTTGCATTCCGCCGTTTTATTTATTCTTTCTCTTCACATCCCAACCCAATTCATCATTCTGCGATTCACTTCGTAGATAAATTATCTTCCAAATTTTCAAGTCATTTAGTTGCTTCTTGAATTTTTCTTTCTTTTCTCTACATCATTTTCTCCACACATAAATTTTTGCTATTGCTTTCTCTATTTGTTTCCACCTCGTACAACACCAAGCCAATCTGTGGAGTACTGTTGTTGATCCTACTTGCATCTTTTTTTTTTTTCATTTGACCACCATTCTTTCAACTTTCATAAAAAAAAATTACAACTCCACTCTTTTCGAAAATCATACAACCCACAATGTCGGAATCCGGTTATTTCAACGTGGAGCAACCCACTTCCTCGGGTCCTGCATATGACCTAATGGAAGACTCTGGTGTTGCCTTTGAAGATGAAGATAACTTTCCAGATGAAACTCCAGGAGAGCGCCTCGGAGCTATCTTCGAAGATGAGGAAAGCAACCCCGATGAAGAAAACTTTCAAGACGAAACCAGAGTCGGCTTTGAAGAGGAAGAGGAAGAGGACACTCCAGAAGAAACTCCAGAAGACCGTCTCGCAGTCAAAAAAATGAGTCTCAAAAAATGTGCTGAAGATATGGTTTCCGAGCATTCGGAAGCTGTTGCCCTTGCTGCATTGGCAAAGAAAATAGAATCAGGACTGAAAGAAGTTAACACCAAATTATTGGAGAAGAATGAAATTGTCCAATACTTCATCAAGAGGAATGGGGAATTAGCAACTGAGATTCGTGAGGAAGAGACAAACATCAAGTTCTTTAACTTAGAATCATCTTTGAGTATGAAGACATTGGAATGCGAGCAATTGCTTGAGGAAAACCAAAAGCTTTTGGAGAAAATCAGACTTTACGAAGAATCCGTGAACGATAAAGGAAAGATCGATGTGGGCGCCTTACTAGTCGAGAACTCTGACTTGAAACGCAAGCTCGAAACGTCATCTCTTCACCCAGATTTCGACTATGGTGCACCTCCACACGAAGAACTTCAAAGTGAGGCTACATTCGTCAATCCCGAGCAACAACTTTCGGAGTGGAAAGAAAACCCCAAGTTCCAAGAATTCATTGCGGAATCTGTTCGCTCCGCCCTCAGCGAACAACGAAAATCAATGAAACATCTTTTCTTCGTCGGTCAACGCGTCCGCAATCGATTCCTAGAAAGAAACTCTGCATACGATCCTAAAGTTAAGGAACGCAACGCCATTTACGAACTAGGAAATTCAAGTGTCTTTAATGGTCGTCCTATCACCGATGCTACTCTCTTCACCGACGTCCCGGGTGTCGTGTTCGAGAAACGCACGGATGAGAAAACTTTCAAGGAGTTATACTGGGCAAGCTGGCAAACCGTGCTCCGTCTCCAAGACTGCGCCGAATTCATTGAAATGCTCCGCTGGCATTCTTCGGTCAAAGCTTGGCGCAGACAAGACTACATGAAAACGGAATTTTTCAAAACCTGGACCAAAAACATCGACACGAGATTCGAAGACATGGATCTCGCCGCCGTGCGCGAATATTGCACAAATATTACCCGCAAGAAGCTGAAGGCATGTTATCTAGATGAGAAGAAAAGAAACATGAAGATTAGACGAAGCGTCGGATTGGGATCAGGCAATGGTAAGTCTGATTATCTTCCTTGTGCTTGTGAACGTGGGGGACAGGTTCAGGTTCCGCATAGAAATATTGTTGCGAAGTCGAAGTCCACACGGGTGTCGAGGTTGCCGTTTGGCAGGCGAGATACTGTATCGTAAACATTTTTTATATCAATTATCAAACATCTTACCATATATTGTTTACTGAATTGCGAAAAGACTCGGGTATGTTTTTTGACATTGATGTGGGCATGTGGGGAGGCGGTGTGATGAAGGGTGTGATGAGGTGGACGATGTTGGCCTTGATTGTCCTATGTCAATTCATGCTCTGGATGGTGTGGCGGGTCGAGCAAAATGATTGGTTGAGTTCAGGTTTGGAAGACGTGCTATATGCCGATGTTGAGATTGATCTCGGATGGTGCGGCTTAGGAACCTTTGAGCTGGAGATGGAAGATATACTGGTTTGTGTTCGAACGGGATTGATGCTGGGTTGGTTGGTGGGTGAGTGTGCAGTACTTACGGCACATCGCCGAGGCTGGAATTGGAATTGGGATTGGAATTCTTCACGCATTGAGCATTCCTTGCGCAGTTTGTGCTTTTGGAAATAGAAGCAGAGGGAATTTGTTTGGGGATGTGACGAGGGATAGTTCGCTGGCTTGAAAGCATGAAAACATCAATTTGGAACAGGGAAATTTTGGAACACGGAAATGGGAATTTGAATAAGTATGGATATGGATATGGATGGATTTATGACGCTTATGATAACGAAATTTTATACACCAAACACGAAATACGGAACATGAAATACGAAATATATATTAGATGGGACGGACGAAACAAATATACCAGCACAACACTTGCACACGAATTTCCTTTACAAAAAAACAGAAAAATACCCAATGGCTTAGGAGTTTTTAACTTTACTGTTTATATAGTTTTATTATTGACGATTTGAGGTTTGAGTCTCGGAGCTCAGGATGGAGAAAGATTGACAAAAAAATTCGAATATTTCTTGAGGAGGGGGGAGATGAGAGGAGAGGACAGGAGAGAAGAAGGGATTGGGGAATAATTTGGAAATAAAATTGAAAATGAAAATGTGGTTAGGGGGTGATGTTGAAGTTTATGTGTGCTCTTTTTTTGTGATGAGGCGTGAGATTGTGATGAGTGAGTTTGAGATTGAGAGTGGAAGTAGAAGTGGCGATGATTGAGGGTGTGTGAGTTCAAGTCGAGCAGAAGATATATCCTTAGTGTTGGCTCATGCCCTTTGATGTGAGAGGCTTAAGGCGTGATATGTGATGGATTTTTTTGAGCTAATATTCGTAGGGTGGATGGGAACAAGGAGAATAGAAGGTGCTTTGAAGGGTGATAGGAGGATGGTATGTTGCAAGGATGAAAGGACGGTAGAGGTGTGTCTGCTAACAATAATATCCTATGAAGGCTAGGTAGGTACACGAAGTCTCTTGTTGAATTATATTCGGTGTTCTGGTTAAGTAACCGCTGCTTATCATTAACCGTATGAGAGGTGAATAGTAGATCTTTTATATAACTGCAGAGTCAATTCTATTGGCCACTTCCTTAATTCTCAAAAGACCTAGAGGGGTTATTCGGTCATTGTCACGGTCGTTACCGAGACTTTGTCAATGCTTCAATTTCCTTTTCTTTTCACACCTGACTTCGCAAGATGACAGACAGCCCGCACTCACAACTTTCAGAATTCACTCCAGCAAGTAGGGATAGGCGCTTTATGTAAAGTAGAGCTAGATTAAAATAAAGTATAATAACAGTATAGCTTCATTATTATATGCTTTATTTTCTAAGGGCATTAGTTATCATGAATAATTAATCAATATATTTGGTAATTTAATAATTTAATATTCACTTTAAAAAAAACTTCCTTCTCGATTTTCTAATCATATGTTTCGATTCATTCATTCTTTTTCCTTACAAAAAAAGATAATAAAAAACTATATTATAATAAAGGAAGTTAGATTATTATTAAAGCGAAATGAATTGGATTATTATGCTTTAGGTAATTACAAATTTCATATCCCTACCAGCAAGTGAATATCAATGTTTTATTTAGCTTAGCATATTTTAAATCGAGAATTGATGGTAGCCTTGTGAGAATATTTGATTCCCGCTTTCGATATCTTTCTTGTATTTGATCCCATCACAACACAAATACAGCCCGCGCTTTGGGAAGCACGACATACCAAACCTATCATGTCGGCATCAATGTGCACCACAAACTTAACTCACGAATCCGAAACTATCTCCAAAATTGAAGGCAACCTACTCTCAAAGGAAGTCGAACTTTACATGCTAGAAATAGTAGTCAGTATCGAAGAAAAGACCGTCCTAAATCTCTTCCATGAAGCCAAGCGCAAGAGATTGGAAGCAAAAGAATTCGGCAGTCAATGGACGGAAAAATCAGGTGCTTTGTTGTCGAAGAAAAATCAACATGAATTAATTGTCGAGAATATCCGTATGCATACTGCGTACCTGGAAAAGATTCGTGGTGTTGAGGCAGGGAATAAAGAGGGATACACATTTGAAGAGCATCTGAAAAGGGAGAACAAGGAATTGGAGAACAAAGTGGAAAGTCTTCAGCAAGCTCTGAAAGCTGCAAAAGCTTCTATGGAAGAGGAAATCAGTCGGTTGAAGGCTGACTTTGATGCACTTGTGATTACAAACCGCCACACAAGTGCTTCATTGAACCAGGAGATTGAAGGATTGAAGGGGGACAAAGAATTCCTTACGATTACGAATAGCGATACAAAAATTTCTATGGGAAATGTTATTGACGAATTGAAGGTTGAAGTTGCTTCACTCACGGCTATCAATCATGGTCTGACATCGACCACGGAGAAACATGGTCAGTTGGAGGAGAGTAGGAGGAAAGATTTCGGCCACAAAGTTGCACAGCTTGACATGAATAGTCAAGGTGCGAGGGCGAGCTTTCTTGAAAGTGCTAAGGATAGCTATACTAATAAATCGCGAAGGAGATTGGATTCGGGACGTCGACCTTCTAACAATGTTTCAACCACGTGTGATGGGGTTCGTAGACCATCGGCTAGGACCACTAGCAACTATAGAGTGGGAGGCAACCCTAAAGTGGGCGATGACTGCCTGGTGCCAGCTCTGTACAAATCGGTAAAATCTGATTTATATGATCGTGATGTTCGGGCTCCACAGGCAGTAGCAGACAGCCATCAAGGTCGGGGTGCACAATCAAATGTCCAGGGGTGGTGGTAAAACAATCTGTGTGATAATTTCGCTTGTATTTATTTGGAATGGGTCTATATTTTAGCATCAAGATAGTAAATGTAAAACAAACAGACATATCATCTTACAAGCTATGAATATTGCGTGGGCCTACCACAGAACTTCAACCCCATATATGATTGCTTTGTGACATTGATTGTATTCACTGACAACAACTGGATGCTTGTAACCCATATAGTTTGTGCAAACTACCTCATAATATATCTTCCTATTTATAGCATCATCTCCTCCTCCCTCTATGCAACTCGCAATTCATATCCCGCAAGATAGTCCCAGAGTTGTTTAGTACAACTCTCAGCGGTGATATATCAATAAGTAGGCTACATATAAATAATCTGCAGCGTGTATAAATAATCTATTTAACAGATTAATTGCCCATGAAAGATATATTCTACCCCGCAGATTTATCCATTAAGAATTTAAATAGTCTGTTTTAGATTATGTGTAGATTAATTATTTACAAATTTATACTAATAAAAGTAATCTGATGATAATTATAGAGAGTCAGCAACAGACAATCGCCCGTGAAAATACCTATTTATTATCATCACAACTGACAAAAGTTTATCAACATCCAAGTCTTGCATGCGATGGAATGGATATCAAAAGGTTAGTCTTGAACCTGTTGTTCTGGGTGAAAGATACTAGGAGGATGTAGGCACCTACCTAGATCGACATTAAACTACCTGGAGGATGTACTTGCTGCCATTCTACGCATCTACTTCGATCATTCGTGTGTGTCGTAAATATTTTTTGGTTATTTATTTAATTCCAACATCACTTCATCTCCATGGGTTAAATTATGGAGCAATTCAAGAACGGAACTTGCACGACCCATGCAAACGAACAAAATAATAATTTTTTTCTCAGAACTACAGAAACAAGGGCAGTATAGATAGCCTTTTCCACGGAAATTGGATAGATCCTATAGAGGTCAATAAAACTTTCTTGCTATCGATGTGTGGGATTTATTTATGCGCAACTCTACGTCTAACCCGCATACATTTTATCACCCCATCCCCTGATGCACCTCGCCTAATCATGAATCACGAAACACTCGATCTAATAACGTGTCTAAATCCTTAGATTTTGAGGCTTGCGCAAAAGTGTTTAAATAGTACAGATTTAAAGTTCCATTCATGATAGTTCTCAAAAGCTCTTGACATGTAAAATTTCGACTTTATCGATCCGCAATTGTTAAGGGCTTCGAGACTGTGTTCTAGAAAGTAAGAGACTCAAGTAATATTTTTATGATTTAGCTATATGACTGAACGAGAAAGTTAATAAACTATTAGTAAAACATCATTCAATTTGTTAATGTAGACAAGCTGGATTGGAAGATGGCTAATTTAAATCTATGAATATCGTTAACCAACTAATCTAACTTCTCTAAAAATTAAAAGTTTGGCTAATTATTATGAAAACCTAGCACTTCCAGCAATCTACGCTGTTGGATACCTGATTAACGATCTCTGTAGCACAAGTGGATCGTTTCTACTGACAGACACCGAAACTCCAGAAAGGAGAAGAGAAAAGATCTGTAAGTACTATTATGGCACAGCTGTAATTAAAATGCAAAGTGAGGTCTATATTTCAATTGATCAAGTCTAGCACGTTCGATCTCGGACAGCCGTAGTAATGGACTTATTTTTCTATTGACCTAGAGACACATACGTGATTCACCTACGGTTCCTCCTATGAACGAAGCTAAAGTACTTCTAAGAAAGATCACTTAGCATAAATCCTCCATGTTTACAATGAAGAACTCCTTTCCTCAATCACCATATTTCTCCGAAACCCACCTATCTATCTGCAACCAAGGTTTTTCCCCCTTTTCGATTTCTTCGAGTCTCACGAAACCATCACTACACACAGTAAGCACCGCAGGTATATACATACGTCCCCGTTCCCAGGTAAAAAAAAGGCAGAACGAAAGACGGTGGCTGCTTTCCAGAAGCCAAAAGGACCCCGGCGAGAGTTACTACCGAATATTTCTCAGCTTACTAGCCATGAAAGTATGAATAGAATTCCCATGATGCTGGACACTTTAGTGCTAAATGCAGACAATGATACTACCAACTGGCAAAATCTATACTTCAAATCCAGACTTCTAAATACCAAAGTTCGATCAGAGCATCGTCTTGAACGCGATAGACTTGGCAAAGAGAATTTGGCAATGCGTAGAGCTATTAAGGTTCTTGGCACATTATTACGATCTCAACAGAACAATTCAAAGGTGCTGGGTGCGGAATGGTCAGTTTCTCTGAAGGAGATAGATCGTCTAAGGCAACAGGTGTCTGGCTTACAAGGTGATAATTTGGAATATAGGAGTCGCGTGGAAGATCTAACCTCCAGCCTTCACACAATGTCACTACGGTTATCAGAAGGAACAAATGCTAATACCAAGGCGCAAAAATATTATGAAGAGATGAGCGTGAAGACAGAAGATCTGCACAAAAAATGGGTCGAGCTAGATGGTAATTATAAAATTGCTAGTATTTTGCGAGAGAAGCAGGAACTGCGGGATGCACTTTCGACAAGCTTTGATGAGGTCAATGGTCTAAATCATGCGCTTGAAGTGTACAGCGTAGTAGTTGAAAGCATTATGGACAGAAAGAGAGAATGGAGTAAACCTCGTCAACAACGCGATAGGAACATCATCATTAAAGGGCATGAGATTGCCCATGGAGGAACGTGAGTTATTTCATTCAATCCAATAAATTCAAGAGACAACGAGTACTGACACGTTCAAAGGTGCCTCCCAGATGCTTACCAAATCATGTCTACTAGCAACAATGACTTGGGATGGTACAAAGAATATTACGGAACAACCTCCGAGATTTTCTTGAAGTTTGAAACCAGTAAAGCATTTATGGAGCTAATCAACATGCGATACGAACTCTACCGCTATAAAAAGCATGTTAAATCAGCCGCTGATGGATTCAAAGAGGGTTTCCAAAACCTGTTGGAGATGATTCTGGCTCAGCGAACAAGTATGACTGCCGAATCTGTGCAAAAACTTCTTGTGGGTGACCACCCCACAACGTTAACTTCGAGACGTATCTATTCTAAGCTTTGTGTCCTATGGGAAAATGGGATGAAACAAGGACTACAGGCAATTCAAATTCATTAGTGTACTGGTTTCATATTATTCTTTTCGATATCAATTGACACATTTCAAAATGTAATATATTTCAAAATGAGATAAATTCATTTTTAAATGCTGATGTTGTATAATGTCCTGTAATCAATAATAATTTGAGCTGTTTTGACCTACGAGACGTTTGTTGAAGTATCCTCTGTGATCCCTACTATCATTTTCTATCTTTCTGGAGTAAACACAGAAACTTCAGGTTGCCATAAAATAATGACTTATACAGTTCTATCAATTCAAACACCATCCGAATTTTAGTATGCTTAAGCAACCGTATTGAATCTCGCATTTCTCGCTTAGCTTTCCCGTATAAGATAGATCATTTCCGCCTCATAGAATACCTGTCAAGAATTTTCCCAACGCTTCAACAAATACCCTGGCATTTGACTACGGCCGAGAAACTGTATCGCATCTACACAACTCAGAATCAAGGCTTACAGAATCTTCCTCTAAGATCCAAAATGTCGTACACAAACACACCAAATAGTACCCAGCACACATCTCAAGATGACGCTCCGGAAATACCCACTAGAACGTCCGAGAACTTAAAGGTTAATCAATTAAAAAAGCCCGTTGGAGAATTGGTCTGGGAGAATAGAATACTTCGCACCGTGATCAAGGAATTAGAGATAGCTAACACGGAGGCTGGGGCTGAAAAAAGATTGACTAAGACCAGGATTAGCATGTTCGAAAAATTAGATGCAAATTATTTTTTACACCTCACTGATGCTCAGGGGAAAATTAAGGAAGCATGGATGGCAAAAGGCACTGAGATCATCCGAAATAGGATGGATCTTGATGCTAGTGGCGCGGATATTCATCGAGATGTAAGTCATTCCTGATATGTATTTCATCCACAGCGATGTTAACGGTCTTGAATAGGTCTACGAATGTTCAATAAAGTCATGGAGGGATTCATACACTAGGCGGGACGATATGGAGATAATTATTTCCTTGTTGATAATGGACCATCAAACGGCAGGCTTCACGGTAGGCATGCTGTCAGCAATGAAGGACAGAGTAACTGCATTTGAGTCCGAGATCACCGGACACAAAAAAAGGCTGACGGTGCAAAAGATTGTTGTTGCAAGCATACAAGGAAGGGAAAAAATCTTATTAGCCGAAATTAAGAGTAGGCATGAGAAAGAACAGAAGGAACAGAAAGACATAATCACCAGTTTGAAGGAAAGGAAAGAATCTCTGCGGCTGAGACAAAGATTAAGTACGAGAAGATGCTGGAGGAGCAAGCTAATACTATCGCCAAGATTGAGAAAAGGGAAATGATGATAATGTTGGAGATAAAGAGCAGATATGAAAAGAAATTGAAGGAACAATGCGAAATTATTGCCAGTCTCGAAGAGAAAGGAAAATCAACGATATCCGAGCCGAATATTGAATACGAGGAGAAGCTAAAAGAACAAAGTAGCATTATCGCGAAACTATAAGAAAAAGAAATAGCATCAGCAGCCGAAATGCAGGAGGTACTTCGGGAACTAGCTGTTCACAGTGAAATTTCCATCAGCATTTTAAACCGCAAAAGAGAGTTGATGAATCCATACGAAAGTCGGAATGAACATGTGATTGAAACAGGCAACATCTCAGCACATGGTGGAACGTAAGTCAATACTACAATAGCCTTTGTCTTCACATATTAACACTAATCTAGTTGTCTTGCTGACGTCTTTCGAATCAAATCCAATGCTGATGTCGACGACTCCCGATGGTTCAAAGAGCGCTACGGTGTATCTATAGACACAGTTGAAAGATTCGGGGAAAACGCTGCATTTGCAAAACTTGTGAATATGCGATATGACATGTGCAATTGCGGGCCAGGGCAGCGAAAAGTGTTCTTGGAATTCGAAACCGAATTTCAGAATTTACTGATTGGAGAGCTGGAGAAAGACACGAAGATAACAATAGAGGCAATTGATGGTTTTCTTCTCAAGAATAAAAAGGGAAAAGAAACATTTCAAAGGCTGTGTAGTATTTGGGATACCGCCACAGCCACACAAAGAAAACGCCCAGAGGGCAAAGATCTGTAAGTGTCTTAATATTCGTACTTTTAACAATACTGATTAGTGATAGGATTAAAAGATCGATTTTTGGTGGCAGCATAAAATCTAATTCTTCCCATTGGACTGGAGAGACATGGAGAAGAAACAAGTTTGATAATTTTGAGGAATATGGAAAAGATATTCTCTCCTCTGCGAAATGCGCTATGCCCTGGGTTAAACGACGAGATCCGAGGTAGGGGATTTCTATAGGAATTAAAGTTACGAAGCACTACCACCGAGTCTCTAGAAAATCTCTAATCTAAGTGTTATGGTGGTGTAAGAGGGAATTAGACAGCAATCAATCGATGAAATTTCCAATTATTGAATTTACCAAAACTTCTTTAGTGTCCAAAATCTCTTAGACTAAGGGTCTTTTACCTCTTGATACTTTCAAGAATGAATTGTTGGCTCGTTGATTCTCTCGATTTCATATGCACACTGTGCATACGCTCTGTTCGTATATATCACTCCACACCATCAACACTTATTTTCATTATCATTAAATAACCTAAAACAATGCACTATATCCCAAGAAAATGTTAAATATACATTCGTTGATTCCCCCGTCCTTGAACCTATCTTCTGTCATCTTATTAAACACTAGTATCTGACTCCAGAGATCCTTTGAATTTCTTCCTATTATCTATATACAAAAAACACATGTTTTACGACTCAGAGAAGATCTTCCGATCATAAAGAAAAAACCAGATGTAGCTTGATTTTACTACCACGACCGCATGATTACCATATCAATGTTTTCTCCTAAGTATATTTCACAAAGATATAAATAAATCATGGAGTATTTGTTTGATTTCCTGAGTGTGAAAAACATGAATCTGACTAGCTAGCTAGTAAAGTTACCACACAGAATGATATGGAAATATCTTAGCAAAAGCTGCCAGAATTCACAGGGTGTTTCTCCAATATATTATTGTGCAGATAAATTTTCTTTATTATAGAAATTATCTATACATGACCAAAGTGTTCGACTAACTCAGGGGCCGTAGTGCTATGCTTTTACTACCGTAGCTTACAACACTTAATAAAATTTTACCAAAGAAGATCAGCCAACTTTGGCTTGGAGAAATTCCTTTGATAATACGCTTTCTATCATTCTTCATGCCTTAATTACATTCAATACTTCCCCCAACTCATGAAAATTTTGGCGAGGCCTAAGGATACAAGATGGGAAAAGGCAGTAAGAAGGAGGCCAGCCATGCGAATGCTGGCAAGCCTAGCGCTAGCGATAGCAAAATTTCCTCGATAGACATATCAAAGACACCTATCGTAGAGAACCCCATGTCCTTAATCCAAAAACTTACAGATTACATTCATGAGGAGGAAAAGAATTCGAGTGCTTTAAGAAGCGAGACGCAACTTCTCAAAAAGCGACTCCAGGAATCACAAGAGGAAGCGCGCATATCAAAATCTAGCGCTGAAAATCTCGAGAAAGAATTACAGCAACTACGAGATGAGACGAAATCTCGAATCCAAACTACAGAACAACTCGAACAAGAACTAAATAATGAGCGTACAAAGAATCTCAGGAGAAACATACATTCGAGTTAGAAAGAAAGAAACTTCAAAAAGAGCTAAGTGAGTTGCAGTCTAGAATGCGAGTTGGACGCAATGCTAGCACACTTTTCCAACAGGAAGTTGAGAAAGAACGACAAGTTCATTGGAAAGAGATGGAGAATCTGAAGAAAGTGATTCTTGAGTTGAATCAAAGAATCGTGAATCAGGATATTAAGAGCGATGTGATAGATCGAGGAGATATCCACAGTATTGCCGATGCTCTGGCAGGTGAATCTAACGCCGGGTTTAATGCCTGTATATCAATGTCAGTTCGAGCAGATGCATCGGAGCAGGGTTTGACGGTCAAAAATCCGGCAGTGGTTGACAAAAGCGCTATTGGTATTTTCGGTAGTATTCATCCGAGGGTAAATCCGGGCACGGGAAATATAGAACCTGTTATGTTTTTCAATCGGAGCCAGATTGAAAGAAAAGATATCTGGCAAAAATCTCTATTTCAGATATTGAATTCCAAACTCGAAAATGAAGAGGTTAGTGAGATATCAAGCCTAATTTTTTCTTTTTAAAAAATGCATACTGATAATATAACAGGAACATAAAGCTTTTGTGGAAGAGTGGCATGCTACATATACTAACCAAGATAACTTTGATATTGCGCTTTACTTGATTTTGACCTGTTTCCAAATCGTCGATACTTACCTAGTGATTGAGAAAAAGTGCATAGCTCTTGAAACTGAGCTATCGAAGCAGAAAATAAATATGTTAGAACGTCAGGAAAATCTAATAGCAGCTCATGACAAGGTGATATCTGGGATGGAAGGACGAGCTGAGTTGGCGCTGGCACAGGACAAAATATATCAGGACGAGCTTAAAGAGGCTCATAAAGAAGAAATCAACGTCTTGAAAGCAAGTTTCGAAATTGGAATTGGGGAACTCGTGGAGGAATATCGTCCTTTTAGAGATATTGCTGAAAGGATCCTGGCTCGTGAGCGTGAGTGTAGTAAACCTTCCAAAGAACGCAGTGAGCAGATCATGGATCAGGGAAATCTCGCTGCTCATGGGGGAAAGTAAGTTGCTATTCTAGACTTGACTATCAGAGAATATTCATGTTCACTAATACTTCCCTGTACGTAGCTGTCTGGCAGTTTCTAAACAAATAGCTTCAAATCCAAACGCCGGTGAAAAGGAATGGTTCAAATCTTTGTACGATGTTAGTATTGAAACTTTTATCAAGTATCAAGATTCCTTGCAGATGCGCCGACTTCTCGATATGCGATACGAGATGAAAAAGTTTAAGACTGTTCAACTTTCTGAAGCTGAGTTTGAGAGAAACTTTCAACATGTTATGATGCAGCTTACTAAGACCAAGAAAGATCGTCTTGAAAAAACTTCCAGTGGGAAATAATGGGAGCTATGGGAGAACTTCACCGATAACGATGGAGATTTAGAATCTGTCTTCACTTCAATGTGTAAGGAGTATCATGAGACAGCAGAGAATGAGAAGAAGCGTAGAAAAATGGGATTTGTAAGACGAAGCACCATTTAAATTTACGCACTCTGATGTTAATTGTTTCTAGGAAGAATAAACCAGGTCCAGTGATCTTGGATGTGGATAGTTCACTAAAGATATTTTCTTAAGAAAAACAGTAATCGAATGCAGCATTAGAGTCAAATGATTTGACTTTCATATTCTTATATGTGTGGTCAAAATTTGAAGTGATCAATATCGATCATTACATAATTAACTTGCTAGAAAATCTGGTTATTGAAAGGAGGGCATTGATCTTCATTTTGTGGGTTGATGGAACGATGGACGCGGAATAGAAGGATATGCAGTGAAGTCAGCAAGTAGGTCCGTAACTTCGGAGAGCGATTTGCTGTGAGGAACAGTAGTTGATATATACAAGATTCAATTGCGAAGTCAGGCTGTCAAACTACATAATCTTACATTCAGTGTTAACTAGATGCTGGAAAAATGTGATGGTTTAGACACTATCTAATGCGAATAATTTGTAAATAGCAACACTTGAAGAATATTTGATATAATCGCAGCAGCGACAATGATGTCTTTGATTATGTAATTTAGAGATGAATTGAAGATACTGTCCTAGTGTTAAAGCGAAGAGGGTTGCCGTGTGTGATATGTTGGCGCATAATGCTGTGTCTGTGTTTTCTCATATCATAATAGGTACCTATGTATATGAAGTATGGACTGAGAACTTAAGATTAAAACGAGTGTAACGTTTTCCACAACCACAGTTAAGAAGAACCTTTTAATTATCTAGGTATCTTCCCTCCCTCCACCTCAAAAAAAACTCAAGCTTCTATATCTTTTTGACCAATTCAGATAACACACATTCGTGTCCTCATAAAATAGTAGCCTGTGTCTGTATTCGAGTATAAGAAATCTAGATACAACACTAGTCGTTACCCGACTTTGTACTTCGAACCAATGAGGAAGGAGTGAACAACCATGTAAAATCTTACTAATGCCTTAGTTCATTACACGCATTTACCTCTCTGAACAATAATATTTCTCCTTTACTTGGAATGAAGCAATTCCTTGTCTTTTATAATCTGCACTCTCATCCCTAATATCGGATGCAATGTGAGAAATCCGTAAGGTATACTTACAACCTCGAATTCGGGAGAAATGCAGTATCAAAACCTGAGAAGGTTCTCATCTGACCATCTTCGAGGTTATCAAGATGTTACTGATGAGTCGCATATTGAATGCTATCCCGTCCGATATCATTGCACGATACTTTGAAGATTAATTCGAGGCTGAGAAAAACTTTGAGGGGTCGAAATGCCTTATTACTCACAGTTCACTCAACTTCATCTTTGGCCCGATGACTCCAATAGGGTTTGTGCCATCTCCGTTTTTACCCCCTCTCTGCATATATATATCGATTCACCTTCCAGTTCTACCAAAATTCCTTGCTTGCAAAGTCGCTGCGACGTATTCAATAAGTGGTGTGCTTCGACTGTTGATATTTCTGCCCTTATGTCGTATCAGCATCTCTAGCCAAAAACTCCAACAATCCAGTCTCACACAGCCATCCACCTCACAAACCACTGGCAAGCCCATTCATCCTCAACATGGATCCTCCTGGTTTAGCAGAGGGACCATGCATAGGTTGCAGCACCATAACGGACCGTCTCGTCGCCTCAGATCGAGTCTTCCACAATCTCCACAATGAAAGAATGCGCGACAAAGACCACAAACTTCGAGAAAGCGAAAAAAAGATCCGCGATCTAGAAGCTCGGGTTGAAACTATGAAGCAAGAAGCAATTCTCATGAAGCCATTCCTGAAAATAGGCATACAGTTACGAACTCAAAAAGTCTCGACGGAGAAGTCAAAGATGGGTTCGACGACAAATATAAAAATCGCAGAATCAGGGGAGGAATTACTCAATGTTGGTAATGCCATAGCAGACGCACTTTTGTATCAAGATATCGCTGGGGAGTACAGACGGACAGATGTCGAGGTTTATAAACGTATGTACGCTGGATTTCACCCTGATTTCATCCTGGCCAGTAAAGACTGCACTCGCTTTCTCAATATACTCAGCTGGCGTCGTACTATGGCTTTCTTCTACGAGCAATCGTATTACGAGAAGGAGAAGTTTCAGTACACGGTTTTCGCACGTCAGAGTTTGAAAATGAAGGTTAAGCAGAGAAGATGGTCTGGAGAGGAGTTTGAGACATACTTCAGAACTGATAGGGAAGGAGAATTCGCATATCGAGATATGAAGGATGAATATGAGGTCGAGTTGGAAAAATATCGTGATTTCGTAAGGAGAGGTAGCAAGAAGAATCTTTGTGGGTTCGTCGCGAAGCTTTGGTCCAAATGAGGCAATCTGGTGAAAATCATGGGGTAGAAAGATGGAGTTAGAGACAGGGGGTTTGAGAGAGGACTTTTGGTCAAGTCCTTGGGTAATGACTAGATTGGAGTTGGTGTTTGGGAGATGGTTTGATAACACTCGACCCAATATGGATTTCTTGTCGCCCTCTCGTCATGTGCCAGGTCAAATGACTGACAAAAAAGACTCTAGATCTGAAATTGTGGTGGCCATATCTCTGCTCAATTGGACCCATCGGCTTGGACAGAAGCTAATACAAAATAATGCATTATCTACCACTCTTAGGTAATAACTTGGCCTTTCAAAATACCATTCTTAGCGTATTCTAGCTCATGAAATAGCAGCTAGGAATGATGATTTGGAAACTTTTGAGTTTCTTGTCGAAAACAGAGCCTCGATGCGTGCCGTGTTATTGGTATCTGTCCGTGATGTGTTCGAGATTATTTTTGCTCTGTTCAATTGATGCATGCCAATCTGCCAATATTATCCCAGCAAGCCTAACGATGTCCCTCGAGCTTCACGACTCCATAATTTCGCCGATAAAAAATCTTATTTATCTTCAGCCAAGAAGTAACAAGAGAATAGGTGAATCTCTTGGCCCGGGGTTATTAAGGCCAAGGAAATCTTCAGTTAGCGAAGCGAGGCGTTTGATGGCATCGGTGTTGCCGTGGGGGTGTAGAAGAACTCAAACCAACCACCAGTGACCTTATCAGTAGGAACGAACACGAAAATAACAAATTAGATTACTAGGTAGGTAGTTTATACATCTGCAGCTTCATTTGGAATAAAATATAATATCATGTTATAAGTTTTAATAATAAAGAAGAAGAAGAATACATAAAAAGAGTAAAAATGAAGGTCTCGCCAAGCGTCTATCGCAATGCGGGGCACCACGGGGTTGGTGCGGGGGAAAATCTACATTCTTTGGAGAACCTAGCCAATAATATTACACAGCCTCTAATATGGGTCTCTTTATTTTTCTACTCTATACATCTCCCGAAGTAGTGCCTTTCTTTAGCACAAGGGGAAGTTCCTGAAGCGAAACAAAACCTTGGTGTTTGTTTGTGCGGCGACTTTCTGTAGCTTAGAATCTACTGTAGATAATTCTTTTTTATCCACTTCTATTGTACAGGTAAGGTTATGATATGAACGAAATCATGACAATTAGAATTTAACCTTAGAGCACGCGCGGGATAAATCCCATTCATGTTATTTATTTCTCCACACGAACATGGTATTTCTTGGGGAACCTGACTGCAAGTGGAATAGTAAGGTCTCAAGCCATGTGCCATCTACTGCGTATGTTGGGATCGTTCCTAGAAAAACTTCTAGTGCATGGAGAGGTGTGTATATGTCATTAGTGACTAACTAGACAGGTCAGGGATCATTTCTCATATCGTGGGGATATTGGCATTTTTCAAAATGTTGATAAAAGGGATACTGGATGTCCTCTTTTTTGGAAGATTAGATAGTTACAGCAGTCGAAGTTGATTGATACTTTTTCTTTACTTCCCTTTCTCTCCTCCTTCCTCTTCTCCTTCTCTAATCAATCTTTCTCCCTACCTACCTACCCTACCTACCTACCTACTTCTACATTCTCCATCTCAATCCCTCCCACAAACAAAATCCCCAAAACCACCTCAACATAACCATGTTCGGAAAAAAAACAGAAGACATATCAGATGAACGACGTTCCTCCAGCGACGACGCAATGGCCAACGCAGGTATAGGTAACACCGAATTAAGCGGTGCTGCCGCCCTAACAGTCCGACAATCCATCTACCCCATCACCCTCGTCACCATGCTCTTCTTCCTCTGGGGATTCGCATACGGTCTCTTAGATGTTCTGAACGCTAAATTCCAAACCGCACTCAATATTACTGCCGCCGAAGCAGGAGGACTCCAAGGCGCCTACTTCGGAGCTTATTTTATCGGGCCCCTGACGTATTCCGGATGGCTCGTTCGAAGATTCGGTTATAGATGGACATTTATCGTTGGTCTCTGCATATATGGTGTAGGAGCATTGATGTTCTGGCCTTCAGCCGTCTATAGATCATTCCCTGGCTTCTGTGGAAGTTTATTTATAGTCGGATCGGGACTTAGCACGCTTGAAACATCTGCAAATCCATTCATCGCTACCTGTGGACCTCCACGACTTTCAGAATTCCGTCTTGAACTCTCGCAGGCTTTTCAAGCGGTTGGTTCTGTCGTTGCTCCACTTCTTGCTTCGAGAGTCTTCTTCAAAGAAGGTGATGGACAAGATCTATCCAAAGTCCAATGGACATATCTCGGCATCGCCGCATTTGTCTTCCTCCTCGCCGTCGTGTTCTTCTTTAGCAAACTCCCCGAAGTCACAGATGCAGATATGGCATTACAGAGTGAACAATCTGCCGGTCTTACAGGATATGAAGAAAAACCCATGCGGAGACAATACAAACTTATCTTTGGTGTTGCGGCTCAATTCTGCTATGTGGGTGCTCAAGTAGGTGTCGCGGCAAACTTTATCAGATATGCTGAGGAAAGCGCGGGTCTTAGTCAAGCCGCTGCTACGGATAGATTTGCCATTGCTCAGGGTCTTTTTGCAATTGGTAGATTTGCTGCGGCGGGTTTGATGATGATTACTAAACCTCGTTATGTACTCATGATATTCATGACTGCTATTATGTTATTCATATCTGTTTCTATTGGTGTTAAAGGAGAAGCTGGTGTGGCTATGTTATCTCTCGTTCTGTAAGTTTTTCATCTCTTCTCCCTCTAATAACATCTCAAACTAATAAAATCACAGTTTCTTCGAATCCTGCATCTTCCCCACCATTTTCGCCCTCTCAATCCGCGGTCTCGGTCGCCACACTAAACGTGGATCTTCCTGGATCGTTGCCGCCGTCTCTGGCGGTGCTCTTTTCCCTTCTCTCACGGGTCTTCTCGCCGATAAAAAAGGTTATCATATCTCTATGACCGTTCCACTTATTGGTTTCTTTGTCGCGTTTGCATTTCCCATTTACCTGAATACCGTTTGTGCAAAGGAATTAGATGGTTTCAACGAGACGAAGATTGGATACGAGGGAGCGGATTTGGCGGCTGAGAAGAGAGAAGGTAGTGTGGTTTGGGAGGAGAAAGGTGCAACTGGTTCTGATGCGCATCATTTGGAGTTAGAGAATAGTGAGTCTAGAAGGAGATGATGTGGATTGTTTTTTTAGTATGTTATTTGGGAAATGGGAAAAGAAATAGGAATATGAATAGAAATGAGATATGAGATATGGGAATTGGGAATATAAATATGTCGGGATTGTTTTTAGATGATTTCTGGGATATAATTTTAGAAGATAGATTGGTTTTTTGGGTACTTGTACTACTTATTAGACGAGTTTAGACTATCTATAGACAAAACTGGCCGGGGATTAATTTACGAATTTCAACTCTATACCTCAAAATCGAAGTTTCTGCTCGAATATATAACCCAGAAACAACTCATCTCATATACATTTACAACGCATAACCACACCCCAACAACAAACCCATCCATCATCCTACCCCTCCAACCGAACTTCCCCTAAATTTCCTCAATAATAAGAAATTTATATAGGTACCGTAGGTATTATTATTTTATTACTATTCATTCATCAACTATCTCTCATCTACTAATTATCCTATGATATCCATCCATCCATCCACAAGTAATTCATCCATCCATCCATCTTATCAGGATTTAGTAAATAAACGAAAAATAAAGTATAATTACCTGGGGTGATCTACAGTAAATTTGACTAAAAAACTATTTTTTTATAAGTTTGTGTATATGTATTTGTATTTGTATTTATACATATCTAGTTGTATGTAATCTTAAATCAGGAGATTGAAATGAAATAGGAACTCATAGAATATTTTTGATTATTAATCTAATATATAATTACTTGATAATTGATGGGAGTACACGAACATATAAATCCATCCTCCCGACAATAATACATCAAATCTAGTACATGATTACAAAGACAACAAGAAATGGACAAAAAAACTTAAGTGTCAACACTAATTCTTATTCTCCCTGCTATTATTTCCTAAGAATAATCTCATGAAAAGTCTATCTATTTTTCATACACGCATACAAAGTGGTAGCTGCCAAAAATCCAACCCCTCTTATACACCAATAAACGCCATTCTCATGCCCTATCCTGCCTTTTGAATATATCGTCTGTTCATCCTGATAACATTGGTTTTAACTCCCGCTTGGTCCACCATATGGACCCTTACCTCCATCAAGAAGTAACTTTGGTTTGATGAATCCTTCATCTAATTGTTTGAACCATGCTGCATGATCCTCGGCTGTTCCATGTAACAATTGACTGATTGCACCTGAAGCTGTAATATGTGGTGCTTCAGGACGATTCGTACTGCCTGAAGTTGGGTAAGGTGTTCCCATGTCACTACTATCTTGAGGTGGTGATGGTCTTCTTTTCGGTGGTCGATTGGCTGGTGGTGGAAGATCAGATGAATCGCTATCAAATTCTTCATCACTTGTACTACCAGTTCTACCAAGAAGATCCTGTTCACTTTCGTTTTCTTTTCTTCCATTGGAACCCTTTCGACTCATGCTTGCCGATCTAACATCTGGGCTAGCGTTACCACTTGCATAACTTCCACGTTCCGCTCCTCTACGATTTCCTGGTCTAGCAAGACCATCGAGTTGCATTGAACCGTTACTTCGCCTTGGATCATTGCCAATTCCGGATCCAGAATGCTTGTAATAGTTTCCTCCCGAAATAGCTTCAATATCGAATTCGTCATCACTATCAATTTCCTCGACTACTCCAGTACGAATTCCAAGGATTTCCAACATACGTGCTGTGGTACCACCGAAAATAATAACAGTGAGCACTACAACCACAAGGACGGTTGCTTTCAGAGCCCATGAATTCTCGCCTGTCATTCCAGCTGCCAACGCGACACCAACAGCTCCACGTAATCCGGCCCAGAATAACATTACTTGATAATTGTAAGGTAATTCATCTGCGACCTCTTGTCCTCTTTTCTTTGCGCGATATCTAAGGAACCAATTAATGAGTCTCGACAGAGGAAAAACAGCCGCATATCGAGCGACGCAGATTCCAATGACGGTAACTATAATAAAAAGAGGTTTGAATTGTAAATTTATCTCTGTGAACAAAGATAATCCCAGGTAAATGAAGATGAAATTCTCCGATAATTGCGCAAGAACTTGAAACAAGTATTTGGTAGTTAGTTGTGTTCGGCGAGACATATTGTAATATGCATAATGTTTCAAAGTGATTCCACAGAACAAAAGTGTGACGATTCCTACTTTAGATTAGTATTTTACTCTTAAAAAAAAAGGGCTGTTGAAATACTCACCAGACATATGGAGGCCATTTGAGAAAAAATAGCTGGCATAAGCGATCAATACAATCAAACAGCTTTCAATCTTTGGGAATCTCCTGACATATGTATACTTTAAACCCAAAGCTGTAGCGATTCCAATAATGATTCCAATAATCAAGCTTCCGAAGAACACCGCCAAGAAAATGCCGATACCTTCGAATAAACTTAGGAGGCCCAGGGTTCCTGCATTCCCACCCTCTTTATACTTTTGTGCTGTTTCGAATAATACAATTGCGATGGCGTCATTGAGGATTGATTCTCCGAAGATGACTGTATAAAGTTTTGGGTCGACCTTGTAGGTGTTGAAAATGGCCAAAATGGTAACAGGATCGGTGGCAGAAAGTGTTGCTCCAACAGATATGGCATCGACGAAGGTCATACTAACTCCATCAAGGGGAATTCTTGTATACAACCATAATACCAATCCTAGCACAATTGCCGATATGAAAGTCCCGGCAAACGCAAACGTAAGAATTGTCCCAATATTTCGGAAGAAATTCGCTTGATGTAATTCGTATCCGGACGCTAGAATAATCGGTGGCAGAAGTAGATTGAAGAATATCTGATCATCGAAGCTCACAAGACTTTGTATTGAATTTCCGGCGCTGACTCGAAGGATCAAACCAATGGTCATACCTAGTTGGTTAATATCTACACTACAAACAGCTTGACCAAAATAACTTACCAGCAAAGATAGAAATGGAGGTTTCATGAACAGCTTCAACTTTCTTAATCTGAAGCAAATAACTTGTAAAGAGAGCTACGATGAGTAACATAATTAAGATGAAGAGAGCCCATGATGAGAATATTTCCTTCTGCGATGAATCGGGTGCTATTGACAAGGGCAGTTGTTAGTTGGGAATCCCCTTCGGATATCGAATGGACTGTAGCATACCATCAGGATCTTCTTCCTCAGATTGCCTCTCTATCAGAGGATCAAAATTAGCAGATGCGCAATATAGTGGGTTGTTGGAGTCGCAAACATACTCAGAAGCTCGAAGGCCGAGCCTGCGATTGCGGCATACATGATGAAAGATTGTCGACTGTTGCGATGAGATGATTTGATCTGAAATTTATCAAAGTAATATTCTAGGTTTGCGAAAGACAGTACAGTCGCTCAAGGACGAGCAGGGAATAGTAAAAGAACGACGCATGTATATCAGTTGGATGATAGTGGAGAGGGGTGCTTCGAATGCGATACTGGAGTTCGTGGGATTCTGGTGGAGAAAGGTATTTTTGGTTGGGTTTTGTGGTTTGGAAGGAACTACAGAGAAGGTAGTAATGATTAACTAATGCTACCTGCTTAGGTACATCCAGGTTATCTCTGGCCAGGTTGTCATTTCATCAGATTAGATAGGTGTGAAACATATAAAGTGTCAAATTGTCTGTGAATGATGCAGAATAAAAACATTTATTAATCATTTATTAATTATACCTATTACAAAGAATTATAGAATCCATTGTAACTTCTGTACGAGTAGTTATTTATCAAACCAAAGTTCATGTGACATTTATGTCGTATGAATCCTATTACCGTCGTCATCATGGTTTTGGAGAAAGCAGGTACATAGTAGATACTCTTGTATATTTCTGCCTCATACTGTAATGGTTATGAGCATATCTCGAGTATAGTATAGCGGGGGCAGCTACATATAAAATTGATTATAGTCTGTCGCGTTTGTTTCTCATTACGTATGCGTACCTGCTATGCTGTAAGCTATGACCCATAGCCCACGAGTTCTCCATCTCCATAGGCACACCAGCTGCCAGCATCTATAGACTATAGATATGAGAAATCCAATTGCTCTACGGAGTAATATTCTCATTCTTTTCATTGGCCCTTAGCATTCAGCCTCACTCTTAGCCTTACTCCTAGCCACTTTTAATTGGTCAGGCTGAAATACTTTCGTTTGTAATTGTCTTGTTCTCAGCTTACATAATTTTCATGTCATTCGCCGTATCTCACCTAATCATCAACCTTCACGTCGCATCACATCATATTAAGTTGATCAAGAAACGATTCAAATCTTTACATACCTGTGAGTATTGGGTACTTATTCATCTAGCAGCCTCGCTGTTACTTTGGAAATATATTTCATTTATCCATCATCCAAATCTCCAATCATTTTAACATTTGGAGTTGTGCTACATCGTATTGATTTCAGCACATGTACAGATCTCAAATGTTCCGATGCACCTCATACCCATTTGACTCTGACGCACTGGCACTGATCCACCAGACCATCCCAGCAGACGAAGTTGTTCCGCATGCACAGCAGCCTACCTCAGCCTCGTGATGCCCAGAATCCATAGGAACCAACTCGTTTCCGATTCCATTATTAACATCAAACGCCCTGCATTCCCATTATTAAGGACCTTTGAATCCCATCAATCGAACTTTCTGTCTGACTGCCAACCTCAACAGGATCAAAAAGCAAACGAACTTTAACTTTTCACGCGTATATGATCGACTGAAAGAGGAGCATCGGATATCATTGACCGGAACTTTCGACTTAGGCCAGGCGGCCTATCCCTACAACAACGATATGGCGGAAAATGACACAACGCGTTTTCGAGGGGAGGAACAAGGCGATATACAAAGCTTAGACTCGGAAAGGGACAAAGATACTCGAATGGACGACCCAAAACCTGCCAATGAGCAGTCACCGCTTTTGTCCCCGTCAGAGTCGGAGGAAGAAGAAGGTCTCATGAACGGCGGCAACATATTAAATCACGAACACGATACTTTTTCGGAAACAAAGGGAATATGGTATATGATACTTTTGACCCTCAGTATAGGTGGTTTACAAGTCGCTTGGGGAGTGGAACTATCCAATGGAACTCCATATCTTTTATCATTGGGTCTGAGCAAGTCCTTGATGGCTTTAGTATGGATCGCAGGTCCAATGTCAGGGGCTTTGGTTCAACCATATATTGGTATATTAAGTGATAGATGTCGTTCACCATGGGGTAAAAGACGACCTTTCATGGCTGTAGGTACCGCGGCTACCGTCCTTTCTTTAGTTTTCTTGGCTTGGGTAAGAGAGATAGTTGGAGGATTTCTAGGCCTGTTTGGTGCAGATAAAGGATCAGAAGGCGTCAAAGTTACAATTATCGTTGTTGCTGTTCTACTAGTTTATATTCTAGATTTTGCTATAGCTACAGGTTTGTGCCGATTTACTAACATCAGAAAACCCACTGACTTTCCTTAGTACAAGCTGCCATTAGAGCGTACATTCTCGATTGTGCCCCAAGTCATCAACAAGGTTGGTCATACAAGGTCTGTATTATCTGCAGACAAGCTAATATTCATCGATAGAAACTGCAAATTCGTTCGCTAGCCGCGTCATAGGTATTGGTAACATTGTTGCATACCTCGCTGGTTATATTGACCTAACAAAGTATTTATGGTTCTTCGGAAATACGCAATTTAAAATTCTATCTTTGGTGGCTTGCGTGGCTCTTTCTACGACTGTCATCATAAGCAGTGTCACCATCAAAGAACGTGATCCAAGTAATGAACCAATTCCAGCCGAAGCGAAGTCGGGACTTCTAGCATTTTTTAAGCAAGTCTTCAAATCTATCCGGCGTTTACCTCCTTTGACTCGCCAAGTTTGTGAAGTGGAATTCTTTGCTTGGATTGGTTTCTTCCCTCAACTCTTTTATTCGAGCTCTTATGTTGGCGATATTTATGTTCAGCCATATCTGAGAGCGAATCCCAACATGACTCCAGCAGAGATCGATAAGCTTTACGAAAAAGCTACCCGTGTTGGGACTTTTGCTCTTTTGATGTACGCTATTACATCATTGTCCGTCAACGTTATTTTGCCGTTCTTCATCACTCCATCCTACGATACACCCTCGTCCAGTGCATCTATATACTCTCACAAGAGTTATACAACACGTTTCTCACGCTTCATGGAAAATCTCGCCATTCCTGGTTTGAATCTTCGTCGTGCATGGCTCATAAGTCATCTGCTATTCGCAGCATGCATGTTCTCAACTCTTATCGTACGATCGATTGCAGGAGCTACGGTTTTGATAGCTTTAGTTGGTGTATCATGGGCTATGACATTATGGGCCCCATTCGCTATTATTAGTGCCGAAGTCAGTAAACGTGATGCTGTGCGTAGAGCACGACAACAATCAATGGTTGGTGAGGACGATTTGGATGAAGATCAAGCTGGTAAATTTTCTTCCATCACAGTTGATCTTCGCTTTTAATCACTAACAATACCTCAGGCATCATCCTAGGTATCCACAACATGTCGGTAGCCGCCCCTCAAATCATCGCTACACTCGGTAGCAGTGTAATCTTCAAATTTATGCAAAAGCCACGTGGAATACCTGGAGATAGAAGTTTCGCTGTTGTTATGGCTGCAGGAGGTTTCAGTACTTTATTTGCCGCCTACCTAACTAGTAGAATTAAAGATGAAATCGAGATTCCAGGGGAAGAAAATAGAAATAGGGAAAGGAGCAGAAGTAGGACGAGACTTAGTAGGAGAAGTACAGAGACTCCGCTCATTATGGCTAGTGGATGATGCGAAGACGATAAATTTGGCGTAGGTCTAAAAAACGGGAGGTGCGGTCGGATCAGGAATGGTTGGCCTGCAGGCGGGTTCATGGTTAAGGTGTTCTATTGAATGAAAGTGTGAGTTGAAATCGGAGTCGGAGTGAGAAATGGAGAGGCATTAGGATTTCGGTATGATGAATGACATAGAGTGGAAACAAAGAATGAGTTGAATTTTGAATTTTTGTTTTGTACACGTACTATACCATCTATACCATCTATGCATTTGAGATGTATATTATCTTTTATACCTATTGCGTTGCGTTGCGTTGTTTTTTGTTGTCTTGCGTCGTTGTATTGCGGTTTATCGTATTAAACTCTAAATTTTTTGATTCTGTGGTTCTTTTGAGATGTGGATTTTTGGAATGGACTTTTTGTGTGTAGGTAGATAGGTAAGTAGGGAGGTAGGTAGATAGGTAGGTAAATAGGCATACTTATTTTATTGAAAGCGGTGTGATATGATGTGATGAGTTTAAAGATAGAGGTAGGAGAAGAAGGGAAGAGGTTTATTTGGGTGTGAGTGTAAGTGATGTAAGTTCTTTGGTGCTGTAGAGGATGAGGAAGGATGGGATGACTCGCAAAAGCATGTTTCTGTTTATAGTAAGTATAGAGAGAGATGCAAGCAGAGGGAGCAATTAAATAGATATTCGTGAATCATAGTGATGAATGATCTTGTGGGAAATTATGTGTCATAATGAATGTAGATGTGATGATGATCCGTATAATAATTAGGATAATCAGGAAAGTCATAACACAAGATATAAATATAGATATGAGCAAGACTAAAAAGTACAATAAACAACTGATTCACACCCAGCTCCAGCCCTAGCACTAGCACTCCTAAGATCTATTTAAGAGATTACTTTTCCTACTCTTTCCTTTTCTTTTTTTCTTCTCTCTTCTTTTGTATATCAAGGAGAGGTTTCATTTCTTACTGCGGATCGGATATAATGAATTAAGTATCGAGTATCGAGTATCGAGAGTTTGATATTTTGATATTTTGATAGTGTAAGTTAGTGGGAGGTTTGTTGATATCAATATATCAACATATCAACATCACCTCAAAACTTACCATCACCAACTCAACTTCGAGCAGAAGATATATCTATCATGACATTTTCAGAACGCGAAAACAATCTTGGAGATTCTGATCATCAGAGAGCTGAGATGTCGGTGTCGATGTCGGTACCAGAGGGGCCCACGGATTTGGGAAGAAAATTTGGATCTATGTCTGTCTTGACTGGGGAGTCTGCTGCGGGATACCAGGACGGAAATCAGGGCCAGGATCAGAACCAGCGAGCTGGAGATTTGGATGGAAATAATGAGCATCAAGATCCTCGAGTTCAACAGCAGCTCACACATGGATCGGTGAGAATTGAATCACTACCCACCGAAACACAAAACCTACCATCTGCAAGACAAAACCTTCGTCCAATCCCCACGTTCGGACCAGGAAGCTGGAATGAATTTGTATCAAGAGCTAGAGATCGTAGTACATCACCTCCTGCGCGAAATAATGTACCGGTGAATCCATCACCAACCCAAACGCAAAACATCCACCAAGAAGATCCCATCGTGTTCGAATACCCATTTAATCACCATCAAATTTTGTCTGCATCAAGACCAATAAATAAAAATCCTCATCCTCAGAATTCCCCACCGGACGGTCTTCCACCTGCTAATGACAATAGTACTTTATCACACGCAGAACGCATATGGATTGCAGCACATAGGAATGAATCGGCATTAGTGTTATCCGACGGTAGCGACGTGCAGACCCCGTTCACCCAAGCAGGAACTCAAGCTCGGGAGTCCATATCCGATGAGAGCCGCAGAGTCATGAATCAAATTTACTCCTTCCCACCACCAGGTTCACGCTTAGATGTCGAACGCAGCTTATTGCATATGGAGGAACGAATGCAACATGTAGGTCAACGATACAGGTTTGAGTTTTTAGAACGAAGACATTTAGCTGAGATGGAGGGTTCTATTCAGCAGTTGGCGGTGCCCAATAGACACGGAGTTTATCCGAATATTACGGATGAGATGATTAGGTTACAGAGGGATGTTAGTAGGGTTAGAGAGGAGGTGCATAGGACTGCGGAGACGAGATCGGTTTCTCCTTCGAGTGAGGAGGGAGGTGTATGGTTGATCGAGGGGGAGGATGAGGGAGAAGTGGAATGGTCCACAAATACCAGGGCAGATCATCAGGATGTCCAACCTGTTCCAGCGATGCAAGAAGTTTCTACTCTTCAAACGGATACACGGGATAACGAATCCAATCCAGAAACTGAGAACTTGCAAGATATATCGCCGCTTGAAAGACGTGATATATCTCCGCATCCACGTCAACCTCACATATCCACCGCATACGCAAATGAAATTGCATCTATCATCGAAGCGAGTAATCGAGCTAGTGCCGAGAGAACAGAGCATGATATTGCTCGGATGCAATTGACACCGGGGCCACCGGAGCCACCACTATCCTATAGAACGATATTTCCGCACGAGGGAAATGTTGAAAATGCCTCTAGGAGTACGCCACAAATTCCAACCCATACAGGTAGAGAATCAAGAAATGCTATGAATGGAACAATGAATCCTGCTACACGTACACGGCGTCTACAACCAAGTACCAGTTACCACAGAAGTCCATCACATGAACAAAGTACATCTCCCACGGCCGAGCAACAATTCAAGGCTAGGACATTGTACCGCATACAACCACCGGCCCCTAATACCGCGCACGATTATCTAGCTAGGTGGCAATTGTACCTTAAAAGATCCGCTTGGAGAATAGGTTCCTGCCTCTACGAAGAATTGTTGCGTCGTCGAGGGAGATACACATTAATTCCTCCCGCCTCTAGCGCCATCTCCATCGAAGACGTTAGTGGGACCACTCGCTCTGATAAGGAAATCCTCACTGCGTATTTGCTCTCTGCATCTGATGGAGTTAAGGAAATTTTGAGATTGGTAGTACAGGATGGGATGCATGTTCAAGAAGCATGGCATTACATATTATTGTGGCAAGAGTTTATCTTGGAGTGGCCGGTGCATAAATATCATGATGAGCATGGATTAGTGCCGATGGATCTGATGATGATTATGCAGGGGTTAGATAATGGATGGGGACGCTGGAGGATGACCTGCAAGTGTAGAAGTGAATGTGCTGAATATCTTGCCAAGAGAACGATTTATAACCCATTTCCCTCCGCAGAGTTCCTGACTGCCAGGGTGGATTACGGAGTTATCACTACGCAGATTCTTCGGGATTATTTTGGCTCCAGACTCGTTCTCCTTGACCAGCAATGGAATTCCTTAGCAGCATTGAGAGAGAAAAATTATTTCACAGCACGCATACTTCAGCTCGCAACAAATTTCGCTCGGGGTTGTATCAATGTCGAAACTGTAGCAGTCAAGCTACTATTCGATGAATCGGAGAATGCAAAACGTAGAGAAATCTTCGATAGACTTAAAGTGGAAGAATTGCTACTTGCGGGTCCATGCGGGGCATTAAGCACTTCCCGCGCATGAAATGAAATGAGTGTTGGACATAGATTGGTAGGGTATATGTTGGAGGGATCTTTGGTACCGGAGGACGGAAAGCGGATCTTTGAGTAGTTTGATAGAGGGGTCTTGTTGAAGAGAATTTTATAGGTGGGAAGGCATTGGGGGGTGGAATTGGATGAGGAGCAGAGGGGGGCCACCAGGGCTATTTTGGAGACGAGACATGGAAATGAGGGCCAGGCAGAGTCGAGTACAATCACAAGAAATGCTTAATGCTGAGGAGCTTGGAGAAGATATTGAAGTGGAGATTTGATAAAGTAATGAGATTTGGGATAACTTGGTTTTTAAAGAATAAATAGATAGATGAGTAATATAATGAACACGTTGGATTTAAGAATATCACGTTTTATGCAAATGCCCTATGCATGTAAGTGTAAAGGCGTATTCGCAAGTAACTGTAATAAATATCAGTAGATCTATCTCCGAGTTTTGAATAACCAAATCGAGTAAATGTTGATATTGTTCTCATCTCTAAATCATTGAAGTATTTGGCATAGGTTGCTGCGACTTTGCGTAACTGGACTACCAGACAAGTTGAAAACGATTCTTAATCCATGTATTTGCTACATGCCACTATATCATTCAAGTCGTCGATGTACTGTCCACTGGTAAACGAATGCAATGTATTCTTTTCTTTCAAATGCCTGCCATATGTTGGTTGAGAGCTTCCCCTCTGATTTTAATATTAACAAACGGTCGACCCTTCTTGCAGATACTCCTATGAACCCAAGAAAACGCCTCAACTCCACTCTCTAATTCATACAAATCCCATTACCATACCTATACCTCCAAATTAAACATGCAACGTTTTCTTTTCCCTTGCCTCAATCTCCCTCAGCAAAGCCACCAAATCCCCTTCATTATTCTCCATCTCCAAACCCCTTCCAAGCCACTCTCTCGCCTCCTCTAACCTTCCCATCTCCATCAAACATCTTCCCCTCCTCCACCACGCCTTTGCATTCCCACCCCTCTTAGCCTCAACACTACATTCCGCATCCATAGCTCCCTCAACCCAATTCTGCAACGCCATATGCGCCTGCGCTCTATTTGCATACAATCCCGACACCTCATCTCTCACCAAGCCACAAGGTTCCCAAAGAGGTCTATTGAGCGCCATTTGTAAACCAAGAGTATACATTTTAATAGCTTCTCCATGTCTGCCTTTGCGAAACTCTCCATTTCCAGATTCCCGCAATTTGGTAATGTTGGCGGATCTTTTGGGGTTCACTGGGACGGGTGGAGGAGGAATTCCAGTCGGTGATTCCATGGCGATGAGTGTGCGACAGAGGTTATTGATTGTTTCTAATTCTTCATTGAGGGCTTTAGAGTTGGAGGAAGTTGATATGGTTTTTGATTTGTGATCGATATGTAGAGGTAAGAGGGTAAAAGTTTCAGTCTCCTCCATTTTGGCGATTGTAATAATTCGATTCGACTTCTATGTAGATTGATGATCGCAAGTTGTCAGATAGGTAAGTTGTCGATAGAACTTTTGGCTATTTGTAACTACGGTTGTGTAACCTTTATGTGTGTCCTTAACAAAAAGCTGTCCTTTCGCTGGAAGTGCGATCAGCCTCGCTTACCTAATATAAATATGCGCTAATCATTTCCTCCCCGCACATATAAAAATGAATTACGTATACCTACTTCGATTTTATAGCATTCTATTTCTACCAATTCATTTACTACCCGAAAGCATAATATTCAAGAGTCTACTTGTTCGTTGTATGTTTTGCCATTTCATTTGAAAATATACATACACACATACACACATACAGACAGACATACAGGCATAAATACGTATACACAGATATACATACATACTCTCATACTCCCATACTCCTATACATCCATCCCTTGATATCTTATAAACAAATTCCAAATAAACTTATCGAGAGTAAGACCTTGAAGAACATACATCGACAAGTAATAAAACAAATCCTTTCGGAGAACACATGAAAGGTAAATACAATGAATCCCTCTAAAAACAACATTGACAAACATTAAAACAAATCCATTGAGAAAATACATGGAGAATCGTGGTATAATAAATCTCCCGGTAAAACACCATACAACAGATAACCACCCAAAAAAAGCCACCCCTATCCTATGCGTGAAAATGTTTCAAACATACAGCTTCTTCTAAGCTTTAACCAAATTCTAAATCGCAGTCGTATGTTGGCCAATCATTCTTTCTATTCTTTTGCCTCTTGTTCTATGGACCATGCTCACTTGTATGAGGCCTATAGGTGATTGAGAAAGAAGAGCTTTGAGAAAGGACAGCTTTGAGAAAGAACAGCACAACTGTACGAGTGCCTTTGGATCATTTCGCACTCCGGGCCTCGGAAGCTTCCTTCCTTGAATCTTGAGCCTCCCAGGCCTCAACAGCTCTTCCCATTCTTTCTTAAAAAGCCTTGTAAGCTCTCTTCTCTAGTTCTTGAGCCTCATGGGCTCTCTTCTCTAATTCTCGAGCCTCGCGAGCTCTCTTCTCTGTTTGTACAGCCTCTTGAGCTCTCCTCTTCTCTTCTGCTCGTCGAGCGAGGAAAGCCTTTTTCCTTGCTTGTTGAACCTCGCGAGCCCTTTCTCGTGATTCTTGAGCCTTTTGAGCTCTTATCTCATCTTGTTGAGCCCCTTGAATTCTCATCTCATACCGTTGAGCCTGTTCAGCTCTAATCCCTGCTTTCATATCCTCGAGAACTCTCCTTGCCTCCTCTATTTCTCGAATGCGAAGAACTTCCTCCCATTCCAGCCGAGCCACCTTGCCTCCCTGTCCAGAATTGCCAGCTGTTTCATCTTCCTTCGGATTACTGGATGAGGTTTTGATCCTGAGTTTTAGTCGAAGCTGTGGCTGAGCGTTTGGAGGTGTGTATGTCAGTTTAAGCCGACCCCAACTCATAGTGGCTGGAGCAACCGGGGCAACTGGGACGGGTGCATTCATATTCGGGCTTTTCTGGATATGCTTCCGCCTCTGAGGTCCTTGTTTGCCAGCAGCAACATCCTCAGATGTATCTCTCTCCATTTCTGCATTATGTGCTTTATGTTCTTCTGTAGTCTTGACCCGCTTGTTCGAGGTAGTGGCAGCTGCTGTTGCCTTTCGCTTTCTCTTTGCATTCTGCACTAGTTTCAATTCCTTTACCTTCACGGACTTGTTCAAAGTTCGCCCGCTGCTTGGCCTCCCGACAGTAGTGTTCTCTCCTGCTTGACCGCCATCTGTTACTGAGGCAATAGACGCTCCGCTAGGTGGTGTGTAGGCTGAGGCCTTGTTTGACTTTGGATTTGGTTCTGGAAATGACATTTTGTGAGTTCGGATTGTAAAGGTCGTTCCCTGAATCAACGGTTGTTGTATAGTTATGAGAGCCATCATTTGATTTCGATATGATGGTCGCTCGATGATGATAGACGTATAAATATGACTCTTTTATTTAATTACGATGGTCGTTGTCTCGTTATGGCGATGGGGTTTTCCGGTCTCGACCTTCGTTGTCTAAAAAAGTAAACAGAGTTGTGCCCCAAAGGCGGGTTACTTTCCGAGACGACTCATTAGCGTCCTTGTAGTCATTTTGTCTGATAGTTTTACTGTACTTGATACGGACTGCCTTCGGGATCGCTACTCTGTGATCTTATTGGATTAGATAAGATAATGAGGGCGTTTCAATTATAAAAAAAGTCCGGGTTAGATAATACAACATTAAAAGTTTAAAATTCTTCGAAAATTTGAATTGAATATGAAGATTATTATGTGATTCGAGTAGAGACGCTATCCAAAACTTAAAAGAAGTAACGAGATAGATTGCAGATAAGACACATTCTACCTCGAAGAATATGCTTCCATCGCCGGTCCATGGCAATTTCCCGATCAAAGTTTTTGGTGTTATTCATGTAAGACGATAATGAACTTACTCATTGTTCAATCACAATCACAAATATCACGATTACCGTAAAATCTTCACAGTGAAGTAGGCAAAATGAAAAAAAAAAAAAAAAAATCTATTTGAATATCTCAACCTATGTGACTGTTGTGTTCCAAAATGATTCAAAACTAAGTACGAAGCACAAACTTTGGGTCTTTGATTGTTGCTTTCGAGATTGTCATGAAATATTCCCAAGATGCGCAGCAGTCCAGCACCGTGGACATCCTTTCCATCCCCAGCCTATCCACCCATTATCACCCAGCCCTTTACTCCAAAACGCCTATCGTATCCTCGTTATTTTCAGTAGAGAACCGAATAAGAGCTTTAACGGCCTCCAGATATCTTCTTCGCGGAAAAGTCGAATTTTAACTTGAGCGGCTTCCATTCCGGTGTACGGGCCAAGACATAACTGGCAGGTATGTCCCACTCATCAATTTCCTCCTCCACCTCATTCGTGACGGTAGGGTCCTCAGCTTTAGCAAGCGCCTTTTGCTTGATTGAGGAGATTTTTGGCGCAGGAGAGGCGGCTTTCTTTTGTCTGGATCCAAGAGAAAGTTTGATCTTAAGGCCCGTTCTTGCCTGTTCGGCTCTTTTGGCTTCGCGTTTGGCCCGGTCTGGCTTCTGTTTTTGCCTCTTTGGCAGCGAGTCAAGTTGTTGGCGCCACTGATTGTCCTTCTGGAAGATAATGGCAGTTGTTAGTTTATAATTGCTTGCTTCGATTAAATATGAATGAGTGAGTTTATATCGAAATTTGAGGATTTGGAACAAATTTGAGGATGTCGAGACGGCGAGGAACTTGAAGACGAAAGAGAAATCTACACTTATCCTTGTTGGTAGAAACATCAATTTCTATTTGGACTGATTAGAACCAATTGGGGTTGAATCTATTGGCTTTCTTCATTTTTGCTTGCTAGCGCCCTTCCGCTAGAAGAGCCCGCCCCTATTAGCCTGGAGCCAAGTTCACTAGACTGAGAAATTTACTATACATTCGCATCCTCATATTGGTAAATATTTACACCCCTCATAACATACAACAATGATATTTTTTTCATTTTTAAGACACGAGATGGTATTTAGGATTCAATTTCTCACAATTTCTCACAATAGACTTGCCCCCTTTATAGATTTGTGAAATATCGCTCGCTAAAGATGACGCTTTGACCACATAGTTTTTCAAGTGAGTGATGTCATCATAAACCGTTGGAATGAGTATCTCCCTTTGATAAATATCTTAAATATATCTCAATCGCTCCTTCCCATCTAACTTCCAACTTGTTCTCTTTCTAATTATATTTATTGCGTAACTCAATCTCAAAAATTATGGCGTCTGCAACCTCGAAAGAATATGCTGTGAGCTAATTTTTGCCCTTCTACCTCTATATCCTGAGTTCCTACTGTGAGTTTATTTCATATTCCACTAAAATTACTCCAATTGCCTTTTTGGGTTATTAACTATACCTCCAATCCTTCAGCAGTGAAAGCTTCTAACATACAACCACTAAATACACATAGATTTCTTCCTCGTTCTCCTCCGTACCCTCCTCCACAAGCCCTCTCGCGCCCTCCATCTTTCCAACATAGCCTCCCAATCCTTCGGTGAAGCATGGGCCGCCCTCGACGAAGGCGATCCCTACGCTGGTCCCCTTGCCAACATTCTCCCCGTTCTCTCCACCGCCTCCGGTACAATACTCGAAATCGGTCCTGGCTCAGGCGAACAAGTGCGATTTCTTACAAATGAACATGTAGAGAGGGTGTATGGAGTAGAACCATGCGGGGTTTTGCATGAACTGTTAAAAAAGTCAGTGCGGGAGGCAGGTTTGCAGGGGAAATATAGGATCTTGGGATGTGGAGCTGGGAGGGAGAGTTTGAATGAGGAGTTGAAGAAAGTGGGTTTGTTGAAAGACGACAAGAAGGGAGGAGTGTAAGGGGAAGTTTTCGATACCATCATTGTCATCAGGGTTTTATGCTCTGTGAATAATTCGATCGACACCATTGATTTCCTGTACAAGTTGCTGAAGCCTGGCGGTAGACTTATTATCTTCGAACATATTAAAATCCCTGGTGGAAAGGCACAGGTATTTTGGTGGCTAGATGTACGCAGATTCTGTATCAATTGGCTGGCTGGAGCTTTTTCATGGGTAATTGCCATTTGAACCGAAGGACGGATGACTACTTGAAAGCGGTGGGAGAGAAATATGGGGGCTGGGAAAAGGTGGAATTGAAGACTGTTGGGGGCTTTGCTGTGCTTCCATTTGTGTCTGGGGAGTTAGTTAAGAGGAGATAGTGAGATAATGTGAATCTTTAGGGATATTTATGTACTTACTTTTATTGCTCAATAACTGGTCTATAAGGAGGAGAAACGAGACAACTAAATTTTGAGCTGGGTGCAGCAGATAGATGAGAATATTGGATGTCCCCCGTACAAATGGATATAACGAACAGTATCGTATCACACATTTGCCCCAGGATGTTTTGTAGTAAGTGAAGAATTGGCAGGATGATCACATAGCCAATTTTGGCCACAATTATTTTGAATTATAGTCAAAAAATATACGAAGTGAGGATGGCACAGGTTTTCTATTCAAATTATACCAGCTGTCAATATTTGAAATATCCAGATGAAGTTGTTTTCATATAAATCTCTCCTCCTCCGGTATGACTAAAGTATCTCAGCATTATTGGCATGGTCCTGAAGATAGCTCAAAGAAATAAAAAGGGAACCATAGCAGAAAATACTAGAACATTGATATAGAAGGCTCAACACCATGTTGCCGAAGAATTGCTGAGTAGACAGCTCACGATTTGTCGTAAAATCTTACCTGAGCCAAAATTGAGACCTATGATCCCAATCTATAGAAGTGTGTTAAAGCTAGTGAGTAGAGTAATGAAATTCATGTACCTATGGATAATAAATCAAAAAAAGGAAACAAAGAGGAGCTTCATGAGGGGTTCCATGGAGTCACATGATCTTTTCACGTGATACCAGAAATCGATCTCCTGCGCGTTTGCAACCAGATAGCTTGCTTCTAAAAGTAGGGTGAATAGAGTGAAATTATTGACATCCCTCATATAACCCAGAGTCTCGCAAAACCATGTGTTTTTGATCTTTCACAATCTTTCAGAAATACGCGGAGAAACGACATGCTTTTTCGAATTTCGATCACTGCATCTTTGTTCACGAATTTAAAATGCTACATTTAGAGATTAGCAGTGACGACGATCAACCGGTTAGATTCAAGCGAGCCAACTTGGAAGCAGAAGCATTTGAGTCACGTAAGTATTGTAGATATTCTGAAGAATGAACACGAAGACGGAATATAGGCAGGATAATGAGTTCAAATAATGCTATCATGACCATGAAATCTTCTATCCCAAAGCTTAGCCAGAACCGAAGCAAGAGCATCAAAATATGAAGAGCTAGGCTGAGAATTCTCAACATACCAAGATCACTTCGACGGCGTCCTGATGTAGTTTTCTCTGCCAGTAGAAGAAACTGGGATAATTAGAACCTAGGAAAAATCTAAGGAACAGTATGCAAAGACAATAAACGAATTTTATACAGAATGATGACTTGACAACAGGAATCGAGATATTCCAAGACCTCCTTCTCACTTTTTCGAAACTGCTGTTCATACTAATCATGCACATCCCTAACCTTGCAAATAAGAATAGATTTATAAAACTAATCTACAAGAAACAAGATGTATGTATACTTATAATTCATTCAATAATATCATGATCTTATCAGTTTCTTGGATTGCTGTTACAGATTTCACATTACTATCCAAATCCTCCACTAACACATAGGTGATATAACAAAAACCCTAAAATCTTCTTATTCATCACTGTTCAAATCTATCATTTATCAAACGCATAAGTTTCTCGATTAGTCTTCAATGTATCTTATCTTAATAAAGACGTACTAAGAACACTAAAATGATACTTTAGAAAATTTTAGTGTTGGCACCATTTCAGGAGCAGCGAGCTTGAACGGGACTTATTCACATCCTGTGATCTCTTCTTGCTGGAATACTTCTATGATATTCATAGGTATGCATACCACTGTACTTAAAACGTTAATTAGTATATCGTCCTTCATTGATTCAAACATCCCTTCTAATTTACCTAGCCCTTTGATTATAAGGTTAACCTTATCATCCTCCAACATCTACTTGCCTCAATCAATACACATTACCCTACCAAGCTCTTACATTTATATACAAAACACTTCCTAATTCTGTTTAATTTCCTCCCCCTCTCATCAACTGATATAAGCCATTTATACCATATCTCGACACCTTACGCAGTAGAACTTAATTCCTTAGATCCCTGAACGCCTACCCATATCTACAACATAGCCCCACAGCTTCGCTCGCTAAACATCGCGTAACCAATACAAGGAAGTCCGAAACTAGGAAATCCACGTATATGAAACACTATATTTCTCGCTAATGTTAGATCTATTTAATTCAGTCTTGCTTCTAAACAATCTTTTTTTTGGGGAATTTCCAAAGAATAATATATAAGAAATCACCCGTGTAAGACATTCACCATAAAATTGACATGTGAATCTCGGCTGTCTTGACCCCTCCTTCCACTATTGTAAAATCTTATCAATACCACTACTGCAATAATTATAGAATTTTGCTCAGCAATAAAATTTATACGACCATTTGTGCCAATTGATGGAATTCTTCCAGATTTTTAATTAAATTATCGGAATATGGTGCTACGGAGCAGCTTTAAACGAATGTCTTTATATTGTGTCAATCATGACTGAATGGCTGGTGCTATTGTGCAATTTATAATACATATTCGAGTTCTCGAATACTAGTTAGGAAACCCGCAATAACAAGTCCTCACAATTTCCCATGAATATCTGAAGCGAGAGACTGAAATCATCGATTAAACCCTTATGCTGGGAACACCATATTTTCCACTGACAGTAAAACTGTTTTTCTCCGCGTCAAATTTCAAAAGTATGTTACTAACCAATTCCAATGAGTTGTATCTGATCTATACTTGTGTTAGCTTCTAATCTGAACTTAGGAATTTATGCTTGATCGAATCCCTTGGCATCAACTGAGCCTATCACATCTGAGCAGCAGCCTTCCCAAAATGCCCACGATCGCAGAAAAGTAGAAGGGAAGGAAAGGGGGGCAAAATAAACTCACAGTAACAGTCCATGTACCCATATCTTCGAAACCATCGATACTGATTTTCTTCTGTTTCCACTTCTTCTTTGCTCTTAGCTCCGTCGCCCTGTCCAAGCGAAAAAGTTTGTAAAATACATCCGCAGACGGGACCATGGAAGTATAAGACCAGCGTTTTCCTGACGTCTTGCAACTTGGCCTAATGGATATGAACGTTAATTTATTTTGTGCGGGGTGTGCGTTTGAATATTTATGGACGAGGCAATATCTCATTGGAAAATCTCGCATGGATAGGAAAAGCTAATACTTTTATGGTGAAAGAGAGGAGAATGGAAGGAAAAATTCGAGATGAAGGAGAAGAGAATATACGCCCACTTCATTTGCAATTTAATTGCATCGCGCATTACTTGCGCCATATTTTTTGCTTGTTGCTTCACGATATATGGATCGTATTTCGGTGCAGCTGTATGCTCACCCGTCTTCACCCCTCCTTTCGCAATTTGCGCCTCGAGGTTTGCGATTTTCGCCTCGTCCTTTTTGTTATCAGACTTAAGCGCCTTAATGATATCCCGGAATCGACTGTTTTCCTCGGTGTAGGATTCATTGCCACGGATATACTCACCAATCTCATCGTTTAAAGATCGTGTCTGCTGGAATAAGTAGGTGACTTCTATGTGATAGTTCTCCACGTCTTCCCATGACTTTTCAATTTCATGCTCATCTTCATCGGCTTTTGCTTCTAGTTTTTCTATGTCATTCTTCATGTTTCGAAATTCGATGATCTTACTTCGATGAGCGTCCTGAAGGTTTCCGAAGAGTTCCACTAATTCTGTGTGATCTGTGGTAGCCGCCTCGTATTCATCGAGGTATAGGATATTTTTGATAAGATGCACTGTTTGTCGTGGTTTCTTAGGTAGAACGGTGGAAGAGGACGGAGCGGAGGTAGAGGCTCGTTTCGGCATCTTGATTTGAGGGAATAGTCGTTGATGGCAGAATATGCGAGACTGAATGATATCAGAAGATGAAGATACAAACAGCAGTTCAAGGTAAAATGGATCAACAGTTGATGGCCTGGATAACTTGAATCTTTTACTTCAAATACCAAGATAAAAAGAATTAAGCAGTTTACACGATACGAGTCATCAAACTCTTAAATAGATCGAATACCAAAATGATGGCAATGGGTAGAAGAGAGAGATTCGGGTCTTTGACGTCCTCTGTATCTATTTAATCAGGGAAAGTGCGGGGTATCTCAATACACCCGAGGTTATGACTGATATTAGCTTCGAGGTAAATTAGCGGCTTTTGTCGCTGGAATCATGGTGAATAAGCACAATGAATAAGGGTCACGTTATACACTATATCTATAGTCAACGCATGGATAAGCTCAAGCTACGAAATCTGGAACTATGAGTGAGCTCGAAGAGAAATCTCTTCCGCTCCTAAGCCAATTCCTATATCGCTACCGACAGAGATTAGGGGGCTTCGCTTTTGAAATGATTGTAGGTTTCGAAGTGAGCTTTTGCCGAGAAAAGACATACAACCAAACCACACGATATCCTGACAAGTCTTTTATGTTATGGTAGCACCAAAATTCTCTTTTGTCAATAGACAGCGCTTAGAAAATTCTTCATTTCTCCATAATTATAATCCTTCAAATTTCAATTTCGCCGGCCATGATAAGGTCATTGATTTCGCAAAGACCCTCTTCAACCACGCACAGACTGTATTCCCCTCTAAGATCTACGCTCAACTTCCAAAGCAATCCTCCGCCTTGAAATATCAAAGTGATGTACAGGGAGATCACAACCTCCCACAATGCGTTTAAACTCATTCACACTAATTCTCTTCTCCCAAAACTTCATCTCGCCAAGCTCGTTTACCGCATTTATTCCAAAAGCTGTAAAGAATACACTTGTAGAAGAGACCCTCCAGATAAAAGACCAGCTTGATGGGCAAATACTGTACTCCTGTGGTGATCTTACGAGAATTCATTAGTACCAATTTGCGCTGCAATTAAAGTTCAAAATACGGAATTGAAAAGGGTCAGCAGAGGAGGCAGAAACACACATACAACTGAAGGAATAATAGACTAATTGAAACCATACCGGTACTTCATCGCCCCCATTACTGCGCATGCAATTTGTCCTAGTGTTTCATGAGCTTCCTTCTTGGATAATTTAATTTGAGTCTTCCTCAGAGCCGACCTTTTTCGTATCGACAACGTCCTCCAAACCTTCCCTTACAATCAGAGTTTCTAACATCAAAATCCTCCCTGCATAATCCAATGTAATACCATTCAAATCCGCAAGTTTCTTTTAATTCTACACGCCAAAAAACTCAATACGATCCTACAGATCCTCGTGGAAATCAACATGACGCTCAACTATAGCCTCCATATTTTCAATTATTTCCTTCAGTCTCTCAATTTCGTTCTCGGGTTCTCCGACTCTTTCACTGCTCCGTCGATTTCCATGAATAAATTCTCCCAAGTTGATCTTCACCGCCAAAGAAGTATCCTGAAGACTATTAATTGAATATACTGCCAGTGATTTCGAAAGATCTTAACCGTGATCCCAATCTTCAGAAACTAAACCGATTTCGGCAAAAAGTAGTGCATCTTCGATACCAGCGGCCGTTTGTCGAGGTCTATGATATTTCGTCTCGAAATAGCAAGGGAGAAGGAAGGAACTGATACGTTTCCACATTGTTGAATTAGATGTCTGGTTTCTAAGAGAGGATATATGTCTAAAATGTACTTACGTCCCTGTCATATGGAATAATTAGTTTATTAGCATCAAGATTTAACTACGTCATTTACCTTCACTTCTCCGAAAGTGCGGGGTTAATTCTTTACTTGCCATCTGTCTAACGTGGATCGGATTGACCTAGCGCTAGTTAGGATGATTTGCTTAGCGAGGTCAATGTTGGGAGGGCCAATAAAATTAGACATCTTTGTATCCTCTTTTGTGATGGATTAGGCTAGAATCTAGATATAACTCAAAAGTTATTAGTTAAGAGTATATTCTTCTAACACAAAATCCTTGAAAATTATTTTTCCAATGACAACATATTTTGTTCTACATGAGCTCATGAGAATAACCAAGCAAAATCCTCATGATGTACTAATCTTCTAGATTGTCGAAAAAATCAAAATCGCTGTAATTATTCCATGTAACCTTGCTACGTTCGTTGTATGAAATGCAATATCCTTTCCACCTGCAACCGCGCAAATTTAAACCCCCAGTATCCAGTTGAACTTCAACATATATATTCAATTCATATCCATGATATCCATATCCAGCTACTCCTAACACAACCAAATTTCCTACCACTTTGAATCAAACGCCAACCATTATGTCATACATATCGACTACCCACAGTGTTGTTACGAGGTTTGCCGTCTAGATCACGTGGAAGTGCTCTAGGCTCTCGAGGTGGTTTATAACTAGGCGTCAAGCAGGGACTTAAGTAATGGCAATGATGCAATTCGTAACTAATAGTAGAGTATACTAAATGATTGATCTTGAGCACAAAGCTCTATACAAAGGAAATCCATCATGATTATATAGACCTTCGTGTTCCAACATTGGGTTGGAGCGATGGAGCTGGGGAGCGAGATTCGAATCTCGCTCCTTCGCTCCCTCGCTCCCTCACATGACTTTCCACGTGATCCTATAACACGTGATAATAGTTTATGATGTTACAACGTAACAAGTGTATCCAATAGTCTTCCCGTATTCCGTCTGGATGGCCGTCCGGATGGCTAGTCTGTAATTTAATTGGACTAGATAGATTATTGGGAGGGTTCTTATATAAAAATTTCGGATTAGATAATCTAATATTAAAAAGTCCAGATTACCGTCTAGACTTTTGGATTGGTTAATTTTGTATTATATTTAATATAAAAAATTATATATTCAAAATCTATTAATTATACTCATACTATTAATAAATATATAATTATCTACTTCTAAATATATATTATATGTTAAAGTGAATGGTTCCTGCGTAGCACGTGCACAGGGCACTAGTCCTATTAGGACTAGATTGAGAAGCTCTCTGTAGGAGAGCTTCGCTCTTCCGTAGAACTTAGAAGAGTGATTAACCTACTAGACCAATATTACCTCAGTTCTGCCCCATCAGCTTCCCACCATTCCCTGTGTAAGGTCATTCCTTTTAATATATAATTCAATTATTAAATAATCTAAAAGTCCAGATGAGCTGGATTACAGTCCAGCTTATTGAGGTACCTTAGTATTCAAAATGGATTGTTTAATATATCAGTAGATTAAAATTTGACTGTTTAACTTAAAATATCTAGTCTATCCTGCAGTCCGGACTATTGGACACACCGAAGTTGGCACGATTCATTAATTCACGTGACCTCGAGGACCTTGAGGACCGAAGGGTCCCAAAGGTCCTCAAAAGATGATATAGGGTATATAAACATTCATTTAGTCTCGTAGTTAAGGAGCTTTGTGCTCAACTTAGTTATCAATTAGTTTACCTACATTCTACTTGATCTAGTAACGACTTCACTTCCAAGTGAAGACCAGTGATAAAGCCTTAACCCACAACTACCAACCAGACGAAACCTTAGGCAGCCGCTGCCTCCAGTATAGTATCGTTACAGAAGTCTACCCATAGGAGAGTTTCCAATGCCGTTAAATATCAGTGGGAGTAAAAACGAATCAACCATGGTTAGCTAAGAATAGCTTGAGTGAGTCGGGATATAGTGAAGTCAAAACGTATACCCCTCCTGCTAGCTTCACTTTGAATAAAGATCAAACAGTTATTACCAAATCCTATGACAACACACTTGAGCTGGAAAATGTTTCTTATTTGAGAAATATATGGGATGGAAAGCTACTAAAACGGTTTATGATAGGAAAATCTTCAACTGATAGAGGTGTAGGCATTGATTCAAGCCATCAGAAAGATGTATAAGTGGAAGAAATACAGCCTATCCACGCGGCACTCTTTTTCGAGAGAAGAGGTATGGTATCCTTATTGCCTATAACTGTACACTATTGAGTGCAATAGCCACTATCCGACTTTGATAGGGTAGTGCAGCCCTTGAAAGAAGAAAAGAAAAAGAACTAAAAAAATTCCAGGCAAGATAATCCAAATCCAATACCTGGCTGTTTCTTCGTAAAAAAAAAGGCGGTTATATAAATCTGGCTTCCAGAACGCCGATTGGCCAACCATGGAAATGTGTCAAAGAGGTGGAGCTATGGCTTTCCCACCCTCAACTATAATCTGTTCATCGATTCGCTTCTCTATATCTCCATACTCGAGCCGCTTGTAAGTTACTATCTTCGCTTCATTCATGTCGATTTCGAAAAGACGAATCCGGCGATGATATCCGCCGTATCCCCCATAACCTCCAAACCCTGCACCACCACCATAACACATCCAAAGAGCGGGACTTTCGTCCTCTCTTCGAGAAAGAGAACAGTATTCATTTGCATGATCACTATATCCAGTCAAAGGAGTTCAAGAAAATGGAGAAGGTGAATACTTACTGTCCGCAACTGACCATTACTACACCCTGTTCTACAAGGGCATCTCGGAAACCAGAATTGAAGCCTGGTGCAGTGACTCCTTCGCGCCATGCCCCCTCTTTATAAAGGGTATCATCTCTATATTCAGGTAATGGTATATGAATAAAGGCAAGATCCATATGAATATGGGAATACCCTTCATGTGCTTTTTTCAGCCCCCCGGCAGTTTGTTTGAACCAATCTATTTGATTCTTTTTCAACCAATCATATCCTTTAAATGATCTCTCATCTGGTGAATATGAATGGGTGTCGAGTAAGTATATTGTCAAAGCAGAATGCTTCGAGCTACCTTGTGCGAGTACTTCAACAATATAGTTTCCTACTCCTTCGATGTCTTCTGGCCCCGCTTCAGATAATGAGTACGGAAGAGACTCGATTAGTTCCATTTGTTGATCTCGGGGTAAGGATCCTTCATCATCATGATTACCAAATATTGTCGCATATGGAATTTTACGCTGAATGAATAACTCTGCATATTTGAAGATAGCCTAATTCTGTTAGATGGTAGGCGATAAAAATCAAAAGAAAAATTCTTACACTCTGTGCATCCGGCGCTGTCTCTCCATTTATTTGATCACCACTTAGGATGACCAAATCTGGCTTTTCTTCATCAAGTAATCTTCCAACGAATTCCAATGTCCTAGGATCAGCCTCACACTTCCCGCCATCCTCCGGCATTGCATCTCTACAATGCCCAGTCCCCGTACTCAAGTGTAAATCTGCCGCTTGTAAAATTTTGAATTTTCCATTGTCCCTTATGCGAGGTGTTGGTTTGTTTGGCTTGATGAGCTTTCCTCTCCGTACGCTAAGCCTGGCTTCCTGCACCTCCCCAGAAGAATCCAGTAATAATGGCGTGCCTTTCATTTCCCATCCATCCCTTGGATCTACAGCATCAGCACCAAACAATACATCCACAGAAGTAACCGCCTTATCAGAGTCACTCGCGTGGCGCTTCGCCGATCGTTTCAGCCATAATCCAGCGGGTCTCGACTCCCATCTCTCATCGCCTTCGTCTTTCGTGGCAGTCGCTGGATCCAATCTCCCTACATTAACATCCACAACAACCTTATCCTCCGACGTTAGTTCCTCTTCTTTCTTCCTCTGCACATGCATATAAGCGCTATTGATCCAACCCTGTCCCAAATACAAGTCCTTCTCTATACGATGCCATTTTTCGGCATCTAGCTTGCAGCTTGTGAATAGGTTGATTTTAGAACATTTCGTGACAGTAATATCTGTAATTACTACACCCGGATGATGTGCCGGCATATAATCATGAATTGCAGCAGGGAGGACTCGATATCGATTGTCCAGGAACCATAGGACGATGATGGTAAATAGGGCAAGAGCACCAAGCTGTGTTACTGTACGAACCTACTCGGAGATCGGTAAGCAGGGAAAAGGAAGACATGGGAGAGTTATACCCACAATTCTCCTGGTCATCTTGATAAGCTGTAGCTCTATTGAGCTATTTACAAACAGCTTTTAGCTCACACAGTCGTTAAGCTTTGCTTGAAGGAATGAATTGGTTATCCCATCCGTGAGATTTGATAGAACATCTCACTGTTACTATTCAGGCCTCTCATTTACAAGACTCAAGCATGTATAAAATGGGGTTAACAAGATGGTGGAGAGAGTTTGAGTTTAATGCTTGCATCAACACATTGTTGCATTGATTCATCTCGATTTACTCCCTCCCGGTAAGGTCTTTTGATGGCAGATCTGGGGTATAAATGACACTAGCCTCTTGGGTACTAGCGCCAAAACCCCCTGACAACACCACAACATCTTCCAGAATTTGGACGATCACTTCCTTGACATGTGGTAGGTGCATGGAGCAAAACACATAGGAAACATGAGGGGGCTGTTCCATACCTACTCGTAGTAACGCAGAGAACGAAGATTTGAAGAGTAAATTTCTATTTTTGCTACGTATGTATTGGTACAATAGTACAAAGAGAACCCCATATTATACATTTATACTTCCATATCCATTTTCTTCCAAACTCCAACAAATCCTCCACCTGTTACCCTGTCTCCAACCTTTGGTCTGCAGATCATCTCCCATCCTGACATATCTGTGAAATCGCCGAGTCCTCTCGTACTTGCTTGTACACTTACACTTTCGGACTCAGATGTTTCCATACCTTCTTCATTCGCTTCGAGTTCGTCTTCCATGCCCGCGGAAGACTCAATTTCCCCCTTCTTCCCCTTTCCCTTCCTCTTCTCATCTTTCGAAATCTCAGCGAGAAATTCGTCAACAGCAGAGGCTGATTTGGCCTCGTCTTCTTTCGCCATTCTTTTCACAGTGGCTTTCTTCTCGGCTTTAATTAATGCTCGTGGTTTTACTGATCTAACCTCCCATTCTCGTCCTCCAGTACTAAGTTGCGATCCCAACTCTAAGACCCTGTCCAAAACAAAAGGCAGTTTCTTCGATTTCACAGCTTCCAGGCACTTCATATGTTGCGTGACGCTAGGGCACCATGTAATCAAACGCCCATTAGGCTTAAGACACTTGCCGACAATTTCCATTTCGTCTTGAATAGCCGGGATATCTAAGATAGCGTGATCAAGGAAGACATCCTGGGTCTGTTCGAATCGTTTTGAGAGATAACCATGAATGGTACCAACATGAAAATCGATGTGTGGGAAATAAGCTCCATGGCGGTAATTTCTGACAGTTCTTTGCGCATGCCTCGAGTGATTCTCGTCCAAATCTAGGGAATGAATCACAGCCCGTCGCTGCGAGCGCCATTCATTGTATAGCTTAGTCATCTTATCATTTCTATCACCGAGTTTACCGCCGTATCTATAGATATCATCATCTGGATTAACCTTACCACTTGTTTTGGGAAGCTTTGGTATTGGTGGAGCCCTTGTGTTCGCCCCATGAATTGCTCGTGCAAGATGTAATGTCAAGGAACCGGCACCAGTGCCAGCCTCAAAAATCTCCAGTTTGTTTTCATCATGCTTCACAAAGTCCCAGTCCTCTAGCAATTCCGATTCAGTAAGCTGCGCGGATTTGTCTGGAAGCTCCTTGAACTCTTCCAAGAGATCGCCCTCATCGGAAATGTTCTCAAATTCCGAACTCTCGCTTCCGGGTGTTATTTCTGGCTTCAAATCAACACTCTCTTCGGTCTTGCTTTCTTCTGGGGTTATTTCTGGCTTCCAACTAAGGCTCTCATCGGTCTCACTCTCTCCGGGGATTACTGCTTTCTCCAAAGCGTCACTATTTTCTGAAACAACAGATTCCTCAAGTGGTCGATTGGGACGAAATTTTTCTCTTTCTTTAGCAATTTCAGATTGGGAAGATGGTGCTGCCACATAATTGATGTCCAATAAGGAAACGATCAAACTTGCATCTTGAGAATAGATCTGATCCAAAGGTCAACCAACATATGCAATACAATTTTCGGTACGACTAACTTACGGGTGTGACAACTCTCGGAGCATTATCACAATATTCCCCAAGTGTAGGTTCATAAATTCGGAATAAAGCCCTTCTACCACCAGCCACTACAGATCTGTATGGTCTTCCAATAACATCGTCTGCCTTGACCTTTCTGTGATCTCTAAATACGAGAGAATCGCCATGTTTGACGGGCTTTGACAAAACAGGCAAAGACTTTTGATTTGTCTCGGGCTTCAACAAAATAACATCATTGACTTTATCAAAATTAGTAAAGCTGTAAAAATTGACCGAGTGAGAATTTACCTTTGACTAATCTCTGAGTAAAAGAACGACGAAGACTACATGATAAGCTCAAGGATTTAGAAGAATTCAACCTTCTTGCACCAGAAAATATGGTGCGTTGGATTGTTGACATTGTGAATATCGAATAATTTGTTTCTCAATATATCGAGACAATCACGCTTTTCACATGTAACTATAAAACTTCAAATATTTTTGCGCTAGCGGCCGCATAATTGCCGGGGCTTAGGTACACCAGACCAGTAGCTAGCTCTCAGCTCAACTCAGCTGAAAGCCGAGGCAACCTATCTCTCATGAACATCTCAGTTCGTTCTCAACAACATTTATATATGTATATATCGTTGAATTTATTACAAATCTATTCTTGAATTTGATATCTCACACAACCATCCAATATGTACACAGAAATCGAAGGAACCCATAAAATTGGGTCCCAATCTCTCTACACCAAAACCTGGAAAGTCAGTCAACCCCTCCCTCTCCCAGCCCATTCTTCAATAAAAACTAACCGAAACTTCAGCCTGATGCACCTCCAAAAGCCTTACTAATTTTCATCCATGGCTTCTCCGATCACATAAACCGCTACTATATTCTCTTTCCTACGCTTGCGTCTCGCGGGATCGAAGTACGCGCTTTCGACCAACGAGGTTGGGGTCGCAGCGTCACCAAACCTTCTGAAAAAGGTCTTACAGGACCAACCTCCCTCGTAATATCCGATATCGTTTCGTTCATCAAAGCACAAATGCCTTCTCCTGTTCCTATATTCCTAATGGGTCACTCGATGGGTGGAGGCGAAGTCATTACTTTGGCTAGTGATCCCAAGTATGCGGATTTGATGCATAGTATACGAGGATTTCTTTTAGAGGCACCTTTTGTTGCGTTTCCCAAGGGATTTGAACCGAGTTTTCTAACTGTGTTCTTCGGGCGATTGGCAGGGAGATTCCTGCCGCATAGACAAATGGTGAATAAACTTCCACCGGAGAATCTTACCAGAGATCCGGAGGTTATAAAATCGATAAATGAGGATACCTTAATGCATAATACGGGAACACTTGAAGGGCTGGCAGGAATGTTGGATAGAACTGCTGCGATGAATCAAGGAAAGACGAAGTTAAATCCAGGTGTTAGGAGTTTATGGTTAGGACATGGGACAGAGGATAAAGGGACGAGTTTTGAGGGAAGTGAGAAGTGGTTTAATCAACAGACGGCTTTGACGGATAAGGAGTTTAAGAGATATGAGGGATGGTATCATCAGTTGCATGCAGATTTGCCTGATGATCGCGAAATTTTCGCTCAGGATGTTGGGGATTGGATTTTGGCTAGATGTGATGGGGAGGAAGGAAGTAAAGTGGGACAATCGAAGTTGTGATTCATGACATTTTAATGAAGAGGAGTTGGCGTTGTTTAAAGAGCAGAAGACTTTAGAGCAGAGGAGACTCTAGAGCAGAGAAGACTTGTACAATACCCGTGCAATAGAGCTAATTTAGGTTGATTTTATCTGTTGTTATCTTCTAGATTTACCGAACGCTACAAAATTACCCTTCGGTCTAGAGTCGGTAATATCGACCGACTTGAAGTCAGTCTTCTTCGATCTCTGCACCTTTACGGGAACTACTTCATCAGACATCCCCCCATACGAAGCAAGATAACCTTGCAACTTCCATAACCTCATCTGTACCTCTTTCGTAGCATTCTTATGTTTGACAACCAAAATCTGGTTCTCAAAAATCCGATTGCCCTCCCTCATCTTCTGAATCCAATCCTTTCCCATCATCGTTCTTAGATTAAACACCGGCACAACTTTTCTTCCTCCGGGTCCAATCCTCTTGGTTTCAAATTCTCCGGGTGGAGTTTCTTGCTCATATTCCTGTTCCTCTGCCTGCTGTCCTTCTCCCGAAACAACCTTTTGCCCCATCCATAACACACATCCAACCTGCTCACTATATTCCACTCTTTCCCAAGTCTCACATTTGTGTATATATCGATTATCCCTACTACACAAGTACTCCAACAATTCCACCGTTCTCCTCCTCATCAATTCCAGCAAGAAAGTATCCATATCTGATCTCCAAAGCGCTTGCAACGTAACGTGTTTCCTCGCAACACTTCTCGCATTTACGATGCCGAATTTCTTGTAAATCCCTGTGTATCCGGAACCTTTTTTGAAAAATGATTGGAAGAGTGGTTGGCGCATAGCTACGTAGGTGGTAGATCCTAGGGAAGGATTATAGACGGATGACTCTTCGGAGGAGGAGGATTTGAGACTGGAGGAATGAGAGGATAGACTTCGAGGAACGTGCCATGGGTCAGATGTGGTTGGATGCGACATTAGGGTGAAGTCTTGGAGGAAGAAACTGGGGAGGGAGATCTGCGTTGCGGAACATTGACGGACGGGGGTTGCGAGGGCGAGAGCTGGGGGTTTGTAAGTTATTGAGTAGTAGAAAGAATCTAGTTGTGCATACCGTAAGGGTTCTTAGCAAGCTGCTCTTGGAAAGGTGTTCGCTCTTCTTTGCTGGGTTGTGGTTTGGGAGCGGAGTGTCTATTTCTGGCTTCGTGAAATAACGGATCCATGAGGGGTGAAAGAGGTAATTCGCGCTGCTTGATCTTTTTTCCCAATCCATTCTCTTCTCCCTTTCCTCCGTCTATGTTCGTGGTTTGCGTGCCATTGCTCTTCTGCTGCAGATTCAGGTCGTCTGTAATAGCAAAGCTCGAAGAAACATTTTTGAGGTCGTTAGTTTTCGCAATCGGTTTCGAAGCCGATGTTGAATAATTCCAATTAGAGTATTTCAAGTACCTTCCAGCACTTCTGCCATGAAAGATTCTGCATCCCTTCATACCACATACCACTTCTTGTCTGCGCCCGGAAAAAAAAGTTGGCGGGGTATCAGTCAAAGGATGTTGGACAAAATAATCTTATCTAAAATCAATCAACCAAAGCGCAAGCGAAAACGCGATGGTCGCGTCTCCTAACCCCAAGCTTCACCCCACCACTCACAGACATCCCTTTACATCATAGAAAGATCAAACTTCACGATGCTCGCAACACGAGTATTTCGATCGCATGCAGCGCGCAAAGCTGTCTTTGCAGGAATTAGATCCATATCTTCACTGCCATCGCGATCCGAACCAAATAAATCATGGACTCCCGTACCATATATCACAGAGACGATTGTGAGCAGGATATAGAACCCTATGAATTTGCGAATATGTGCTAATGAGATAGGGAGGTGGATGGCGCACTTGTATGTATATTTATGGGGAATTGATTTGGGGAGTTACCAGTTACTGACGAGATGAGGATCAGCGGATATATTCTCTAAACTTCTACAAGTATGTTCAGATTGCCCTCCAGTTTTGTTGATAGTTTGTTAGAATATGCTACTGATAGAAAATAGGAGAGAATTATATGTCTAAATGGCGAAGTAGACTCCTCGCTTTCAGCGGCAGTCGTAGCCCAACTTCTCTACCTGGAATCTGACGCCCCGGAAAAAGCTATAACACTCTACATCAACTCTCCTGGCGGCTCCGTCACCGCCGGTCTCGCCATCTACGACACAATGACCTATATAAAATCCCCAGTATCGACCGTCTGCGTCGGGCAAGCCGCATCTATGGGTTCTCTACTTCTCTGTGGCGGAGAACCAGGGAAGAGATTCTGTTTACCGCATAGTTCAATCATGATACATCAACCCAGCGGAGGATATTCAGGACAAGCTACGGATATTGCGATTCATGCGACGGAGATTTTGAGAGTGAGGAAAAGCTTAAATGAAATTTACAAGAGGCATTTGACGAAGGAACATAGTTTGGAAGAGATTGAGAGGATGATGGAGAGAGATAAGTTTTTGAGTGCTCAGGAGGCTTTGGACATGGGAATTGTAGATGAGATTCTTGATAGGAGGGAGTCGGTGGGGAAGAAGGAGTATAGTTAGCTAGTATTATGTGTTATTTAGAAGGGATATTTCGAAGGGTTGCTTCTGTGATGTCCTATCGATAAATGGCCATGGCATCGCGACTTTGATTCTTACAAAGTATGCAGAATGAAAGGCCCAATCATATCTTGGACTTTTGGGGCCTCGTTGGAAGCAAGGGAACATAACTTTTCAAGGTGTTTGCTCATGAAATCGTCTGGTAGCCGTGGAATTTAGGGCTGATAAAACTGGAGCTTCTCGCTCAAGTGAAGCAATTAGTATTCCATATTTTACAGACATTCTCAATACATGTCCTCTTTACAAGATACTTTACAATTTTAAGCCCTCTACGAATATTTCCATCAAATTTTCAACTATTTATGCCAAAAGGAAAGCCTTGGGATGCTTGTATGACCAGTTTGAAGTCCGTTGGTTTCGAAATATAGTTGTTCTCTTTTTTCTCTTGGCAAGGGCTCACTTCCTTCACCAAGCAAATACTACTTCCGGGTATCACTATTACCTAGTTTTGAGGAATTTATGCGGTGAATTAGACTTTGGAAGTCTAGATGAAGCAGTATACCACAGGAAAAGTCATAAAAGTAAGAGTATAAAGCTTTTAACCGAAGAACTAAAAGTCTACATATGTCTCAGGTGCAATAAAGCCCTTTTGATATATTATCTCAGGCATCTCTGTAGAGTCCTGAACTATATTCGCCTAAAATGCAAAGCATTTCTAAAACTTCCTGAATAATGCCTCATGTGAACCATGAAGCATATTGCCACACCGAACCAAAAGCAAAAGGGATCAAAAAACCAACGATAATGGACGAGAACCCTCGGACCAAAAACTCAAAAGAGTTCGCACCGTCTGGCCACGAGCCTAAATTCTGATACATTCTCCAAAGATCTGCTAGTGTCAGCTCAAGTCATTGAATAAGTCACATTCTAGAACAAACTTACAGTACCAAAATCCGTATTCGACCAGCCCCCATATCCTCCACATTTCCCATAGATCTTATCCATGAAACCCTTACAATTATCAAAAGTGACCAAATAATCGCCTTTTCTACCAATACGCCAGTTACCTAAAGATGCCAGGTTGAATTAGCAAGAGATCCGATTTGGAATTACCTTGAACCAAAAAGCCTGCGCTCAAACAATAATTAAATAAACGTACCCCAGAAATTCTGGTATCCACCTGCTCCATCGTCGACATGATCAATGCGGATACTCTGAGAAGTGCCTCCAGTGACGGCGGTTCCGCTCATGCGGGTGCAGTGGTCTATAGCTGCTGCGTCCCATGTTTCGCGGGTGTAGAAAGAGCAGCTCTTGCCGATTGAATCGTCTGTGTGGGGTTTAGCAGATGAAGTCTTTGTAGTTTCAGAGTATGGTTACTTGATATACAGATGGCATGTGCCTTTGCATGGTTCGAGAGGATTTCCCAGGACGGTAAGTACAAGGGTGATGAGAAGGGTAATCTTTGCGAGGAAATACATGGTGAGTGGATTTGAGTTGTGGATTGTGTGTTGAGTTTGTGGAATGGATTGTTGTGGATGGAAGTATTGTGTTGGAGGTTTGTGGACTTGGGGAAACTTAAATAGAGATCTTGACTTCTAGTAAAATTACCTTACTTGTTTCCATGGCATATTCAATCTTATTACTACTGTACTATACGGACAGATAAAATGGGCGTGGATAGGTAAGATAGAATTGTATGTATTCATTCAAATAACTGGTGAATACCAGCTGGTGTACCTGGGAAATGACGGTATACTTTGGTGATACGGCAGCTACCAGGTTTGTTATATTGGTGATGCATAGGTATGTAAAAGCTGTTGATATTCATTGCTCACATATTGAATATTTGAACATCGTCAAATGCTATTGGGAAGATAACATACTGTAATAGTGAAATTACCAGAGGAGTAGATGTTTTAAATCTACGCGAACTCAAAATCTAATTTAGAATGGATATTCCAAATCCTACTCAGGCTAGATTCGTGTATCCCAGATCAGTTTCATGTTCTAGTATCCAGTTAGTAGTATGGAATAGGTATACAATTACATAATGAAATGCTCAACAAGATTCCATACCTACTAGCACTACCAAAGTGGAATGTTATTGAATTCTAATAAGAATTATCATTGAATATGTTTCAAGCAGCTTATATGTCATCAACCAGAGAACTATCCTTGAGTGGCCGTAAGTACTCAAATTCTAACATGAAACCAAAGTTATGTAATCTCATATCCAAAACTACAAATCCCTCAGCCGAGGGCGATCAACAAATAAGCCTTCAATGAAATACCTTAATGTACAGGAACATCTCGAATTTCCTTGAAGTAATATCATTCAAAGCGAGGAGAATTGAATATCCTATTCACGCTGTTATTTAATGGGGGTGATCGGTGTGATGTACTTAATAGGATGATGAAACATTTAGATCCAACCACCTTCAATATCCCCATTTGTATCTATTAACACCTGAACCCCTCTCTCTAGCTTAGAGCCTTTCTTTTCATCTTCCCATTTCGACTCATCATTCCCATCATCTTTCCAAATCAACTGTACCTCTTCCTTTTCCCATCGTTCCTCCCCCTCTTCTCTCCCATTTTCTCTCTCGCTTCCCTCCATCTTAAAAACCTCACACCCTAACGCCGCCCTCAATCTTCCAACCTCCAAAATTCCATCATGTCTCTCATGTACCTCCTGATTCCCATATTTCACTTTATACCTTTTATAATCCATCACTCCCCTACTATCATTCTGTGAGAAAGTAGAAGAGTCATTTACGGTGCTGATGTATATGTTTGCATCTGTTATTATATCCTCGGGATTTGTTGGAGTCTGATGTATAGGGTTTGAGGAAGTTGAGCTTGATTGAGATGGATAAATAGGAGTGAATGAGAGTGCTATGCGTAATTTTTTGCGGGGGAGAGGCGCTTGTGGTTCGGGACTGAGAGGTGTTAGTTTTTGTTTGATGGGGGGGATGGATATGAAGAGGGGAGGAGGGAAGCGAGGATGTGGGAGATAGGTGAGGAAACATATAGTGACATACTAAATAATAGCAGCATAAGCTCTTTTTGTCGGATGGATTCCATATTTATCCTGTAGTTCCACATGTTAGCATTTCTTCTCTCCTACTCTCTTCTCATGCTAAACAACTAGTCAAGCAGCAGCTATCACATAGAATATTTCAAGAAAACATAAAAATAAAATAAACTCACAACCGCACCCCGATTCCACCCCTCCAACGCACTTCTAATTATTTCCTTTTCTCCTTTTAATGCATCCATATTATGTGATAAAGATGAGACGGGATAAATGATCGTTATATTTTGGATGAAACCGGCGGTTATGAAATAATGACAACCGGATTTGGGAAGCAGCAGTTGAGATTCTTTTGTGGAATCTTTTTCACGCAAGGATGAGATTGGCGATGCTGAGGAGGAGGTATTGGAATGAAAACCTAAAGAATAAGGAAAGGGGGAGGAAGAACGGGCTCCAAAAGGAGTATGTGAACCTTCATCCACAAATACCGAAGGAGCTAGAGTTACTATTTCTCCTCGAGGCTCTCTATCGTCTCCCTCCTCACTTCCATCGCTTTCTCTCCCTCTTAAAATATCGCCACAAGTTTTTTCTTCGCCAAATTTTAACTCCAACCCTAGTTGCTTACCAAAGGACTCCTCATTCAATTCTAACAGAACCTCCTTTTCATCATCATAACGATAGAACTCCTCCAAGAAATCCTCATAACCCAGTCCAAATTTCTCAATTTCTTCCCATCTTTCTCTTGCTCTTTTTGTTTCTCCTTCTATTTCTTCTTCCCTTTGGTTTTCACTCTCCTTTGCGTTTTCTTCCTTCCTTTCCTCTTCAAACGTGGGCCCGCCCCTGGCTGCACTTCTAGTTCGGCTGTTTCCCCTATTACTACCTCTTTCGTTTGATAACGATCCCGACTCTAAGAAATTTAGTCGATCTCGCAATCTTAATACTTCATCCACAAGATCTGGGAGTTGCAGACTTGGAGAGCGGGAGATGGATGGTGATGGATATCCACTACCATGTCCATATTGATTGCTCCTCGCATTTGTATAAGTTCCAGTTCTATACCTGTATCCATATCCATTTGTATTTCCATATGCATTACCATCTCCAAACCGATACCCGTGAGCCTGGGGAGATAGAGAAGGAGTAACAAAAGGTGTGTATGAAGGCGGTGGAGAACCAAAGTTTGAAGTTATTGTTGAGGTTGAGGAGAAATTTCGTGTGTGGTTTGACATCTGTTGTGATGATGAGGTACCGATCGAAGTTGAGGACGATGCAGAGTAGAATGGAGATCTAGGAGGGTTAGGGTTAGGAGGAAGAACTTGGATATTATTTGAGTTGGGTTGGGGTTGGGGTTGGGCTCGGGATTGATTAGTCTCTGGTTCTGTGGAATGGTGATTTGGTTGAAGAGTAACGTTTTGGATTGGCGTTGTAATCGGGGCAGCAGCTAAAGATGCAGCTAAATCTGGTTTTGGCGTTGAAGAAGTTATATTCGATGATTGAGCGTAAGCTCCTAACTCTAGTGCTTGTGCTTGTGGTTTGGTCTGCGCCTCTACTTCCAAATCCGGCTCCGGTGGTAATAAAACTGGTATGGTCGCCTTCGGCTCCGTTGAGGAACTAGAACCTCTAGCACTAGTAATCGATACTGGTGCAAAGAGCTTTTTATGCAGAGTAATTTTAGAATGTTTGCTACTTTGGAACATTGTTTCTGTAATCTTTAGGGTAGATACAAGATCGAAAGTCTGTAAATAAATTGAGAGGAAGAGTGAAACGTATGAGATAAATGGAAAGTTGAAACAGATCAAATGTATTGATGATAGTAAAGTGGCTTTGACTTGCCAACTTAGCATAGATATGACAGGTGGTTCAATATAAAGTACATAATTTGGAGGAAAATGAGGCGTATGAATGCCGGTATACTGCGAATAAACCTTGGGCAATGACGCTAGTGTGGAGGGAAGGTTTGTTGATGGATGCTTTCAATGTCCTATGTCGACATTTGAATGTATATGACATCAATTGAACCCCATTCTAAGATGAAGCAGATCAAAAAGAAATAAAGATGATTGTTGTTTGAGCAAAAATCAATAAATCGTGTGGTAGTTGTCGAGAATCATGAGTAAATATACCACTTCATGGTTGGGAACATATGGGCGCTTAAGACGTAGGATCATAACCAACAATCCAAATCCAACAGGCACTGTGGCTATAAAAATTTTGGGATAAGTCATAATTAACAAGGGAACTGGTGAGAAGGAACAAAAAGAGAGTGAAAATTATTTATGTTTTTCGACTTGAAACTTGCTAATTGATGCTTTGGTATAATGCATACTTCAATAAAGGCCTAACTTGTAGGCATAAACTCAGGGTGTAACTTCACGAACGCTCCACCCAATGTATCTCATTTCGTGCACTGTATATTTGAATAATCTCCTTGAATCTTCTTGGACGGGGAGCTTAAAATATCAAGGTCGAGGGTTATCCATTAAGTTTGTCCTATCAAATTGGATATTCCACTCAATCGCATCGCTACTCCTCCCAGGCATATTCATAACCTCGACCTTAAACTCCGTGGATAACATATTTTAGACTTCATCCTCAAACTCATTCGTAACGGCTTGGACAATGGAACCTTTATCGCCTTCATCTAAGCTATCGATTTGATACATATCCCAATCGGAAAGTTGAAAATTGAACACATCGGCGTTTTTGGCAATCCTTGAAGGTGTCTCGCTTTTGGGGAGAGGAATCCATTTCTTTTGCATGGAATATCGTATCAATACCTGAGCCACAGTCTTGTCGTAGATAGCTGCGATACAATTTAGGACTGTATCACCACTCCTCTGGTTCCTGACCAAAGGACAATAAGCTTCAACGTGGATACCATTGGTGGTACAGTACTCCACCACAGTCCGTTGCTGGCAAAATGGGTGCAACTGATGTCGTTAGACCTGCAGCAAAAGATTAGAAACCGAAACACATACCTCAATTTGATTGACATGAGGAGGCCAAATAATTTCGGAGAACTCGTTCCATCGCGGAGGTCGCCACCCACGTTTCAATCCCTCAATATGTCCAACACCAAAGTTTGAAACACCAATCAGACGTGCTTTTCCTTCCTTAAAGAGTCTTTCGAGGGCCTCCCACATCTCCAAACGACTATCAGCTCCACAATTTGGACTGTGGATCAAAAACAGATCAACATAACCACCTACACTATCATCGAGAGCTTTAATGCTATCTAGACATTTTTCATGGGATTTATCCACCGATCCACCAGGTGTGAGAATCTTGGTTGTAATGAATAGTTCCTCGCGTTTTAATCCGGATTCTTTCATGTATTCTTTGATCGCGAACCCGACCTCCTTTTCGTTTCCATAGTATCTGTAATTATTAGCTGTCAAAATCATTCCAGAGGTACCCATTGTGGAATCACATGTATGGCGTAGCATTTATGGTAAAGCATAGGAATGAGTTCTTACTGAGCAGTATCAATATGTCTATATCCAGTCTTTAATGCGATGGAAATAGCATCGATACACTTTTGTCCATGGCATTCATAAACTCCAAATCCTAATTGTGGAATACCGATTGAACGTATGGAGGTTATGGGAGAGAAAAGCTTTGAATTGATGCTGAGTGTCATCTCAGGTGGTGCAGCAGCTGGAATATGATTATTTTCCATTTCAGCATTTGAATCCATGATGAAGATTTGATGTCGGATATTTTCTGATCTGTAGTTTTCGTGAAATAGAAAATAATGGTTTTGGTTGACTGTTGACCTATTAGATAACTCTGAGTAAAGGAAGGGAAGAAATGATTATTCTAGGAAGTCAAATTTCCATTTGAAAGTTGGTCTTCCCAAAACGTCTTTTATTTTCACTGATGGATCGTTCTTGCTCTCATAAATAACGATAATGCTTATATTAATAACAAGCCACAACCAAATATGTAAGATTTACGATGAGGAGTAAATCATGTGATAGCCAAACCCAACGGTTGCAATGATTTACGCTAGCTATGCTATTTGAAGTTTAGTGTAACGGTTAGCTGCAGAGACTAGCCACTTAGTTGTTCATATCATGACAACACCATCTGAAGAATGTCATGTTCCTTGGATTTACTAGCGACGACAACAATGATCTTCGGATTTTCAAAGACCAATTTTGTGTACGATTCTAACTTGAGGCAGAGGGTGTAAAATTAAAGTTTATCCTTTTCACATGCAAGTGCGCGGGATTTGGTTACGATGGCACGAAAGAACAGATGGCGCGTTGAGCTACTGGTGGTAGTCTGCCACTATATCTTCATACTAGTTGTATACTATCAGCAGCGGGGTGTAACATCTTTCACTGGATTGGATTGTGTTATAGTTATCATTCCTAGCTTCGACCTATCTCACCCATGAGTTCTGTCATTATGAAGAATAAGCTTTCTAGCTTTCTAGCTTTCTGCCTTTCTATTTGAGCTGATCTGTGGTTTAAAATGCCGGTCGGTGAGTTTTCGCACAATAGATCTCAAATAACGAAATTTTTGTGATGCATTATTAAAGCAGTACACCTAGAACCACAGAAATCATATGCACCTTAATCTTTTTACTCACTTCATTGATATATATTGATAGTCAAAACTTACTCTTCACATTCATTCAAGAGCTTAGTCTTATTTTTATTCTCGTATCACTAGACCACTTGTTCTCTTCTCTCAATTATTAGATCCACTATGTACTCTCGGGGTGAAATACCAACTTATACCATCGATCTATCTCTTCCCCCTTCTAAAAGATACGAAAAGATTGCTGTAGATTTCAAAGAACAATTATGTGGTTTGCCAAAAGAGCTAGATGAAACACTTCGACATTGGCACGAAAATTTCATCCTTATATTCCTGTTTAAAGTCTTTGCATTTTTATTCATCCGTCGCTTATATTCTGCTGAAGAGATGGAAGAGGTGAAAGGGATCGCTAAGATTTCGGGGATCAATGTCAGATTCTTGGTAGCATTGAATGTAATGCTTGATTCGTTAATGTGCTGTACTAGTGGCGGAGTTCTTGTCAACACTGATAATGATGTTGAAGACCAGAGTATGATGCATTTAAGGCTTTTGGATTGGGACCTGGATGGCTTGAGAGATCTGCTTCTTGTTCTGGAATATGTCAATTCCAACTCATCGACGCCAACAAGAGTCATTGCTAGAAGTATCACATATGCTGGTTATGTGGGAATCCTTACTGGTGTGAGGTAAGTTCCACGAAAATTTCCATACAATAGATTCTAACAGTGTAATCATTGACTGATCAAATGTAGGGAAAATTTATCACTGTCTATGAACTTTCGTTCGGAATCTTCATGGCCTACATTACCTCTACGTTTCCATCAATTTCTTATCCTGACCGGATTTCGCCCATCAATCGCAACCATCTTTCGATCTCTGATAATTGCGCCGATTGGATCAACACTGCCGTATATAGTCGAAGCAGGCCGCCTCCTAAGCAATCGAACATTTTCTCCGTGCTATGTCATCCTCAGCGATGGTTTCAGCACATTGGTCATGGGAAAAGACCAGCACAGATCCTATGTGCGCTCTTCTCCTTCATTCATCGTCCAAACCAATCACGATGTTTTCCTCTGGCAAGCGCGAAACCGATTAGCCGATCATGATGGATACCCTTTTCCTGTTCCTCAGCCGAATCCATATCCTGCTCCTCCTCCAGGTTCCGCATATGGCGATCCCGCAGTGTACGAAAAGTACCATCAGTACTGGGGTCACAAAGATTCTATAGATAGGTACAACTCTCTGCGAGAAAATTGGATGGCTATCCCGGAAGGAATAGGTACAAAACGATCAGCGGAGATCGAGGAAGTGAAGAGTTGGATGTGGTCAGAGCCAGTTGGTAATACTCAGACGCACTTTATGTGTTTGATAGATCCTGTCAACGGAGAGATACGATGGCTTGAAAGGGGAGGGGAGGAGGATTTTGTTTGAAAGTACTTGGGGTGGCAACGTTTTCTTAGATATCCGGTCGGATACTTGTACGATCATTTGGTTCGGCGTTTATACAGGATTTGAAATGTATAGAAATAGGACTTTAGATATACCCAGCGTAATATTTTGAATTTAATATCATTTGGATAAAACAGTTGTGGTCGCTTTTTGATACTTTAGAAGAGTATGGAAGCAGTAATTGTGGGCCTCCATACCCTGGAGTGGTATCAGAAGTGAAATAAATACTTTGACACGTTTGATAACTACAAGTTCTCCTGCATAAGGTTACTTGAGCGGGTACAGTGAAGATGAATCACAAAAATGACTAAGGTCAACATGTGATATCATGCAGGTCGTATCAGTAAGCAGCGCCATCATCATTACCCCTCCAACTCGATCAATCTCACGATCTTCCATACTTTCAATTCACTACTTTTTGGTAGAAGATATCAATAATCTAGGTTGGATTAAAGATTTCATCATCAATTTCATTGCTTACGAAGGAATCAGGGAGATTTGACAATAAATCTACCTTTCTGCACAGCATATTAATATTTCGATCCTCGGCTTCTTGCCTTCTTATACTGCACGCACTTAGGTAGCTCTACTCTGTTCTCATTATTGAATCGCGACACTTTCTCAATCTAACCCGCCGTTCCCTCCTTTGCATTTGGGGGCATCTCATTATCACATTTCAATGTCGTAGAATAGCGACTGCACCTATTTCCATCGATATTTTCACCACACAGAATCTTTTCCCAGTGGAACCTCGGCATCTTTTGGCTATATTGAATCCTTTGACATCGAATTTTGACACTCAAGTACCTTGTTATCCCTTCGAATCCAGAAACTTAACTTTACTGTTTCATCCCAAATATTGAAGTTACACGCCTTCGACCTTTGAATTGCCTTATCATAGGGAAACATGGAGGCCATTAAACAGCTTCCTACCTCGCAAACACTATCATCATCTCCAAGAGCTCCAATTCCCGCACCTTCTGAACTTCCAGAGCATTATGATAGACTCGCCTTTTCCTACGACGATGCGACAACGTTCCATAAATCGCTTGCAGAGGAATATGTAAAATATGTGAAGCCGGTTGCTGGCGAGAAGTTGTTGGATTTAGCTTGTGGGACGGGATTAGTAGGGTTTGCATGTAAGTTTTATTATTTTGTCTATGGTTATTGTTCTCCTGTTAGAACAACCAAAGTGGTCATTTTGTTTTTCTGTGTTAAGGATATGGTTTTAAAAAGGACTACAGAATAATACAAAAGTAGTGTGGGACCAGGACTCAGGTGGTTTTCACTCTCCATTAAGTGATGGGTGTCTGATTTCTCAGTCCATCAAAGGTATCTCATTTGGAATAATGCACAAACACACTTTTCTGTGCTGTACTAGGCAGCTTGTTGGGTCATACGTATATCCTGTCTCTCATCCTGCCTCATTTTGCAATCCCGAAAACATCAAGCTCCCTCATCGCACATCTGTCTGCAACGCCGAGTGCTGATCTTAACTAGTAAATTCCCACGTGCGACTTTCCTACATTCATGGAATCGACATTTCCAGCAAAATGCTCGACATCGCTTGTTCCAAAATATCGTCAGTTTCAAACCATATTGGTAGGAAAGGCATTATCCTTCAGCCACCGGATTTTCCGGAGACAGATGTGCTTTTCGAACATCACGATATAACTTCCCTCTCTAGTCTCCCCTCTCTTTCTGAAAGAGAAGGAACATTCGATATAATAACAATCTGTTCCGCATTCGTACTACTTCCATCTCCCCTTGAATCTTTACATTCGTGGATCCCTTATCTAAAACCTGCTTCACCTACTGGCGCCTCTACTCCCGGTGGAAGATTAGTACTCGATATACCCCATCCATCTAGCATGATCGGCTTATCAATCTTCTCCAAGTTAGCCCCCAAATTTGGAATCTCCGTTCTTGGACCGCGAAATTGGATCGGAAGCTCAGAAGGTTCGGCTTTGAAAAATCTGAAGAATTTGATGCACGCCGCAGGATTAAGAGGAGTAAAAACTTTCAAGTCAAGAATATTTCATGACATACCCGCGGCGACGCCATTATGTGAGGGGATTGGAAGAATTATTCATGAAGGAACGGAGGCTGAACGTCGCGAATGGCCTGCTACACGTGAAGCTGGGAGCAAGATATTTGATCTTATGACTAAAAGACCTGGACTGCATCAGTGGAGGGAAGGTACTGAAGAGGAAAGTAATGATAAAAAAGCGAGTTGGGTATGGGAATGGGTTCAATTGGGAGTTAGTGATGAGGACGGAGAGATGTGGGTTAGAGAGGAGGGCGCATTAATAATTGGTATTGGATGGATGGAGTGACTGTGGTGCTATAGAGTATGTTACTACACCGCAGTAATATCTTTGATATTTGAATTCGGACTTACTGGTGGCAAGGGAAGATATTGAGTAGATAGAAGTTACAGTCTCTCCATCAGTATTGGGTCCAAGGAGTAAACACCGTTATTAAAACACAAGTCTAATACCTCACTTTTGAATCACCCCTCTTCTAGGCCACTTTTTCTCTTCAAAAATAACAAAAATTAATGTCTGTAACTGTTTTATTTGTAAGTATAATTGTTACGAGGTTTGCCGTCTAGATCACGTGGAAGTGCTCTAGGCTCTCGAGGTGGTTTATAACTAGGCGTCAAGCAGGGACTTAGAGTAATGGCAATGATGCAATTCGTAACTAATAGTAGAGTATACTAAATGATTGATCTTAAGCACGAAGCTCTATACAAAGGAAATCCATCTTGATTATATAGACCTTCGTGTTCTGAAAGTCGATCGACCCTTGAAGGGCCGATCGATTCTCAGGGCCGATCGATTCTCACGAAGTCGGTCGGCTTTCGGATCAGGTGATACTTGTCACATGATCCTGCTAACTAATTGGTCACCTGATGCGGGTTATGTTACGCTGTCGTAACAGAACGGGAGCTGGTCAGTCATCTTCCAGAGAGTATCAAATGAATCCTATTTCCGGAGCCTGGATTCTTGAATGGAAAATAAACTGAGAAGTATCCCCTTGAATTTGTCAATGAGCTCCGTCACTAATTAATCTTACTGGCATCATTTATATTTGTCTTCAACCAAAGTTCTAGTTTAGTGAAAGAGTCTTCTTAGTTTTTGAAGATGATTCAAAAGTTCATTCTAGCCAATTAAGTTTTATTATCCGAGGAGCGCACGGATCACTGATGGGCCCTCTATAGCTTATCACAAAAGTTTGGTTCACAGAAAAAAATTTCAAGCAAAAGAATTCAAGATTTATATATTCTGAAACCCCAGTCTCCTTCAACAAATCGGGCTTGTGGTTTAGTGGTATAATGTTCCCTTAGCATGGGAGAGGTCCGGCGTTCGATTCGCCGCTAGTCCATATGTGCATGTTCATCATCCGCTTGCATTTTTATCTTTTTGTAAACGTGGATGTAGAAATAGATGTCGTTGAAGATCTACTTTTTGAATGCGTAACACAAGTTTGTGCAAGTTGAGAGCGGCTATGGGCTATAAGCGAAGGTCTGTGCGTTAAAACCTTGTGGTGGATCTTTGATATTGAAGTCTATGTGGGATGGGTGGATATTTTCATTTCGTGAATGGGGAGTGGGGATTGATAAATGAATGAGCTTGAAAGAATGGACGGCGAGAACTATTTATTCTGTATGAGTTCGTAAAGTCGAAGCTATTCATTGAGAATGAGAGATATCCGGGCATGATTTGCAAAAAAGCAGATAGCTTCTGTGGAAGATGTCTTCAATCTCAAGTAGGATACTGGCGTTTATGTTCAGGATATGTGTCACGATTCATTAATTCACGTGACCTTGAGGACCTTGAGGACCTTTTGGACCTTAGGGTCCCAGAGGTCCTCAAAAGATGATATAGGGTATATGAACATTCATTTAGTCTCGTAGTTAAGGAGCTTCGTGCTCAACTTAGTTATCAATTAGTTTACCTACATTCTACTTGATCTAGTGACGACTTCACTTCCAAGTGAATACCAGTGATAAAGCCTTAACCCATAACTACCAACCAGACGAAACCTTAGGCAGCCGCTCCCTCCAGTAAAGTATCGTTACAGAGGGTGGCCGAAAAGTGGGGTACTAGACTTAGTCCTTGATTCAATTAGGTGAGTCTGTAATATCCCTCATTAAGTACCAATTGCCCCTTAAGTACTGCTCATATCTCAAGTAAATTCATTCGAGTCCTCTTAGAAAGACAGGCTGTCGTCTACAAATGTGTCTGATATAGGAGACGAGAGTTATCCAATGTAAGATGCCAGCCAGGATACTTGAACCCCTTCAATGATTACAATTTTCCATGAAGTGATTTAATGCATTGTAAGTTGCTTTGAAACCAAAATGACCTCGAGTATAAAGTCCTAACACTGGGATGCAGAAGAGCTTACGGGAAATGCGGAGAAGTTACCGACAGAGACCTGATACCTTCCATTATGAAATCGTATCAAGGTTGATATGATGTTACCCCGTGAAAGACTCCAAGCTATTCGCATGTGTCGCTTGATTGCGGACCTCCATTAAATTGTCTGCTTATTTCCCAATGGATATCTCAGACAGTACGTTTGATTTTGCACGGTCCATTTTGGTCTCAGTCCCCAGGTTCAAGCTTCTAGCTCGGAACTTGAGCTTCGGCCGTGCTCATAGATGTTTGTGAATGCATCTTTATCTCCTTATTCTGCGTAGCCTTTAGCGAGCACATGTGATCCGAACTCCTTCCACTTTAACATTTCATTGATATCTCCCTCCATTCGTAGGAGTTTCCCACATATCCTCGTAGCAACGATATTGTGAACCTTCGTCTCTTACAAGGCAGATATCAAGATGCTGCATATCCAGATCAATAGTAGTATAAAAATCTGACATTAGCATTTGTCTTTTTGTCTGGAATATCGTCGGGGTTAGCAATCAACATAATTACCATACCGTCCATTACGACCTTGCCAAAGCCACATGGAAACAAATAATCGTATTTCAGGATTCGAGCTTGTAATTCTTCTCTCAGTTTCTAGATCAACATCAAAAGAGAATGATCCTGAATCACGTTACTGCGATGTGGGGTTTACTATCGAAACTCATGCATCTAAAAACAAACTATTGAAATTCAGACGTGCAACAAATAGTAGACAACCTAAAGGATCCCAAATCATTGGATAACTTATAGATACTTACTGATTGTATTAAGTAAAGATAAACTATTGTTTAACTCGAATTGAGGATGTGATCACAACTGTCGTTTGTAGGGTTCAGAGATTTCTCGTGTAACAGAAAGTCTAAGACTGGATTGGTTACCAGCATCTATATGTATCAATTAAAAAGAGTTTATATCAAACTTTTCCTATTCAAGAATGTCAGATTGATTCCATTTCTCCATGAGGCACAGCTCATCTAACCCATCTAGAATGTGAAAGTCTTGTTCAACCCGGCCTAGATATATGTGGAGTTGAATGATACGATGTGGGGTAATCCAAATTCAATATAATGGCACATTCTCGGGATATTGAAGTATTAGACAGAGACATTGAAGTATTGGACAAAGTAAATGTTGTATAGTCGCCGTAAAGATAGAAATGACAAACCGATCGTTATATAGCTGTCTCGAACTCCAAAATGGAGGTTTTGTCAGTCTTGTTAGAACTTGGAAGACATTAATCCACCTGCAAGGATTATTGCCACTTGTTCATTTTAGGTTCCTCCTCCGAACAAAGCAACGCGACGTGCATATACATTTCCCACATGCGCTTGTCCATCTAACCGCGAGGAATATTCTGAATGCCTCTTCGTCCTGATGCTCAATGCTCTTAATGGCTTTCTATCAGTTCAAAAAGCCCCCGGGAGTATTTGGCTTGAGGACTGACTTGAAGGCTTGCAAAAGGGAAAAACAACGGATATTGGATATCCATGTTTGGACTAGCGGCGAATCGAACGCCGGACCTCTCCCATGCTAAGGGAACATTATACCACTAAACCACAAGCCCGGTCTGTTTGATGGAACAATATCCGTCTTTTAGGTATATATAAATTTCATCAATTCATCCAATCTGACCCGCTCAGAGAACATCGTTCTAACTGCCACCCAGGCAAACAATTAGACTATGAAAGATGAGCCAATAAATAGTCTAATCGTATCATTACAATCAAATATAATATCTGACATTAGTGGAGAAGATAAGGATATACAGACTATATCAACAATGGATACGGCAATAGAACTCCCGGAAGAATCAAGAAGATCCATACTTATTCCTCTGCCTTCATCCAGAACAGAGAAGATCAACTAAAATAGAAGTAGCTATCAGTAACTCAGAAGGATTAAAATATTCAAAGCTATCAGAAAAGGCTTCACTCAAGCCGAAAGAGATGAATCTACCTGAATTGAAAATACTTCCCATAAAACCAAAAGAAACATTTCCCAAGCATACTAAATTTAATTTTTCCCAAACCAAGCCAGAGGGCATGAATTCTGAAAGAGAAAATAACATACTTCATTTTACAAAGAAGGGCAAGAGGAAGTATCCCTTAGATTTTTATAGTACAAGGATAAAATTAAGAAAAAATAAGCTTTTAGAAGCTGAACCTACAAAAAGAAGGAAATTTTCAGAATCTTAGAATATAAGAAAGAGAGAGCCTTCAAGGATTAATAAAAGAAAATATTCGAGATTTAGTAATCCAAAGAAGCTTTCTTCCTTTACTAATCCTGTTTTCAAAAATAGGATAACTCATAAACAATTAGAAATATCTACAAGTATAAATGAAATCAATAATGAATTATATGAATAATTATATATATTTAATAATCAATTAAATAACTTAGTAAGTGAAGAACCTTGTAAATCAATAGATTTATTTTTAATTGAAGATTGAAAATAAGTATATCTGCTCGAATACAGGTTAAACGAAGAATATGGATTTTAGGATTATAGATTTAATATTTTAGATATCAATGAAGGATTGGCCAAGTCGAATTCCTATCTGTATATAGTATCGACCTATGGATCTACAGTATTCAAATTCTGCAAGATCAATAGAGCTCTTGTATCAATCATTTGACTATTATAAAGATCTTATCGATCCTGCTATTGTAACTATTTCGATTTATAATTATAAAGTATAAAGGAGGTATTGGGTGACATTATAAAGAAGAATATTATATTCGAGAATGCTTTGGATTGAAGCTAATTAAAAGGGCTTTCTATAATCGGAAAAATCTTTTGATTTTGATATAATATTTTTTAAAAAACTTTGTTGCTTTTATAGGGCGATTGGGTATCTATTTAGGCAAGTTTGGGCTATCTAGGATACCCTTAGATCTACTATATTTTTATCCTAAATAAAATGAAAAAGGATATATATTCTATGGAAACCAAAAAGCATAAAACAATATTCATAATGAAGAAATAAAGCTATTCCTGGAAAGAGATTTATAATACCCTTCCGTATAAGACTCAAATAATGATCTAGATACAATATTTTGCAAAACTCAAAAAGTGATTACAACAGCTTATATTATCTTTTTTTAATTGGTTTTAATTCCAGCAGCAAAGAGGTTTAAATTGCATAATATGAATAAGTTCGATGCTAGCCTTTTGTTACGAGAGTTGCCGTCTAGATTATTTGAAAGTGTTCTTGTTGGGTTTCTTAAAACCAGAAAGAGTATCAGATTGAATTGATTGATTCTCTAGCTAAGCAGTTAAGCTGCGAGCATATATTCAAAAAAATGAAGGAATAGGTTGGGTATTCGGCCTTCGGAATTAAAGTGCTTTGAAATCAAAATATTGAAAGCAAACAAACAGTATACCAAAAAGGAAAGAATGAATTAAAAGTTGAGTTTTGTTTGCTCCTTATATGCATATGCTGCCAAGATCCCAGGAGGTCAACAGTTCTAGACTCTCGAGGTGATTAATAACAAAACATCAAATAAAGACTTAAACAACAATAATAATAGAATACATTAAATGATTGATCTTGAATATGAAACTCTACAGTAAAGAAACTTATCCTGATTATATAGACCTTTGTATTTCCTTGAATTCGTCCTGCTCAATGCTTACCTGACCGATCCTTACCGGCTCAATATCTTTTCTAGCAGAACCTCGTTTTATTGTACATTGTTCTTTCTATCAATTTGCGAGTATTAAAATTCAAAAATATCAAGTGAAATATCTAAATAAAATACCAACAAAAGAAAAACAATAACCAAACATTGGTGATCCGGAAAATTATATAACATACTATAATGATAATATTTAAAAGAAGAAAAAGATAGCTTAATCCTCCCTTATTTAGCTCGATCCCAAATATTATAATTAGGATTTGTTAAAGCTTAATCACAGAACAATTTTCGCAATATTATAAGCAAGCTACAATATATATTCTATATATTGTAAGGTTATCTTTTTTTCGTTGTAATATTTGCTTCCTTCAATTTCCTTCCTACTTCAAAAATCGTTTGAATGAAAATCTCCAAACTAAAACAATCCCTTAAAAGCATAATCTTTTATAAGAGAATTTATCGTTAACTATAAAAACTATATATTATTGTTTCTATCAATTATATTATATTGATATGATCCTGATAATTTATTAATCATAAATGCCAAATCCTCCTAAGCAAATACTAGTACCAGAAGATTTATTATCTCTTTACTTGATATATAAACAACATTTTATAGAAATAAAAAAGTGATATAAACAAAAGAAAGAATGTTGAAATCGTCAAATCAGTACAAAATAGTTTTAAGAATGAAGTTATTGAGATTTTCAATATATCTGAATGGGATCATACAAGCACTACACTTATCTATTTCCCAAAGATTTTCATATATAGCTTTCTTGAGGGGCTTTTCTATCGAATAGAAGCTAAACTTAACATTGATATTGAATATAATAATAAGGTATTCATCTATAATAAACTTGGTTGGGGTTTATACAAAATGATTGTTTAGAAAACAAAGGAACTATGAAATATATTCAAATACACAAGTATTATATTCCTTTAAGTTATTAATTGTATATATAAAAATATAAATATGAACTTTAATGAAAGTAGTATTCAATTTGTAACGATTATAAAGACCGCTACTCTCAACAACTTCTTCAATTGATACTTTGATAAAATTATAGAATATATTCGGAAATAAGTTTTATATAGAATAGATAAACTGAATAATAAAGACTGATTTTGTGAAAAAGAATATCTATTGTAATCGATCTGATCTAATAAACTATTCAAGATAAAGATAAACTTTCTTTATATTAGAACTTTTATTATATATACATAAATATCAATTATATACAATTTGCTTCTAGAAACTACAATCTTTTATCTTCATAAAAGTATTAATTGGACTTGAAGGGATCATGATTATATGGAAATATGTAATATATCCTAAATGTATAGTTTATTAAAAGATTGGGTGGAAGAGGCCTCTATATTGACTATATGTTACGAGGTTTGCCGTCTAGATCACGTGGAAGTGCTCTAGGCTCTCGAGGTGGTTTATAACTAGGCGTCAAGCAGGGACTTAAAGTAATGACAATAATGCAATTCGTAACTAATAGTAGAGTATACTAAATGATTGATCTTGAGCACGAAGCTCTATACAAAGGAAATCCATCTTGATTATATAGACCTTCATGCCTATGGCTAGTCAGGACCGCTGCGCGGTCCTGGACAGCCAGCGTTCCTGGACAGCCAGCGTTCCTCAGCGGTCCATAACGTGACTTTAATCACGTTACCTTGGTTTAGTCATGTGACGCGGCATAGAAGATAGCCGTTGTAACACTATATTACTACGTGTGTAGGCATATTAAGATCTCCTCTTGGTATCCTCGGAGGGGACCAATATGCCTGCTTATGGTTCATCTAATCTAGCCTGTTTAGGTAACCGTATTACTAATCACGACACGTGATTAGTACCGGTAACTTCTATTCCTTTTAACATAGTTTATATATTTTTGAAATCCGGAACCTCTTTATATAAATTAAACAATATCTAATAAACCTTATTTGTAAAGTTCAATATATGAATTGATGAAACAGATAATATAAGTGACAAAAATGTCAAAAATCGCTCAATACTATTCTTTTATATTCTTTCAATCATTGATCACTTCAACACTAATTTATAAATAATCGGGAAGAATATTTGTGGATTAAGAGATCTTAATGAACCTATTGTATTCGAAAAGTAAACTGTATTATAGACTGTAAAGAGTTTGCAATTGTTCATATTATAATAGTATAAAAGGATTGTTTAGTGTAAATGTAATTTGTTCATTAACTAATGTATTATATTCTTTTTTATGATTAATAATGTTGTGATAAATGCCATCGAGAAATTCGCGTTGCTTTTAGAAAATCCATCCATCTAGTATAGTCTCAGAGATAATAGGTCGGTGTGGTGCGGGGGCGAAAATTTTGAGTCTGTATGATAATCTCCTAGGTATTGTATTTGAAGCTTTATTTCCTTCAAAGGAAGGGGAATTGGTAGCTGTCGGGAGTTCTGATGCCATTTCAATCGATGATGACATTATTCAAGAATGACTGCTGTGGGATCCAAAAGTCCTATGAGGATGTCTATTTTCGGTTTTGGTAGATCTGTATGTGGAGTTGTGTATGCGATCACAGTTCCTTAGTAGAAGTTACAAAAGAGAATGTATTTGCAGAAACGCTGAGTATGATCAATTATTTGATAGTATGAAGTTGTTGACCTCCTGGGATCTTGGCAGCATATGCATATATATTGCATGATGCATATAAGGAGCAAACAAAACTCAACTTTTAATTCATTCTTTCCTTTTTGGTATACTGTTTGTTTGCTTTCAATATTTTGATTTCAAAGCACTTTAATTCCGAAGGCTGAATACCTAACCTTATTCCTTCATTTTTTTTGAATATATACTCGCAGCTTAACTGCTTAGCTAGAGAATCAATCAATTCAATCTGATGCTCTTTCTGGTCTCAAGAAACCCAATATCATCTTACCAAATGGCCGAATTTCACATCAAGAGACTATCAATATAGGCGTGAATCAGCTTGTCTACAATGGTGAGCTTTTAGGAGTTACTAAAGCGATCGAATACGCAAATTCAATAGCCCAACCAGGAAACAAGTTCAAGATATACTCAGATAATCAAGCAGGATTATTCCGGTTGAAAACCCCCTCCGATTTACCTGGTCAATCATGCCAAATCAAAGCTATAAAAGCTGCGGAAGCTATTCAAAATAAAGGAGCCGAAATCTCTCTCAATTGGGTCCCCGGACATACATCTGTACAAGGAAATGAGCTAGCTGATTCTCTTGCAAAAGAGGCGACCAAAATACCATCCTCATCTCACGAAACCAGTTATGCCTCCATTGGAATGGATATAAAAAGAATGAAATCAGAGAACTGGATAGCCATCCTTAACACTAACAACTTTCATCAACCATCGTCAACATATTCAAGAAACTACCCCTGGAAGATCAGCTCAAAAATCAGAATTCCAGGAAACATCAAAAGAAGCACAATCTGTGCTCTGTTCCAACTCAAAATTGGACACGGATACTTCAAATCTTATTTGAAACGATTCGGGATCTCCTCTAATGACAATTGTAGATGTGGGGGAAAGGAATCTCCTGATCATCTTCTGCTCAGTTGTCCTTTATATAAAATGGCAAGGAAAACCCTCAATAAGGATAACCCCATAGTCCGACCTACCATGAAATATCTGCTTCACACTAAAGCAGGAATTGTGTGAACGAAGTGAATGACTTCAATTCAATTACTACTGTAATAAAGAACTAAGCGAACGCGAAAGAGACTAGCTCTTTTAGTAAGTCTATATAAGACTTACTACTTTCAATATGTAGCTAGCTCTTTAGACAGAATACAATTAGACATACAGGACCTACGTAATCCGTAGGTGCTACGTCTTCCGTATCCTTCTCGTACCAACAGGAATCATCAAGACCCTCGAATTTATCGAGGCGACGAGAATAGCCACCAGATCATGGCACCTCAATAGAATGCATGAAGAAGAAGAGGAAGAAGGCGGAGAAGAAGGGGGTGGACCGGAAGATTGTGATTGAATTGATCAATTATGGCCAATCTGGTCAATTTAGTCAATTTGGTCAATTTAGTCAATTTGGTCAATTTAGTCAATTTGGTCAATTTGGGCAATCACCCCAATGTCAAATTTCATTACATTTCATTTGTTATTCCTCTTATTTGAATACGAGAGTATCTGTAAGGCGGGCTTGGTTCCCTAGTATTAGTTTTCACTTCCCCCATTCAAACATTAGTAGATTGAGGCTTTCAATCTCCCCAACCTGTATTAGCTACGGTCGAATAAGGCCAGCCACCCTCCATTTACTATTGTTAGAAGCCTACAAAGCTCCTAGCCGTCTTAGATAGTCATAGACTCAGTGTAGACGTTAATTTAATCAATCAATCAATCAAGGCAGGCTGGTGGAATGGAGACCCGGGGCATCGAACCATCTCTTAACTTTGGAACAGGGAAGTGAGAAAGCAGATGATGTTCAAGAGTGGAATAAAATAAATGTGCGAGAGATTATGTAAATCACAAGTCAAAATCCTTTGGTTTCAATACTAAAACCAGAATTTCATATGCTTGGAAATACCATTAACGTGGTTTATCAGCGAGCGGGCCATATCACCGAGCGGGCCACTTTTACCTCAATTTATCATTTCAAACCCATATTATTTAACAACAATTAAATCAATTGATTGAAACTATCAAGAATCTAATAATCTAGGATCTATTATACTATTCTGACAAGTTCTTGAATTATGACCAGTCTTTCCACACTTACTACAGCATTGACTAGTAGATGATTCCCTATTAAAATTTCCCCCATTTTGACGCTCGTCGCGTTGAATCTGATTATCAACCTCTTGTTGTGATAATATATCTTTAGCTTCTTGTCCAGTAAGTACTCCTTCATTACGTAGTTGAATTTTTTTAGCGCGTCGACGTTTACTTAATACCTCATTTGCTCTTCGAAGCATACGATTCTCAGCACTCAAAAGTGTAACTTCATATGCTAATCTCTCTGTACCTTTAACTAAAGCTTGTACAGTCTCAAATATAGGTGTAGGAGAGCTTGATTGATGACGAGTTATTCGAGCTTTTACTAGAGTTGATTGTAAGAGAGCCTCAGTTGGATTATGAGGGGTTTGAGAGATCCAGGAGTTGGTAAGTTCCAAGGAGGTAGATGGAGGGGTAGAAGTACGAATCCTAATATCTAGTTTTGAAAGTATAGATTGAGGATCGAATGGTATTAGACCTGCTCCTCGAAAACCAGCTTTCATATTCTGAATAGTAAATGATTGTTGATATACAGCTTTGAAAGCTATAAAGAATTCAACTTTAGTGATATGATTGATATGTGCCTTGATAAACTCCTCAATTTGAGAACTATATGAACATTTAAGTACACCGAAACATCCAACATCAAGTGGTTGAGTTAAATGACTTGAATGTGGTGGTAATTTGAGGCATATAATATCATTTGATTTGCAATATGATTGAAAAGGTATTGATTCGTGGCTTTCGTGCCCATCCAATACTAGCATTCGATATTTGCCCTTTCTTTGACGAATAGTATGTTTATCGAAATGCTTTAACCATTCTAGGCCTGTCTCATTATTCGTCCATCCATTGGAAGTAGGTTTAATAGCCCAATCCGCAGGAAAATCGGTTTCGGTATACCAATTGGAAAGATGAACTTGTCCTTGAACTACCAGAAATGGAGGTATAGTTTCACCCTCTCCATTGCCACATATAATTGCTGTAGCCCACTCTCGATTGCCTGGTTGTATTGCCTTGCTTCTACCATTTCGTTCAGCACTAGTTACAACCATTCCAGGGCATATTATACCCATCATGAAGCCGGTTTCGTCGAAATTGTAGAAATCAGAATCGACAATACCATATTTCGCCCGCATATTCGATACCAATCTAAATCACTCTTCAATAAGCTTGGGATCTTCGCAGAGAGCTCTTTGAAAATCATAAATGCGATTAAAACGCGTCTTTAATTCTGGACATCGTTTAACAAAGCGATGAGCCCAGAGCTTTCCAACCTTCTTCGCACCCCGCGATTCGAGGATATAATTCGCCATATCTTCTACACCATTTAATTTAGGTGCAAACCCTCTCTCATCCATATCGATTATATACTGGATAAGCACTTCCTCTTCTAATTTGGTCAAATTATGACTATTTGCTCGAGATTCGATACGAGGGGTAGTACCGTCCATTCTGCGCTGAATCTTTGTACGCGGGATATTATATAGCTTAGCAACCTTCCGAATGCTTAATTTTTGGTCTTTATTGATAGCTTCGATAGCTAAAAGTATTCGACCTTCTTGATTATTCGATTCCATAATATTTTGTTGATAAATCGCGTATTGAAGTTGAAAGATATAAATTGAGGTAAAAGTGGCCCGCTCGGTGATATGGCCCGCTCGCTGATAAACCACGTTAGTGTATCAATGGATATAGTAATAATTTTTAAGCTATGAAGTTTGCACCGGAACCCCACATCCCCGTAAAATATGGTTTCAGTTGACCAATGATCGGTTGTTTATGAATACCAATGGTTTTTTTGTTTGTAATTTCATTGGTCCAATATGAAGCATATGCTACGGGACATTTTGCGCAATACAGGGACTCCGAAATCAACTTAGCTCATCGGCAGTATTACGTCAGTGGAGTCTGCCTCCACCGAGAGCTAACAATCCCGAGGTAATCCCGATCGCTGTTCAGGCGGTGCGCCACATGTCACGAAACACGACTTCCCCAACCATCCCTCGCATCCCAAAGAACATTACAATCGCAGATGGAGCTTGTCACCATGACGGATCAGGCCCAGTCAGAGATCCTTGAGAATAATCCTATTGGGAAAGGCCTTGATGCCTTTCGCACCTCTTTCAATTCAATTTGTGAAGACAGAGCCATTTCCTGCACTCCGGACGCGCTCGGTCAGCTTGCGCAAGAAGGTACGTCTGGCGTTTGTTTGAGTACCTCCTTCCTTCTAATTCACATACAGATATCCAGACTCTCGCTATCGGTCTCCTCTCCGCTCTACTAAATCTCCCTGCGATTCGTTTCCTACGGTCAAAGACAAGTCATGGCACCCTTAGCAGCGATCTCCTGAAACTCATTTCCGCCGTCACCTCCGACAACTTCCACTTCGACCGTATTAAACCTCTCTTGACTGCGGCCCTCGACAATCGGGATGATGCACTCATCTGGGATCAAGTCTACAACGCCATCACCGAATCACTCACCAGCCCGAAACAATTAACGCCACCGACTGCCTTCGAGAAAGCCGTTTTCGACACGCCACTTCGATCCAGCTCGGCTTCTCAGAGGGGGATTGAGCAGACACACGATGAGGTTGACCGGCGGATACTTGAGGAACTCACTGGGCGCGTCTACTACGATGTTGGAGGGTTCTACGAGCGATACTTCGAAGAGAAGTCCTGGACGAACAACGCGAGGGATATGTACGAAGGGTCAAGAGCCCAGTATACAGAGGGACGCTGGAACGAGTGGCCAGAGCCTTCACTTCAAGGTCCATTCTTTGAGTGGTTCATAAAGTTCCAGGACGCTGTTCTCAGCGGACTTCGCCACAGATACTACACATCAGCGAACAAAGTGTTGAGGGGCTCGGAGGCTGATCGCAAGCTTGACATTTTCCTCACCCCCGCCAACGTTACCTTACCGAACGGCGAGCACGACTGGTCTAATGTACTTGTTATTGGAGAACACAAACAGAATCCTGATGAGGATCGATCTGCAAAAACACTGGTGCAGTTGGCAGGGTATGCACGCGAAGTGTTTGGAAGTCAACCGGAGCGGCGATTCGTGCCTGGGTTTACGATCTGCGGAAGCATGATGCGGCTCTGGGTATTTGACAGATCTGGACCGTATAACTCCGAGAAGTTCGACATTCACAAAGAGCCAGAGCGATTTGTCAAGGTCCTTGCCGGCTATGCGATGATGTCCGATGCAGAATTGGGTTTGAACACGTTCATCAAGCGTGATGGCAATGGCAAGTACATCGTCACACGAGATGTGAGGATCTCTTTGGAGGACAAGCCAATCGCCTCGACAAAAGCGATAGTGTGCCGGGGAACAACGTGTTATCGAGGAAGGAGACCCGGCACAACGGACTGGGAGTACGTTGTGAAGTTCGCTTGGCCGTCTGACAAAAGGCAGCGGGAGGGAGAACTGTTGAAGTTGGCAAAGGAGAAAGGAGTCACGGGCATTGCTGTGTGGTTCAATCATGAGCAGATTACTATCGACGGCGACCCGGACACCATCTCACATTTGCGACGAGCCATGAAATTTGGGTCGCCACGGAGGCCGTCGAAGAAAGCTTTTTGGGTCGATAGTAGTCCAGAATCCAGCCGTGCGTTCTCGAAAACAAGCCTCAAGGGAAGGTCAGGGAGCAGTGTGGCTCACTTGGTTGGCCTAGGAATTGGTGCAGGTAGCGCCACAACTTCTTCCTCTGGGCAGAAAAGAAAAAGAGATGAAAGACTTGATGGGGGTAGCAGACTGAAGAGGTCCAAATCCGACGGTAGTCATGCCAGCGCGACAAATGTGCACAAAGAAGACCAGCTAGACGCAATCGGCGCTCCTAGTATTCAAGAAACAGTGGTTGACAGTCTGGCAAACTGCCGGAATGAGTGGCAGCGGAATAATGTCGATAGTATTCAAGAAGCCGGAGCCGACAGTCTGACAGACTGCGAAAGTGAGACGTACGGTAACCGAGTGAACTACTGCTTGGTAACTTCACCAGCTGGACGACCTCTCCACGAATATCAATCGGTCAGAGAACTTTTGGAGGCGCTGCGCGATGCTGTCCGAGGTCATAGGTCACTGCTCGAGGATGGAAAGATTCTTCATCGGGATGTCTCCGAAAATAATATCATCATCACCGAACTCCCTGCCGAAGAAGCCCCCAAAGGAAGACTAATTGACTTGGACTTGGCAAAGGAGCTGGACAGCGTGCCGAGTGGGGCTCGTCACCGGACTGGCACTATGCAATTCATGGCGATTGAGGTTCTTGAAGGCAAAGGTCACACATATCGGCACGACCTCGAGTCATTTTTTTACGTCTTTGTATGGATGTGCATTCGATATGGCTATGAAGGTACGGGCAGGCAAAAACCCAACAAGCCGATGAAACCGAAGATAAATATACTGCGAGGCTGGTATACTGGGATGTATACAGAAATTGCCAATACCAAGCAGGGCCACATGGACAAAAACAGATTTGAGAACATCATCGTGGAGTTTGCGCCGAAGTTCGAGAACCTCAAACCATTGGCTCGCGAGCTCCGACATGTTCTTTTTCCAATTAGGGATGGAGCAATCTTCACAGGCACATTCCACGATAACGATATAATGTACGATGGGATGATAGATGCATTCAACAGAGCGATAGACCGTCTGGGAAAGGAGGAACAGGCAATTGCATAGGCGAGACGAGGACTGGGGAGTTAGGATTGTGCGGCGTATTGTTGGGGGTTTTTTCTTCTTTTCTTTTTGCTACAAAGGGTGTGGGAAAACTGTACGATACAATGATACCAATGAATTGCTTCTCATAAGGCGTTGCGCCTCATGTCTGCTTTCGATGACAACTTCTTCATTTTCTTTTGTAGTGTTTCACCAACCCAACCCCTTCCAAAATTATTCCTCTTTACCTTGACGACAATCTTAAGTCCAAGCAAATTCTGGATATCGCATGCTTAGGAGCCACACGACTTGTCTACATCTGGAGGAAGCCTCACCGCGAACATGCCGTTAAGGTCGGCCGCCTGCCCAGTTTAGGCCCTCACGGACATCCTAAAAAGGCGCCGTGGGCGATCCAAGTTCACGTCCATGACTCACCTGTTTTTGGAGCAGCCGATTATGGCTCCCTTTGGTAGGGAAGTCCCACCGATAAACCTTAAAATAGGCGGCGTCTAATTTAGGCTCTCTCTAGTTCAAGCAATTCTTCCCGTGGAGGGCAGTTTCTTTCGGCTAATTCTTGTGGCTCGCTCGACTTTTGCTCCGTCTTAGCTGAAATCGCTGGTGTTGGCTCTCGTTTTGATAGTGGACTTGGTGTTGTCGAATACAGGCCCAGAGAAGTCTCAGATGATAGTAGCTCAGGCTTGATCAGCTTGCTGATCTCTTCGTCCAAGTTTCCGAAGTTGACATCATATTCATCTTCCACTTTAAAGTCAGGCTCGACGCCGTCGTCATTGATCTGATCTGGAGAACCGGAGGCACCATCGGAGCCATCGTCTTCATACTGCAAGTATGGATTCCCGTCGGCTTCTTTCTCCATGGCGGACGTGTTCAGAGAGAAAACCCCAGATGGAATGCAGTGTACCTATTGGCATATACACAAAGACAGGGAGAGGAATCTGTGAGAAGGTTGCAAGATGAGTATACAACTATATGGGATTGCAGTTTAGAATTTGAGATCCCTGGCTGGGAGAATGAGTTTTGAACTGTGTCGAGCTTTTCTTCAGTCAGACTTCCGCATATATTCTACTCACAAAACAATTCGACTCATTTTCTCTTATGTTACTCAACATATCACAGATGATAGAAGAATGAAAGCTTCTCTACGTGGCCTCGTGGGAAAGACACGAAACCCCGCGATTTAGCCCCAGGTTGAAGATGTGGCGGCCGAGCGAGACGTGCCGCAAAGCTTGATTATCTTGGCACACCCCGAACCACCCTTTGACGCCATGCATTGCACCAATGCAACACTTCTTGCCGCACTTCACCTTATACCAATAGAGGAAGCTCGTGGGGGATTGGTGCTTCAGGCGAGGGTTATGTAAACAGATGTGAGGCCAGGTTCCGGCGAGGAGAAGCTCTTTAACTGCGTCTTCATACCCCTCCTTTGATGCCCAGCATATTGCCGTCGGGTGGTACATGGCCTCTTGTCTTCACTCGGTGTTGAGGTTGTCGAAATAAACAGGGTGCAAAGAAATGATCCCAAGTGCGATGGGGCAAAATTGGAGCTTGGGACAAACGCCAATTCTGGACCCCTGCAGAAGGTGATCTGGATGGGTCCACATATGGATCGTACTGTAGAAGGACCTTGCTTAACTGGCTTAGCTTAGATGGAGCCAAAAACGACAACGACAGCCAAACCTTTCTCCATACATCATTTGTGGATCATACGCAATTCTCGATACTTGTCACCTCCCAGCGCCCAGCATATACAGTAGCGTACCATGCTATCGACATCGACATCTCAGGTTCGTGTCTGGATGGAAGCTTTACAAAGTGGAGGGGGGGATAACGTAAGTCGTGGCGTAATGACCCTAGTGGCGTAATGACCTTAAGGTACCTTTTGTATGTGATTTACATACAAAAAGTACCTAAAATCTAAAAACTTAAAATTATCATAATTAGTATAATAACAATTATAGAGCTTAGCCCTTTTAAATATAGCATTTCTATATACTAATAGACTATATTCTAAAAGGGTTTACTTTTAGAAAGCCTAATTAGGCAGTTAGTAAAATAAGTAGGTCTAAAATCGTCTTTTTGTTACGAGGTTTGCCGTCTAGATCACGTGGAAGTGCTCTAGGCTCTCGAGGTGGTTTATAACTAGGCGTCAAGCAGGGACTTAAGTAATGACAATAATGATATACAATTCGTAACTAATAGTAGAGTATACTAAATGATTGATCTTGAGCACGAAGCTCTACAGGAAGGAATTCATACTGAATATATAGATCCTCGTACTTCTTAGATCACTCAGGATCACTGTTTATATCCTCTGATGGTGCGTGTATATGAGTTTTTAGGGTGACCGAAATCTCATATTAATTGAGCGAATCGTAACAGATTTACATATAGCCCAAGCTTACGAAAACAAGTCAGCTGTTACCATCGTAACATTATATCAGCCAGCGTATTACTAACTTACACTACTCCTATCACTGCTTTCAACTACTGTCGCTTTATTTTGTACACCCCTCTATTTTGTCTCCTATTAGTTTAAAGACACAAAGTAAAAGGACGAAAGTTTATGAGTTTAGTATTAGAACAATTGAAGCTATGAATGAATAAAAATGCTTTATTATGATTATATATATGAAAGGATATTACAATTTACATTAATGAAACCCCAAAATAAATCAAAAATAAACATATTTCTGCAACTCCTCATCGTATACACCTATAATTTCTGCCGGACTTTCTTCCGTGGATTGATCTTCTCTGGCATGATACTTCATATGTGCATCAAAGCCCTTTAGAGTTTTGAATCGAGAGATATGGCGATGCAGCTTGCAGTTGGATCTTGGGCAGAATAGCTTACCCCGATTATGAGTTTTCATATGTGCCTTCAAAGTCTGCTTGGAAGCAAGCGGCTCAGTATGGCGTAGACAGTCAGTATGTGGACATAATAGAGAACTTGCATCAAAACCCTTGTCCACCTCTAATGAGAAATTTCCCCGTTCTTCGAATGGAGAACTTTCGGTTGTGTCGTCTGAAGAGTCTTCAAGAGTCTCGTGTGAAAAATCCAGTGTTACCGATGACAAGTCCACAGTTATATTCGACGTAGGAACTTTGTTTGTATTGGACTCCTGACATAAGCTCTGATTATGACGAAAAAGCTCCCACTGACACCGGAAGGGGATGGAGTAACGTTTGCAACTCGGATTCTGACAGCGGTAATTCGCTACATCTTTCCCCATGCTCTGGCACAACTTCTGTAGGCTTCTGACCAAATCTGACCGGGGCGGTAAGTCATCTTCCTTCCCATAAAGCATGCTGATTATGCTTTGCCTCAAAGGTGGCATAAACCGTGTTCCCATTATCTGTTCGAGAGGCGTCTCCGAGGCATGTTTGTTGACCACGTCCCTTCGTATGTTGCGTAATCTTTTGACTTCGCTACTTATCTTCAAAGCACATCCTTCTGTTCTCGCATCTTCGATCCGCTTCGTCGCCGCAATTAACTTTGGGTCCTTGGCGATAGCGTCCACGAACTCTTTTGTTATGATACCTAATGATGAACCGCGATTTGCGTTTAGGCTGCGAGCGAAGTTGATCTGTTGTGTACATTGCTCTTGCCCGCGGGTCAGACTTTGCAGATCAACACCAGAATGAGAAGCAAGATAGCTGTTCTGAAAGATTTTGTCATTGGAGTGCCCGAGTATTTTGCCTCTTTCTGCGGAGGTGACATGTTTTAAACAAGTAAGAATATGAACAATAAAAGGAGAAAATATAGGGGAAAAACTTATGATTCAGAATGTTAGCTGAAGTACGTCTTATCACATATAATGTGAAGATATCCTTGAAGCCGGCCCGTTGTGCGAGGTTCCTCATTGAGTTATTGAAAGCTTGGTAAGTCAATGCCTCGACTTTCTCAGAGGATTTCATCGTTCGATTATTCCGGAACAAAGGCTTATCCAAAATACTTTCTTTAAAAGGAATATCGATGTACTTTGCGGTACATATCTTAGGATCATATAATTCCTCAATATTTTTTATATTTGCAAAAGCATCATCAGCAAAAGCTAAAGCAAGGAACAATGTGACCGGACACATTTCCCTGGATGTGAGATCCTCAAATATCTGTTGCTTGTATCTAGTATGTATGTTAGAGGATGTATTTCAAAGGGAAGGCATGTTACTTACACCTCTCCATCATCCCCCCGCTCATTTTTTCTGAGGTTGAACGTGAGCAGCAGGCTCATGAGGGGGCGGCCACCATCTGGATTTTGTAGCAAAGTGAATTTGATATCCTTCGGAAAAAGTCAGCTACGAAAGTTTCAAAAGAATCCAAACTCTATTGTACCTTATACAACATAGCTTGCCCAGTCATGTAATATGCATGTGATTCAATGATGGCACCGGGGCGTGCGGCAGTATAGACAAGTATCAAGACCAACAAAGCAATTTGAATCCTAGCTCGTTCTGTTGACCTCCTGGGATCTTGGCAGCATATGCATGTATATTGCATGATGCATATAAGGAGCAAACAAAACTCAACTTTTAATTTATTCTTTCCTTTTTGGTATACTGTTTGTTTGCTTTCAATATTTTGATTTCAAAGCACTTTAATTCCGAAGGCCGAATACCTAACCTATTCCTTCATTTTTTGAATATATGCTCGCAGCTTAACTGCTTAGCTAGAGAATCAATCAATTCAATCTGATGCTCTTTCTAGTCTCAAGAAACCCAACAATAACCGTCCTTTTTCATCCTTACTATCGTCTCGTGCTCATCTGCCTCCCGCCGAACGCGCTTCCCTTTAGGTCCTACTAGGCGTACTTCGGAATGTAGAATACTGCAAGAGCTCTAGGTCTGCGCAAATGTATCAGCACCTAATGCTTCTGCAATAACAGGCAGATGCAGATGCCCCGGTACATGTTGCAACTGGAATTCGAGAGTGTATGTGGTATCATTCCCAATTATGGTACGTTTTAGAAAACCTTGAAACGGGCATTCTCGATACTCGGTAGTGGTTGCCGGCTTTGCACATATGGGATTCACAGAGGATGGTGGTGGATAGCAGTGATTACCATCGCTGATCGCTGGTGAATGCCCACCAAAGTTTGATGTGGAGGAGTCGATCATGGTAGATGGAGCAGTGAAGGATGAACTGGTGATGTGACGCGGCAAGAGACGACCTTCTCCACCATTACGTCGGGATGAGGTTTGCTCGTTGTTGGTAGAAAGTGAGCGAGTTCTTCGTTGATTTGCAAGTCGCGCATCGCCATTGCTCTCGCCATCCCTCTCAATACCGGTTTCGGAAAGATGTCGCCGCTTTCTACCTCCCTGTTGCTCATTATTCCCCCCCTCCTTTATCGATCCTACAGCTATGTCACTGTACTGCTGAAGGAAGTATGGTGAGGATATAAGCCCAAGTTTCTCAGGGTCACTGTAGCTGGAATCGCTCTTGTCTTGATCGCGAAGAGTCAAAGGACACGATGGCTCAATTGAGTAGTCCATAGGAGGGGAATGGGAGCCACCCGCTGAGAAATTCTCTTGCTCATCTGGATTTGATTTATCGTCTTCCAACATTAGAGTATCTGCATATAGTTAGGAGGTTGTCTATCATCGTAATCAAGAGCATATATACCCTGAGTGTTATAGCCATTTTGTAGTTCTTCTATCAAGGTTTCCTGATACAAACGAGGATCAAGGACTGTCTCAATTGATGAAGAATCGCCATCATATATTCTCGGCGAAGCTATCTTATCCTCCCAGATTTTGGTTTCCAGGTTTGAGCCCTCTCCTGTATTCGCTCGTGATATACTATCTAATGTAGGGAGATCGATGTTGTAGTCATTATCGGCAACGTTTTCTTTGTTGCTATTCCCTGTATAGAAAAACATTAACCATTATTAGTAGGGAAAAAGAATATCTTAGGATCTTATTTTGGGCATGCATACCTTGAAGTTTTGAGCCTGAATCATTACCATCATTTGATCTCTGAGTATCGTCAAATAATCTTCGATCTGGCACAATATGCTGCTCCTCGACGGGAAAGCTATGCTTCTGAGTGGTTGCCCTCCTGGAACGCGGAGCAGTGGGCACATAGGTATTATATTTGCCAATGAAAATCACGGGTAACTCTTGAGTTTAATGTGATGGAGATGGTAAAGTTTTACGAATGCTATGGTTTGGGTCGGTATCTTGAATGCTATGAATGAATCCACCTTGTGCATACTTGCATCCCTTCACCCACGCCTGCCAATGGATCCAAAAGCCGAGATCCTTTTGGAATTGTCAATACCTTGCTCAAAAGGTCCATCTGCTTAATCAGAACCTAGAACAGTTTTTTCTTCTCCCATGCTCATTAATCCAGAACAGTTTTTTCTTCTCCAATGCTCATTGATGGCATAAACCCACTCTTTTATAAATTTATATAAGAATAACAAACCAAGCCAAAGAACCAAAATTGCCACTACAGAAAGACAAATGATACTAAACCATTGGCAAAACTGCTCAAAAGATTTCCACTGCTTAGTCACATCAAAGTTAATCGCCATAGAAACCTGCATCGCACTCAGCACCACTGAAACTATCGCGAATACAAAAAGTAAAGGCCCATAGAACGAAGCGAAATAGTCGGAGTATTGTGTACGAACACGGTGGAAGCTGAACTTCTTTAAGAAGATTTTCGAATACAGATTGAGTCTTGTGAGTCGAATCTCGCCATAAGCATATCGTCCAGAAACGTCGATATCAGGAAGGTTTTCCAAAGATGCGATAAAATCGCAGAATTTTAGAAAGGTAATATCAGGAGGGATTAATTGAAGTTTATCATCGATAGCTATACGAAAATCGGATTCATATTTGATGAGATAGATGTATGTTCTGAGATATCCTAGAACTGCTTTCTGAAGAGTAATCTGCTCTGGTGAAGAGTGGCGATTGATGCAAAGATAGGCCTCCCAAAAATAGTGGGATAAAAGGTATTTTGGGAGTGGTTTGATAAATATGCGGTCGTGATACCACACTAAATGCAGTCGTGGATCTTCAGTGATAACGATATCGCGACCTTTGACCTTTTGGCGATGTAGTGGAGAGATGCTTTTACTGTCATGCTTTGACATCATCCATAGATATGGAGAGATACTCTCTAGGTCTTTTAGAAGAAACTCTTGTTTGAGAAAATCATCAACTTTTGCATACTGATTTATATAGATGCGTGGTTGACCTGGTAGGCGTATTGTTGATATTGCAGGCGCTGTTGGACTTGCTATAATGTCAAGCTCATCGTTGAGCTGATCAGCTTTCGCAAATGGTGGTTCTTGCATTGAAATGATCAAGGGTTGTTTGTTTTGGAAAATACAGATTATTATAAGAGGAAACGATCGATTCATTTGGATTAATACATTACTTAAATAAAATCCAAGAAGTGGTACGAGACGAGGTAGTATTGGAAGAACCACTCGTTGTAATACGTGGAATATACAAGTACCGCTGAATAGTCTCAGATGAAAGTTTACATGCATCGAAAGGCTATCTTCTTGCCAGCCCATACATGAGAATTCAACATAAACTGTAAGGCTACCCCTTCACACCCAACCAATTTCTGCTCAGTCACGGCGCTTCTGAGGATAAGAGTATTTTGATATTTTTTACCCGTGGCCAATTATCTCTATTCCCCCCCCACCACGATGATGAAGCTTGTTAAAGGCATACCTAGGCAAGATTTTGAATAGTTTTATCAAAACAAATCCACTCCCTCCCTCATTCCTTCACCAACTCATGCAATCAATAATCCTTTTTTTTCAAAACGACAACTAACAATAATGGATATCAAACTAACAAAAGAGCTTTTATATGCAATGGCTCTTATCATTGTCGCTAATATCTATTTCGCATTTACTATGGCATCAACTGCGAAAACCACGAAGAACAAAGAAGTCTCGGAAGCCAAGGAGACCACAAAGATAAATCCGCGACCGAAAAAGCTCAAATGTTTTCGCATTCAAGGAATACCGATCGGAAAAACGAAAGAATCTTTGGAAAAAGAGCTTAGAGACAGTTTACCAATGTATAAATCCGATTGCTATCTGACGTTAGCAAATTCATCTTCCTCCAAGTCGATGGCAACGCTTAATTCATTTGAAAATCCGGGGAAATTTTTGCCAACGTATTATACCGTCGATGACAATTTCCTTGGAATCACTCCTCTTTTTGAAGGCGATAACGCATCCGTTGAGTAAGTTAAATATATATTGATATCAGGAGCAATAGTAATTAATATATAATAGCATCATTTCTATCCCAGGTCTAGGTAGCCATCCAATCGGCTCGTTCAAAGGAAAAGATGGTCTCTGGATTCGCGAGTTTCTTCCTGAAGATTTACCATCTGCTCGGATTCTGGCTTATGGATACGATACATCAATTCTGGATAGAAATGCAAAACTGTCTATTTCTGATCTAGCAAAAGCATTTCTCAGTTCGATCAGAGCGTTTCGCTCAGCCACTAAGGTTATAATCACAATTACATATATACATTTTTTATGCTAATAATGAATCTGTAGACAAGCCAAAGACCCATTATTTTCGTAGCTCATAGCCTTGGAGGTTTGCTAGTCAAAGAAGTTCGTCTTCTATATTCCGCATTGAAGCCTTGCAAACTAATAAATGGACTCTAGGCATTATATATAGCTCTGATGGGCAGTGAGAACCCCGAAAACCGTGATTTTTTCAAATCATCTTACGGTTTAATGTTCTTTGGGGTTCCTAACTTAGGGCTTAACAACAAATCCCTCATGCAGATTGTAGCCGGAGGACTTAACGAACAAATGATTAAGGATCTCCAAGTGAATGACGAAGATCATGAACCAACTCAGTTCTTAAGCACGATTAAACAGAAATTTAAACAATGCTGCAGGGAAGGTCAGTTTCAGATAAGATCTTATTACGAGTTGAGGGAGACTCAGATGGTTAGAAAGGTATGTTTAAAGTCTCCCTTGATGCAAGACAATTCCTGATGTCTTTTGATAGTTGGACAATGGATTGTTGGTGAAGGATGGACCGCTTTGCTACATGGTTTCGAAGAATTCGGCTTGTCAAATCGGCTTCAATGACAACTTTTGCTACGAAGAGGGACTCCTTAGAGATCATTCAGATCTGGTCAAATTCTCTAATCAGTATGATGATGATTACAAGCGAGTACTTGATTCATTAAAAGGGCTTGTTGATAAAGCGCCTAATATTGCTGAAGCAAGGTTTGCTTCAATTAAAAGTATGTGATTCTTAGATCATATATTATTAGGCTATCAAATCTAATTTTCCAAGACCTCTCTGCAGATGAAAAGTGCCATTGGGATGACCTAAATGATCCTCCTTATACAAGTTTCAAGGAGTCAAATAAAGTACAAACAGCAGTTAAGGGAACTCTACAATGGTTGATCGATGATCAAACATTGCCAGATGAAAACTGCACTGATGGTCTTCAAGCAAAAGACTTTATTAAATGGCGGGACTCTGAGAAATCAAACTTTTTGTTGGTGATCGGAACACCTGGCCAGGGAAAGTCTGTGCTATCTAATTTCGTGGTGGATCATCTCAAAGACCGGATTGACCAACAAAGCTCTAATAGTAAAATTATCTACTATTTTTGCAATATCAAAAACGAAGAAAGGTTTCGAACAGCATCAGCCATTTTTCGGTCTCTCATTGTTCAACTTTGCGAAGATCAAAGATTATACCAAAGGCTTCCACAAAATTTAAAGGATACATCCAAAAAATTCGCCACAGAATCGTTTGCTAAACTTGGGAATATTTTTCATGATATGATCACAAAAAACCCATACGATCGTGTTTACTGCATCATTGATGGACTTGATGTATATAGTACAGATATTGAAGATCTACTTCAATATTTGGATAAACACTTCGCTCTAGAGGAACGCAACATTAATAGAAAGCCTCTTTTTCAACTGTTTTGTACAAGCAGACCAGAATGGGTAACAAGCATTAAATTCTCACACAAGAAGATACTTCGTGCTTCTACAGACGACTTAACGCTCTTCATCAACTTTGAGTTGTCCTTATTCGAAGAGGAAGATGGATTTAGAGATGATATGAAGAAAATCATTACTAAGGCTGCACAAGCAGAAGAGAAAAGAACATTCCTTTGGATAAGTATAGTTCTCCGCGAGCTTCGAAAAATTCCATCACCATCTATCGATGAGATTGAGAACAAAATAAAACAGATTCCATTAGAGCTCGACGCTTTGTACAAGAATCTTGTTCAGAAATTGTTAACAACCCCAAAATACGGGGTAATATTAGCTTGGATAACATATGCAGTACGTCCACTACATTTTCGGGAACTGGAAGATGCTCTTGCTGTTAGTATGACGAAAGGCGCGAGAAGTTTAAAAGATTGCGAAAAAAAAAGAATCGTTTTAAATTCTAAAGTTATTCAAACAAATCTAGGCAGCTTGATAGATGTCATTGGCCCGAACCCTTTTCTAATCCATCAAACATTACGAGATTTTCTGAAAAGATCGGGCATATTGGAAAAAGCAGAGATATTGGATCAATTTAAACGACCGGGAATTCTCCTCGCCAATACCTGTATATCTTATCTGCATTTTGAGGATATTGTGGAATCAAGAACGGGAGATGAGGACGACTTCCTTTCCTACGCCGCAAACTACTGGTATGAACATATTGATACATTAGAAGAAGCGCAAGACAATATAGAACAACTGGAATCTGTGTTAAATGCAAAAGGTCAGGCGCTCTGGGTGAGTAGAAACAAAAATCATAATTTGCTACACAAAACGATACCGATATCGATTTGGACTATTGCAATTTTAATTGATAAGGAATGGCTAGCAAAAGTCGTCACAAGTACGATCCCCAACAGATTAACAGAAGAGTTAGGTGATAGTTATATTGTTCCTGCTGCTAAGTCAAGCATAAACGTATTTCGAGAATTGCTAAATTGGCCATATTCAGAGAGAGTATTAATTACGGAAGAGGTGGTGAAGGCAGCAGCAGGGAATCTGTGGAGTGGAAAGGAGGTGATGATGCTTTTGCTTGATAAACGAGGGGCAGATGTAGTCATTACGGAAGAGGTGGTGAAGGCAGCAGCGGAGAATTGGGAGAGTGGAACGAAGGTGATGATGCTTTTGCTTGAAAAACGAGGGGCAGATATGGTAATCACTGAAAAGATGGTGAAGATAATAGCAGGTCAATGTGAAAAAGAGGTGATGATGCTTTTGCTTGAGAAACGAGGGGCAGATGTGATCATTACGGAAGAGGTGGTGAAGGCAGCAGCGTGGAATGAAGAGAGTGGAAAAGAGGTAATGATGCTTTTGCTTGAGAAACGAGGGGCAGATATGGTAATCACTGAAGAGATAGTGGAGATAATAGCAGGTCAATGTGAAAAAGAGGTGATGATGCTTTTGCTTGAGAAACGAGGGGCAGATATGGTAATCACTGAAGAGATAGTGGAGATAATAGCAGGTCGATATGAAAAAGAGGTGATGATATTTTTGCTTGATAAACGAGGGGCAGATGTGGTTATTACGGAAGAGGTGGTGAAGGCAGCAGCAGGGAATTTTTGGAGTGGAAAGGAGGTGATGATGCTTTTGCTTGAGAAACGAGGGGCAGATGTGGTAATTACGGAAGAGGTGATGAAGGCAGCAGCGGGGAATTTGGAGAGTGGAAAGGAGGTGATGATGCTTTTGCTTGAGAAACGAGGGGCAGATATGGTAATCACTGAAGAGATAGTGGAGATAATAGCAGGTCGATATGAAAAAGAGGTGATGATATTTTTGCTTGATAAACGAGGGGTAGATGTGGTTATTACGGAAGAGATGGTGAAGGCAGCAGTTGGGAATAAATATAGTGGAGAAAAGGTGATGATATTTTTGCTTGATAAACGAGGGGTAGATGTGGTTATTACGGAAGAGGTGGTGAAGGCAGCAGCTGGGAATAAATATAGTGGAGAAAAGGTGATGATGCTTTTGCTTGAGAAACGAGGGGCAGATGTGGTCATTACGGAAGAGGTGGTGAAGGCAGCAGCTGGGAATAAATATAGTGGAGAAAAGGTGATGATGCTTTTGCTTGAGAAACGAGGGGCAGATGTGGTCATTACGGAAGAGGTGGTGAAGGCAGCAGCTGGGAATAAATATAGTGGAGAAAAGGTGATGATGCTTTTGCTTGATAAATGAGGTGCAGATGTGGTCATTACAGAAGAGGTAGTGAAGGCCGCCGCTACATGTGGGCAAGAACAAGTTCTATATATCATCGATACACATCTCAAGATGCTACCATATCAGGAAAAGTGGTTCATGATTGCTCAATTCTACAACGCAGCCAAACTTGGACAAAAAATAAAATTCAAAGATTGTTAAAAAGAGGGGTTGAATCGGATCTTTTAAACCCTAGAAAGGTGACACCTCTCTGTATCGCTGCTACAAATGGTCATATGGAGGTAATCCGATTATTCCTTGAGACGAAATCCGTCAACGTCAATGTCACTTGTGTTTCCGGACGATCACTTATCTTCTATGCAGCTGCAAATGGGCATGAAGAGATTGTGAAGCTCTTATTGAATGCCGAGGCAGATCCGACCTTTATAGATACTGAAGGCGAAACTGCGCTTTTGGTTTCTAAGCGATATGGATATTATAGGATCGTGGATATATTAAGTGCTTGGAAGTAAACCCAAAGCTTCTTTTGAGAGTATATCGATAATTAGTATTATCTACAATCAAAGCAAGATGGTTGAGACCATAAAGAGTTACCGGCGAGCACTTAATGTATGAGGTCCTGAATGTTGTACCGTGACCACGAAAGCTATAATCTACTGTTGACCTACTGGAATCCTGATAGTATATATAGCATGCTGTATGCAGAGAGCAAAAAACCTCAATTTTCAATTTACTCCTTCCATTTAAGATATATTGTTGTTATCAATATTTTGATTTCAAAGCACTCTTAATGTTACGAGGTTTGCCGTCTAGATCACGTGGAAGTGTTCTAGGCTCTCGAGGTGGTTTATAATTAGGCGTCAAGCAGGGACTCAAGGTAATATCAATGGTTGCAATTCGTAACTAATAGTAGAATATACTAAATGATTGATCTTGAGCACGAAGCTCTACAATAAGGAATCCTTTCTAGCTATATAGATCTTCGTATTGTACGTCCCATTGCTCCCATTTGATTGGAATCGATGGGACCGGTGGGAATCCTTCCCATCGCTCCCACTGAGCTTATATCGATGGGACTGGGTGGGAATTACATCATATGATTACTCAATCATATAATATAATGGTTCTTACCGAAATGGATTTACCACTAACAGACTTTGTGCACATTTGATCCCCACATGACCTTAATCCCATACTAAATCGATCAAATCGTATCTCGTAAGCACACAATCGGTTATTTGTAAGATCCGTGGTTGTAACAAAGAGGTCTCTCTCGTGGTTGTAACAAAGAGGTCTCTCTCGTGGTTGTAACAAAGAGGTCTCTAAACAACAAAAAAAAATCGACACGTTTCCTCTTTTCGAAGAGAAACCGACTATATCTATACTGTCTACTCCAAACGATCTCCTCTCCGCAAAGCGCTGCCCTTTGGGCACCGCAACAAGGTCAATCATGGCCCCATCCCCCCCCGACGGCCCCCTCCAGAAGGCTCTAGCGGAATCTGTAGCAGCAGCTTCCATCAGAGCCTCTGAAGGACAGTCCCTATTTGATCCTATCGCAAAGTTCTTGGATCAACACCGCACCAACAATCAAGGCCCCCCCAAACACTTAAAGGAAGCCCTGGCCCAACTCAGCGACGAACTCGCAACAGTGGCTACAACACACTTCAAAGCATTTATCACAGGCTCAACCCCGATCAAGCCACATATACACAAAAATGCCTCTGCATCGAACAGCACCCCGATCACAAAGCCTACATATGCCAAAGCTGCTGCCTCAACTACCTCAAAGATCTTCAGCCAGCCTTCAGCCACAAAGACCAAAAGCATTCAAAAACTCTCCGAGGACAACAGACTCTTCGTCCGACTCCCTCTAGCCCACCCGGCAAGAGATATGCATGTCTATGCTATCTACACGAGCCTCAAAACCAAACTAGGAATACATGGAAAAGCTCTTCAGGAAATACAGCAAACGAAGTCCGGCCTGGCCTTATGCCCAAACAGACCCGAATCCCTCTCAATCCTCGAATCCCAGATTCAAACCATCTCCAACTTCTTCACCTCCCCTTCTGGCACGGTCAAAGTAGAGCGAAACGCTCAATGGCTCTCATACCGTATCTCCAACGTCCCCAGACGCATAGGCCTCTTCGAAAATGACCAATATACAACAGGAGATGTGGATTCACACATGTTAAAACTGGCCATTAAAGAACTGACAGGTGTCACCCCACTTCTGGTAGCGGAAACACCGAACAGCACTATCACTCCGTCCAGTTCAACCTGCGATTGGTTCGTCAACTTTCCAAACGAGACCAATCCATCCCAAATCCCGAAGTTCATGCGACTCTTCGGGGTAACCACCACAACCCGATTGCTGCCCCGCAAGAATAAAATCATACAATGCGACAAATGCTGGAACTGGCATAACCCAAGAACCTGTGCTAGACCTAGCAAATGCCGCTTATGCGGCTCCACAGAACATAAAACATTCGCTCATTCGAACAGATGCGATACACAAGGGGAACACACCTGCCCTCCCCGATGCCTACATTGCCACGGCCCCCACGCAGCCGATGACCACAGATGCCCTCTTTTCGCCGGCAAAGGCCGACAACTCACCAAAGAACAGAAAATCGAAATCAGAAAATCAGGTTTTCTTGCCACCACCAAAGCCAGAAAAGACGATGGATGCATTGCAGGCAACCGGAAACACTTCGGCAACAACACCGACATTATGGAGACAATAGAGACCCAACCTATCTCCAGACCGGTCACTCCCCCAGTCCAACCCACACCAACAGCCCCCCCCTCTACCACCCGCTCCACCCGATACGTCACCCCAGGACCTATCGATATCTTCCGCTCCATAAATCATAATGAATAGACAACAACTATCCGTCTTCCAACTGAACACAGGCAGAAGCGCTGAGGCACATGATATTGCACTCGCTACAGCATACAACGAAAAGTCCGACATCATAATGATACAAGAACCATACATCTCGAAAGACCTCTCCCGCCGAATCACCAAATGGCACCCAGCATACCAATGCTACTCCCCAACAGACAACTGGCTTGAGCATGGTAGACCCAGAGTGATCTCCTACATCCGCAAAGACCTAGACATCATTATCACCCAACTCAAACCCCCTCACATTGACCCATATGCCCTTTCAGATCTCCTCATCCTCCAACTAAAAACTGAGACCAATTACTCAGTCACCATCTTCAATATATATAACAGCCCCCGCGGTTCTCCAACCCGCCCCCAGAATACCACCCAAACCCTCATCGACACCCCAGACACCTACCTTCAAGGGAACACCTTCCTCTGTGGGGACTTCAACCTCCCACACCGGAACTGGCAACCTAGCTATACAGGAAACCTCTCTCCTGCCTCTATCCCCTTCAACAAATGGCTCGAAGAACACCAATTAGTATTCTCATCCGAGCTAGATAAACCTACCCACTCTATAGGCAATGTTCTGGATCTGGCCTTTTGCTCCCACACACTACATCAACAAGGCCTCAATACCCGTGTCGCCTATCACCTTGATGTCACCTCGGACCACACTCCCCTCCTTACAAATATCCCATGGATATCCAATACAACGAATACTTTGAAACAGCTTCGTCCTAAAAGCCTCGATCCTACCCTTTTCAAATCCCTCTTAAAAACCAATCTCACAACCCTGAATGCCCCACCTCGAAGCGAAGCAGAACTAGACCAGTTCACCGATGACCTTGTAGACGCCATCCACAAAGCTTATTGTGGCTCTGCCAAAAGAACTACAGGCCAAAACAAAGGCCAACCCTGGTGGAACGATGAATGCAGCAATGCACGCATACAATACCACCGAAATCAGATTGACAAACAACTCTTCAGACAAACCATCCGAAAAGCTAAAAGATCCTTCTACCGCACAAAGATAGACCAGGCCCAACATGCCAAGGACATCTTCGCCATATCTAAATGGCATAAAACCACAGGCTCTTTCCATTCCCCCCCTCTCAAGGACCCCCTTCACCCCAACCGACCCCTTGCAACCGGGACCCCGGAAAAACGAACCATCTTAATAAACAATCTCCTCAAAAGAGATACAGAAGTTGGAGACATCCCTATAGATTGCCCAACTGTCCCTACCAAACAACTCCCTCCCCCAATCATCAATGCTCAAGCGATACAGAACGCAGTCTTGTTGGCAGGCAATACAGCCCCTGGGGCAGACGGACTCCCTACAGCAATCCTCAAAGAAGCCTGGTCTCTGATCGAGCCATTCGTCTCCCAACTTTACTACAGCTGTCTCCACCTCGGATATCACCCGAAATCCTTCCGCAGTGCGATCCTTGCAATCATCCCCAAACCCAATAAGGCCGACCTCTCCTCTCCCAGATCATACAGACCCATCGCCCTACTCTCAGTCCTCGGCAAAGGACTCGAACGATTAATTGCCCGGCAAATGTCCTGGACCTCGATCTCCCATAAAGTCCTTTCCACACACCAATTCGGAGCCCTGCCTCTCAGATCCTCAGTAGACCTCACCACCTGCCTTACCCACGATGTCGAACATGCACTTAACTTAAACGGCTCGGCCTCGTTGCTCACTCTCGATATCAAAGGAGCCTTCGACGCTGTCCTCCCCGGACGCCTGATCCGGAGGCTCCGGGAACAAGGCTGGGCCCCTAACCTCACCAAATGGTTATCCTCCTTCGTAACCCGAAGAACCATCCAAGTTCGCCTAGATGGAACCACAGGCCCCAAAACAAACATTGAATGCGGGCTCCCACAAGGCTCCCCTATATCACCCATTCTCTTTATGTTATACATCGCCCCTATCTTCAAAATGGGGAAGGACACAATCAAATTCGGCTACGCAGACGATGTAGCTATACTAGCAGCCTCGAACTCTCTGGATGATAATGTCACCGAACTCAACGCTACCACACTGGAGATCCTAACCTGGGGCGCCTCAGAAGGCATCACCTTTGATCCCGGCAAATCAGAACTCATCCACTTCTCAAAACGCAGGACTGAACAGAACCCAGATACTACCCCTACAATTACTATGGGAGATCTAACAATCAAAGAACTTGCCAATGGAAAGCCCTATATTAGATGGCTCGGAATCCTCTTCGATAAAAAGTTATCCTTCAAATGGCATACGAAAGAACTAGCTACAAAAGCTATTGTAATAGCCAGAGCTCTTAAATCCCTGGGTAACTCTATAAGAGGAGCCCCTCCCAGACTACTACGGCAAGCCGCTGAAGCATGTGTCCTCAAACGTGCATACTTTGGAGCAGAAACCTGGTGGACAGGTAGAACACAATTCGGAATAAACCACCCTACTAAGGTGGAGGGCCATATCAACCAGTTAAGTAAGGTTACCTTAGAGTGTGCCAGAGCAATCCTGCCAGTATGGAGGACAACCAACATAGCAATACTGCACCGTGAATCAGGACTCCGCCCGCCTGAAATTGAACTGGACGACCTAGCTCGCGCTTCAACAGTTAGAACCAGAAGACTGGACCCCTACCACCCTCTCGCCTGGAGAGCTAAATGGATCCAAGAGGACCCCGGCTCTTTCAAGACCCGTTTCGCCTGCCGTATCCTATCTCTTCCGCCCTCGGAACAGATCGATCCCCTATCAGCCCCTAAATGGCTAGAATATGAATCAAGAGCAGAAATAATGAAGCGTATTCACAGCCCCAATGGCCGTACCAAACAGGAAGCAGCTACTGAATTCAACGATTTCTATGACCTACTCCCTCGCGAAGATATCGTTATCTTCTCTGACGGGTCTAAACTTGCAAACGGCAACACTGGTGGCGGTTTCGTAGGGTACCAAGACAACCACAAATTCTGCGAAGGGAGCCTTCCACTAGGAAGAATGAAGGAAGTATACGATTCTGAAGCGATCGCAGCTTTCGAAGGCCTCAAGGCCGCTATCTCCTCGATCGAATCGAGAATAGCAACAGATATATACATCTGTCTTGATAATATTGAGGTAGCAGCAAGACTCCTCTCCAAATCTACCGGATCCTCCCAGGACACCTTCTCGGCTTTCCGCCAACTAGCCTCAACCTGGCACAATGGCACAGTCCATATCCGATGGGTCCCTGGTCATAAAGATGTAGCAGGAAACGAAGCGGCTGACAAAGCGGCCAAGGCAGGGGCAGCCCTCCCTCAACCCACAGGGGCCTACTCATATGCAGGACTCAGAAGAGTGACCAAAGGACTCAGGCAAAAAGCAATGAATCAGCTGTGGTCAACAGTGATCCCAACAACCTACAGAGACCTCGAGATCTTTACCTCACCAAGGAACCCAAAAGAACTCTCTCTCCCTAGACCCTTCCTAGGTCGCCTAATAGCTATCCGCTCAGGCCATGGAGACTTCGCATCGTACCACGAACGTTTCCTACATCAAGACGCACAACTGCTTTGCAGATGTGGAGCCCGTAAATCCCCAGTACACTTCTTCTTCTGCAGTATCGCCAAAAGAAACCACCCCCGGCCTAAAGGGAAACCTGCCGATATTCTTCCGTTCCTCTGCGGTACCTACGAAGGTGCTGAGGTATTAGCAAACTGGACGAAAGCGAACGGATTCTATACCAACATATGTCCCCTCCACCTCCCTCCCCCCCCAATCTTAAAGGGCCCCATTCACTCGCTGTGAGACCCCAGGTCGCAGAGCTACCCTAACAGACAATCAAAATTGACCATAAAACCTGTATTTCCTTTGTAAGAAAAAAAAAAAAAAAAAAGCTTATATAATCAATTGTGGAGGCGCTAAGAAGGTCATGGGGTTTTAGGCGGACCGGCTGCAGCTCGGCAGAATTCATACTAAGTAATCCCTCCACCAATAGGAAGGATTAATTTCTCATCAAGATCACGGCAGCTATGGGAATGCGCTCAGGAATCACTACACTCTGTAGAAATAGTATGTATATAACTATTAGAAACCCAGGAGTAACTCCCTGGCGGCCTTTGCCCCAAGAGGGGATGTCATGAGAATGGGGGGGCTTCGCCCCCTCGGCCTCTAGGGCCGTTAAATAATAACACACACACACACAAAGAGGTCTCTAAACGTACAATATTACTACTACTATTACTGTCATTACTAGATATTATAATTCACTCAATTATATAAAGAATAAGTATTTTAGACCTTCAGCGAATCTATTGTTGTTTTTCACTTGTACAGCATAAGAAAAAACTCATTGAATATAAGCTACAAAAAAATAAGGATTAAACTAGATAACCCAATCTTTAAACCTGTTACTGGTGGAACCGGCCAAATGTGACCAAAAGGGTGTTTATAGACCAGCAATTGTATTTAACTTAGAATCTACAGGTGAAGAGCACCTGTAGATGGGGATAGCTACTCTATATATGCACAAATGAATGGCCTAGCGGCACACTGGTGTGTACGACGGCTTCTGGCCTCGTATCATATGACCACATACGAAGTCATGTGATCCCTTCGATCCCTTCGGTAAAGGGATCGAAGGGACCGAAGGAACGATAGGCATGAAGGTCTATATAATCAAGATGAATTTCCTTTGTATAGAGCTTCGTGCTCAAGATCAATCATTTAGTATACTCTACTATTAGTTACGAATTGCATTATTGTCATTACTTTAAATCCCTGCTTGACGCCTAGTTATAAACCACCTCGAGAGCCTAGAGCACTTCCACGTGATCTAGACGGCAAACCTCGTAACACTAAGTTCTACGGAAGTGCGAAGCTCTCCTACAGAGAGCTTCTCAATCTAGTCCTAATAGGACTAGTGCCCTATGCACGTGCTACGCAGGAACCATTCACTTTAACAATTTTCAAGATTTTCAAATTTGTATATAAATCTTATACAAATTAAAAATCGTAATTTCAATCAATAAAATTGTAAAAAATCAGAAAATTTCGGATTTATTAATATCTGTGTAATAAATTTATAATTCAAATTTTATCAAATTATATTTATTGATTGTAAAGTTATTAATAGGTGAAAATCACGATTTTTGATGTAAAAAGGTGGCTGGAATTAGAGGTGGCCAGAAAGTAGGGTATTAGACTTAAAACTTTGTTTGTTGCGATATATATGTGGTATACAAGAGTTGCTGTAAAGGAGAGTACTCTTTATTTTTTGAGAGGCTTCTTTGAATTCGAACCGTTTATGAAGACTCCGTCGTCCGCAATTAAAAATTCCTGAATGGTTTATGATGCCAACGTGGTCATGGGCATTGATTGTGAGTGGAAATATCGAGGAGTTTAAAAACTGGCTCGAATTTAGGGAAAAGCAAGAAAATGTCGATTAAGAATGGGGATGTAGATGTCTGGTAACTATAATAATACCTATAGGAACATATATCAGACATATATCACGTACAGAACACTTGTTGAAGGATCCAGTGGGTTGGAAAGAGCATTTATGTTGGAGCGAGTCAAAGAGGAGGTTGATCACATCGGAGCCAGTAGTAACTTCAGAGGAATTGGACTTACCACTTATAGGCTCCACGAGAAGGGTTCATTTATAGCGGTCAAGAAATGACTTTACTTCTCACTATTTCTTTTATGAGTCAAGGCATCCAATAATACTCCAGATTATATTTCAGCAATGAACTTGACTGGGTCCACTTGAAATATTAACATCAACTAAGATATTGAATTATATTTTGAAGATTCAAAGAAGTTCGACCATTGAAAGCTTAAATCTAGTTAGTGTACCAGTTCCAACTAATTACCCGATACTCTAATAGTAGTTGGAATGAGTGAGCTCGATATATTTTGATAGATAACCTCGGGCTCGTTTCTCCGATATATTCATAGACCTTTTCACTCTCTTTATTATTTCCCCTTGTTTGAAACATAGATCTCGTCTGCAACCAAATTTAACCAATTTTAAATTCATGGATGCACTTCACTCTTACTTACCCTGGAACAATCTGTGTAGCATTATATATAGATATAGTAGACAAAAACATTTCTTTCCCATTTCCAATCCTCTTCTCTCCCTCGCGCGACCATCTTCCCGTTCTCGGGTTATTCATCCCTAGACCCCAAAAAGGCGCAAAGGTTAGTTAGGTACTTACTTATCTACCTACTACCTACCTACCTACTTACTCACTTACAATAAATAGCCAGTCTGAACTGAACCACTGACAGCAAAAATGTAATCCCAGGAGACGAAAACGACAAAATGATTGATGACCAGACTGGGGCACGATCCCAGGACCTTGTCCGTATTTTAACAATATTGTTAAGGACACGTGATAACCAACTACACCATCCGGCCTTCTTTAGATGGTTCAGAGTCAAGTGAATTCAATATATATATTCGATTGAAAGAAATGTGAAGAAAAAATTTAGATGGGTGGGCGTCGATTGGACCGGGATTAGGGAGGGCATCGGTTCTTTTTGACAGTGGAGACTCGAAAGGGGGGGCTTCTCGCCAATGCGGTGGAGCAATTCCACCTGAAAAAGGAAAAAAGAAAAAAAGACCATGTCGAGGTTGACCTCAACTCGCAGAATGCGGCTTCTGTGGATCGAACACAGTGCCTCCAGATTAATGTACCGAAGTTAACTTCAGTCTGGCGCTCTCCCAAGTGAGCTAAAGCCGCTTGAGTGTTCGTGTTGTATGAATAAATAATGGTTGTAATTCCATATATATCTTAATTCAAAAAATACAAAGACCATTGACTACAGTTCTTTCTAACCCTTTGTTTTTCCTTCTTGTTATAAGATAGCTAGCAAAGTCTCCGAACTTCCCTTCAACATTCGGAATTCTAGGAAAGTTGCCCTCAAGTAGTTGTCCTCTTAGTTTTAATTCATCATCAGACAAAATTGTAAGTCCATTTGTATAAATTTCTCTCGTACAGTCCGCCACTTTCTCCGCAGCTTGATACCCAACCTTGGCACCATAAGTGCGTCAATATCTGTTGACCTCCTGGGATCTTGGCAGCATATGCATATATAGTACATATGCATATAAGGAGCAAACAAAACTCAACTTTTAATTCATTCTTTCCTTTTTGGTATACTGTTTGTTTGCTTTCAATATTTTGATTTCAAAGCACTTTAATTCCGAAGGCCGAATACCCAACCTATTCCTTCATTTTTTGAATATATGCTCGCAGCTTAACTGCTTAGCTAGAGAATAAAATCAATTCAATCTGATGCTCTTTCTAGTCTCAAGAAACCCAACAATATCCCAGTGCCCCCTTTGATCTTTTCGCCCTCCTCTCTTTATCTTTCACATCCACCACCTCTTCAGCATCATCATCTATATCCACCACCGATTTTGGTTATGGCTGTGACGCCTCACACCTTCGGGTCACGTGGCATGCCCCGTTTGTATTTAATCACAGGAAAACTCGCTACTCTTGTTTTCCTTCTTCTTTTCTCCTTAGCTGTTGGGTTTCTTGAGACTAGAAAGAGCATCAGATTGAATTCAAATACGACCCTTTCGCGATCGATCTAGATCATAGCTATTAAACCAAATTGATTGCAACTGCCCCCAAGTGATTCTGACCAGTAGTTGTTGTGATACTGTCGTTGGCGCTCCAAACACGAAACTCGCACGAAAATTCGCGTAAAATTTTCACCTCAAACTATCAGAATAAGATCCTCAATATGAATAACTTCAACAATCCATCAATACTCAAGGATACAGCTATGATAGAGGCTTCGGGAGAAGCCTCCATCATACCAAACACGTATCCTACTGTTATTCTAGGTACCCCAACACCCTCAAGCCCTCCCCCGCCTTCTGAAAACCCTCAATTCGAAATCTCTAGCCCTAGTCTACCAACCAATCAGCCAACCAGTTCTGGAAGAAGAGTTGAAGACTTCAATCTACTTAGTGACCCCTTTATTACTCAAGATACAACCAATACTACCTATATATTCAATCAGAATAAGAAACGTGGCCCTACAATGCCCCTTAGCAATCAGAATAAACAACCCAGAATAAAAAACAATCCAACTACACCTAAGGAAGCTATCTTAAAAGCAAGAGATCTTATAGTATTAGCGTCAACTCTTTCTCAATCATGTGATGAGCAATCGAAGCTATTAGATCTCCTAGAGATCTTTAGAGAATATACCGAAAAAGGAAAGCTCACCACCGCCTCCCCAATATCATCACCTCCCAAATCACTCATCTAGAATCCACTACACGGAAAATCGAAACTCAAGCTAAAGCCCTAACCAAAGCTCCCTTGCCAATCAATACACCAACCACTAAATCGACATATGCAGCAATAACAAAAGAAGGAGAATGGAACCTAGTAGGCAAGGGAAAAACTATTAGATCCTCCCCAATAGATAAGAAGATCGAAATCACACAAAGACGCTTAATCCTGATCAAACCAGAGATCACGAACATTACCTCCTTTTCACCTATATCAATTCGAAACCAAATAAACGAAGCATTCCAGAAAACTGGAATTAAAGGCCCGGTTATAGCAGGAGTAACTCTATCGCTGAATAGAAATATAATAATTACTACAAATGCACCTTTCACATCACAACTTCTATTAGAAAAAAAGGCAATCTGGAGTAATCTCATCAAATTCGAAAGAATTCAAAAGGATCAAGAATGGCATAAGGTCATTATTCATAAAATCCCTATAAAAGAATTTTCTGGAACAAGAGGAATGGACCTCATTCTTGAGGAAATCAAAACCTTCAATCCAGAATTCAAGCCCATAGGAACCCCTTTTTGGCTTACACCATCATCAAAAAGAGCTCATCAACGGGAAGGAGCAATAGTGATTGCTTTTGCAACAAAATCAGAAGCAGAGCTAGCCATTCGGAAACGACTATATATCGCTGGCACTAGTACAAGAGTAGAAAAGTTCTACGAATCCAAACCAACTACACAATGCCAAAAATGCCAAGGATTCGGACATCAGGATACACATTGCAGAAGGGATCCCTCTTGTGGACTATGTGGAGGCAAACATATCACATCAGTACATCTATGTGTAGTCTGCAATATCAGAGGAAAGTTCTGCCAACATCTCGCTGCTAAATGCTCGAACTGCCAAGGAAAGCATACAGCAAATTCAAGAACCTGCGAAATCTATCAAGCAATCCAACAAAAAGCAAATAACACCAACTTATGAGTTACACTAATATTCGAATTCTTCAAATAAATCTTAATAAGGGCTCACAAGCTACAGAGAACGTTCTACAGCTTGCAATAGAACTCAATATCGATCTTATTATGATTCAAGAACCTTGGATTATCAAAAATGGAATCGATTACTCAAATTCAAGATCCATTATACACTCTAATTTCATACAAACACTACCAAGATTCGATTCTAACTTTCGACCTCGTACATTACTATACACTTCAAAAACTCTTCAAGCTACAATCAACCTAGCTCCCGATTCCCCAATAGATCCTGATATACAAATCTTTAATTGTCAAAATGGAGATAAAACCTTTCAAATTATCAATATATACAACGAGGCTGATCAAGCTAAAGAGAAAGGTTTCACAATTGAAAGATGTTTATATGATATATCTATCACACAAGAAACTATCCTCCTTGGCGACTTCAATGCCCACCACCCATGGTGGGATCCTTTTTCAAAGAAAAGCGGAAACGCTGATCAATTAGCAGAATGGTTTGAAGATCAGAATCTCATTCTTCTAAACGAGCCCGGAATCAGCACTTTCTATCGAACTAATCTCCTTAATCCAAGTGTCCTTGATCTAACACTAGCGTCAGAAGGAATCTCTCCCCAAATTCACAACTGGCAAACTCTTTCAGATACAGGATCCGACCATGCAGGAATACTATTCGAACTGAAAGGAAAAGAAGACTTAAACGCCCTCAATTCAGAATCAACAACTAGATTCAATACAAAGCTAGCCAACTGGGAAAATTTTGAATCAATACTAAAATTGGAATCCCTGTATTCCCCTATTTTTTCTATTTTAGACACAATAACTTCTACGGAAGAGGACTCACTAAACTTCTTGAAAGAAAGAGACAATTCCCATTCAATTCTAGATCAAGCAGCAAGCGAACTTACAAGGATTATCCAAAAAGCAACAGAAAGGTGTATACCCAAAGTTGTTTCAATCAAAAGAGCTAAACCATGGTGGTCACCCGAGTTGAAAGATCTTCGAAAAGAGCTAGGAAAAGCAAAGCAATCAATCGAATCAAATCGAGAGAACCCTAATCTTAAGGAAGAATATCGAATTGCTAGAAACAAATACTTTCAAGCTATTAAAACAGCAAAAAAGGATCATTGGAATGATTTCCTAGAAAAGGAGGATACACAGACAGTTTTCAAAGCAATGACCTATACCAAAGACTTCCAGGATCAAAGGATACCGGATATTTCATCAGAAAGCTCTTTTGAAGGAAAATGCTCTGCTTTCAGATCGACTTTATTCCCTCCCCCTCCCACTACTCTAAAACCACAATGGGTAGGGTATAAACAATCCAAGAAATGGGAATGGCCCAATCTCTCTCAAATCGAATTAAGTAATGCCTGCTCAGCTAAGATACAAGGAAAGACCCCTGGTCCAGATGGGATCACTCAAGAAATCATTACAAAGGCCTACAAAGCAATCCCACAGATCTTTTTTACTCTTTTCAGCAAACTCCTCAATCTCGGATATCACCCTAAATGCTGGAAACAAGCTACTGGAGCTATTCTAAAGAAAGCCTCAAAACCTGATTACTCACTTCCAAAAGCATATAGAGTGATTGCACTCTTAAACTGTCTGGGAAAAATTAGTGAAAGGATTCTAGCTCAACGATTAGGATATTTAGCGGAAACTACCCACCTTCTACACAAGAGTCAAATAGGAGGCCGCCAAAAGAAATCAGCAATCGATGCTGCACTTCTATTAACAACAGAAATCGAAAGAAACAAGCAAGCTAACAAGAAGACCTCAATATTATTTATGGATATAAAGGGAGCATTCGATCACGTTTCAAAAAATCGACTACTGGATATCTGCAAGAAGTTAAGACTACCGACGAATCTCATCTCCTGGATAGCTTCATTTCTTCAACAAAGACAACTAAAACTATCCTTTAATAACCAAATCGAATCTTTCAAGCCAATTTCGACCGGAATACCACAAGGCAGTCCAATTTCTCCAATTCTCTTCCTTATATACATTAGGGACCTCTTTTTATCCAATTCGATCAAATTTCTTTCCTATATTGATGATATTGCCCTAATCACCAATTCATCTACATGGAAAAAGAATATCAAATCTCTAGAGAGAGCTACAAAACAAATCTACGAACTCAGCTCAAAGAATGCTATTCAATTCGACCTAGCAAAAACAGAGCTAATGCACTTTTCATCATCCAAATTGACGAAAAACTACCCAATCAAACTACCCAATTCGGAAATAATTATACCTCAATCTCTAATTAGATGGTTGGGAATATGGTTCGACCCGAGCCTCAAATTCAATCAACATGTTAATATTCGAATCACACAAGCAAAAGGAGCCTTCCATCGAATGGCCCGATTAGCTAATATCGAAAAGGGCCTCAGTCCGAAAGCTCTTAGACAGTTATATATAGCATGTGTGACCAGTATAGCCGATTACGCATCAGTGATTTGGTGGAGAGGCCAAGCCCATTTCAAGGATATGATGCAATCACTTCAAAATCTAGCTCTTCGAAAGATATTAGGAGTATTCAAAACTGCTCCAATTCCTCCAATGGAAGTAGAAGCAGGCTTAAAACCCTCAAAAATTCGATTAGACTCGAATATTAGGCAATACGCATTCCGTTTAGCTAAACTTTCACCAAATCATCCAATCAATATCGAAAAAGCATCACTAATCCAATATCAAGCCAATTTGGATGCGATCTCTACCCCTCGAAGAAAACGATATAAACCTACTCAACTGGATAAAATCAAAGAATCGATAAACCAGGACTTCAACCCTTCCTCACTCGAAAAGATCATTCATTTTAACTTCCCCCCATGGAAAAGAGAAACCCCCTTCCGAGTTAACATTAGCAATTCGTCAAAAGAAGATGCTGCCATTCTTCATAATATTGTTTTCAAACATAGGGATAAAGATACCACCTATATTTACACTGATGCCTCCTCCACCGAAAAGGGAATAGGTATTGGAGTAGGCATAGTAGCTATACAATCAAATAATCGAATTCTATATCAAGAGCGAAGCAATATTGGTACTAATCAATTAGTATATAATGGAGAGCTTTTTGGAGTTACAAGAGCTATTGAATACGCTAGCTCAATCGCTTATACTGGTCAAAAGTTCAAAATCTACTCGGATAATCAAGCTGGTTTATACCGCTTAAAAACTCCTTCAGATCACCCAGGACAAGCCAATCAGATAAGAGCGATCAAAGCAGCAGAGGTTATCAGAGCAAAAGGAGCCGAAATCTCCTTAAATTGGGTTCCTGGTCATACCTCAGTTGAAGGAAATGAGCTAGCAGATAAGCTAGCCAAGGAAGCAACCACAATACAACCTACCTCGAACGAAACAAGCTTTGGACTACTAGGTATGACTGTCAAAGAATATGCCTCAGATCAATGGCTTGATACTCTCAAACAATACGAACTCAGATCAAACCAATCCCCATCAACTTACTCGAAGCTATTTCCATGGAAAATAGGTTCCAAAATCAAGCTACCAAGCGGAACTACTCGAAATACTGCTAGCGCATTCTTTCAACTCAAATTAGGTCACGGATATATCAAATCCTACTTACATCGTTTCAAACTCACCAATAACAAATGTATATGCAGTAATATTGAGGCACCACAACACCTCCTTATTAGCTGTCCTATATATAAAACAAAAAGAAAAGAGATCTTTAAGAAGATACCATTATCCAAAAACACTATACAATTCCTATTGCATACAAAAATAGGTATCGAATTAGCTATCAAATTTATCAATATCACTAAAATCGCTACAAGGGCATGGCATCTAGCAAGGACTCTTGAACAAGAAGTAATAGAGGAAGGAGTAGTAGTGGAAGAGGAGAGAGGAGGGGAGAATGAAGAAGAAGCAGTTGAGGAAATAAGAGAGGGGTTTGACCTCACAATTTCTTGATTTTCAAAATCTTTTTATTATATGCAATGCGTATAATGAGCGGGCACTGTTCCCCAGCATTTGTTTTCACTTCCCCAATTAGATCATATCCAATATTGTAAATTAAAAAGTTACCCGTTAGGCCCTTAGGGCCTAGCCGTCCTATATAGTCTTGGACTGAAGATGGACGTTAATTAAATCAATCAATCAATCAATCAGATTGAATTGATTTTATTCCCTAGCTAAGCAGTTAAGCTGCGAGCATATATTCAAAAAATGAAGGAATAGGTTGGGTATTCGGCCTTCGGAATTAAAGGGCTTTGAAATCAAAATATTGAAAGCAAACAAACAGTATACCAAAAAGGAAAGAATGAATTAAAAGTTGAGTTTTGTTTGCTCCTTATATGCATCATGCAATATATATGTATATGCTGCCAAGATCCCAGGAGGTCAACAAATTGTGTTCAAATATTCGAGTGCCTTCAAATATTGAAGTGTACTCAAATATTGAAGTATACTTAAACATTAAAGTGTATTCAAATATTGAAATTTACTCAAATATTGAAATGTACTCAAACATATAAGTGTATTCAAACATTCAAAGAATTTCAAATTATTGAAAGTTTAAATCTAATCTGCTATTCCGGACTATTGGATACCCTGCCTGTGTTAAGTTGCACTCTAACTCATAGCCCGCTCCCCTTCGCCTCCCAAAGGTATGCGGATATCCATTTTCGAAGATGTTAACTACGAATCTTAGTCAGACTGTCTCGTAGGTATAGATATACCATCCAATTCACTAACAATCCTGATTCGTTAAGAACTTAGATGTTTCGGAAAGGTGGCATGGTTCCATCCCCATTGTTGCTAAGGGAATTCTACGTCTAACTATGAATATCGAAGATTAAAGAGGTTGATCCGATTGGCCGATCATAAGCAGTCCATATGTTCAAAAGCAAATCAGTATATATCAGCTGTCAATGCTGACTATTACTCCCAATCGACTTCGTCATCCTGTACAATACACAGCAAATTTATCCATTTGTACTGCACGTTTATTCTATGTGTGAGGGCAATGCATCTTGAAGGTCTTAGGAACCGTTGAGAGTTCGATATATTGATGTGTTTGTTATAAATGTGTTTCTCGTAGTTGGATGAATCTGTCAGGGTACTTTTAGCTGAACTCCAAGAATGATTTACGGCCGTATACTCATTTTAACGAACTCAATCAATTATTTTCGATTTCAGTAGAAGATCTGATCCTCTACCCCATAGAAATTGACTAGTCTTTGTTCATCCCAAAATATATCCATGAGCAAGGCATTGCCAGGTATTTTGTAAGATCTTACAAATATAACAATGAACGATTCGCGCTAGGGACAAACTTTCCCCGTGTTTTTCTCACCCATATCGTTCAAGGTATTGAAGCACACCATCACGAACGACTCGGGGTCATCCACAGAAATAAAATGACCCCGCTCAATGTTCACTCGAACATTCCAGACGTATATCTATGACACTAATCAAAGCATCGGGATTTTCTACCTCTTAAGCGCCGATATATATAGTACGGAGGTAGCGCATATTGATTGAAGTAAGATAGTATTATTCGTTATTGTTTTTATTAAAATGAAGTCCTCATTGAATTTTGCGCTATTGAAATAATTTCGCAAGTGTTGGTGAAACGGATATGGCGACGTGAAGCTTTAACATTATTAGGTATTATTTGTATTGATTTTTCTAAAGAACTAGAACTAGAATTATAAAAATACCAAACTACCTATATAGGATTCGGTACCTCTCGAGGCACTAGCGTGCCAATAATAGTGGTGTACATAGACTGTGCAACAAGTATTCGCGGGGAGGGTTATAGTTCCATGGATTGCCTATAGGTGACTTGTTTGTGGGGTGGAATATCCGCAAGCGCATATAGCTAATATAGGTTGCAGGCTATTTCTATGCAGTCTATATACACGCGACCGATTTTCGGTGGAGAATTGTGTGTCGAGAATCGAAGAGAGGTTATAGAAACATAGATAACTAGAATTGAGATTATACAGCTGTAAAAAAATCAGGGATGAGGAATATGAAAAAATCTTGGTTACTCTGTAACCCAGACATTACAATATATACTGATTATATATCTTGATCTTGAATATTTAGAATATCTAATATATATTGGTCCAGACTAGAAGGCAATAATAAAAATATTTTGAATATATTTTTATTGAAATACTGAGATGTCGACATGTGCGAAAGTCTCAAGCGCTTCTTAAACACTTCCTGAATTCAATAATTCTATCCTATATTTTTACTTCCTAATCCCCATTCTTTCATCTACATTAATATAAACCAATTAAGTAGAAGAAAGCGGTTGCTTGCTCATAGTCTGCTTAAACGCTTGCAACGCCAAAGCAGGTTGATAGTAAGGAACCTCATGACCAGCACCAAAAACTCTCAACCAACTCAAGTTCCCAACATTCTTGAAGGTTCCACTCGCAACTCCATTGACGGTATAGTCTGCAACGGCTTTAGCATTGAAAGCGGCAGAGCTGGCGTAGGTAATAGCATTGGCGGTTGCGAGACCTCCGAACCAGTTACAGATGAAATCGGCATCGCCGGCCCAGAGGAGAACTTGGATACCGGATTGGACGACTGATGAAAGGGTTGGGAGGAAGGAGCGGGAATCTGTTTTTGTATATTTTTTAGTTGTTAAGCGAAGGAATTTGGAAATGAAGGGGTAACTGACCATCTCCGGTAGAGGCAAATTTTTCATAAGGTCCATCTGGACATTCTTGGTATGTAGTCTTGGCACCAATTGCCTTCACTACAGCAGCGCTTTGCAAATAGGTAGCATAAGTCTCTGGTGGATATGGATCGTTCGATGGTTCTCGAATATCATAGACGTCGAAGTTACCATTGGAAAGTGGTCCTTCAATATCTTCATAGCAGACATTATCGGCATTTATGCAAGCTGAGTTGGATCCAGTGGTCGATGAACACTCTTCTAGAAGAGGAAGACATGACTTTGTGTATGTGTTCAGGTAGCTTGTGTGCTGGGAGGCTGAGATGAGTGGCTTGAATGTGTTGTTGTAGGAGTAGTCGACGTATGCCTTATAGGCGATGATAGGATCATACCAGCCGTTATTGATACCCAAAGCAATGAGATCAATTTTTTCACCAGAAATAGTGCCAGCAGCAATCTTGGCATTTTGTTGTTCAACATAGTATGCGAATTCGGGTCCATAGTGACCACCATAAGATTCTGTGAAGATACCGAAGTCGCGGTTCTCGTAAGCCGGGAATGAGGCATAGAAAGCTTGGAGAAGAGTCCAGACATATGGAGCCGCGGTAACGGTGGAGGTGACAGAATCGGTACCGTAGGAGAAGCCTACTCCGATTGGTTGATCAATGTAGATCATGTTTGCGAATTCGTTAAAGCTGTAAGGGTTAAGAGAAGGTGTTGATGCTCCGTTATAAAATTGGCATGGGCCGTTCTCTTGGAACAAACCAATCATGGAAGAACATCCAGGACCTGCCTGTCGTTAGTAACGTCTAATGTACCACAAGGAATGATGTCCGTACCTCCATTGAACCATGTTGCCAATGGTGCAGTTGTAGGACTGTTTCGGCTTTCAAAAAACCAGAACCACATGTTCATGCCCTATTTTAATTGTTAATATCAAGCTATCAAGATAGAAATATGTTGAACTTACGGTTCCGACAGTCAAATATCCCGAATACTGGTTCACACCTGGTGTGGTCTCGCAAATGCCGGAATTTGTGACAAATGCGAGAGTCGAATCGGTGGCAGCATGATAAAAGACAGTATGATTGACTCCATCACGAAGCTCAAATGTTCTTTTGTCTTTCTTCGCTTCAGTAGTAGGGGCGGCTAAAACAGCCGGGAGAAGACAAGCAACCAGAGAAAGCGAAGAGAAACGCATCGTGATTGTGTTTGAAGAGTGAAGACTAGAGATGGATTAACCACTACAGTTTTCATTCTGGCGATTTATGTAGAACTTATATTCGTTCTCTTTACACTTACCTCCCCTCATCTTCACAACACTACTACGCGCTTTACATGAGAGAAATTCAGATACACATTCGGAGAACATTCCGAATATAGTAGGTCTTTGGACTCAGGTACATGAAAAGCCTCAAAAGCTTAAACTCCGCATGCATCAAAGATAAAGTTTGAAGATTTTTGGACGATCATGGAAGGTAATTCCACAAAATCGTCCAATTGCCGTTGATAAGAACAACGCATCTAACCCCGCAGAGAACGGCTAACACCGCACATTGCAAACTCCCGAACCTAGCCAAAAGTGCCAGCGGATATATGCATAACATGGAAACCTAAAGTGATATTTGGATATCAAAAAATCCCGAAAAAGGCAGTTGATAAAGGCTTGGCAACAAATGATAAGCTTTCGTAGCAAAGATCTTTCTTCAAGGACTAAATATCGACATTCCTGTTTAGGGAATTTTGTTGATTTTGTGGCGCAAAATGTGACATGTCAAATATATTGATGCTGGTAAAGCTGCAGCTGAAGATATCAAACAGAAGAGAACCTATGATTGAATCATTCAAACCTTAATGTGAAAATAGAAAATTCTGCAGCAGAGAGCCGTCTTTTGAAGATATGACAACTAGAAACATGTCAGACGAACATTTTGTTTGCCAGCTAATTTGTATGGATTTCGCTATCTTCCGATATATGGCGAGCTCTTCACATTAAATGACTCAAATGTTTGCATGAAGTCGAGATTCGAGGTGATTTTCAATTACAGGGTCTTCAGCGCCAACTTTAGGCGAGCCTAGGCTCAGCGCCATCTCAGATCCCCCCGTCTTGGAAATAAAATTGGCTTTTATTGGCAAAATGAGCTTGAAACTTGGCTCTTGGTGATTTTATATCAAAAACATTAGTCCAAGATACTGATTTTTGAAGTTTTGTTATGAAATGAGTGTCGTATATAGATTAACAAGTTTCTCCGGTTCGTCTAGCAGCGATGTTGGAGCTTCGTTTTGAGGATTTGCGTTTTTTGGGGTATCATTAAATGATCCGATTACCCCGCATAGTTCATTTTTGTTTAGACGATAAAAGACTTTCCCTAAATTTTAATTCAAAAACATATCTTGCTCTATTCACAGTGATACAGTTTGTGAATCTGCTGCAAAACTTGTCCTGATATATTCACAAAGCATTAGTCAACGATTTTCCGACTTTGCGTCTTGCAGCTCTCTCAGTACATTCTGCATTGCACATGCCTATACGAGTTACTTCGACCTCTAAGATGGCTAACTGCTAGTCTATTTTGCCATAGTTTCCAGAAAGCGAGACAAATGATTGTAATTAGATGAAGCAATTGTGAGGTTTTATTGTCTACTTGAATACATATCCAGGCACCATCTTTCAGTGACGCGGCAATGGATACCTTAGTTAATGGTAGATTGTGTCTATTGGTTTTATATGTGCATACATGGCGGCAAAGGATTTTAATTTAAATTGAAGGCACGTCAGACAGAATGATGAAATAAAGTAATTCTATTGAAGAAAGTAGTTACTTTTGAACCCTGGGTATCGTCTTCAATCTCTCCTCAACCCATTCATCTATATATGAATGCGTTGCTAAACAATTTATCAAGATAAATCAAGATACATCCCCCCTTCAGAACTCATAAACTCTGACCCGGGATAAGAAACATTATTATCCAAGCCAAATACCCAAAATGAAAAAAAGAACGCCCCCAAGGGTATAATACCATGAATGATAACCAAGCATCCATAAATCATGATATCCAGATTCCAATTGCGTCCATTACCACCCCCTACATAAATTAATCATTTCTGAATCCATCATGGGCAGCATTTCCACGGTGATGAGCTTGAGGAACAGATGTAACGTCGTCTGCATCACTGCGACTTTGTCTTTCCCGTCTCTCCCACTCGGGCTTCTCTTTCTCAGCATCACTTGTGCTTCTGCTCTCGACATCTGCGGTCTCGAAACCATAATGTCTTGCCATCTGCTCAACTTCGGCTGGGGACAAGTATGGCAAATCCTGAGAAGCCTTGACATAGGAGATGTTCTCGGTGTATCCCTTTGCGAAGATAATATCGATTTCCTCGAGAGATCTGCGCTTAGTTTCTGGGTAGAAGAAGTAAATGATGGGAATGAAACAAGCGTTGACAACGGCGAAGAAGAGGTATGTACCCCAGGAGATATTGGCAATCATAATTGGAGTAACCATGACAATGGTAAAGTTGAAAAGCCAGTTAGAACAGGTTGAGACGGCGTTAGCTCTGGCACGAGTGCGGAGAGGGTTGATTTCAGCTGGGTACAACCATGGTAGTGGCAACCAGGTGGCACCGAAGAAAGCAATGTAAGTGAAAAGACCAACACCTGCACCCTTGGCGGATGGACCCTTTCCGTGGTCTGGGATAAGACAAGCGAATACTAGAACCATGGAAAGACACTGTCCGATAGTTCCGATGATGAACAACTTGCGGCGACCGGCTTTCTCAATAATGAACCAAGATACGGTAGCAAAAATGGAGTAAACAATCATGTTAACACCACCAAGGAGAAGAGCCAAGTTTTTCGAGGTACCAATAGACTTCTGGAAGAGAATTGGGAAATAGTAAATAACTGCATTACATCCACCAAGTTGTTGGAAAAATTGCGATGAGGATCCGAGAAGCATACGGCGAAAATGTTGGGTTTTGCCTCCAGTGAAGAGAGCGGAGAAAGGTGTCTTGGTAGCGGCTCCGGATGCCATGATACTATCCATAATAATGGTCTTTTCCAATTGAACTTGTGGATCGTTATTTTCGAGACCAGAGAGAGCGGCAATGACATCGAGACCTTCCTCGTGGCGTTCTTTAGCTAGAAGCCATCTTGGAGACTCTGGGAGGAAGTAAGTTCCGATGATCAAAATAAGACCGAAGAAAACCTGGAAAGCAATGGGGAAACGCCAGGTAAGGTTGTCTGGACCATAAGAAGCACCGTAGTCAATCCAGTAAGCAATCATAGTACCAAAAGCAATGACACCTCCTTCAATACAGATGAGTAAACCACGATTGGTGGAGCGACTACATTCTGCCTGATATGTTGGAATGGTTGATGTGTTGATTCCGTTTCCGATACCAGTGATTGTTCTACCAATAATGAACTGAGCAGTCGCATTGGAACCTTTGATAGCAGTGATTTGAATAACAACTCCGATAATCATAATGACTCCACCAAGCATCATCTGCGAAGAATTTATTAGAATTTCTTATCTTATCTGGGGAAGCTGGGGTTGTGGGGAGAAGTTGGGGTAAACCTACAGCTCTTCTTCGGCCAGTTGAGTCTCCATACCACAAGATGAAAATAGCACCAATGAGACATCCGATTTCGTAGATAGCTGTAACGAAACCTTGGTAAACACTGTCGTTTTTGGTTTCAGGGAAATAGGCATTGAAAGGGTCTGCGTCGATAATTCCGGACATAACACCTTGATCATATCCAAACAGCAAGAATCCAGTTGTGGCAATCGTCGAGACTAAAAGACCCAACTTTCGGCCATGGAGACCTGCAAAGGTCTTTTGCGTTGGTGATATCTCAGGAGAAACCATTTTGGATATCGTATGCGGTGTATCTAAGTAGAGAAGTCGTCAACTTTTAAGAACGTCTGGCTCAGCCAGCAACTATCAAAGTCTCTCAAACACAACGCTGTTGCGTCAACTGGTGGAGGTCTGGGGAAGTAGAGGGAGTTGATATGGGATGGAAATAATGGAAAAATGGATCGAGGGGGGAAGATCTATTACTATATACTTGTTAATCAGTCCCCCATCCTTTGGCTTAGAAACTCAGTGGGTCAGCTATCTTCCACTTGCAGGAGGGTAGACTCCACACTTCCACATGTTCAACCTTCCAACGTTCGGAATGACAGTTTTAGGCAACCCGCATGAAATGGAAAAACTAGTTAATCTAGTAAACAGACTGCAGGGAAAATGTCAGATTTGGAGACCATTTCTTACTAAGTTACAGGGAATTTCATACCTCGTTGGTTGTTGGATCACGATGTCGTGCAAGTTCAATGTTTTCCCTGTGGAGTACCCAAGCATTGGGCTTGGGATCTGCATCCGAATCATGAGTAAAAGAGACCCATTGAGAAAGCGGTGACGGAGTCATTAAACTTTCGAGAATATATAGAATGATATGATTGGGTGAGATTGGCAAAATCCAATGAATCGACCATACCAACGGCATTTGCGTGATTAGCTGGAAATTTTGTGTAGGGGTACGAAAAGAGAATAAAATAGATCCACACAGACGTCACGGGCTGGCTAAAAGCTGCGTGGGGTTTCAAGGTTAAATGTGGGATTGAGGAGGAGATTGTGCTTATGAGAAGTGGGACTATCTTAATCTTCGGGGTGGAGAGATAGCAAGGAAAGGTAGAACTTATGATATTCAGAGGCTCATCACTCGTGAGATATGAAATTGTCTCCATTGTTTTTCCAGTCAAACACAAACATGAAAAACAATAACAGTTTAACCGATGTGAGTTGGAAGTAAGGTTCCTGAAGGCTGAAAGACGGAAGGCTTTTTTGACTTCGACGCTTATCCGGTTCACGGGCTAGTGAACTGCTGGCCCGAAAGTCAACATTATCTTGGCCTACCTCGGTAAGTACTTGCTTGGCATTCGTCAAATGAAGGGGCACTATCTAAATTTTCTAATTCTAACATATGCCAAGTCGAGGCAAGTATTTTTGCACGAAAATATTTTCATCAAAGCCCGCAAACCATGGTTTCAGAAATTAATGACGGTGATCTACCTCCAGAAAAATCCTCACGTTATTCCAACCAAAATCTTACGAAAAATCGATGCAACATAACGTCATAAGAAAACTCCAAAACCAAAATAGACCGAGGGAGATCCGAGATAGACTGGATCTTTGGGTCAAGGACCCTGCAGCGGAAAATCTATAGGCGGAGGGAGGATTCTTTGGGTGGCTGGCGCGAGGGTGGTTATACTTTTGGGAAGCGACGGGGACGAGTAAGGTGATGAGGAGAAAGATTTTTGTGGGAAGTGTTCCGATATTGTGGATTTAAGATGGTTTTTGTGGATTTCATGGGGTCAACTCGACAAGCTGGAGCAATAGAGTTGTTAGCAAACGTGTATTGGTTCCACTGCGGGTGAAAAGGTCCAACTTTCTTGAAGGCTGAAGCAATCATTTTTCCATCATCAACGCCGAAGATAATGCGTTGATATGAACTCTAATGCATTTACGGAGAAGCACGACTGACATGTTGTCCGTATTGATAGCGTATCATTGCAGATAAACATACATTTCATGTGAGACCAAAATGCAGACGAATGTTACCATATCTCGCTGCGTATTTAACCGATGCGAACGGCGGAAAAAGCATGAAAGGAGGAAAAACGAAGGAAGGCAACGAGGCATGATTTTGACAGATACCATTCCATTTGCTGCGTTGAACCCTCATGTTGACCCTGATGTACTCCGTACATAGTTGGCTAGTTTTTCCGATTGCCCTTGTTGGTGAAACGCGGAAAGATGGAGGAGTTTGGTGGAGAAATGGAGACATTGAGGTGGAGATGCTGGGTCCTCCACACCCTTGAAGTTACATTCAACTTCCCCAATCACAGACCACCATATCACGAGTTCGATAACTCCGAAAAGCGTGACTGGGTTCATCCACATTTATCCTGGTAAATCGTCTCATTATTATCTCGCGCTTTGCTGCGAGGATAACATTCGGGACTCCATCCCATGCGTTGTAGGCAATGACAAATATTCTTTGACCCGCGATTTAGTGAGAATATCCGAATTTGAGCGTCTAACCTGGTATTGGCATCCTACTCGGTGCGTAGTATTGTCGATCATAACCATGTGTCAAGGATTTACATCCTCAAGCGGTAAACCACAAAAAAAGCATCGTATTTTGTTCATGTCAGCTCTAGCCTCCATTCACATGCTTGACGGTTGAGACATGCTCATTAGTTCAAGGCTCGAGTATACGATATAATGAGGAGCGGTCTGCAGCCTACCGTCCATGAGATAAAATTGGGGGTATCTCCAACATTCGTCAAAACGGAAAATTCGGCATAGATGAATACCACAGTACCAACTAAGTATAAAGCTCTGAAGGCATCAATAATCTCATCCCCTTTCGCGGTAAAAATTCCTAGAACAGCAATCCAAACCGGGGCGGCTCGAAAAGTTGGAGAGATGGGGAAGCGGCCTATTTCATCCCCGGGTTAAAATGGTGGAGAATCAGCTCAGAAAACGGGATGATGAAGTCATCGTCTGACTGCATTACCGTCCTCGCATTTATTTCTCAAGGAGGTAATACACGATGGCTTCTTGAGCTTACCGCGCACTACCGCGACGGCTTGCTAGATCTCGACAAAATTCGGCGTCGCAAAACTGAAAACCAAATCATATATGATTCTCGTACTCTTGGGCGAGTAACATTTCACTGGAAAATAAGAATGTTCTGGGTGATATTATGGGTATTCTGTCAGTCAGGGATTAGGCGTGCATTTGACAACTCAAATGCGAGTGATCGAGTTGATCACTTCTAAACACAGCGATTATCAAGTACCAACAAACAAACATCACATTGAAGGATCAACGGCTGAGGAATCGAATTGTGGACCCCTAGAGAAAGCAAGAAAATGAAAATAGTCGGTGGGAAAGAACAAATTATATTTGTGTGGTGGAGTTTTAAGGGGAAGGCTTTTAAGTTACCTAACAAAATCCGAACAGGTAATTCGCTAATTCGCATCTCACTTCCACCACACTCAGGCATTTACTCAGCACTTTACTTCCCCGTTGCTGTATCTCTTCGGTCCTCAGAACCACCTCCACCGCGCAAAAGCTTTTCAGCCAGTTCCTCTGCTCTCTGCCTCGCTGCCACACACTTTCTCTCAATCTTGCTTTCTGTTGCAAGACACTTATATCTTCCCTTCCGTTTAGCTCTTCTATCGTCTAATTTCCTAAGTTCCTCTTGATCTGCTCTCTCGTTGAATGAAAGCATTTCCTCCCTTAGATTTACACTATTTTCGCCTTCGCTATCAGTAGGTTCATCAGCCCAAGCGATAGCCTTGTCCTTTCCTTTTCGATTTCGCTACAATATACCTTTTAGCCCAGCCTGCTCATCCTTCCTTGCAGTTTCGACCTCTGCTTTATATTTCGATTTATCCTTTTCGAACTTGGCGTTGGCCGTCTCGCGTTAAGTACGAAGTTTCCATTGAGCTGGACTTTCGTTTGGTAATAGACGTGGATCTCGAATGGCTGGTACTGGGAAAACAATGGGCAAAGGTTCAAGCTTCGTCTGAGGTTTTACTACTTTTGGAACCAGGGGAGACATAGGAGGTATTTGAATATTTGCTCCGGGCCAGGCGACAAAACGGCCTTTCTCTGCTTGTTGTGCTACTCGGAAGGTCTCCGCTGGTACATCTTTGTGTAGAACAACGTTCGCATCCTTGTGTCTTTGATGAAGTGGCGGTCCTTCGGATAGTGGTGTGATCCCGGTGGATCGTAGCGGATCTTCAGCAGCGCCCTCTTGCTTTCTTCTGCGTGCCTGCGAGTGTGAAGAAGTATCTCTTGCCTCGTGGGCTCTTCTTCTTCCTCGCTCCTCTGGCACCGGCGACCTATCACCAAATTCATTTCCACCACTAGGCGCAGATTCTGTTTCAGCGTCTACCAGGAGCGGTGGTGCAAGCCCTGATCTAGGAGATGCAAGAGAGTGTTCGTCTCGGACTCGCGCGAGTCTTTATTTGTGTATTTGACTCCGCCATCCGTCGTGTCATTCCGAGCTCCTTCTCCATCTACAACTGCCTTGAACTGTTTTGCGCCTTTCAATGCTGCCCCTTCAGCAGCCGCTATAGCCCGATTGACGTTTCTGAGCAAATGATTCCGCGTACTTTCGTCATTCTGTCTTACTGCGATTCGATGGCCTCCACTTATGGCCCATTCCTTATTTAATTTTCTTCGTGATTCAGCCAGTTGGTTTATTCCTTTGGGTGGCGATTTCTTCTTATTCACTGTTGGTGCAATTTCACCACCCCTGAGGTTTTTATCAATAGCTGCCTGTCGAAGAGCATCCTCATCATGGTCAGTATCAGGTAAAGTATCATACTTAACCTTCACTTTATTTTCTCTCCAGTCTTTCAAAGCGCGCTCTTGCCATCGAGCATCAATTTGTTCTTTTGCAGCTCGACGGCGCCCCTCCATTTCCAATGTTTCCTTTTCACGTTCAAGATCTCGTAATTTGATTTTTGTTTCTAGCATATAAGTAACTTCCTCTTTCGACTTTGGTATTTCGTGCTCTGGCTGTGTTTCTGGAGTCTTTGGAAAACGATCATCTGGATCCAGAATAGCGCCAGGTAGCACAGGGATGTTGTGAGGAGCCCGAGATCCTGCATCCTCTGTGTCGGGGCTAGGATCGCGCTCAAAGACTGCACCTTCCTCTAGTGTAAGGCCTGTAACATGTATTCTTAAATCCGGTGGTGTGTTTTTGTCAGTGTTGTACTCAAAGATTCGGTGAAGCAATTTTTGTCACAATTCCTTAGGAGATGGTGCTTCGGAGGCAGACATATCTACCAATATGGTGATATTACGACGTAAGTCGATTTAAGTTTCGGAGATGGGCTGTCCATCCATATTTCATATGGCATTGTCACTTAAATATTCAAAGCTGTTACCTACTACGGCATCTGCTACTACTATAGCAGATCAATAATTTCTGAACATTATTCACAAGCTAGCTATAAACAAACAAAGTCGTCTTGAATATTTGTGATTGGGTTCGTTGAGAAGTTTTGTTTCACTAACAGATAGGGTTCATGATGATTCAATGATAATCTTAGGACGTATTAGTTCACTGTATGTGACAAACAGTACCTAATTATCTAAAAATATAAAACTATAATAAAGGAAATACTTTATTAGAACTTCTAAATAAATGTTTTTTAATTCCAAATCGAAGTTTGTATAATGATTTAAGTTGAAAACATATAGATGATATTAATAATTCAATCTATTAATTATATCCAAGTAAAATGATCGATTATTACCAATCAATAAATCAATTAATTATTGTGACGGAAATCCCTGCTTTCCTCCCACCCTTATTATATAAGAAACCTCAGGTACATTAACCATGTCCACACATGATACGATTACTCAAGATTAGTATACGATTTAGGTGACCTGAGGATCAGATCCGGACAAGTACTAGGTATCAATGGTTATCGGTAAAGTAAGATCATTGGAGGAATAAATATGACTTCTTTTTGCCTAGCCATTGCGGCTAGGCCATTCATTTGTGTGTGTATAGAGTAGCTATCCCCATCTACAGGTGCTCTTCACCTGTAGATTCTAAGTTAAATACAATTGCTGGTCTATAAACACCCTTTTGGTCACAATTATTTACCTATATAAGAACTCGAACTACACCCGATTTCATAACGTGTTCCGAAAAAAAAAAATGATTTTTTGTGCTTGATCAATAAAAACATATTCAAAATTGATTTTTCCAAAATTGAATTTTTATAATTAGAATCAATTGAAATTCATTTAAGATATAAATTATTTCATTTATTATCATTTGATATAATTTTTATTCAAATTAGATATGATTTGATAAAGTTATCATAAATTGAATTTTTGATCAAAATAATTGAAATGATCTTATTACAATATTTGAAGATTAATTTTGGATACACGTTATGAAATCGGGTGTAAAAAAAGATCTTACATTCACCCCCCTCGGACTAAAACTTTCCTCTACAAATTTACAAATATACCGCAAACTACATAGCTCACACACACATATATACGAACTTAACTTAATCTATTTAGAATATTAAATAAATACCTAGGTAGCGTTGTAAGACTTACTTCAATGGTAAAATAAGAGGATATACAGGCAATTCACTACAGAAGCTATCCTTGGCATTTGGAATACTGCCCTCCGAACAACAATATTGGATATATTTTTTCAAGTTAAAATTCTCAGCGACATTTCAAACTCGAGGGCACAGGTCATCATCTAGTCACGAAATTGAAGCATTCAGAACTTTAGAGACAGTGATACACACAGATACAGACATGAGGAGAAAGTCTCACTTGGATATACATGTATATCACACTTTTATACACTCGCTTCACTACGTCAAATGTCCGTCTCGCTTCATTGCGCCACACTCCGAGAATACCCAACCTAATGCTAATGTAACCAATTACCATTTACCAAAATCAATGCAATAAAAAACAATTCCAACTTATGATCCGCTTGGACCTGCCTCCTCATCATCAACCCTCTCATCCCTTGATCTCCCTCTTAAAAACTCCCCAAGTGTATTACTTAAGCTTCGAGCTCGTGTTCTTATTGCACGCTTGAATGATTCACCTTCTTCCACATCTTGTGCTGCTTCACTATCCTTTAGAGGTGCATCGACATCGACATCCTCATCATCAACTGTGCTTTCACTTGCTTGGATAAGTCTTTGAGATACCGATTTAGATCTTCGAAGATCGGGTTGCGGTCGTCTTTGTGATTTGCTGCGAGGGGAATCAACCCCACGTCTTAATGAATCTGCTATTACCACACTTAACCCGCCGGAGAGGGGCGATAGTAATGGACCAGGAAGCATGCGGGCTATCGAATAACTTGCTGGGGTCATTGATTGTTCTGCTTGAGGTGGTGAAGGGCTGTTTTGCTGACTTGGAGGAGTATGAAAGTGGGATTGTGTATTATTTCTAGTAGTAGGGGGTCTCAAAGGAGGTGGTGATTGGGCTTCGGATGGAAGAACCGGAGAAGAAATGCTGGTTTGTATTCCCGGATGTCTTGGTGTTTGGAGTAGATTTTCATTGGAATCCAACCATGGATTTGAAGGTAAAGGATTATCAACACTTGCAGACCGCTCGTCAGATGATCCCGGGGTATGCAGCCGCACTGCTGGATGCTTTGATGAAGGTTTTTGTGGCGTTTGTGGTCGTGATGTTGGTTTGGCAAAGCTGACATGTGATGATCTCCTCGACTGCTGGATTGCCTCCTCATCAACTGATCCATCACCAGCATGAATGAGACTCGGCTTAGACGTCGGCTGAAGACTAGACAGTTTCCGTGATCCATTATGATATAACACTTCATCACCAGTAGCTTCCTGAGGGGCAAGTCTGATCCTTTCTTCCTCCCCTTCAATATCCACCTCACTCTCATCTTCATCTTCATCATGCGGTGGTCTACCGCTAGTAATGAGCCACACGCCGAAAAATGTCAACAGACAGCCTCCAATAAATTTTACTGCATTCTCACTAGTGACTTTTTCAAAATCACGATAAAGAATCGCGCTGCCAGTAATGACTGATAATGTGAAGATGACGAATTGGACGGGGATGACTTGGGTTGAATCAAAACGTTGAAGAGCCCTATTCAGATATCTAACCTGCATGATAGCAGTAGCGACGAGAACAAGCACTAGGGCATATGTGACTGGAGTTGTCAAAGCTCTCCATAGAGTAGACGAAAGCATCGAAGAAACGCCCTTCGTTGAAAGAGCCGTATACCCTCCTAGAAATAATGAGTGTGGGTATAAGTAGTGTGTGAGGATGAAAACTTACCAAACAACCCCACGAGCCCAAGGTCCACCAGTATCGTTTTCCTGCCATATCTCGGGCTTGCCCACATCAAGATTGCGATTAAAAGTACTGTGATACCCATATAAAGTTCAAACTCTGTGGTGGTAATGGCTCCCCAAATTTCATGAGGTCCAAATTTCTTTTCTTCTTGCTTAGCACTCAACACAACTGTGACAGCACCAGCAACCGCAACTACTACCCCCCAGAAATCCCTGAGCCGGAATTGTTCATTTAACATGATAGGAGCTATGACACAATTGGATATCAAAGCGACGACACCCAAAGGAGAAACAATTGATGCCGGCGCAAAGCCATATGCTAAAAAGTTCCCTAGCTCTCCAATCGTCATTAAGACAATACCTCCCCACCAGTATGGAGATTGTAAATATGTCGATTTTTTACGCCCATGATTATCCTCTGTGGAAGTCGAAGATTGGGAGTTTTCGGAGTGGAATGATCGTAGTAAAGGTTCCTCTTCATCTGCTTCATCTGCTTCATCTTCCTCTTCAACGATCAGACTTCCATTCACACCCGCTCCGTAGCCACCCGCAGATTTCGAAATAGCCCTCAGCCTTTCCTTCCGTCGTATCTCTCCATCGTGTAACCTTATATGCGCATATCGCTGTATGTTCAGGGCGAAAGATATGAGGATATTTCCCACAATTGCCGTGACGATCCCAATCAGTGATGACCAACGTTGAATCTGAGAATCGCCGGTAGTATGTACATTTGGCTCAAAAGTTATTGACTGGTGTATCGGTATACTGAGAAAGGATATGGCCTCGGCATCAAGTTTCGCGGTCGATAAATACATGACAGCGTCTTATTGAAGCTATCAGGATGATGATTTCACCCCACTCATAGTGTACTAGGTGGGTGCGTATTGCGATGAAGAAAAAACTTTGAGCAGTGAAGTGAAAAGTATATGAATATGGATATGAATATGAATATATCTGCGAATAACCATATACAAAAAAGAGAAGCTTTGTCAGCTGGTATTAATTAAGTAAGAGGTTCGAAGTCAAGAAGTTGGTTGTCGCATGAATTAATAATTCTATTTTTGAGATGAGAAACCTCGAAGCGCTCATTTTCGGATGTCATGGCAATAATGGCAATGATAATGTAATAATACATGAGGTTGCCTTGCCTGTACGAGTGAGCACTCTGTTACGGCGGAAAAACGGGTTTTCGCGAATCTATGACCGACCTGCCCCACTCCTTCTCCACTGGATCCATAACAATCTGCGGAAGCTCTGTTCTCTGGGTATTCCATCCTTCTTAAAAAGCTTCAAGGTTTAACGCGCTCATGTTTGTTTGCTTGAATAATTGATTATATACCCACCTTTCAGCTAATTGCCATTTCCTTTCGCCATTTACTAAAGACGACCACCGACAGCATTCAGAGACCGGTCGAGCCATGAGCGATGATGAAGATTTCCAGGTCGAAGGACCCGAACTAGCAGAAGATGATCCCATGAGAGCTTTCCTACCTACGTCTTTTGGTAAGAAATCAAAGGAAGCAGATGTAGCCGCCCAAATCAATAGAACAAGACGACCGGCAGAAGGAAAAGTCGATGCACAAACAGTCGCCAAGGAAGCTGAACAACAGAAACCGGTGTCTGAGCCAGCGTCTAAGGATTGGGGCTCTGACGAAGATGATGAGGATTCAGATAGCGACGGGGGTTCCGAGGACGATGATGAATTTCCAGCTTCTCACGAATTGATCCTCAAGACGCATGATCGAGCAGTTACAACTACGACACTTGATCCTTCTGGTTCAAGACTGATAACCGGTTCCAACGATTGTACCCTCAAGTTTCATGATTTCGCTTCTATGACACCTACTACTCTCCGATCATTCAAAAGCGTGGACCCAAATTATTCGAAGACATCAGCAAATTCCGAGACCCATCCGATAAACCATGTTGAGTTCAATCCACATGCCGGAGGAACATTTCTATGTATATCCGCGCACCCACAAGCGAAATTAATGAATAGAGATGGGGATGTTATCGGAGAGTTCGTGAAAGGAGATATGTATTTGAGAGATATGAATAACACGAAAGGGCACATTTCGGAAATTACCACAGGCACATGGAGTCCGATTGATAAGAATATTTGTGTTACGGCCGGCACGGATAGTACTCTACGAATTTGGGATGTAAATGTTAGGAGATGTCAGAAAGAGGTGATCGTGCATAAATCCAAAGCATCAGGGTCAGCTGGGAGGACAAGAATGACGGCAGTGGTTTGGGGAAGTCCCGCCCAAGGAGGAAATAATCTACTCGTGTCTGCTGCGCTGGACGGAAGTTTAGTGATGTGGAGTGGTAATGGACCTTACGCAAGACCTACCGCTGAGGTTAGGGACGCCCATATGCCGGATACTTGGACTGGTGGTATTGATATTAGTCCTGATGGACGAATGATTGTTACACGTGGTGGTGACAATCTCATCAAGCTTTGGGATACTCGAAAATTTAAAACTCCTATTGTGACGGTTGCACATCCCTCAACATCAGATGTGTATTCCGTTACTAACATTAAATATTCACCTAACGGCTCTAATATCATTACTGGCTCGGCATCAGGTCATCTCCATATTCTGAATTCGGGCAATCTCAAACCGGAACTCGTTACTCCTGTGACTGCTGGCTCTCCTCTCATCACCGTTCAGTGGCACTCGAAACTCAACCAAATTGTCACTGGCTCCGCCAATTCTGAAGTTCATGTTCTTTACAACCCGAATACATCAGTCCGAGGTGCCGTTGACGTAATGTCTCGTGCACCCAAGAAGCGCCATGTTGATGATGACCCCAATTTTACAACAGATCAATCTACGGGTATGTCAGGGGACAGCATCGTCACTCCAGGAGGTCTTGTGTCCAATACTTCAGCTACATCCTTCTCTGCAAGACATCCTACTATTGGGTTGACTGCGTCTGGTCGCTCTCGAGATCCACGTCGACCTAATCTACCATTGGTTACACCTTTTGCGAAAAGTCAGCCGGATGAGAAGCATATTAATGAAAGTATCACGCTGAGTAGTATGCGTGATGAGGATCCTAGAGAAGCATTATTGAAATATGCCGAGCTTGCTAAGAATGATCCATTATTTACGAATGCTTGGAAGGATACTCAACCTACAACTCAGTATGCTGAATTAAGCGATGATGAAGATGAAGGGCCAGACAAGAAAAAAGTGAAGAGATGAATAAATTCGATGATGAAGATACCCGCATTACATGTATGATGTTAGAACCACATCGGCGTTCGAGGCAAGTCTTTGTAGAGAGGTCCATGGAGACGATCTAATTTAAGCAATGTTACGGCAAGTCTTTGATATCCCTGACACTATAAGTAAGATACTCAAACCAGGTTCCCATCTCATAGATCTCGAGCCTACGATGCTCACTTCATCTAAGCATCTTATTGTCTCAGAAACGATAATCGCAGAGTAATTTAATGCTTGAAAAGAACAAAAGCGGCGCAAACCGAGATGTTATCCACGCCAATGCCCATATGAAACTTTACGTGAGTGCGGCCAGTTTTCAGGATACCGCTTTAAACCGGAATGTATTTACTAGGTCCATAGTAATCAGAAATTGCACTTTTATATATCCTGGCTTCATCATAATTAAATGCTCATTCTATCGATACTGTCGCTTTGCTGTGGTTGTCAACTCATTGTAAGATCTTTAAGAGAGTTTATGTTGAAGTTTTCCTCACTCTCATACAACCAGTCTTATTATCCATCTCAATTTAACATTCGACTCTTGTCCTATCTCATAAAGTTGCCTTTCTCACTTCATTTTCGCTTCACGTTTTACTTCACTTCACTTCCCTTCCCTCACATTTCCCTTACACTTCACTCCCCTCACGCTTCCCTTACACTTCACTTCCCTCACACTTCACTTCCAACATCGCTCTCCCCATCCACCAAAATTTGTTGCATATCTGAAAAAATGATATTTGCAGCCTCTTCTGTCAATCAAGGCGGTAGACATATTCCGATAATTATATCGACCGGCAATAATGAGTATTTCGGTATTATTCCCAGCTCAGTTAATATAACTGCTGCAGGCTGGAAAGATGTGTAGGTTCAGATGTGCAACAACACCAAAATTTTCCATCTCTCATATTCCTGTGCTTCAAAGTCAATAACGAGATACCTGGTATCATGAATCTGCGCCCAGGATCTCTTCACTTTTCTCCATAGAAACATCATATATTCACTCTTACAACAGAATGCCTATGAGCAATAGGCAGCAAACGAGTCACCACCTACCAACCTACCAACCTGCGTAATAAGCCTAGCAAATGTCATATTCATATCAATCATACCTACCTGTCACCTCAATAATTAAGAACTTTTCTTCGACCTTCTCAATGAGTCAACCCGCATTTGGATATGGAGAAATCTCTAAAATTGCGTTCCCGACTTCTTGTTCTCATATAAAAAGTCGTTCAGCCGGAAATCCTGGTCTTGTATCCAACTCCAAGATATTCGCAACAATTTCTACAGCCGATAAACCGACCGTACATGGAAGTTACCAATCTGCAATACGGATCCTAGTTCTTTACTTCAACTACAATCTGCTGGTATGACTGACGAGGATACGAAGATGGGAGGTACGGTTTCTGTCGCGCAGCAGCATCAAGGAGTTCTGCAAAACGATCTTTCACCATCAACTTCATCGTCATCTAGTTCGGAAGCTGACTCAGATGTTGATATGGATGCTACTCAGGACGAGTCGTCAAGTTATTCTATATCATCTGAATCTGGAGAGTCCTTTGCGGAGTCCTTTGCAGAGCAACAAAGCACAAAACTAATGATACGAAGCTCTGCATTGACGGAGTCGATGACCAGCAAAGCTGAACGCCAGTCTCAGTTTATGGAAATCTCCTCTATGGAGGAAATGAATCTTATAGGTCCTCAATTGTCACCACCTCCTTCGTCCTTCTCTTCGCCGTTCCCTTCGCCAATTATAAAACCTGATTTGGATTTCGATACCAATCTTGCTAAGGACGAGCCCCTGATTTTATCGGCTACATCTGAATATACAAAGCCATCAGCGACCTTGACAAATTTTCCACCGCTCCCTGGACATACGAAAGAAATCAAAAAAGCTACCAACGATTTTATGCCAAATAGTCCCTCAGATCTTTGCAAACCAAGTTACCGTGCGTATAAAAGTATGTGCGAAGTCTTCGAAGAAAAGGCTCAAATGATGCTCATAGCTGGTAATGTCAGAGGTTTTATCTGTTGCCTTGACTCCTCTCTCGAAACATTCCCATTATTACGTGCGCCGATAATGAAGGCTCTAGAAAATCTGGGAAAAGCTTTTGATGAGTCGAAAAAATCTGTATGAAGCTTCTTTTATTCCCGGTGTGTTCTCTGTTAATATTGCTTTTAGGAATCAGTGAAATCTGATGGGATATCTATGGAAAAAAGTACACCAGTTATTACTTCCAAGTCTGGTTCTAATCACCAAAACCCAAATGCTGCAATGGCAAGTCGAATCCGCAACTATAACCCTAGACTATAATGACTAACTAGATCTCCAGGAGCGAGCTCTATTACCTTTGGCACCCCTGGCTTCCGAATACATCAAAAACCAATCCATCTCCCGAGGAGGAACCTCATCCCTTCACACCTACGAAAACTGGCACATCCACCAATCCTCCGACTGCAAAATCAAGCACGAAGAGGAAATTTACCCCTACGGATTCAATCCCAAGTTAATAACCATTTTCAAAAAATGCAGCAAGCGACGTCTTCGCAGCGAGAGGCATGAAAAATATAAAGTTTGGAGGGAACGGGCTGGAAAGGACGCGACGCATGTGCATAGAAATCCGATTTTATCTGAAGATTTTATAAAGGAGTGTGGTGGTAAGGGGTATAGGGAGTTGGAGGGGAGGATTGACATGTGTGATATGAGGAATGCGGCGTATTGGGAGATTACGAGTAGGTGGGTTGGGGATGTTTATTCGAGGAAGAGGGTGAATTTTGGTTTGGAAAAGGAAAAGAAATTGGATTCTTCGCCTTTGAGGAGGGAGTTAAGGAAATTTCAGGGTTGTTGGGTTTCGGAGGAGGTTATGCCGTACGGGAAGGTGGGGAATGGAAATGGGAAGGAGAGTGGGGAAATGGGGGGAGAATTGCAGGGTGTTGGGGTAAGGAAACGAAGATTGGATAGAGATGGTGATAGAGATGGTGAGATTGATATTGATATTGATGGGCAGGAAGTAGAAGATGAACAAAAAACATACTTAGCGCGAATGAAAGCGAGGAGACTGGAAATATGTAATAAGGAAGGAGAAAGTGGAATGAGGTCTTTACCCATGCAGATGCAGGGGATAAGAGATAGGGAGAATGAGAAGAAACAGGACAAGGAAAGGGAAAGTAGAAGGAAAGAAAGAAGAGAGAGGAGGGATAGGGAGAAGGATCGAGAGAGGTGGGTTAATAGAGAGAGGTCGCACTGTGGTGTTACGCAGGCTTGGATTGATTTGGGGGTTGAGATGGGGAGGGTGGGGAGGTGGGAGTGAGGGTGTGGGTATGCGTGGGGGCGGGCGAATGGATTTGGGATTGGGATTGGTGAGCTTTGATTGATGGTATGGATGAAATGGGAGGTTATGCGGATAATATATACATACATAAATATAATATAGATATAATCAGATATTGCTTTGATTACCAACCAACCTACCTACCAACCTACAGAACTTTAAAATTTAAATGCATAATTACCTAGATACCTACCTAATATGAATATATGACATACGTATTCACGTATTATATTTACAGTTATACTCTCCATCTTCTTCTTTCCGCTTTATATCATTATATCATGTCTTTATTCCTTGAAGCGAAAAAGTGAATAAATACCGTCAAGTAGGTATTTAGAAGTATTATAAAACTAGTAAAGAATATAGGAATACTGAAGATATATTAATTAGTTGCTTTTATAATAGATATAGATACCTAGGTATATAGATGTATATAGAATATAACAATCTGTTAAAAGGAATGACCTCACACAGGGAATAGTGGGAAGCTGATAGGGCAGAAGTGAGGTAATATTGGTCTAGTAGGTTAATCACTCTTCTAAGTTCTACGGAAGTGCGAAGCTCTCTTACAGAGAGCTTCTCAATCTAGTCCTAATAGGACTAGTGCCCTGTGCACGTGCTACGCAGGAACCATTCACTTTAACACAATCTAATAACGTGGTTTATCATCGGGTCGCCAATATCACCGGGTCGCCACTTTTTTCACCATTCAACCACTTCAATTTTGTATTATTCAACAACTACTCAATCAATTGATTGAAACTATTAAGAATCTAATAATCTAGGGTCTATTATACTATTTTGACAAGTTCTTGAATTGTGACCAGTTCTCCCACATGTACTACAGCATCGACTAGAAGATGCTTCCCCATTAGAATTCCCTCTCTTTTGATGCTCGTCGCGTTGAATCTGAATATCAACCTCTTGTTGAGATAATATATCAAGAGCCTCTTGTCCAGTAAGCACTCCTCCTTGACGTAATTGAATCTTTTTTGCGCATCGACGTTTGCTTAATGCCTCGTTTGCCTTCCGAAGTGTACGATTTTCTGCACTTAAAAGTGTATTCTCATGTGCTAATCTCTCTGTACCTTTAGCTAGAGCTAGTACAGTTTCGAATATAGGTGTAGGAGAGCTTGATTGATGACGACTTATTCGAGATTTTACTAAAGTTGATTGAGAAAGAGCTTCAATTGGATTGTGAGGTGTTTGAGAGATCCAAGGATCTATATTGAGAGGGGGGGGAGTAGGTGTATGAATTCGAATATCTAACTTTGAGAGTACAGCTTCAGGATTAAATGGTATTAATCCAGTTCCTCGAAACCCAGCTTTTATATTCTGAGATGTAATTGATTGTTGATATACAGCTTTGAAAGCTATAAAGAATTCAACCTTAGTGTGTGAACGAAGTGAATGACTTCAATTCAATTACTACAGTAATAAAGAACTAAGCGAACACAAAAGAGACTAGCTCTTTTAGTAAGTCTATATAAGACTTACTACTTTCAATATGTAGTTAGCTCTTTAGACAGAATACAATTAGATATACAGGACCTATATAATCTGTGGGTGCTACGTCTTCCGTATCCTTCTCGTACCAACAATACCATTTGAAACCACCTTTCAATAAGCTTAGGATCTTCGCAGAGAGCCCTTTGAAAGTCATAAACGCGATTAAAACGCGTCTTTAATTCCGTATGATGCTTTACGAATCGATGAGCCCAAAGCTTTCCAACCTTCTTTGCCCCTCGCGACTGAAGAATATAATTCGCCATATCTTCTACACCACTCAATTTAGGTGCAAACCCTCTATCATCCATATCAATTATATACTGAAGAAGCACTTTCTCTTCTAATTCAGTTATTTTATGCCCATTTGCTCGAGTTTCCATTTGGTTATTTCGACCGTTGATTCTATCGCGTAGTGTAGATCGAGGTACTGAATAGACTTTCGCAGCTTTCGTAATTGTCAAATTTTTAGACTTTCGAATAGCTTCAATAGCTAAGATGATTCGGGCTTCTTTTGATTGTGTTTCCATGATAATTCATTGAGATATCGCGAATTGAAATTGAAGTGGTTGAATGGTAAAAAAAGTGGCGACCCGGTGATATTGGCGACCCGATGATAAACCACGTTAATTAAATATTAATGGCACCATAAATACCAAGTTATACTAGAGAGTGAATCCCTTATGAGGTATTAATAATCAATCTATTATTAATTTTTTTATTTTCTTTATTCTTTAAGAGAATAAATAATGATTATAATAGGTAGATAGATAGGTAGGTAATAAATAGATGTCTATATAGGTACTTGTTTTATTAGCTCCGCTCGGCCCCTTCAATACCTAGGTAACTATGTACAATACAAAATTTCAATAGGTAAATAATTTATACAGCAGAATAACAAAAACAGAAGAGCTTTCTGATAATTTGAGTAAGCAAATAAGTTTTGATATTCCTGACTGTACCTTTTTTTGAGGTTATTATTGGTAAGATTATTTTGGGGGTTTGTTAAGTAGTGTTTGTTGAGGGTATTTTGTCTATGTAGAACTTTTAGGAAAGGGTGCTGTAGGGAAGGTGATTTGTGGTAATGTTAATTTGTTATTGTACGGTGTATGATATATAGTGTATTGATGTCGTATGTATAAGATGGAGTTTGCTTAGAGTATATTTGTTGATGTATAATATATAATATATTAACATCAATATATCAACATATCAACATCAAAATATCGACATACAACGTACGCTGCTAACATACACCACATCAATAAACAACACATCCAAATAACATCACATTTAAAGCCCTCAAACCCAATCCCACCCTACTACTTCCACCCACTTCCTTCCCCAGCGCCCCCTTCCCCACCCCGAAATGACAAACCCCGCCCACGAACTCAAAGATCTCAAAAAAATCCTAAAAAAAATCCTCACCACCCAAACCCAACTACACAAACTAATCCAACGCCACAACTCCCAAATGACAGAACTCCGCACACAAAAGAAAAGCCTCCAATCACACATCACCAAACTCGAAGATGAACTTGCAGAAAGTAGAGCTGATAATGATGAATTGATGGTGCGGTGTAAAAAGCTCGAGTATACTAATTGGAGCGTTTTTCATACGGGGGATGTGACTTTTGATGAGAATTCTGAGCTTAGGGTTGAGAGGGGGGATGGTGGAGGAGAGGGAAAGGTTGGTTGGGGAGAAGGAACAATTGGTTAGGGAGAAGGAGAAATTGGTTGGGGAGAAGGAACAATTGGTTAGGGGGAAGGAGAAGTTGGTTGGGGAGAAGGAAGCATTGATTGCTGAGAAAGAACGATTAGGTCTCGAAAAACAGGAACTCGAAATTTCTCTCTATCAAGCTGAAAACGAAAAATCAGAAGCCAAGAAGTCTGCTCAAAAGTATGAGACAATAAACATAACCCTATCCAAAGAACTCAAAGCACGAGGAAAGAAATTCTCAGCTCAAAAAGAAGAATGGAGAAAACAAAAACAGGAATTCATTGCTCAAAAATCAGAATGGGAAACCAAAAAAACTGAATTCGAAGCACAGAAAGAGGAATGGGAAAGTTATGAAGATAAGTTGAGAATGGTGATTGTTTCTTTGAATAAACAAGGTTGGGATTTATTGACTACGTTGTTTGCTTTTGGGAATAGTGATGATGCGGTTTGGGTTAATGAGATGGATGAGAGGATTGTGGAGATGGTGGGGAAATCGGGACAGACGCTTGAGATGATTTCTGAGAGATGTGGGGAAATGAAGAGGGGTTTGTTGGAAGAGGTTGCTTGGGAGGGTGAGGATGGTGAGGATGAGCAGGATGGTAGTGAGGATGAACAGATTGACATTGAGGATGAACAGATTGACATTGAGGATGACCAGATTGACATTGAGGATGACCAGACTGGTGGCGTGAATAGAGATGTTATGATGGCGGATAGTGAGGAGGATCTTTAGGGGGAGATTTGCTGAGCCTGACAGCAATCTAGATTTTTTTATTTTAAAATACAGCATTATATAATCGGACTACTTTGTGTAAGTAGTCATCAAATTGAATCTGTTGTTCCAAATTTATATATTTGTTTTATCTTTGGTGGTAGCAAGTCTGAAGGAAAAACAATGTTGAGCAACTTCCATTTCACGGATGATATCTGTCGATGATATTATATCATTTGCCATATCATACTCCATTTTTCCAATATTTACTATTGACTTGAGCCAGTGCTTATGAACATGAGTTCCATGTGCAATTGACACAATATTTGCATGAACCCTTAGATTTCCACTGCCCTGCTTCATCCTCAGCACTTGGAAGATATGTGATGAAAGAAAACTTTGCTTGCCAAACCCACCTCTTCTTGAAAAACAATGATATCGGTAAATTTTTATATATGGGGTCAAGTGAACCTCTGATTTGCACACAAGGGGATTTACCACCAAATCTGGTGGATCTTAACATTTATGCGTTTCAAGAAGTCTGTGGGAAAGAAGCCACCTGGCTTGAAACGAAAATAGCTAAAGTGGTCATCGAAACCCAAATAAACCAATGGAAGAGACGATAAATTCTGCTGAATTCAAAAGTCTGATAGGTGGAGCTTTTGAAGTAAAAGGCTTTGTTGCACATCTCATTTTTGTCCCGGATGACTTTCCGTCCAATATTATATTGATCCATCCCATATAAATATGAGATTTGCAACAAAACCTTCCTGGTACACCTATCTCATGTACAATGACACTTTATTAGATCCACCTTTTAAGTAATAGCACTGGAAATATTAAAAAAAGTGGAATAGCCTTATAAGCTAGAGTCCAGATCGTGGAAACCGGTGATCATGACGATGACTTGGTAGGTATGATTAGGATTTTAAATATGGAGCAGAGGTTCTAGACAAGATTGACGATAGCAAACTAACCTAGCTGTTACTCTTATAAGAGTGTTCTTTCCACTCATGAATATGATTTCTGACAATCTATTATGTTCTATTGTTCTTCTCGTCCTCGTCTCAACCCTTTCATGCCCTTGGCCATGCGAACGAGATATCCCGTCCCCGGTTCTTTACTTGGAATAGGAAAATGTTTCAGACAACAATTGCAGTTGAAACCAAACTAAACACTAGGGACAGGCTGGGCGGGGATACCGGGGAGAAGTAACGCTACACGTTTCATCTGAAATATATGAGGTAGGACCACTTTCTCACATATAGAAATTCAAATAAGATTCAGTTCGATAATATGGCGCTTAAATAGATGTTCTCGAAGGTTAAAAGTCACCAATGAGAGAAATTGACGAGGAAGCCACAGCGTGGTCTTCAAGTACTGGTCGATGACTTGCGAGGCTGATGATACTTGGACCATTCAAAAGGTCCAATTGTCTAGGCTATGCATAAGTGGCGTTTCAACAAAGTCAGTAGAATGTAGTCTGTAAGGTACTGGGTAAGTAAGATCCATATCCATCTCCATATCTATATCTAGACCCATATCCATATCTGCGTTGTGCAAACATGTCTTTAACAAGTAAAACATGATTCATCGTTGGATGTAAAAGTGTAAAGATCATCTTTTGCACAACGCAATAAAATGACACGTGCCATATGAACTGAGGTTGGAGAGAGAACTTAGCGTCGTTTTGCTGTCAATCACGTGGGGTCCTCGGAGTCTTGTGCTTATTGGTCAAAGCGCCAAGCGCCAAAAACTATTGACCCCTCGTAACCAGCCTCCTCTAAAATGGAGATTCTTACCTTGTTCCATATGCAAGACGTGAATCATTGGGTCATAATGTTGCATTCAAACTTCACTGCCACGTCTTTGCCCAAGGAGTCCCAAAACTAACTCTTAGTTCTCCTACAGCCGCTCGTTATATTGCTAACAATTCCTTCCCCAGAATTAACTTTTTAGCAGGACTCGAATATCCATCCATACTTCTCTACAATGTATCATCATACTCCCGAATCATTATTACCTCGAACAGACTCGAAAAATCCGAATTCAACATGTCACGGTTTATCATCGAACGGAAAGCCATGTCGAAGAGGCCTTTCTAAATCACCACATGCTTCACCGAGTCCGAGTCCTTCAAGAGGAGCATTGAGTTCAGATGCATTTTGTTGGCAACATAAAGATCAAGCTGGACAACCGGCTCCACTTGTTCAACCTCGACCAAATACCCTTCGTGAACGGTCGAGCGTAGACACATTAGTGGAAAGATTGGGACTCCTCGAGGTTGACCAGAAGAAAAATAAAGGGAAACAACGTCAAACTGGAGAAGATAATCGTGGCAGACGACCCGGCTCAAATAGCGCTTTGAGAAATGAGCAGCAACATGCCGACAACCATGGAAGACCTCAAAGGCAACAACAGGGACAAGAATGGCATCAAGCACAAGCACATCAATTACAAGAACCTGGAAGACAAGAACATCATAATGATACGTCTGCTACAAATGGTGGTCGGGCGAGACGCAAAAGAAGTAATTTAGAATTGTTATGTTGTGGTGAACCGGATGATTCGGATGCACCAAGACCACAACAAAAAATGCATGAAGTAGCTTCTTCCTCTCACGTACCAAGTTCTCACACGTCAGATCACCTCGATGTGCCCTCTCATTCCGGTCGGCCTTCTTCCAGACCAAATACATCTTCATCAAGGCCTTCACATTCTAAGCAACCTGAAATGCTTCAGCGTCCTACTATGGATCGGGATCCATCTTCAAGAACGGGAGAATTACTAGCTCATATCCCTTCATCAGCAAGCCCACAGACAACAGCTGCATTACTAGCAGAATTAGCAAAACCAATTTCCGATGCTGATCTTCCTGGATTTATATATATGTTTTGGTTGACTGATGAAGGATTACCTACGGGACCTTCCGATGAAGCTGCTGGTTCTCTTTTAACACCAACGACAAAGTCAGGGTCTGGCCATCGACGTACTTCTGATGTCCTTGAATCCTTTACTTCTGCTCCACCAGACAAAAATGAAAAAACAATGCTTCTCAAGATTGGTAGAGCCGAGAACGTTTTTGCGAGAATGCAACAGTGGAAAAAGCAATGTGGTTACAACCTTGCTTTAATTCGATACTACCCTTACCATGATTCTTCGAAACAGCCATCGAGAAATCCTAGTGAAAATGATGGTCCTAAGAAGGTTCCAAATGTACACAAGGTGGAAAGATTAATTCACATTGAATTAATGGCCAAAAGAGTGAATTGTGGAAAATGCAAAACATGTGGGAAAGAGCATAGAGAATGGTTTGAAATAGATGCGAATAGAGATGGAGTCACGATGGTGGACGAGGTTATTAAGCGATGGGTAGACTGGGCTGAGAAGGATGAAGCGTCTAGACATGGACATAGATAGAGCATAAACTCCTAGAGTAATACGGTATTATAATAATCAATTCTCATTACATACTTAACCAAGCTTCTCGAACATTCATTTATATGACTATTCCATGAATGCTCTATCCTAATTGAGACATACAAAGGTTTCACATTCAAGATGGATGGATTACATTAAAGGCCAGTGCCGATTTCTGACTTGTGGTGAATTCATACCTCCGCTAGTATTTTTTTTAAGTCTTACAATTAGTAGCCTAAAAGTAGCCTAAAATCACCCCCTAAGCTAACTTCGGCCTCTATTATAACCTACCCCTTTGATATTCTTCGCGTAATCTTTTTGTTCTAAAGCAAAAGCGAGCAGATAGCAAATGAATGATAATCACAAATTAGGTAACGTAACTTATGGTGAACCGGGTCATATGGGGAACCGGGTCACAAAATTCAATTCTCTCTATGTGATCTTGTTCTACGAGCTACACATTCATCCAATTCCAACTCTAAATCACTTGAACTACTCTCTGGCTCTTCTTCTTCAGTCTCCTCTTCTAATTCTTCAATTGGACGTTTACGTGGTCGCCCTCGTGGCTTTTTCTCCTTCGGTTTTTCCTCCGCCTCACGTACCATTTTCAGTACTTCCTCACTACTAAAGACAAATTGACCTTGTAATTTGACTCTTTTGCCTTTAGTTCTCTTCTTTCGAGTCTCAATTACTTCCTGAGCATCAGCGAGCTGTTTCCGAAGTAGGGCTATCTCAGCATTTTGAGATTCTACAAGCCTAGTCATTCTCTTGGCATATCGACGAGTTGGTGATGCAAGAGAATCATTATCTGCTAGAGCTTTATTAAAGGTTTGATTTGCTTGCCTTAGCTCTGTCCCATCTGGAGGAGAGCTCCTGAGTATAGATAAGTCTAGATCTTGATTGGACATTCTCATTTGTGGAGTAGAAGGTTGTTGGGAGGAGTTAAATGGTAATATATCGAGTACTTTTCGTGGGGCAAAAGGTACTAAACCAGCTCCTCTCCAACCAGCTTTAATATTAGAAGAATTCAGTGCTTTTTTTCTAATATTTTGAAAGAGTTCTACCCATTCAGCTCTTTGAATTCGCTTTACACCAGCTCGAGAATATCGATCGACCTCTAAAGCATGATATCGTTTCATTGGCCCATACACCGCAATATCAAGTGGTTGAAGCAAGTGGGAGCAATGAGGAGGTAATATAAGTAAATCGATTTCCTTCTCTATACAGAAAGCAATAAAGCTGCCTGTAATATGACTTGAATGGCCATCCATGATCAAAAGTCGAGGTCGGTCACCTGACACTTTCTTGGATTCTGGTTCGAAAACCCTTTTTAGCCATTCTAATCCATGACTATTTGAGGTCCATCCATTCGTACTCGTAGAAAACTGCCAGCTTTGAGGCGTGTCCTTTGGAATCCATGCAGAATTCGTATTCTGAGCCTTGAAAATGATCATAGGTGATAGAGCCTTTCCAGCTGCATTGACACATTCAAATGCAGTTATCCATTCTTGCTTGCCAGCTGTAACTTTCCAATTCGATTTCTGAGTAGAATCGACTATAATACGCGTACTTTGAGTACTTCCAACTCCAAATCCGGTTTCGTCCATATTATACATATCATCTAATTCATACTTTCGTTCAATGAGACGCATACGAAACGCATCAAACCAAGCCTGAATATTCTCCGGAGTTGCCACTTTAGCCCGATTAGACTCTAATTGACGTGAATAGCATGTTTTAAGTTCTGGATGTCGTTTTTGGAATCTATAGATCCATTCGTGGCCTATAGGTGGAATTTCTGTCGAGGTAGGAATTCGAGATGACGCGACCTGAACGCGTCGAAGACGAATTTCGTCGGCCATTTCCTTCACCAACATAGGTGTAGCAGGGAATCCAGTGATGGTAAGTCGTGAAATCCATCGTACAAGAGTATTTTCTTCTGCGTTTGAAAGAATTTGAGTCATTTCGTGGGATTGAGTATGTGATTTCCTTCCAGCGACCCTAGCTATGAGAGTTGACTTAGGAACTTCAAAATACTCCGCAGCCTTTCTAATTGATTTAAAGTCCTTCAATTGAAGTGCAATAATAGCATTCTGTATCTTCTCTTCAATTTGAGAAGGCGTAAGAGGTGATTCGGTATGCATAGCAAAATTTGTTGGGGTTTGAAGTCAGTGATGGGCTAAATGTGACCCGGTTCCCCATATGACCCGGTTCACCATAAGTTACGTTATCTACCTACAGATAGTATGGAGTAAAGGGAGGGATAATTAGATAGCTGAGTGAGTGGTTATTTATTTTTTTGTTTGTTTTTGGTTTATTTGTTTGTTTGCTTGGATGTTTATTGTTTTGTTAGGGGGAAAGTGGATGTGGATGGGGATGGAGATGCGAATTATTTTTTTCTTTTTGGTTCTGGGGATATTTTAGGTGGGAGGGAGGGTATAGATTTGATTTTGATTGTAAGTGTTTGATCTGGGGTTTATTTTGGAAGAGTTGTAGTGATGTGGTTGATGGTTAATAGAGAGTGGTGAGTGATGAGAGTACATTATTAATGGTAATTCAGAAAAGATTTGGTGTTTGAATGAAAGTGTTTGTTTGAAAAAAAAAAAAGATGATGTGATTCATCATCTTTGTTTGCTGTGGGTGGAATGATTGTGAATAAATCCATCATACAATAAAAAATTTGATTCATTGTATGAAGTGTTTATGAATCTGATAATCTGATGTTTGGATGTTTACAATCATCAATCATACAATGAATTATATGTTCATTCACAATGTTCACGATATCTACCATCATCAAAAGAACAAGCTTCAAGTGAAGTATAAAAGAACAGTCTTTCTCTTCTCTAGTTATTTTATATCTCCATACATAGAAATATTCAAACTCAAAACCAAATCTACAGATAAATCGAAATACCAACCTCTACAAAAATCCAAGTTTTCTCTCCCATCACCACCATCAAACCCCAAAATCAAAATGTCCTACTACTACCCCTTCCCTTACCCAATCTACACCTACCCCATCACCCCTATCATCCCCGTCTACCAACCCACAACAATAACCACCATATCCACGCCCCTAATCCAACAAACAGTAGGCTGGAACCCCATCCACGGACACGATACCAGTTCTTCACCACCTGGAGTGGGAAGTAGAGTAGTTGGTTTGACAACTGGTATGTATTATACATCGGTGAGCTCACGCGAGTGCATTCCCATGTTTGAGGGGTAGAGTGGACTAATTTGGATAATGTAATAGGTTTGGCGATGCCGATAGGCGGGGTTGCGTTGGTGCATAATGGGACGCATATGGGAGCACAGTCTGGGGGTTTGTGTGGGAATTGTGGAAATTGTGGAAGTGTGAATGCGAATGGAAATGCGAGTACAGCAACAAATGCGACTGCAAATTTACAAACTCCTGATCCGGCTTCAGGAACTCAACCTGGATATGGATCGGGATCGGGGTCTGGATCCCAAGCACAACCTTCCGCCTCAAAAGTCAAACCTAAATCTATCCTTAAATCAACTACGACACCATCGGCAACTTCAAGACCTTCATCATCACCACCATCTTCTCCTACGAAGTCGAAATCGAAAACCGCACTTGAACCTCCGCTTAATATTCTTACTCATGCTAATACGAATGCGAATTCGGGATCATCTTCATAATGATCGACGAGTCGTCCGATTTTTGGTTTTGGGCATGATATCTAGTTCTTTTTCTGTTCTTTTTTGTTTGTTTGCGCAAGGGTTGAGGTTGTTTCATTATTTTACCAGTGGTTTTGGAAGGATGTTGGATTTATGAGGTAGTGTCGAGAGTTGTGGATTCGTGGAGTTGGGGGGGTGGGGGGGGGTTGGATAGGGTTTTGGTTTTTGTTGATGGGTGGGAGGTTGGAGGTCTGGGTTGGAGAGATTGTAAGATTTATTTTTAGTTTTGATGTTGAGTTTGGAATTGAGATTAGAAAGCGAGTTTTTTTTTTTTCCGGTGGATTTTAAATCGATATGGTTTTATTATAAAGGAGGATAAAAGAGAAGAGAATAGATGATGAATGCATCGTTTTTGTTTGAATCTTGCGATGGCGTGAATTCGAAGAGTGTTACACGGATATATCCGAGCATCGGGTAATTAAAATTATATTCGATTTACTCGTGTGAAGTGTATTGATGTTGTAGGTTCCGATATTCTAGATTATGCGCATGGAAGATTATGATGTTGAGTAGATGTGCCTGAGTTGAGTAGATGATAAATAATGACAATTTTCGTGATAGGAAATTATACTCGAGGTTGATGGATGGGTATTAGGTATTTAAGCTAGGATTAGAATGGGATGAAGAAGCTCATTCACTTGATGATATGATTGTTTTAAATGATGTTGAGATTAGTTATATGGTGATAATTAAGAATATACTATTTAAGATCTTATATTTTTCTAGATTAAGATCTTTGTTTTCTAGTTTCTTGTGAATTTATTCATTCAAAAACATTTATAAGATGATTTTTATATCATTATATACAATTAATATCATTTCTCAATAATCTCAACAAACACTTGAAGCAATCTCCCAAGGATGATAATAAATCCTAGATCCCGAAATCTAGTATTGATAAAATCTCAGGATTTGTCCGGGCCATCTTCAGCAAATTCGTCGTAGGCGACGAGAAAGATACTTCGGATAGTGCCTCAATTACAGACAACATTGATGATATCGGCCCTTTCATATGTATTGCAGGCGGTATTTCTATTATTAGTTGTTTGCCATCTGTTATAGATATTTATGGCTCGCATAATAGAGGTTTGGGAATTAATAGAATAACATCTACATCACAGCCAACGAAAGCCTCTTCACGGTATACACCAGGAGCTAATTGCACACCAGCCGCATCATACTATCCATGTAGTTCTTCTTATGGTTCTCAGCCTCGAAAATCATTGAAGGGAAGATTATCAAATGAATATCGTTACAATATATATAAACCTCAACGATATATATAATCATTATCTGAATATCCATCAAGTTCGTAATATCAATACTATTTCTCTCTCTCTACATTTCAAAGCTCACGTTAAAGTTTATATGGGAAGATTGATTCACTGTATGCCCCTCAAAGCATTCCCGTTGTAGTCGAAATTCCCTTGAATAGGTATGAGCTGCCAGAAACTGCGAGTATGTTCGATAATCCTGAATCTTCTGGGCCTCTAATGGGCTGGTATGAACCACCTACTGCGAACAGCTATGAACCTCCATCTATGAATAGTTTTGAGCAGCAACTAGAAGCTCATATAAGCCTCCATCAGCCAGTAGCTGTGAGCCGCTAAGTCAGCGGCGCTAACTAGAAGCTCGTATCAATCTAGCTCAATGGACAAAATAGACTCTCCAGCAGATACCAAACCAAAGAAGAAGAGTTTCATGGACGATGACGAGGACAACATTCCCGCTCTTAAGGCACACCCCTGACCCCCCAAACCCCGCGAAAAGATCAAGGTAGGAAAAGATCGCGAAGCAGATTAAGCTTTTCTAAAAGCAGCCGAAGCAGATGGTAGTCCTTTTCCTTCCCCTTATCAAATGAACCCATTGCTAACAACTCCTCCAGCACAACACGACCAAAAGCCCGCACTTCGAAATAAATTCTGGGGGCTCGGCGACTGGTTCGGTGGCGGCATGAAAGTAGCTCCTGCCAAATCCTCCCCTCTCAGCCTAATAAACTTATCCGTGCCAAGATGGGCGAGCAATCAAGTTTCGCGAGTTGAAGCGATGGATAAACAAGAAGGCAGACGCAGATAGTACACCTTTCCCTTCAGCTACACAAACACCTTCCAAGGAACCACCACGAATTGCAAGTGGGGGTCCTGTCTCTTCGGAGCCCCAGCAGAGAAGTGTTATTGCTATGAGTGTGCCGCCTAAGCGTAGTCCAGATTCATTCGATGGTGGATTATAGACTCTAGCCCCGAGAACACCGACAATGACTAGGATTCAAGTAGTGTGAACTTGAATAGTACTAGGCCGCCGAGCAGAGCAGCTACGAGTAGCATGGATGGTTTATTGAGCCCACCTTGTGCGGGGGCGAAGAAGGGAAATGTTAGGGCGAAGCCAAAGAAGAAGGGGAGGTATACTGATGTTATGGCTGGAGAGGGGAAGAGTGATAAGCTGGGAAGAAAGGAAGGTAGTAAGTTATAATTTAAGAGGAAAAGAGGAAAAGAGGGAGAGAAATATTCTAGATTTTTTATCTCTTTTCTTTTCTATCCTTGATTTTGGCATGGCGGATATGATATATGATGTGATGTGATATATGGTATGGATATATATACGATATAATATCTACGTTCGTTTGGATTTGTTGGGTTACTTGAGACTAGAAAGAGCATCAGATTGAATTGACTTATTCTCTAGCTAAGCAGTTAAGCTGCGAGCATATATTCAAAAAAATGAAGGAATAGGTTGGGTATTCGGCCTTCGGAATTAAAGTGCTTTGAAATCAAAATATTGAAAGCAAACAAACAGTATACCAAAAAGGAAAGAATGAATTAAAAGTTGAGTTTTGTTTGCTCCTTATATGCATATGTACTATATATGCATATGCTGCCAAGATCCCAGGAGGTCAACAGGATTACTGTATTATATGATAAAATATAATAGAGTATGGAAGCGCTAGTTAATACTTGGTAATGTGAACTTAAATTAAAGGGAGTTTTAAGTTTTGTTTTTCGTTGTTTGAAGTTAGTCAGTGAGTTAGGAGAGAGATATTAAATGGAAGATGCATGATGTAATGTGGATGTGATTTTGGGGTTTTAGTGAGTGGTATTAAGATTCCCGGTATGGTGAAGTTTCACGGGTAGAGGGGAGATTGAATATATTCTGCTTTGAGACATCTTTCTATATATAAGATAATTTTGTTGGCAATCTGGAGGAATAAATATGCTTTCAGATTGCTATGTGACTGATAGTTGCTAGTATGAAATAAAGACTTTGGTCGTAGCATCGACATGTCGAAATTTATTTGATTAACATGCTTGAGCTACCCAAACTAGGATTGGCATCGAAATTGCAGCCCCATTCCGGGCCTCATGCGATCCTTCATCAGCTACTACCAAAGCCTGTTGGGCTTTGGGTCCAAGTGTATTTGTCAAGAACTCATCCCAGGCAAGGCTATACCTAGTTCGAAGTTAGGTCTAAGAGCAAAACGCAATATTGCTAGTAACTCACATATCATGCCAATAGCGGACAGTCGTTGCTGGTGGGTCGAACTGATATCGCTGAACGGAATTAAATCCTTCGGATGCGAGCATGCTCGAAAGATCTCTTTGCCAACTACAGGGTGGTTAGCGGTTTTACTTCTGTATAATTATGAGTTCAACTGATTGTGCGGCATTCTTACTCGTCAGAACCTTTTACTCCTTCTGGGATATCAACACGAAACATTTTATTGATCCCGTCTGATCTAGTTTCCTTTGAAACCTTGACAATTTGTTTACCCATTTGGTCAACTTCGTCCCATTGCAGATAACCTCCGGGCTCTACAGGAAAAGATAAATTTAGGACAGCACGGTTTGAAACCAAAGGGTATTCATACTTAACATCTTTCGTAGGTTTCGAATCAGCGGCAGCGGGTTGTTGTCTTTGATCACAAGCATCACGAGCCTGATATGAATAACGTCGTACACACCGATGAGGTCGGATGGCACGTCCTCAAACATATTCCACTTTCTTAGAGTGACATTAGAAGGCATCCATTGAGCGTGCGATGCTTGGCCTAAGTCGATGTCGAACCCATCCAATTGAGCACTCGATTGAAACATCTTTCGTGTTTCTAGAAGCCATATTCTTGGGATGTAAGCAATAGGAATATGAGTAGTGGGCCACATATCACGTACCCTGTCCCAGTGGCAATATCTGCAATTCGAGGGGCTGGCCCTAAGGAATCTGGATTGATGTTTGGGTGGAGGGTGAACCCAAGAGTGTCTTTCCAGAGGTATTGTTGCAAGTTGAGTCTTCCATGGTGCAATTAGCTGACGAAAAACAGATTTATCAACGTATCCCTCACCTGCAGCTTGCAACATAATCTCTCTTAAGAACGTAGTCATCCGAAATATCTTTCTGAAGGGCATTTTGGGTAAATTGCGGCAGTGTGCTGTTTGTCTGTTGTACGCTTGGCTTCGTAGCATCAGCCTGGGAATTTAGACGGAAACCAGCTTTTAAACGACTATTGGCTAAGAGTTTTCCCAAGCTCGAATTTCCGAAGAGCATCGTGAATCTTCGTGAACCTTTTTCCTTGACTGCTTATGAGTCCTCTATAGCTTGAAGGTGATGCGAATGTTATTGTTGCAAAATTTCAGAGTTTCGGGTTTTGATTGTTGCGCTCTTACAAGCATCGGTCTAGCTTCTATAAATCGTAATCGGCCTGCGCTGAAAATAGCACATTACTCACTCGGCAGAACCATATCCATGTGTGGGTTATCGTTGAACAAATACTATAGGGGTCAACTTTTGGTAGTCATATCGGGATTACTGTCTTACAATAAATCGCCGACATTGATTAGTCTTCACTTCGCTATAGGTTTGGGGAGCACAGCACATGGCATTCTAATATAATATATAGAATATAAGATGTTGACTATATTTAAAAAAATATATAACTTTAAATATACTACTTATAAACTTATGTTAAAAGTTGTAATTTATAATCTTATATTATTCTTATTAATATAAATTAATTATATTTTAGTTTAAAAGAAAATTATCATTATTTATAAATATGATAAAGATATATATCAGAATTTAAAATAACAAAATATTTTTATACAATTAGTATATTAATAATATATTGTTTTTTGTATTCTAATAATTTTTATACATAACATTATTAAAAATAAAATATATACATAAATATATCTCTTCTTTGATTAATAATACAGAAGAGGTGGAATATAAGTAGGGGATGTGAATCTAACCAGCTGGGGTACCTGGATCGAGTGTCAGCATGGGAACATGTAGAATACGATATAACTGCAATGCACGGCTCACCGATTGCGAAGTTGATATAACTGCGATGCATGACTCACCGATTACGACATTGCACTCATTTTGCCGGTTGAGGCAGCAGCCTATGTTACATTGCGGCTGAGGGACATCTGTAAGCATGACACTATATATACAGCATATATTATATACAAGGCCCGACAAGGTAGGGCCCTGGCTACCGGTACAATACCCTTGTATTATCTTAAAGTTACAGAGGACGGCTCGAAAAGGAATGCGACTATAGGGCCTTACAGATCTTAGCACTATAATACGCTGTAGTTCAACCTTTCGGATCAAGTCCTGAAAATTAGTATTTAATTAGGCTTTAAAAAGTTCATTTAAACCCTGTAATTTTATTCGATTAAGATTAGGGTTATGTTGAATTCGTCATATACTAATTCTTATAGGTTCGCTAAGCATTAAGTGACACTAGCTAAGTAATCAGGGTATAAAACTATAGGCCTTTTCATAGTGCTAATACCCTGTGTCGCCGTGTAAGGCCCTATAACCGCATCTCTTTTCGAGCCGTCCTCCGTACAGAAGTAATATTCAAATGAGAGAGATACATTACAAAATTTGCCGTCTAGAACACGTAGAAGTGCTCTAGGCTCTCGAGGTAGTTTAATACTAAGCGTCAAGTAAGGACTATATAGATAACAATATGTGCAATTCATAACTAATATTAGGTTACACTAAATGATTGATCTTGAGCACAATGCTCTATAGTAAGGAATTCATCCTGGTTATATAGACCTTCGTCCTCTATAGGTAGCCTGGATAGCTGTCTATCCGCTCTGTCCCGTCTATTCATCACGTTTTTTTCCGGTCTTAGTTGTTACTGATTGTGACATTATAAATTCCTCTAATTTATACTAACTCTTCTCTTCTCTTTATGCACTACTTTGAATGGAAATAATGCCTAACATGGAAAATTCAGCAGACATCTCTCGAAAGTCAGAATATCTTCAGTCGTGGCGACTTGGGATTGTCATCACTTCACTGTTCATAGGGGCCTTCTTAATAGCTCTGGACGTTAATATTATCAATGTACCAATTCCAAACATTTCAACGGAATTTAACTCCCTTCCAGATGTTGCGTGGTACGACTCTGCCTATCTGCTTACTATTACCGCCTTCCAACCTACCTTTGGTACATTATACAAGTACTTTAGAATCGATGTGACATATCGCGCTTGTATTATCTTGTTCGAAGGTACAGTGTAGAAGCCATATTGAGTGGTTCAGTGCTAACAAAAAGACCTTAGTTGGCTCGGTGGTCTGTGCTGCTGCCCCAAATTCGAAATCATTCATCGTAGGAAGAGCTATTGCCGGTTTAGGTGCAGCAGGAATGCTCCAAGGCGCACTAGCTGTTATCGGGCAAGTGGTCGAACTGTCACAGCGATCATTCTATATGGGAGTCGTTATCAGCGTTTTCATCATAACGGTCTGCGTAGGGCCAGTCCTCGGCGGTGTTTTCACACAAACTGTTTCCTGGAGATGGTGTTTCTGGATGTAAGTTTTCGTTCTAGTACCATGGTAGAACTAACTGACAGGAATTAGTAATGTTCCGATCGGTGGCTTTGTCCTATGTATTCTTTTTGTATTTCTCAACGTGCCAGGGACCAAAAATCATGACAGGTCACTTCCACTGGCAAGAAAGTTGAAGATGCTGGATCCCATTGGATGCCTCCTATTTTTGGGTTCTATTGCTTGCCTTCTGCTGGCGCTTCAATGGGCTGGTCAGACTAAACCTTGGATCTCCGCTACAATCCTTGGTCTCTTTGTCGGCTCGGCTACATTGATGACTCTATTCGCGTACGTTCAATGGAAACGCGAAGATGAAGCAACGATACCCCCCAGAGTCCTTTTTCAACGATCACTTTGGACTGGCGCATTTGTGTTATTCTTTCTTGGTGCAACCACATCAGTTGTATGTACTCTATCTTTAGTGAGGCTCATGCTGACTTTAGATCATAGGTGTCATTTTACATACCATTCTTTTTTCGGGTCATACAGGAAGTAAGTCCCATCATGGCGGGAGTGAGATTTATACCTTTAATGTTGCCTCAAATGGTGTCATTGATATTGGTCGGAGGAATAGTTACTTTAAGGGGATACTATGTAAGCGAAAAAAAACATTTTTGGGGCCTCACTCGCTGACCGTACGTGCTATCTGGAAGATCCCCTACATGATCGCAGGCGAGCTCATCTGCATCGTTGGACTATCCCTATTGACTCGTCTTTCGACGACTATCAACGTGGTAAGTTGGGCGAGTGCGTTAGTGGTGACGGGATTCGGGATGGGAATGGCAATGCAACTTCCGTATACAGCGGTGCAGGTGTGCCTAGAGTGAGACCCCTTCTTCTGCCTGTATATTTTTTGCACACTTTTTAATATTTTCTAGTGAAAAGAATATTCCTACAGGAAATGGTACGTATATCTGGTATCTCAACTCTTCCAATCTATCGGTACTCACGTCGAATGCTAGCCATTGCCGTTTTTTCGTGGCAGCTTGGAGGGTGAGTTACTTTCAGAATTTGATAGTCATCAGATGTTGATCATCACTGCAGAGCAATAGCAATTCCAATCGGTCAAACAATTGCAATCAGCACGCTTCTTGAGCTCGTACCAAAAATGGTACCAGGTATTTCAGGTAGAACAGTGATTGCAGCTGGTGCTACGGGCCTTCCTTCCATAGTAAAGTCAGCAGAAGAGCTGGAAATTCTTCAGTCGATCTGGAGCAAGGCAATCATCCGAATCATGTACTTATGTATTGCACTAACCGCTGCTTCGGTACCATTTACCATCGGGATGGAGTGGAAGAACTCAAAAGAAGTTGCCTCAAAAGAAAAAAGACATGAGGAACTGCAGAATAATCCGCTGGAGCCTAATCAGCCCTCACAGTAGGACATTTGCGCGGGGTCTGCAAGAGACAATAATACAGTAATTTAGCCTAGCATAATAAAAATATAAGAACAACTTCCAGATCTACATTTTACATGCAATCTGCTATGTCTGCTATCTTGAACATGCTCAAGCCAATCTAAAACTTAGACCGAAAAGGATCGATAAATTCAAATTCGCAAAAATTCTATTAAATGCACATCAATTAGCCCGTATGTAAGAATGCATATTTTTTCAGTCACGTTTTATGGAATAAAAATAAGTAAGCAGGTTAATCGCGGCTGTGTGAGAAAGAATAAGTATAAATGTCAGATTTTCTTTCTAGCTTTTGGATTTCATGCCAATCCAGAACATCTATCAACTATATATGTTGACCTCCTGGGATCTTGGCAGCATATACATATATATTGCATGATGCATATAAGGAGCAAACAAAACTCAACTTTTAATTCATTCTTTCCTTTTTGGTATACTGTTTGTTTGCTTTCAATATTTTGATTTCAAAGCACTTTAATTCCGAAGGCTGAATACCTAATCTCATTCCTTCATTTTTTTGAATATATACTCGCAGCTTAACTGCTTAGCTAGAGAATCAATCAATTCAATCTGATGCTCTTTCTGGTCTCAAGAAACCCAATATCATCTTACCAAATGGCCGAATTTCACATCAAGAGACTATCAATATAGGCGTGAATCAGCTTGTCTACAATGGTGAGCTTTTAGGAGTTACTAAAGCGATCGAATACGCAAATTCAATAGCCCAACCAGGAAACAAGTTCAAGATATACTCAGATAATCAAGCAGGATTATTCCGGTTGAAAACCCCCTCCGATTTACCTGGTCAATCATGCCAAATCAAAGCTATAAAAGCTGCGGAAGCTATTCAAAATAAAGGAGCCGAAATCTCTCTCAATTGGGTCCCCGGACATACATCTGTACAAGGAAACGAGCTAGCTGATTCTCTTGCAAAAGAGGCGACCAAAATACCATCCTCATCTCACGAAACCAGTTATGCCTCCATTGGAATGGATATAAAAAGAATGAAATCAGAGAACTGGATAGCCATCCTTAACACTCACAATTTTCATCAACCATCGTCAACATATTCAAGAAACTACCCCTGGAAGATCAGCTCAAAAATCAGAGTTCTAGGAAACATCAAAAGAAGCACAATCTGTGCTCTGTTCCAACTCAAAATTGGACACGGATACTTCAAATCTTATTTGAAACGATTCGGTATCTCCTCTAATGACAATTGTAGATGTGGGGGAAAGGAATCTCCTGATCATCTTCTGCTCAGTTGTCCTTTATATAAAATGGCAAGGAAAACCCTCAATAAGGATAACCCCACAGTCCGACCTACCATGAAATATCTGCTTCACACTAAAGCAGGAATCATCAAGACCCTCGAATTTATCGAGGCGACGAGAATAGCCACCAGATCATGGCATCTCAATAGAATGCATGAAGAAGAAGAGGAAGAAGGCGGAGAAGAAGGGGGTGGACCGGAAGATTGTGATTGAATTGATCAATTATGGCCAATTTGGTCAATTTAGTCAATTTGGTCAATTTGGTCAATTTGGTCAATTTGGTCAATTTGGTCAATTTGGTCAACTTGGTCAATTTGGTCAATTTGGTCAATTTGGGCAATCACCCCAATGTCAAATTTCATTACATTTCATTTGTTATTCCTCTTACTTGAATACGAGAGTATCTGTAAGGCGGGCTTGGTTCCCTAGTATTAGTTTTCACTTCCCCCATTCAAACATTAGAAGATTGAGGCTTTCAATCTCCCCAACCTGTATTAGCTACGGTCGAATAAGGCCAGCCACCCTCCATTTACTATTGTTAGAAGCCTACAAAGCTCCTAGCCGTCTTAGATAGTCATAGACTCAGTGTAGACGTTAATTTAATCAATCAATCAATCAATCAATCAATCAATCAACAAACGACCTTCAAAGTCAATTGCGCCCTGGATGTAGGAACTGACATCTTGAGTAAGTTGCCTGCCACGAAACGAGGGCTATGGCAATTAAACTGACCCTGAAAATAGTCTTGACAGTTCCCGTAGCAATACTGTGGAACGTACATGTATCAATGCGAAGGAAGGCTGTTCTAATTGGGCTCTTCTCCGTGACAATTCTTATAATGGCAATTGCGATAATCAGGGTCACGGTAGTTTCAAGTAAAAATAAACCCTCAGACTTATCATGGCTTTACTTCTGGAGCAATATTGAACTGGTGGTTGGTAAGTATACCTCCCTCTTTTGTTGAGAGGCCTAGAAACATTAATTCATCCTCCATTAGCTCTCATTGTATCAAGCCTTGCCTCATTCCGATCTCTCTATGTGAGCAGTCAACCCAAACCTACGAGCAGCCGAAGCACGAATATATTTAAACGAAGTCTGCCAAGAACTAGAGGTATTTTGTTAGACGATAAAACTTATACTCCAGTTCTGGGTACAAAGCGAAGCGATGTTGAGATACAGAATTTGCGCACTGCTTCCAACAATTCTTCGGGGTGAATCCACACTCCGACTAATCTTGCATAATAAGTAGAATAAAGAGAAATATTTAGCAGTCCACTCTAGGATTATATAGCCCTTCGTCATACCTAGGTTATAGCTTGGTGCAAGGAAATACACTGTTTATCTATGATGTTTGATAAGGGGGAAAAAGGTCAACTAAGGAGCAGTTTTAGGGGAAATTTTGTAAAGTAAACTCTAATTACTGTAGAAACATGAACAAACAGCATGCATTTATGAGTGTCGAGAAATTTATTGTCGATAGAGTAACTACGCCTACGCTACATGAGAAATAAACAAGTATCATCGAGTAAAATCACCTAGATTGACCATCGCTGTCTGATCTTGGAACCAGGACCGCCCTGATACAAGACATTTGGTCGCGATACCTATGCCCGACTTCCTTTCAACCATTTCTCGAAACCCAACTGTGTCCCGGTCTTCTCTTCATATTGCAGCATGACATCCAAGATCGGTCCAATGTGGGCGTTGTCTGTGGCAAAGTCAAACACAACATTTTCTTCGAGACCCCCACCAGATTTCCATCCCTCCAGAAATTTTGACGCAAATGCGCGCTGTGAGTCGATAAAAATTTCATCTTCACCACCGTACATCCATACACAGCCTACGATTTTATGCATGCCTTCCCACCAAGAAGCGTTGGCGAGCAGCGGCTCACTGTAATTATTACCACCAGCCACAACACCCGGATCAATCTCTCCATTTACCGTCCCAAGAAACATGCCTGCCCATTTTCGGAGCATGTTCGCTACAAGAACATCTTTTCCAGCATTTCTGGCGAAACTGTCATGACTAGTATCAAAGCTTACCCATGGACTAAAGAGGAAAACACCTCTTAGAGGCACCGAAAGAGGCACACTGGGAATATCGAGGTGCGGGTGACGTAAATGCGAAAGTAACGAGAGTGCCAAATTGCCTCCAGCCGAATCTCCACCGATCAGTATGTTAGATGACGCTCTCTTGCCGTCGTGAAGGAGATGTGAGAGCATCGTAGAAGCTTGCTTCAGCTGTTCTGGGAACTGCACTTCAGGCGCGAGAGTGTAGGCGAGGAGTAGCACAGAGATAGATGTGGATGCAGTGCTATCGGAAAGATCTTTGTTGATGTCTTTAACTAGACGATTCAAATATTGCATGTGCTCAATTGTGCAAGGTTGGGTGTATCCGCCGCCTGTGTAGCTTTAGTAGCCGCTACGGTGGTAATTCAGAGGTATTGTTGAGATACATAGCTTACCATGAAGATAAAGAATCACAGTGTCAGCGTCCTCCTCCCCAATCCAATGAGCAGTAGCATCGCCGTCGCCCAATTTGAGAGTCTTCGGCTCTTGATTTGTTTTCTTGCAAAAGGCTTCGTATGTCTCTGAAGTACTTTTGTAAAGATAGCGAGCCTGGGCGATGGTGAGATTGGAGACCATGCAGCGAATTGCGGCAAAGACAACATCTTTGAACAAGACTGGAGCCCCGTTCCAGTTCATCCAGCGAACTGGGGCACTCAGGAGTCTGAAAAGCGCCGCAAAACCTATTTTTTTTTTTTTCATGTTAGCTGGTTGATTTGCGGCGCAGCTAGTCTCAAATGAAGTTCGAACGCACCAATTTTACCGGCAAAGAAGAAAAGATTAGCAGTGGTAGGAGGCTGCTGAAAATTGGACATGTTTAATTATTTGTGATTTGTAAGATGGCAAATGATTTCTGGGAAGCCGAAGCAAGTACAGAATCAGAAAAAAAAGTTGTGGGAACATAAGGTTAAGAAAGAAAGCGACCTTAAATAATCTTGTCGGCAATTTGTTATGGAAATGCGATGTTACAGTAATTTCACCACCAATAACGTGCGGGTCCCAGCTACCTGTTCCAGATAACCCTCTTAAAAGAGGTATAATTCAATATATTTTATATTATAAAATTTAAATAGGAATACTTGTGTTTTAGAGATACTTGCTTTCCCAGACTAGGAACTAGTCGGTTGTTTATGAGCACCGATATTACATTTAGGTATAAGATATTAAAAATAAGAGTATACGAACCTTATATGATATATTCGCATAGTAATTTATCCTTACAAGATCTTGCCTTGCTTTTGTTTTGTTTGTCTGTTTGTTTATTATTTATGACCGGGAACATGTGGGCGTAAACGCCACGTGATCGTATTAGGATGTTCTGGGCTAAAGTACCAGCATTTTCTACATAATCAATAGTGGTAATTAACAAGGGGGTTCTACCACGAATCCTTTTTAAAAGGTAATTCTTATGGCTTTACAATATAGTCAAGCGCTCTTCTCAGGGCTGCTATGAGTTTTCTGTCATAGAGTACAAACTACTAGACTATTGCTCACGGAGTCACTCTGTTCTGCACTGCCTTTCATTATCCGGCAGTAGATTCGCGGGGCATTTGTCCTCATGGAAACGAGTAATTCCCATCCACCTGATTAGCTCTTTAGCGTCTTCTGCAGTTTCTAGGCAGTGATCGATTTTGGCTTTGGGGTTCCGATTGTTCAAGATGTATCCGGCTGGAGTAGCTAGAGGATGGTCGGGTTGGAAGGTGTTCGATGCTTCGCCGGCTAGCTTATCAGCCTCTTCATTTCCTGGGATCTTGCAATGCCTAGAGTACCACCAGATTTCTACTTTACCCGCCTGGGTTTAGGAGGTTTTTTTCATGTCTATCCAAGTGTTTGCCAGTCTCCTGAATTCGGCAAAGATTGCCTGGCTGGAACCAACAGTAGGATGTAAGAGTCCGGTGGCAACCGATGCTTTGTTTAAGCAGATAATAAATCTGTCTGCTATATGTATTCCTGGGGATTTCAAGGCTGCCTTTAGCCCGGACCAAGCTCCTATTCCCCAGCGTCGTATACTTCACATACTTCTCCTAAGGGCATTAATCCTTTGAACAATTTGATTCCACCTTGTTATCCTATCCAACCTGCTCCATCCTCGATGGCGCAAAACGTGACCCTAAAGTCGCTGGGCTAACATCGTTAGCCTTGCATTCTAAATGTAGAATGCGCCCATCTTATAGACATTATCCCTACTCTGCATAATCATGATTGACTGATTTCAGCATTATTTCTTGATCATCGGTGATACCCTGCAGAGCAAGCACATTTCCCGCGCCACCCAACGTGCAAATTACACCGGAGAAAACTCCCTTTGTAGGGATGAGATTGTGCGGCTCTAGGTGATAGTTATCCACTCTGCTTTCTTGTAGATATTTATGACCGTCCTAAAGCAATTTATTCCTCGAGCTACTAGCATACTGAATAATTTTTCAGTGAAAAGATTGCAGTTTGTGGTAGAGATCGGCTTTTCTCATCGAAAATTAGCTCAATTCCAATATTCTACCTTAAATTTCATTAATTCACAATACAGGGACTTACTACAATCCTTCCCTCGACATATAAACTACCTGTAATATAATTAGGCAATAACAAAGAGCCTACACTATCAAAAAGCATTTTTGCGATTGACCAAATCGTAGGGAAAGAAAACTGGCCTTTAGAGAAGAGTGCTGTAGTTAGGTTCATCGAAGCGATTGTTGTAGTGATCGCGATTTTGCGCTGGTGAGGTTAGGAAGCTGAACTACTGTATTCCCCGTATCTCAGCTAGCAGAATGCGAGTAACTTGATAAGTCATCTTAACAATCAAGAGCATCGAGTTCCGAGTGATCAATAGAGACTTGTATTTTGAAATGGGCAATGCCGTCGAGGTTTTCCAGCTACGGCGATGCCATTGGAAGGGGAAATATGAAGTGGATCGGCATGGGAAGAAGCTTACAGCACACGGCTAGTCCGAATAATTACACGAGGAAGAGTTGAAAGGAATTCAAAAGGATAAAATCGAGAAGTAGGAGCGCGATTCTCATAGATGTTGAAAACGGACGGCCGGCTTGTGCACCCACATTGCCTAATGTGAGGGCCACTAAACTCGTATGCAGCCGGGTGGGTTGGTGGGGGAGTGGAGGGGCAACACTGAGATCATAAAATATTCTTTGAAATAAATTGTTTTGTTTGTTTTATTTTTAATGACGTGGAACTTGTTTATCGAGTACATTAGGCATTACTAGCATCGAAATATGACAGAGTATCTAATCATGGATCTTTTGGCAGGGGAAACTCACATTGTACACTCTTGGAAACACTAGTCAATATTCACAGCACTTGAGTCATATTTCAAGTATTATACTGCAACAAGAATAAAAAAAATATATTAGAGAAACCATACAGTATGACGTGTAACTATAGAATGATGGACTCGTTAATACCTTTCAGCTATCCGAACAGCTGTGTTTTATTTTCCAAAGAAGACAGGAAACTAAACCCGATAAAATCAAACCAAATCAAAATAAACGCGTAGTAGACTTTAAAAAGAGCTTTCCTGACACGACTAATTGATCATTCATATTCTGTGTTCTAGCTTCATCTCAAAGCACGGCCAGTCCAAAAACACACCAAACCTGGTCTTCAAACTTGCACATGCCCATATCTCCAGCGGAATAGTGACTCGTGAAATGATATTCCGATGGATTCTTTCCATTGGGACGGTCTATACCAGTGACATGATAGTTTGGTCCTTGAGACATAGAGACTAGAGTATCGTCCAGCGAGACTGTTGCAGGACCCGATTTTATAACAGACCCCGTGTTGTTGTGAAAGGAGGACCAACTACCATTATCGAACCAAGAAACATATTATTTTGTGTTTATGTCGAGGATTGAAACATGGGGTATACCATTGTGCACGCATAGTGCTGGCGAGCCAATCGTGGCATTGCCAGAAAACTGCGTGTAACCAGACCAAGAGCTTCCATTACTCGAGTCCATCCAATAGGTTCGATTGTTGTTGCCTCGAAAGACAGAATATAGTTTGCCGTTGTATCCACATATAGATGGTCCATCGCTCGTGAGGCCTCCACCTGCGGCGTTGATTGGTGATGTCCAGCTCGAGAGGTTATGTTGGGTTTCTTGAGACCAGAAAGAGCATCAGATTGAATTGATTGATTCTCTAGCTAAGCAGTTAAGCAGCGAGTATATATTCAAAAAAATGAAGGAATGAGGTTAGGTATTCAGCCTTCGGAATTAAAGTGCTTTGAAATCAAAATATTGAAAGCAAGCAAACAGTATACCAAAAAGGAAAGAATGAATTAAAAGTTGAGTTTTGTTTGCTCCTTATATGCATCATGCAATATATATGCATATGCTGCCAAGATCCCAGGAGGTCAACAGGTTATCTGTCGACATCACATGTATATTACCAGAAGGCGCTCGATACATACACCATAACCTATCATTGAATGTGCACAGAGTTGGTCTATGCGTAGTCCTAGCCCCGTTACTAATTGTAAGAGGAGCCGTCCACCTTCCTGCTGACTTCAACCATTTCGTCCATAACATGGTATTATCGGTTTTGCGGAAGATTCCCACCAATTCACCATGATGATCTGCCATAGTCATCCCATGAGGGCTGTTGCCCGTAGGTGCAGTTACGCTTCTCCAGCCGCTTCCCTTGGTCCAAAGAAGGGCTCGCAAAGAACCATCAGGACGTGGAATTTTGTTACAGCTAATCCATAACTCATGCTTGCCCTCACTCTCGCCGTCAAACATAAAAGAAAGTTCTTTGTTTGGCTTTTGAGTCCATGCATCAAGTCCTGACTTCGTAAAAGCAATCTCGCGTCGGAAAACGAAATCATCATCGTTTCTAAAGAATGCGAGCAGCTCCGCCACAAGAGCAGTACAAATTGCAACTAAAGCCAAAATTGCTGCACCCTTTCCTGTGTCGCCCCCACCCGATCCCCAGGCTCCTGATCCACTATCACCGGCCTCGGTAGCTTAAACTGCGGCATCAATGGCAAATTGTGCGACATTTCTTAGTCCCTGAACCATTTTATTGTAAAGAGAATTGTCGTCGCTGTCATCAGCCTCCCAACATTCAATGTACCCGGCAAAGTGTTCTTGGACAGATCCGGTCCAATAATCTAACCCTCCCATGCTTCTCACAGTCCCAGTTTCGATACTTCCGTATTCGCTAGTCTTGAATGAGTTTTTATCATGACCATCAGCTCCTGCTGCCACAGCCCAATATATCTCATTCTTTGGTCCAAACATGGAGTCGTCCTGTTTTCGATGACATTTAAAACGTTGAAATTGGAGTCGATATGAAGAAGCCTCTGCATTAATTGTTGACGCCTGTTCGGTATTGTTAGTAGCTGCGGGCGTACTTGTAGACCCATCCAAGTATTTAATTGATGCTACGGGACCAATTTGATCGGCCGATGGCCCGGGTTGGTCAGGACCAACAATAATTGTAATACCACTGCTAGCTTCAAGCAGAGCAGTCGAATACTCCTTGTTATCCACACAACCATCTTCATCAATAGCACCAGCAGTTGTAATATCCAAAATCTTGTTTTCAGGCCTTGCAAGAATTTCTTCTTGATTGTTTTGCGCATCTTTGACCATGTCCACTTCCATGTACGGTGTGCTGTCATCGATGTTTAAAGGAATTCCTCTCAAAGCACCACTGTGGCCATTGAGGGAGCGAGTTTTTGTTTTCATCTCTGTGTAGATTTGACCATATTCGGCAACTTCTTCGTCAGTTGCATAGATTTTAAATGCGTTGACTAAACGTTCTTCTAAAGGAGATAGTTCCATCCCTTGGGCACTGCGTGCTGCAGCATGAAGTGTTGCAGTAAGCATTGGATTAGATGGCAGGTTGACCCTGCTTCTGCTTGTTCTGGTCGGAGCATTTCCGGAAAGTCGAGCTCGCAACGCAGCGACTCGCTCTTCATGGGTTGTCAACTTGGATTTGCCCATGATGATTGATTGATGTTAAGTAGCTAATGTTTAGAAGTAGAGTTTGAAATGCGACGACAAAATTGTATTCAGGAATGATATTTGTTTAAACGCTTGATATTGCTTTTCTTGTTCGAGCTGTGATGACTTGATGCTGGGGATTCTCTTGCTCTTTATATTTCCTCCTTTGTATCAAGTTTATGTATATCTAACTGCATGGAGGCCAACCTTCCGTTTTGCTTGGGAATTTACATAACAGACGCAACTCAGCAAGATTCAAATGCTTGCGCAACGGACACTCAAGATCGAGGAAAATTTAATTTTGTGGTCTGCTATTCCTTAAACTGAAAGGTTTGCACTCAGTACATACTCCCTAGTGCCCAGCATGCAGAATTTTGTTCGAAAGTATGTCATCAAAATCCGATTTGCGACTCTAATTCGCCCATGGAGTTGTAATAAGTGACGAAGCCATTTGGTCTTTCCTCGCAGCATTACTTAAGCTGATAACCTTATCCTTGTCTCGATCTTGCATCGATCTCAAAGCAGTGCACAGAGGCTGGCTGGGCTTCAGATCAAATTATACAGACAGCCGCTTACTATCGGATCTAGCCGATCTTTAGAAAATGAGGGGTAGTTTTTTGGCAGAACTTTCCATTGTGTAGCTGGATTGCTGTGCTATTGCGTTGTCTTGTGATACGAACCCAATTTTTGTCGATCTGAGATGCATAAACCTGCAGTTTTGGCTGGGCCAAAAATAACCTTATCTGTCTAGTGGTCCCAACCCCATGGACCTTAGATCAGTTTTCGGTTAAGCGAATGCACATAAAACCAATCTTTACCGCTTTTCGACGCATCACTATTTATTAGGCAAATCATCAGCAACTAAGTACAGAAGAGGAAAGTTTTTGAGAGCTATCTAGCATTCAGTTGAGATGATATGAAAACTGCAGCTTTTATAACCTAGCACTGCAGAAACGATCTTAAACCTCCTGATCTTCAAATGTTTTGCAACACCACTAGTGTAACAATGTGCGAAAGTAGTTACGAAGAAATAGTTTGTATTTCGAAATATGCTCTAAATATTTTGCAAAAGTTATTTTCAGATCTTTAGACCCACCGGCCAGACTAGCAAGATGTAGGCTTAATGATATCCTGTAAGATTACAATATGGAGAAAATGCAACAAATTCCCCCAAAAATTGTTTCACTACTAATGGGGTAATGAGACATACAGAAAACTCACCTAACGTCAGCTACACCCCTAAGTGATTGGCGGGAAAGAAAGTTGGTAACAAAAATGCTCAACAAAAACAAGAACCAGCTATGTATCATCAACAGATTAGATATTCCATAGAGTTAGCCTATGCAATCAGATCGTCCATATCTTCAAGTGGTAGACATTCAGAGACATTTCGTCAGCCCAATCTTCCACCTTTCTTAGTATGCAAGAGTAACCCAACTTCTTAGCACAAACTAAAGTGTAATGACACTCCGAATCTCACCTAGGAATCCAACCTCCTTCAACCGCTTTCAATAAAGGACTCGCCACGGCGCCCATCACCATTCTAACCACTTCCTCACTCAATATCTTCTTATACTTATCCCCCTGTAGCATTGCCACCTCCACAAAAACAACATTTAGGCCCATCCCACCCCTCTTCTTTTCATGTTTGACTTCCTCATGCGTTAGGTCGTCTGTCATCTTCTTATTTGCCACCTCTCCATTCGTCACTTCTCCTTTATCCTTCACACCATCTCCCATTGTTCCATCTCTCACCCCATCCAACCTCTTATTCCTCACCGCTTCATCATCAACCTCCTTCCCATTCAGAAATTCCAAAATAGCACGCATAGTAGTCCCAGAACTAATGACATCATCAATCAAAGCAATCCTTTTCCCTTTGTTGACCTCCTGGGATCTTGGCAGCATATGCATATATATTGCATGATGCATATAAGGAGCAAACAAAACTCAACTTTTAATTCATTCTTTCCTTTTTGGTATACTGTTTGCTTGCTTTCAATATTTTGATTTCAAAGCACTTTAATTCCGAAGGCTGAATACCTAACCTCATTCCTTCATTTTTTTGAATATATACTCGCTGCTTAACTGCTTAGCTAGAGAATCAATCAATTCAATCTGATGCTCTTTCTGGTCTCAAGAAACCCAATAATACCATATTTCGCCTGCATATTCGATACCAATCCAAACCACTCTTCAATAAGCTTGGGATCTTCGCAGAGAGCTCTTTGAAAGTCATAAACACGACTAAAACACGTCTTTAATTTTGTACAACGCTTTACGAATCGATGAGCCCAGAGCTTTCCAACTCTCTTCGCACCTCTTAATTCGAGAATATAATTCGCCATATCTTCTACACCACTTAATTTAGGTGCAAATCCTCTTTCATCCATATCGATAATATACTGAATAAGCACCTCTTCCTCTTTTTCAGTCAAATTAAGATTATTTGCTCGAGTTTCCATTCTGTGAATTCGACCGTCTATTCTATCTCGTAATGTAGTTCGAGGGACTTTGTAGATTTTCGCAGCCTTTCCAACTGTAAGATTTTTTGATTTTTGAATAGCTTCAATAGCTAAGATTATTCTGGCCTCTTTTGATTGTATTTCCATAATAATTCTTTGAAATATCGCGTCTTGAAATTGAATGATAAAAGATATTGAAAAAGTGGCGACTCGCTGATAAACCACGTTATACTTTATTATAATCTAGCCCTGCTTTATATAGAGCGCCCATCTCTATTTGTGATGTATATGCAGAAATTACTTTGGTGTAACGTGCGCTACACCACTTAGTGAATTAGCCACGCAAGCTGTAATCACAGTGTCAAGCTAAGGAAACGAAATGATACAGTGTCAATCGTAGCAAATTGTACATGTGAATGTTTCAACCAAATCATTGTGCCATGGAGGTTAGGGGATAAAAGTTTCTAGTTACTCAAAACAGAATGAGTCAGTAGGGACCTTCACACCATGTTTCATCCAAGATAAAAACTCGATTTGAAATATGAGTCAGTATTGACGCGGGCAAGGAGGTGCTGCATTATGTGTTGGTATCAGAGATATCACAAACCAGCTAAAGAATTGAGAGGGAAAATATTCATAAGATGTATCGATTGAAACTCTTGCAACGTCTAGTTAACAAGCTAAAGCCGAGGGGAAACAATATTACCGCTATTGAGAAAATTACCGCTGCAAAAGGCATTAAAATCTTAACGGGTTTAAAAGTTCTCATGTTAGCCGGTGCATGCAATGCTAGTGGAGTATATAGTGTTTAATGAAGACGTGAAATATTGAATGAAAGGTGGCAAGGTTCAGAGAATGTCATGGGCGAAATGAGTATGGATGTAAAGAAAAAGCCTCTCGTAAAGAGGTGAGAAAAATTGCTGAAGCTGGCTCCAGTTGGGTTCAAGAATGAAGGCACTCGTTGAAAACCACCATAGAGTGCTCCAGCGCGATATTCATGTCATTTGAAACAAAAATCTGTTGTAGGTCAAATGAAAAGCCGAAATGTAGAGCGCTCGTGCCCAGCGGATCTCCAACTTGCCTATTTCGATAGCAATGTCGTTCCTCTGATTTGTCACATCACATCACATCCACACTTCCACTCGAAACTACTTTTTCAATCGTGATTCCACCGCAACAAGACTCTTCAGGCCACTTTTAGGCATACTAATTTGAAAATCTCCCCCAGTCCAGTCAAAAACTAGAGAATGTGAGCTCCATACATATCGCTTTACGAAAATCTCCCGTTCTAGTTGCCAATCCATTTCTTCGTGTCTCATAATATTATCGGATGCACCATCGCTGCCATTGCCGCCACCCCAATCAATGTCCGGCAACCATTCCTCCATGCGACCTCAGAGAAGTGGGCAGGTATTCTCGGAGGTGTTTAGATCTGATATGATTTGGTCGACCTGATCTTGAAGTTTCGTAAGATCGATGTGGCGTGAGTTGATTCCGATTTTCTGGGTTTCGGATGCAATAGCAACTATCCTGGAGACGGTGGTAACCCAGCCGTAAATTTTGGTGATGAGTCCCAGGCAGAGGGTATCGCAAGCCGTTTCGGCTGTCAGGGCAATAATGAATTTCATCGTGAGGCCAAAAGAGTACATCTGATTCTGTCACCACTATGCATGGTCCCCCAGTGGCAACTTCTCACAGGCACAATCAGGGATTGTAAAAGATGAGATAGGGGCCCAGTTAAAAATTGATAGAAATAGCCATCTTTCTTTGGTGGATATCTGACGAAAGTCAAAAGTTCTGGTAAGACCTGACTACTAAGATCTTTGGCCATTGGGCCTTGGGTTTGTTTATAAGCATTGTTCTAAGATAAAGTAGCCTAAATCGTATATGCAGCTGACCGCCATAGAACATAGAAGTTGTTTCGAGAATCATGACGGGAATATTAGAGGCAACCTATAGCCAGGGTACCCAACAGTACACACTCCAATCCAACCATGAAAGGATCCTGATTCTCGGGTCGATTAAATCAAATCACCCTGAAGAAATTAAACCATCCTTGGAAATTTTGAGTTCGGTTTTATAGTCCGGAATACCGGAGATCTTGCTATACGATCTCAACCAATAGTACTAGTTTGACGGTCCCTAGCTTCTTCTTCGTTGCTTCTCAAGAATCTTAAATTCGATCCGAAAAGACTGGCGTGCATTTATCCTCTTTGCAGATGAACCGTCAGCGATATCTTGAAGACAATTGATACTCTTCTGATGCGCGACAAGAATGCGACAAAATTTGTCCAGTAATCCTTTTGAATAGCTCATCAGGATTCACTTCAAATTTTCATGCCAGTTCCAATCTTTTATCAACTGTTTGACACGATAATCAGTCGCCCAGCCTAGGTCAATCTCGATATCCTTCAACAAATCAAGTATTACTTTTCGCTCTCTTGTTTCCGTTAAGCATTGTCCTGCGATGAATAGCGGTTGCACTTGGTGAATCCTCACTGAACCTTCCGGCCTTCCCAGAGCGATACCGCATATCTCATGGCTATGATGGCGAACTTCCATCTCAATCGATCGATAGGAATGAAGCCTATTCGAAACGGTTGTTCTTTTTGTTGTCGATTCGTGAGGTTTGTTGATAAGAAGAAGTATCCTCGTGAAATGATACGACTGCATTGTTGAGCCGCACATGGGAATACTATACCATATTTCGGGAAATGTAGCTCTGGGTGAGTCTTGCGGCAGACTGCCGTCCGTAATTTTGGGTAGACGAGCACATGGGTTGAAGGTATCCGGCAGACCTTGGTACCAAACTTCTAGCTCGTGTGCTAGTTCGTGCCATCTTTCAAGTAGAGTCATTTGATTAATACCAAAAACAGCAGTGGGACTGGCTCTATCTTGGGGGTAGACGTTGTCGATGGAATCCCCTGTAGCAATAAAATTCACGATTTTCGACATGAGCCAGATTAAAGCGTTTGAAATCATATCTTCTCGCATAGACATTTGCAGCCCGGGATATGAGCTTTCCTTGTTGCTTGGAATAACAAAACCTTGATCATCTATTAGAAGTCCGGCTGCACGCCAAAGATCCCAATCTTCTGTATTGAGCCGCGTTTGCACTTCGTTGATGACTATTTTACCGTTAGATTGGTCAAGAATAGGGTAATACGAATACTAACAGGCTGCCAGAAAGTCCTGGCGAGCAAAGTTCCAAAAAGTAGCTCTTCTAGCTACTGATGGCTTTGTTCTAAATGATAATGACCCAGGGGTACTAGGTGAAGGTGAATCTAAAGGCATCATCCCTTCCCTTTCAGCTAGGTCGAACAAGGACTTGGTTCCGCTGAGATGGCGAGACCAAGCATGTAAAGCGTTATCAAGGAATTCATAAACACAAAGTATAGCAGCGGCAGCAATGGTCTCGTCAGCGTCACGCTGTACCGGCTTCGACAAACGGCGTCGCTTGCTACTTGCTTGGGACGGGATGCTTCGCGGTGAGTCTGTATTTCCTGGAGGAGTAAAGTGATCGTCGATTGCGGGTGTAATTGGAATATCATTTCTACCCGTTTTAGAAAGTTCTTCCACCAAGAGTGAAATTGCTCTGTCATAGTATTTTGCAGCAATGTAAACCCAGTCAACCTTATCCGAATTTGGGTAGAGCTCCATAAGTGCTTGGGCACTTACTATACCACCCACAATGGCCTTCCTCCCTCCCACTCGCGAAAGTTGTTTGGCAGCATATGCGCATACTGAATATTTAAGCAAAGGGTTCGATACGGCGAGAACAGGTACATGATGTGCGAAGTAACATCCGAGGTCGAATAAATCCATCCTAATAGGGTTAATTGTATCCTCAGCTTTGGTATAGTCCTTGCTCACCATTGTCCAGTGGTTTCCCCGAAATGTCTCAATAGAAATGCAACTTCATGCTCTCTGACACTATCGACATCATTGATGAAGGTATTCGTCTTGGAGAGTGATCTCGATGATGGGTCGACTACGGGTGAATCTAAGGGGGAGGTTTTAGCAAATTACTCTTTGAACAAGAGGAAGCAATCATCTCCATACTCAAACGGCCTTCCGGTCCAGTAGGATTCAATATAAAGTCGAGGTTGTTGACCGAGTGCTGCGGAGTGTTAATGCCTCTTGGTGATTGCACAGGCACCGACAAATGGCGCATGTATTCTATGTTGGTAGTGGCAGCAGTCGAAAGAGCTTCTAAGCCTGGGGCTTTCTCAAATGACGGGTAATGATAAACGCCGTCGCCGGTTTTGTCCACAACGCCAGTGGTGGGAAGAGCGGAGTGTATGGTTTGTTCGGGTTCAGGACTTGCTTCCATGTTATATGGATCGATGACATTGAAGAAGGTTACTGTAAGTTGTCTTGTCAGCTCCAAACCCTTCATCTTGCGATCTAATATCATCTACAGATAACGCACCCTTCTTCGGCACATCAACCCAAACGCTACTCTCGTCGAATGTATTCCGATATGCGTAGAATGCTCCCAACCGGCCACTCGTTTCACCAGGAATAACACATTCACCACCATTCATAGAAGCATTCTGCTGATGTCGAAATACTACTCCATCACTAGGTACGCATTGTCGTGAGGCCTTGAGACATTGTCCACAGCTTGGCTTAATTTCATCGCATTTTAGTTTCCGTTGTCGACATGTTTGACTGGTAATAGTAAAAGAAGATTAGCCTATTGGCCACTGGAATGTCTGATACGGACGATATAAAGTGATGGGAAACTAGTTACCATCCTGTACGAGACCGCATTGCTGAAACAGCATTATTCCAACACACGATTCTGATTAGGTTGTGCAATCAACGGTAGGTAATAAATCCGCATATTCTATGAATGCTTGGATATTTTTATTTGTACGGTAATACGAAGGAAGCATTTTTGGCAGGTACGAAGTATTCACGATGATTCCCCGCAGTAGTACTAGACAAGGTTTGGCCTAGACTTTTTTTTGATGAAGGGGTAAGCCCGAGCAGGGGTCGGTTGAGATGGCCCAGCCAGATTCACAAGCTTACATCAAATATATGCATCCACTGTTGATCCAACAAATAGTCCTATCAAACTTCGATGTAATCAAAGCACAACCTCACGATATCTTCAGCTCTGTCAACGTGGCAATAGGCTGCAATGGCTAGGTCCATAGCGGGCAAGAAAGAAGGAGACTGCCGCCTTCCTTAGAACTACTCAAGTCCTACAAAAAAACACAAAAGCCAGTCAAATCTGCTCACCAACATCTCCCAGCTTATTACCTGTCAGAAATATCGATGAAAGTAGCATTTTCTTCGCAGCCATTATTGTAACACCACTTCTTTTGGGCTGTACAAATGTATCTTCACCCGTTTGCCTTTCTCAACACTTGATGCAGGATAAAATTCCCGTCTCAATATACATATAGGGCTTGGATCTCCTGGTGGATTTATTGCGACAGTCGCCTTGGCTTGATATTTCAAAGTATCTCACCAATTTTGCTCTATGTTCCAGTTCTAATGAGGCTGGAACATTTTCAGGGCGCAGATATTAGTTTCTCAATTTCTACAATTCTATCATAATTGGCTTAATAGTCCACCGTTTCCTATAGAAATCCATTCAAGACTCACTGTGATGAGGTGTGTCACACACTATAGCGTGGTCCCTAATTCTCGATGGAGATTAAGCTATTCCGTCTAACGTCTCAATGAGAAGTTTTTCATCTGGGTGTATTTACGAATTAGTCCTTCCGGGTTTTCGAACACTTTACTATTTCTGCGCCAACGCCTGGCTTTAGTGAGGTTAGTGGCTGAAATTTAGACAATTTCGGAGCTCGATTCTCAGATACCCTCTACTATTACCTATAGCTTCTGTGACCAACACGGCACCGGGAAATCGTGGCTCCAAGGCATATCAGAAGATTGCTAGACAAAAAGCAGCCATTTTATGCAGGAAAAGGCGTGGTTGAAATTTGCGATTGTAAATACTCAAATATGTGGATCTGCGCAGCTTTTCCTTCTTTTTGTCAAAAATTTCTCAAAAACACAATAAATATCATTAATGGCAAGCAATCTTGAAGAGATTTTGTAAGACTTCAACTTCGATACATTGCCAATAAGTGCAATTAGATCATAAAACATCCGGAACTACCACCGCATCTTCTTTGGATACAGAGCCTACAGTTATAGATATCACTGGAGAACTGAACTTCTTCACCATTACAACACTACAACTTTCCTCATGATACTCCCGCATAATGAACCCAGGTCTTTCTTCGATTGAAGGCAATTCTTATTACAAACAAATCTGAGGCATCGTATGATCACTCGTCGAAATGATGTGGAAAACCAAGTCTTGGTTATGCAGCAATAATTATTTAGTTCCATCCTAGCAGAATAAAGAGCCCGATAATCTCTCCCAGGAGCAGAAAACGTCATTAATTGATCACACTGACGGCCCTGCATACCCGAGATCGAGATTAATTTGAAATTCTTTGGCAGACGCAATACGCTTCAGCCACGGATCCCCAGACAAATAATACTTTGCTATAATCTCAAGGATTGATGGTGACGCAGATGCACTGAGGATATTAGATCATTCCTAGATTTCAACGATGGGTTATACCGCAATTGCGATTCACTTGATATAAAAACAGAAGATACGGCTGCTCATGCTTCTAATTAACAAGCATGGACAATCCAGATTTCCGAAATTACCCTCATGGATCAAGATCCTTCATGACCCTTTTAAACTTTTCCATTTTGATAACTGTCTAGGCCAAACATTCTGATTAGAATTTAGTTTTTTTCAAGTGCTGTCAAGTAAACCACCGAGGCTCCTATCACCAACACCATCCTGTAATAACAGTCAGGAAATGCGAATGCCCAGCTGGTCGCATTATGTCTTCGGTCCCCTTTAGGTTCTTTAAAATTCATTCGTCACATTTCTGGATGTAATTGTGAAGATCCGGGCATCAAAGGGAAAAACATGTAGATACTCCGTATCTTCCTCCTGGGTTCACTGCAGACTGTAGGATGACGCAGTACATTCTCTGACTTTTTACTGATAAAAAAAGAATTTAAAGAAGAGTATGTTCATTTCTCTTTGCTTTGAATACCACCGTGATATCCAAGCATCAATTTCCTACCTTTTCGGAAGGATTCAAGATTACTGCCGACTATTTTTGATCCAAGACAACGAACTAGGGACCGCCCCATTTGAGACGCAATTGGTGATACTGCTTGTAAGATCCCAGATGCAGAGAGCCTTGTATACTTCGTGGGTGACCTCAAGAAGATTGGTCACTTGTCAATGGCGACTGTTACATTCTATTTATACGTCCAAATGTTAAGAAAATACGCGGTCTCTGGAATTTACTTTCAAAGTGGTCACACCTCATTGCTTTTGGTAAAGAAACAATTCTCCATATGGTAGTCATCAGTTTGCTAGATTCGTAGGGCAAACTTCTCTTGCTATCATTCGTAATGGATTGGGAAGGGCGCGGGGACTTTCATCCATCATCCATCTTCTTCTACATTTCTTTTGAAAGGAACGATATCTCGTTTTCGATCTCAAGGTCAAACAACCATTTCCATTTCAAAATCTAGTATTATCTTCAAAGTCAATAATTATTACCTGCTTATCTTTTCCTTTACCAAGTATTGGTAGAGCATTGAAGGCTCTTCTCTCCTCCCAAATCACCTTTTTTTCTTACTCAATGCATTTCCTTACTAATCCCAGTGTTTCCTATGTGCAGTTGAAGAACGACTCAATCCAACAAAAGCTGTACAAGTCATACCAAGCGTCAAAATTCGTACGCATTCTGATCATGAGATCCTAACAAGCTCACACTCTCTTTTCTTAGATGACTAGTGTTCGAACACCCACTGTAATCTTATTTCCCTCGTCTACTTACGCTGTCGATATTACTTTAATAGTATTCTATCCCTATGCTAAAATCATTTATATCTATTATCGAGCCATTCAATCTCTTCTTAGCGCGCTATACTCCAGCTTGTCTCGCCTGCACTTTCTCTGCCTTTATTTCATCCACTGGTACCTCTTCTATCTTAGTATACGACCTCATAACTTCCCCCTTGACCTCCCTTATGTCCTACCTAAATCTCTCCTCCACTAGTCGAAGTTTCCAAACCTTCTAGTAACTAGAATCTAGTCTAATCATCCGAGTCATTTAGCATATTATACTCATAATCACTCAACTTAGGTGAAGATTCATATTACCACATACAATATCTCCTTTAAAATCGAATCTCTCCTAACCACCGATAATTTTTCTACACACCTAGCTAATGTTTTCAACCCCCGAAATCTTCCTTTCTTATAATCTAAACGCTAGTGAGACGGCTGGAGCAAGAATATACACATAGTTGTAAGGGTATAAGAAATAATAAGACTTAATTAAATAACTCTGCTCATTGAAAATAAATACAATCTTATAGATCACCGGATATAGTGTTACGAGGTTTGCCGTCTAGATCACGTGGAAGTGCTCTAGGCTCTCGAGGTGGTTTATAACTAGGCGTCAAGCAGGGACTTAGAGTAATGGCAATGATGCAATTCGTAACTAATAGTAGAGTGTACTAAATGATTGATCTTGAGCACGAAGCTCTATACAAAGAAAATCCATCTTGATTATATAGACCTTCGTGTTCTGAAAGTCGATCGACTCTTGAAGGGCCGATCGATTCTCAGGGAGTCGGTCGGCTTTCGGATCAGGTGACACTTGTCACATGATCCTGCTAACTAATTGGTTACCTGATGCGGGTTATGTTACGCCGTCGTAACACTAATCCCCTCATTTTATAAGAAACATATCTCAGACCTGCTTTGCTCATAAACAGAATCTCCTCCCCATTTAGTAGATCGAGAATATTTATCTCTATAATTATTTTATATCCCTATCATCAATCCATCTTTTCAGCTCTCCTCTATCCCCCTCTATTTTCTTTCCCTCTCTATATATTCCCATCTCTAATCTAAACTTTGAAAATAACAAAATCTAATCCACGAATTTGGTTTACTCTTTTACTAAATAAAGAGTAATCTGTAATGCTGCATACGCTTTCACCTACAAAATAAAGCAAAAGGGATGGAGGGTAGAAGAAGAGCGATACCCACGAAGGATAATGACAAATGAAGTTGTAGGAAAGAGGAAGGAGTAGAAGGAGTAAGCTATAGCTTTTATACCTAGCTGAAAGGGTAATAAAGCTAGCCTAGCTCTTTGTGGCCCCTTTGACATTCTTTCCCTGAAACCCCCATACATATATCCACACATCATACACCCACTAAATCTCATCCCAAATCCCTAGATCTTCACCTTAAACCATTATATCTCACCTCACCTCATTTCCCATCATATCTCCCCTCCATCCCACCCAATCCAGCACCCAAATCCCAAATACCCAAATCCCAAGTACCTACATAAAACACTATACCCCAAAATCTCCTTCCCCCTCCCCAACCCCGCCACACATACACACTGTACCTTCAAAACCTTCATATAAAATTTACATCAAACTCTACAATCATTATCTTCTTCAAACATAAAACTAAAATCAACTCTACCACTACCACTACCACTACCACTACCACTACCACTACCACTACCACTACCTCTATATACCCTTCCTTACCCTCTCTCAAACCCTAAATCCTAAACCCAATACCCGAACCCCAATCCCAAACCCCAATCCCCAAAATCACCTAAAAAACCTTCCAATTTCCCTATACAAAATTCCTTCAACACTCTCAATTCATCTTTATTCTCATCCTTCTATTTCCCTTCTCTTTCCCTCTTTCTTTATCCTTGCCTTCTTATTTTTCAAAACAACAACAAAACAAAAATAACATAACGTGGTTTATCATCGAGTGGCCCATATCATCGAGTGGCCCACTTTCACCTCAATTTACACTTTCAAACCCATATTATTCAACAACAATTGAATCAATTGATTGAAACTATTAAGAATCTAATAATCTAGGATCTATTACATTATTTTGACAGGTTCTTGCATTATGTCCTGTCTTTCCGCATTTACTACAACATCGATTAGAAGATGCTTCCCCATTAGAATTCCCCCCTTTTTGACGCTCATCGCGTTGAATCTGAATATCAACCTCTTGCTGAGATAATATATCAAGAGCCTCTTGTCCAGTGAGCACTCCTCCTTGACGTAATTGGGTTTTTTTCGCGCGTCGACGCTTGCTTAATGCTTCATTTGCTGTCCGAAGTGTACGAATCTCTGTATTTAAAAGTGTGTTTTCATGAGCTAATCTCTCTGTACCCTTAGCTAGAGCTAGTACAGTCTCGAATATAGGTGTAGGAGAGCTTGCTTGATGACGAGTTATTCGAGATTTAACTAATGTTGATTGAGAAAGAGCTTCAGTTGGGTTGCGAGGGGTTTGAGAGATCCATTGATCTAGGTCGAAAGAGGGGGGGGTAGGTGTGCGAATTCGAATATCTAATTTCGAGAGTACAGCTTCAGGATTAAATGGGATTAAATCTGTTCCTCGGAATCCTGATTTCATATTCTGAGAAGTGATTGATTCCTCGTATGCAGCTTTAAAAGCTATAAAGAATTCAACCTTCGAAATATGATTGATATGTGCCTTGATAAATCCATCAATTTGACCACCATATGAACGTTTTAGATTGCTAAAACAGCCAACATCAAGTGGTTGAGTTAAATGACTTGAATGCGGTGGTAAACGTAAACATATAATATCGTTCTCTTTGCAGTATGCTTGAAAAGCTACTGATTCGTGGCTTTCATGCCCATCCAGTACCAACATTCGATATTTGCCCTTTCTTCGATTCTTAGTATGCTTGTCGAAGTGTTTCAACCATTCTAAACCCGTCTCATTATTCGTCCACCCATTAGATGTAGGTTTAATAGCCCATTCCGTAGGAAGATTCGTTTCGGTGTACCAATTGGAGAGATGAACTTGTCCTTGAACTACTAGAAATGGGGGAATAGTTTCACCCTCTCCATTTCCGCATATTATTGCTGTAGCCCATTCTCGATTGCCTGGCTGTACTGTCTTGCTTCTGCCATTTCGTTCAGCACTAGTTACTACCATTGCTGCACATATAATCCCCATCATAAAGCCTGTTTCGTCGAAATTGTAGAAATCTCCGTCCAAAATGCCGTATTTCGCTCGCATATTCGCAACTAGTCGAAACCACTCTTCAAGAAGCTTAGGATCCTCACAGAGAGCTCTTTGAAAGTCATAAACACGACTAAAACGCGTCTTTAATTCGATTCGACGCTTTACGAATCGATGCGCCCAGAGCTTCCCAACGCGTTTCGCACCCCTCGATTCGAGAATATCATTCGCCATATCTTCCACATTCTTTAGTTTAGGTGGAAATCCTCTTAAATCCATATCGAGTATATATTGAACAATCACCTCTTCTTCTAATTCTGTAATCTTATGACGATTCGCTCGAGTTTCTGTACGAAGAGGTAAACCTTCCATTCTATGTCGAAGAGTCGTACGAGGAATATTATAGAGCATAGCAGCCTTTCGAATGCTTAATTTTTTATCTTTATGAATAACTTCGATAGCAAGGAGTATACGAGCTTCTTGATTATTCGAATTCATTATAGGTTGTTGATAAAACGCGTGTTGAAAGAGACAGGTGTAAATTGAGGTGAAAGTGGGCCACTCGATGATATGGGCCACTCGATGATAAACCACGTTATAACATAAACACTCTTCATCCTTCATCCTTCATCTATATAACCAATCTCACCCTTCTTCCCTTTCTTCCCACTTTTCCTCACTATTTACTTATCTATCTATCCTTCTACATCTATTC